TTTTTAGTAGTGACAGACTTTAAAGATGTTCCAACGTTGAGACACCGTGCAATGTGTTAGCATAAGCATTTTCAAATTTTACGGCGTTTAGATTTTTTTTAAATGGGCGACTTTAAATTTTGACGGGTGGTACGATGGGACCATGCCGTTGCCATGGAGATTTTTTTTCATGTTTTGACCATTTGCTCAGAACATATACGATTTCTTGTTACTTTGATGAGCCAGGAGGTTTAGTTTTGAGGAGTGGCACATTTTTTATTTGAACCATTTTTTCATATAATTAACGGTTCTCGTTTTCGATTGTTGCAAATTTATGTTTTTCGCGTTTACGGAAAATTTCCACGATGAATTTTCGAAAAAAATTGGAATTTTCGTTTTTTTCATGGTTGAAATAGTTTAGAGTTGTTTATTTGAAAATCGGAGAGGGGGGGGGGAAGAATCCACGGACCTCGGACAATAGGGGTTCTTGGGAACCCCTAAATATAGGGTAGGTCAACTGTGGGGTGGGTCAACTTTTTTTGGTAAAATTTATATTACTAATATTTCTATTCCAATATTTATATTAATATTTTTATTAATAAATATATAGGTAGGTCAACTTTGAGGTGGGTCAAGCTACATAGACTCGCCTAGGGCCCAGGGACTGCAGGGACGATGCCCGATTGCGCCAGTGTAGTGGCGACGGCAACGAGGGACCGTCCCTCAGCCACGTCTCGGCCCTATGGACCGCGCGACGCGGTCACGGCGGCGACTCCCGTGGGACCGAGCGCAGCTGACAGAGAGCCCGCCTCTTAGATCCCCCCAAACACCCCGACGTCGTCAACAAGTGTCCCGAATGCATCCGGGCGAATTCATGAGACCCCAGCCCTCAGCTCCCAGCACGCTGCCGCTGCTTTGGGATACGCTAGAGACGCTAGGCGCGGTCGCTGGGGTCACCCCGTCGCCGGCCGTTTGGCTATGCTGTTTTCTTGTTTTTCTGGGCGGACTGACTGACTGGTGGGTTGCGACCAGCGGCGACGAGTACCAGCGACGACCAAGTACCCTCGCCTCGCGTGCCGGGACGGCCGGCGACCGACGTAACCGAAACAATGACTCCGTGTGTGTGTGTGTGTGTGTGTGTGAGCGCGCTCAGCGGCCATCAGGATGGCGCTTCGACGGGCAAGAAGCGCACCGCACACACACGGGGCGAGTCGTTACTGAGCGGCATTAGGTGCGACACACACACACACACATATATTCAATCCCTGTAGTCATTCAACAACAAAAACAAAAACAACAACAAGCAAGGACAACAAGCACGTCAACAAGCAACCGCCAATGATGACGAAGGATACTACGGGGGAGGCAAGTGCACCCACCTCTTATCTGGCAGGTAAAGCTGTCCGAGGCGAGCCAGCAGCCTCGCCCACAGATAAGGCAGTACGCAGAACACACGCCGGTGCGCACAGCGCGTGTGTGTGTGTTTGTGTGTGTTTGTGTGTATGTGTGGGTGAAACTATTTGCCGGTGGGACGAGCATCTCGCTGGAGCGGACCGAGAAAGCGGCGAGGCAGCGCGATTCTTGTTTTCGCAGTCCCCGCACTGTAAGGCTGGCCAGTGGCCAAATAAACGTCAGTCACATTTTTAACGGTTCGTCTTGAACGCGCGGCGATTTTAACGTTCTTCTTTCCGATGGGACGCCGCGGTCGGTCTTTCAACACTGACGGTATGAGAGTGATTTGCTCTTTGCAAAGCCGTTGGGATTACGAGGTTAAAGCCCCTGCTGATACTCGGGCGATATTTTTTTTCTGCCAGCGATGTCGGTTTCGGGTTGGTATGGGCCGGCATCTCCGTTCACCCCGCGTACAGGAGAGCCAACAACAGTCAAACTGTCCCGCCCCGTCAAAATCGCGCCACAATGTAGTCAAATGGCGCCCATAACGGGTCCCGTCCCTCTTCTTGTTGACATTACACATGCGACTTCTTTCCGGGCCACAGTCGCTGTCGTAGTGCCGAAAGAGCACCGGTGAAGGGTCTTCTCGTCGCTCTGTCTCTCTCGCACCCCTACGGCACGCCCCGAGTGCCCGACAGAGACGGAGCGGCGAGGGGACTCGGCCAAGCAATTGAGGCCCTCATGATGGTGCCGCCTCGGTGTGAGCCCAGAGGTCAAAATCTCGTACGAGTCGGGTCCCCCGCGTCGTACTACTCGGAGAAACGTTGGCCAGCCGCGAAGCAAGACCAGAATTCTGAACGTCCGAAAGCTGGACAAACTTTCTGCGACTGTCCAGTCGAGGCTGCGGCGCGGTCCCTTTATGCGTTTTTCCAGAAGGCTAGATAGACAACACAGCTGCACACTGCACTTCCCCTTTCGGACGCTGACGCGTCTGAACGTGTCACTTTGACGGATTGCAAATCGGCACGGTCGCCGACGGCGATACCCCCCCCCCCTCTCTCTCTGCAGTAAATCTTTGTCTAAATACTCGCAGGCCACCGCTCGTGAGAGCAGAGTGCGGTTCAAGAAGCATTTTGCGCAGGCGACGCTCTGTGGTCATTTGCGAGTGTCCCACTGTGCTCGCTGCTGATTGTTTTCGTCTCCTTGAGAAGGCCTCAGGAATCCCAACATTCTGTTCGTACGACAATTTTTAAAAAAAATTTAAAAAAAGAATTCCTGTGCGCTTTTTTTATGTTTTAAAAGTTACTAGTTGAATACATTTAAATCAAAGTCGGAACCGTGACGTAACCGCGACACGCCAATAGCATCACCATGCAGACCGCTTTTTCGTAAAGTACAGTGTACTGTACGTTTTCGGTTGCCTTTTTGCGGTGTTCTGACACCGCCGGTAGTAATTCGTCGGCATTCGAAATTTTTCCGGCTTGTTTACGACGCGGTCCGGCCTTTGGCCTCTCACAGTGGAGGCTCGTCACCACACAGACACACTGCGAGTGCACTTCCAGCTGCGAGACTGCCGCCGCCACTGTCAGCAGGCCAGGCCGCCTTGTGCAATCCACTCATCGCGAAGGCACGTTTCCTCGGCTGCATTGAAAGATCCCCTCAACCGCCGCCCCCTTTCCCCTTTCCCCGCTACCCCATTTTACCCGCCCCGTCGAAAAAAAATGGCGCCGTGACGCTCCGGCCCAATTTGACCCCCAACCCCAGAGACGCCGTCCCACGGAGATAGGGCCGCCTCCCATAAAGCTTAAGCAGTATCACCAACCGACAAAGCCAATTTGTTTTTCGCCGGTTACTTAACTTAATGGGTTGGATAACCTGAAAAAGAAGAGGAGCGGCCGGAGATGCGAGAGGGGATTACTACGCTGGGGCGATTTCGATTGGCCGGAGGCGATTTCGCGGCGAGGGGTGGCAGGCGGCTCCGTTCGCTTCGTTTCGTGCGACGAGGACGGACAAGGCTCGGGGGAATTCCCTTGTGCCATTGGCGTGGTTCGCCCTGGATTCGTTTCGCCCGCCAATCAGAGTGCTCTGTTTTTATTTTTTTTGGGCGGGAAACCTGGCACAGGCTCCCTTTGAAACGGACCGCTGGTTGCTTGAGACAGCTCCTGCGGCTCCAGGACGCCGTCGAACGCTTCGGCGCCGCGTCCCCCACGACGTCAGGCGTCGCCCACGCCAGAAGCGCGGCCGGCGTTCAATGGGAAGCCGATTATTTGAATGTATTTTTAGCCAGGCCGGGCAGGCAGCGCAGGGCAGAGTACTTAGCCCGGCCAAGTGGCCGTTGTCCCCGTGGCGTCGACGGCGTCGACAGCACGGCAGGCCGCGGCAGGCCGGCACGTCGCTCTCATGCTCCGCGACCTTCGGAGCACTTCGGAGGTGTTAGAGGCGGCGCTTGAGGCGCCGGTGGCGTGGCGCTTGCCGTGGACCCTACGTCCCTGTGTCTCCGTCGCACTCACGGGGCGCCCCGTAGGAAAGAGAGAGAGCGACGCCGGCCGGCACGCCGAGCGAGAGGGCCGCGAGGGGCACGGGGCAGCAACAGGCGTGTGGCGGTTCCGTGCTCCGAGCTGCAACGAGCCACTGTCCCGGTCAGGGAGTCAGGGGTTGCCGATCGGCCCAACGACCTCGACGAAGCCAACATCGTCAATGGCGTGGTGGCGTGGCCGGGGCGAAAAGCACCCCGCCCCCCGCCACCTGTGCGTGCGTGCGGTAAACAAGGTCCCGGTGCGCGGCTGCAGCCTGGCGGCCTGGCGGCTTGGCGCGCCGCCCTGGGCGAGGCCCTGGGTGCCTTGGGGAAGAAAGACTCCTCTGAATAAGGAATGAGCCCCCCGCTAAAAGGCTAAAAGGGACCGGGAGATTGGAAGAATGGGACGTAGCGAGAAAGAGCCTGGAATTCTTTTGGCCTTTGGCCGAGCCTTTGGCCGAGCCTTTGGCCGCTCGGTTCCATTCCAGACTTCCTTCCAGAAGGTCGGAAGGTGTGAGGAATGGTAGGCGTAGCGCCCCGTCTCCCTTCCCCGCCAGCCGACGGCAGCCGACGGCAGCCAACAGGGTCCGGCTTGTGCTCGCTCGTCGGAGCGGGGCGTTTGTGAGGTTTGTGAGGGGCTTTGTGTTCCACTGGCTTCTGGAAAGAGTCCAGGCGGGCTCTGGCCTGGCCGGGCGGGGGCGCGCGCCTCTCCGGCGGCGGCCGAGCAGCACACGATCCTCTTCATTTATTCATCGCCGAAGTCGGCCAATCGCGTAGCCGCTGCCACCTGAGCGAGAGAGCGAAGCAGCGAGGCTCTTTAGCCGGGGGCCGAGGGCGCCAGCGGGCGGCGCCAGCGGGCCAGCCCCACCGCGAGGCTTCGAGGTGCAAGTCGCGGCGCCACGACAAAGTTAGCGCCCGGCGTCTCTCTCGCACCCCTACGGCCTGCACGGCCTGCACGGGCCGAGTGCGAGCGAGACGGCCTGCTCGCGCCGCAATGTTGAGGCTGAGGCGGCCGATCATATGGTGGCCACTGAGTCACCGTGGCCGTCCCCGGCAGGCCGTCGGGCCTCCGCTCCTTGCTGCAGAGCCGACTTGAACTTGAACCCGCCAACTTCGCCGTGATTCAGCCGGCCGGGCCGGGCCGGGTTCACGGCGGCGATTCAAGCCTTGGCGCGGCCACAGTGACGTGGCGTGACGCAGTGACGTGGCGTGACGCCGTGACGTCACAGGGCCCCGCCTTCACTTGTTCCCGGCCACACCCTCCACCCCTCCCCCTGGATCGATCTGCTGCGCGCTGCCCTTTCGAAGAACCGCGTGACTTGCACGCGGCCGAGCGAGCCACACTCGGCCTCTGCGTGAGACGAGACGGCCTGCCGCGTATCACAGCCGATACGGCAAGGCCCGGCAAGGCCCGTTCACGTTCGCTCTGTCTTATCGCGCTCCCATTCGACTCAGTTCATCCGCCATTCGCCCGTCCCGGTTCAAAAGCGCGGCGCGACCCTTGCCGCCGCGATCGCCGTTTGTTTTTGGTATTTTGCCGTCGGCTGCCGTCGGCGCGGCGCGGCTCGCTACGGCCCGGCCCCAATCGAAAGCGCGCTGCGTCCGAACGGCACGGCGCGCTGTGTCTCTCTCTCGCCCACTCCCCCTCGCGCCCCTTGCGCGGTCCGCGCCGAGGCCGCTCGGCTCGCCCTCCAAACGCAGCCCGAGCGAGCCGAAGAAGCTGGGTGGGGCGGCGACGGCAGCGCTTCGGCGGTCGCGCTCGGCGGCTCGGCGATGCGCGATGCGCCAGTGGTGGACTGTGCGGGCCAGCAAGTGTGACAGGAGTCCATTTTGGCCGCGCGAGGATCGGTTTTCTTTCGGATTTCCCGGACGTTCCGCCCACCCGTGCAAGTGTCAGTGTTCCCACGGGCAGCCCTGCGTCGTGCTGCGACGCGGCATCGCTTCCAGAAGGGCGTCGGAGGGCGGCACACTGTTGTAACGGCAACGCCAGCCCGCTCGGTCGCTCCGCTCCGCCGTAGGCTGCACTTCAAGGCCTATGCGATGACGCACCCCGAGTCCGGGGCTCTGTCCTGGACGTCAAGCATTCTTCGGCCAGGCGCCTGCTTCTTTGTGCTGGTCGCCCTGCAGACCCTCGTCTCCCTGCAGGTGAGGCAGTGGGAGACATTCGCCAGAGACTGGCTTTTGGTGGCGCCTGTCCTTCGATGACGGGTCGACGGCGCAATCCCACGGAGAGCTGTTTACCTTGGGACGGAGACTACTCCTAGCACGGTCTGTACAGTGGCGTGATGGTCCTGACGGCCCGGCAGAGGCACTACGGACGAGGCGACCCACATGCCGTCGGCCCCTCGCTCCAGACTTTCCCACGGCGACATTACCCAAGTGATTTGTAGGTTAGGTCCGTTGTGCGTTGCGTCTTGCCGTGGGTCCCCGTTGGTCCCCGTCTGGCGGAAGCGGCCAGGGGCGTAGGCGTACCGGGATGTTTTGCTCGGCGCGCCGAGTGCTGCGTCGCTTTGCGTTGGCAGACGGCGCTGTTTTCGCTTTCGCAGTGTGGTCGTTGTTTATCTGTAGGCCGCACCTGCCTGTCAAGGCCGAGTCATTCGAGGGTGAAGGGGCGGGGTGGGGCGGGGCGGCTGCCGCCCCTTTCACAACTTTCACTCATTTTTATGGGGTTGAAGTTAATTGAATGATGAGAACTTTCCAAGTGTCTTCAGTCGGGTCTCTTCCTCTTGCATTTGTATTAATTCAGTCTGCTTTTGATTGGCATAAAAGTTAGTACTTGTGTTCATCTTTTTCATTCAATGTGGATGAACTAGTTATCGCACATCTTACAAATATTCCTAACATGGAGTTCCCATTTGTGTGGCTGCTGTCAGCTCACCTTGACGAATTTTCCAGTCTAAACAGAAATTTCTTATGAAACTGTACTTTTTGTTGCAGCCAAACGTCTTGGCTGCGGAGCCCACCTGTGTGTGGTATGGGAATTGTAACGGCGATGTCGAGAAACCGCAGTACTGTCCTTACAATGGGACAGCTAAAGAACTTCCTCAGGAAGGAATCAAAATCTTACAACAGTGGTGTCCGAACTTCCTGAAGGACCTTGGTAAGCTACTTTGTAGTCATGGCGTGCGGTGCTGGTTGCTGCAGGAGTGAGGAAGGTTGTATGTGCGAAAGCGCCCTTGCCCAGAGGTGCAAGCTGGCTGTCAGCCAAGGGTGTGACTCAGTCTTTCTCTCTTTGTACGATCAAAACCTGAGTTCTTTGATTTAATTTAAATTTACCATCCTCATTACTTTTACATCAGTTTTAATTTTATAATTTGCTTTCAGGTTCTTCTCCGCAAACTTGCTGTGATGTTTTTCAACTTCAAACTTTGGACAAAAGCATTAGATTAGGTCATCAATTTCTAAAGCACTGCCCATCATGCATGAACAACTTTGCTGAGCATTTCTGCTCCTTTACCTGTAGAGCAGACCAGTCCAATTTCATGGAAGCCGTAGATTTCAAGGAAAATAAAGTTGGTGAGTTATGAATTCCATGAGTCAATATCCTACATTATTATTTTATTCCTTGGTATGGATTTTATATTGTCTTTTGTCTTCCAATCAGGCAATAAAACCCTCATATCTATTTCGGGAATAAACCTCCATGTGACTGCAAAGTCCCTCCAGGGTATTTATGACTCTTGCTCCGGTGTGTTTGTTCCGTCAACGGGTCAGCGTGCCCTTGATCTCATGTGTGGGTCATGGGGCTCTGCCTTGTGTTCTCCTCTCAGGTATGGATTTTCTCATTTCGAAATCTATTCTACAAAAGACTGTCAGCAGAGTTTTTAAGGCTTCGTGGTATGCTTTCAGGTGGTTTACTTTCATGGGGGATGCAAGGAACAATCCCTATGTCCCGTTCCAAATGACGTACAAACTAGACAAATTGGCAGGCTCAATGACCCCACTGGACACTCGTATAGTTCCTTGCAATGTTGGACTTGATGTAAGCGTTTCACTTCATTTTTCTCCCCATTTCAATCTTAATTGTGGAGAGCTTGTTTCTGTAAGTTGCGATTGTTGCAGGGCAACGTGCCGTGCAGTTGTGTGGACTGTGCAGCCAGCTGTCCCGCTCCTCTTCCACCTGCACCTCCATCCGATGGATTCAAAATTGGTGGAATGGACGGCACTGTAGTTGTCATGTTGCTTGTTTTCATTTTCGGTAGCGCACTATTTGTGGGACTGGTTACCATGTGCCCTAACCTGTGTGCGTACACTGGTAAGTCTGTCATCTATTTCATCACATAATGGGGTGGGAAGTTTCCCCTATCAGCAGTTGGTACTCACTGACCCTCCCTTCTCCCAATGCTCTTGAAGTCCCTTTCACCCAGACCACAGACATGGAAGCCGAATCCCATCTGTGGAGCAGACAGGCTCCTCATGTTAAGTCAAGTGTCCTGTTTATCATAGGATTTAGAGATGCGGCTGGTTTCCTCTGTCTGTTCCCTTCTCCCCCTTCCATTGGTATTCATGGTTGCTGGTGTGTGTATTCAACGGAAGGCAGTGTTGCATGCAGGGGCCGGATAAGCCTGGCGGTCACCCTGACACACTCGTATCACTGTGGCATGCTGGTAGTCGGGATGGCATTGACCTTGAATGGATATGAGGTGGTCCTGGGCCTACATGAGTAGCAGAGGAATTGCCTAGGGGCTATCTCTACTCTAATATTTTCATTGACCTTCCCTCCTATGCCAGTTTAAAACAAATTGTTGCAATCCCTACGCTGCAGTTGTCGTTTGTTTCGACACTACTGATCTTGTGTACCGTGACTTGTGGGACCCTTGCATGCTGCTTCCATCTTGACAGAGGACTCTTTCCGATTATTGGCACTTGTACTTTTGAAGTGTGTGTAATGCACTCTTTGCATTTATCTCACTGATGGCAAGCAGCTCTCAAACGGAGGTGTGACCTTTTATGGTGGAATTGACATTGGGGCTGTTGTTGGGTCAAAATTGTGTACTTGGCCAGTACTAATATCTCTAACATTTATCAAGTGTTGAATGTCGGGTATGGCAGCATTTTCAGAATTTCTGTTGGTTTCAGCTTCTTTGGTGACGAATAATGGTGGCGATAGTGGTAGACTGTCAATGGGTCAGTCTGTGGGAAGGCGTTTCGCAGGAATGAATCAAATGCAGCAGCCTGTGTTTGGTGATGATGAAGAGAGTCCTTTGCAGTCTAAACGTTCCAGTACGTGTTCCCTAACATCAGCATGCTCCTAATGCTTAGTTTCTATTAGTGGATGTCCATTCATGTTAGTGTCTGTGTTTGTGTTTTGTTGTTTGCCTAAATAGGCAACTTAGGAAAGGAGGGGGCACACCTTACTGGGTTGTGTTTTTAGTAATTTACTTGGAAATAATTGTTTTAATTTTGGTTGGGAGCTAGTTATTCAACAGTTCATGCTGATAGCTGCAGCTTCATACTTTGCAAGCATCAAACTAAATGTGGGAGACTTGCCTGTACTCCTGCATGGCAAAACCCAAAAGCCTGATTGCCTCATTAATAGTTTGTTCTCCCAAAACTTAATGCTGGTGGGAAATAAAATTTTTGTTCAATGGTTAGGGCAGCTCATTAGGGGCCCAGTAATTTTCTGAAGTTTTGTGATTGCAATCAATAGCTTGCTCATCGAAGTTGCTTCATTTCACGCCTGATCAAGTGGGGTGCTGAATTAATGCTGCATGACTAACCGCATTCTGATTTAATCGGCTTTTCCTGTCTTTTGTTTCTTGTGCGTTTTGTACATTGCTGAAAATTATGTTGTTGCCTTTAGTTACACTACCCCCTCACTTCAGACTTGTAATTGTGCCTTTGTATTTACATAGGTGTTGCAAGTGATATCGATGGAATTGACGGAGGTGATAAGACTGGCTCTGAAGCTTCTTGTTATGAGAAGTTTGGAGCTGTAATCGATGAGAAACTCGAAGCTTTCTTCACCAAGTGGGGCACAGGTATGGACATAGATATTGGTTTGAAGTTTGAATCTTGTGTCATTTTCTTAAACACTGTTCTTGCTTACAAGTCCGAGAATTTTTCTCTTGCAGTGTGTGCCGGCAACCCCTGGACGACAATGGCGATTGGTTTGGTGACAATTGTTGTCTTATGTTATGGTGTAACTTTCTTGAAAATTACCACCGATCCTGTTGATCTCTGGGCATCTCCTGAAAGTCGATCCAGGCTAGAGCGTGAATATTATGATAAAAATTTTGAACCATTTTATCGCACTGAACACATTATCATTAGAGCAACGGGCCTTGAACCAGTTTATCACAACACTTCTCAAGGAGTTCTGGAGTTTGGTCCTGTCTTTAACCAAGAATTCCTGATGGAACTTCTGAAGCTTCAAAATCAAATTGTGAAGGTAAGTTCCCTAACTTCATTGACACTTGCTTCTGATCATTGTGCATGATGGGTGGTTAATATTTGTATTATTTTTTGCCAGCTCGGGCAGAATGAAAGCAAAGGTCTGGACAAAGTTTGCTTTGCTCCTCTCCATACATCTTACTCTGGCCCGAAGAAGGTCAGCAGCTGTTTCGTTGTTAGTATATGGGGCTATTATCAAGATGATGTGGATACATTTGAGACTGAAGATACAGACCCAAATAACTTCACTACAAATTATCTGGATCATTTCAAGCGCTGCTCCCAGTAAGTGCACTCCTTGTGGTGTTCATTTCTTTCCCTTTGCATATTCTTTGAAATTTCACTCATGATTTTCCTTTATTTTGCAGAAATCCTTACAACTTGGAGTGCTTTGCCCAGTATGGCGGCCCAGTGGACCCCGCTATTGCTTTGGGTGGCTTTTTGAAGGGCAATGAGGCCATCACAGATCCCAAGCAGTATCAAAATGCAACTGCAGCTATCATAACTATTCTCCTGAGCAATCACCACAACAAGACTCTTCTGGCTCCAGCATTGGAATGGGAAACTAGGTAGGACTTGTTCCTATCGGATAAATATTATTAGGGTGCAGTTTAACTTTGCAAACGAGCTAAATCTCTCTTTTCTCCCTCAGATTTATTTCATTCATGAAAAAATGGGTGAATGAGTCCAAGCCCGAGTTTATGGATGTGTCTTTCAATGCAGAGCGATCCATCGAAGATGAGCTGGACAAAGAATCAACTTCTGATGTTCGGACCATCATTGTCAGTTATTTGATCATGTTTGGTTACATTGCTGTCTCCCTGGGTCAGATTTCCACATGTGATCGACTATTAATTGACAGCAAAATCACACTTGGTCTTGGCGGCGTACTGATTGTAGTTGTCTCTGTGGTTTGCTCTGTGGGGTTGTTTGGTTACATTGGTGTTGCTGCCACTCTGATTATTGTTGAGGTGAGAATAAACGACTTACTATTGTCTTTATCTTTTTATCATATTGGTGTTAACATTTTCTGTTCTTTAAATTTATGTAGGTGATTCCATTCCTTGTGTTGGCTGTTGGTGTTGACAATATTTTCATCTTGGTTCAAACTCATCAAAGAACCCCCCGTAATCCTGGGGAAAGTTCTGCCGAACATATTGGACGTGTACTTGGCCAAGTGGGCCCCTCTATGCTGCTCACCAGCATCTCTGAGACTTTCTGCTTCTTGCTTGGTTTGTAACAGATTTGTACTTTTTAATGAGCATTTTTTTATTTCATCAGTTTAATTCATATTCCCCTCTGCTTTTACAGGTGGTTTGTCGGACATGCCCGCCGTGAAAGCATTCGCCCTCTACGCTGGAATGGCGCTCTTCATTGACTTCTTGTTCCAAATTACTTGCTTTGTCAGTCTTCTGTCCCTGGATACGGCGAGGCAGTCTGTAAGTGTTTTTGCTTTAGGCAATCATCAAAAAAAATTAAACAAAAACATTTTTACTAAATTTCTTTTGAAACCTCTTTTACTTTAGGAAAACCGATATGATATTTGCTGCTTTGTCAGAGGATCTAAGAAAGATGTTGTGCCCAACAATGGAGCGCTCTACAAGTTGTTTGAAGCAGCGTATGTGCCTATGCTATTAAATAAGTGGATGCGGCCTGCTGTCATGGTTATCTTCTTTGGCTGGCTGTGTTCGAGTCTTGCTGTGATTCCTCACATTGATGTTGGTCTGGATCAAGAACAGTCTGTTCCTGCTGATTCACCTGTGCAGAAGTACTTCTCGGTGGGTAACATAATTGAACTGTGAAATTTGTTATTGGAGTGAAGTGTCATCTAACCAATGAATTGTTCATTTTTGCAGTACTTGAAGAACTACTTGTCTGTTGGGCCACCTGTATACTTCGTGGTTACTGAAGGACTTGACTATTCCGATGTTGACACCCAAAATATGATATGTTCAGGACTTTACTGCAACCCTGATTCCCTTTTGTTGCAACTGTACAGTGCTTCTCGGACCCCCAGCAGAACTTACATTGCAAAGCCCTCAGCTTCTTGGATTGATGACTACATGAGTTGGCTTGACATAAAGGATTGTTGCTACGAATCGAAGGCTAATGGTTCCTTCTGCCCCCATTCCAAACGTAAGCCCTCATAAATATTTTTAAAGTTTTTGTGTTTTGTGAAGTAGGCATTATTTTAATTTGTTTAATTACAGCGGCACGCTGCAAGCCTTGCGCCACAGAGCTTGACGCGAAAACTCGGCGGCCGAGCAAGGCAACCTTTGAGAAGTACGTGTCTTTCTTCCTGAATGATAATCCAGATGACACGTGTGCTATCGCAGGACATGGCGCCTATGGCCAGGTAAGAGTTTTGATTCACCTCTGCCAAAAAGGGAAAAGTTAAGCTATGTTTTAGGTTCCTTTTCAATTACAATACTTTTCTGTTTTAGGCTGTGAAGGTTCTGCCTGGAGTCAACAACACTGGCAAAGTTGGCCCTACCTCATTCATGTCATACCATTCTATTCTGAGGTCATCCAAAGACTACTACTCGGCCATTGAAGCTGCTCGGGAAGTTGCTGCCAACATTACCACTATGATCAATGGACGGCTTAAAGCCAGTGGTTCCAACAAATCTGTTGAAGTATTCCCTTACAGGTACATTATGCTCAGTGTTACTTATTGCCATTGTTTTATTTGTCTCTTTGACAACTAACTAACTATCTGTTTTTTGTTTTTTTTTCTGCCTGGATTTTAGTGTGTTCTACGTGTTCTATGAGCAGTATCTGACCATGTGGGAAGATACCCTCGGTAGTCTGGGACTCTCTGTAGCTGCCATCTTTGTTGTTACTTTCCTGCTGATGGGGCTTGACGTGTGCTCTGCTCTGGTTGTTATCATTACCATTGTCATGATTGTCACCAATCTGTTGGGTTTGATGTATTGGTGGAACATATCCCTGAATGCAGTTTCGAGGGTAAACCTTGTTATGGTAAGCATCAGAACCTTAAAATTTAATCTTCGTATATTTCTGAGAAAAAGAACTTGTTGTTAATTTACCCTTTTAAATCACTTTTCAGGCCGTTGGTATCTCAGTCGAATTTTGCAGCCATCTAGTGCACACATTTGCTGTGTCTGTAGAATCGTCAAGAGTAAAGAGGTCCGCTGATGCCCTCACAAAGATGGGCAGCTCTGTAAGTAAATTATACATTATCAGCTGAATAGTGAAAGGTAGCTTCAGTTGCACATGTTTCTTACCAATCATTTCATTTTATTTCAGATTTTCTCTGGCATCACACTGACCAAGTTTGGAGGAATTATTGTCCTGGGTTTTGCTAAGTCCCCAATCTTCCAAGTTTACTACTTCAGAATGTACTTGGGTATTGTCTTATATGGAGCTGCCCATGGTCTTATCTTCCTACCTGTCCTGCTCAGTTACATTGGTAAGCATTTCTGATTATTCAGATTTTACTTGCATTTTACATGGTACTTCTGAACTCATGTTTAGAAAGAAAAGAAATGATTGCATGCTGTTGCTTTACCTCTTGTGACGTCCTGGGGCATTTATGTTCAGCTTCTGAATAAGATTGATCATTGGATCATTTTATGTATTAGTTTACATCTTGGTTGTTGCCATGGTCACTTTGTAAACTTAAAACGGGTTTATGTCACTTGAGTTGTGTATCTTATGCAGAGTACATAAATTCTTATGTAGTGTAACTCTTGGGTGGACTTATTTGTTTTGATAGCAGAACTGTGTGTTTGGGTTCTTCACTAGAGGTCCTGAATTGTGTCCTGAATGTGCTATGAGCTTTTTCAGCTTTGTGTGCTTGTGACTGACTCTAAAGTCACCAAAACAAAAAAATTAAAAGAGAAAAAAACATGCTTGATATTACACCCAAGTCTCATGAGGCATTGATTTGAGTAATTGTCATGTGTCCCATACCTTTGGGTCAATCCCTCAAGTCATGTGCACCTCTGTTCTCGTGAGCATGTGATTTGGCCTGCTCTGAATGCTAATCGTGTTCGCATGCTTTCTTTTATCAGGGGCCCCCATGAACAGAGCTAAACAGGAAGTTCACAGAAAGCAAGTATTACAGATGCAGCAACAGGGAAGGAGTTCAACGAGAAATGCAGCATCTCTGGACAGTGTAAGATGAATGATATTGATTGTTGTCTTGAAGCACCCTTGCAGGTGCATGGTAGTGGTGCACTGGATTGGATTATGCATGTTCATTGAAAGTAAAGATTAGTTACATATTTCTGTTTTGTTTTGGGCCTTTTTTTTGTCTTCTTTTGGTCAATTCATGTTCTTAATTTTAAAGTGGCTTTTAATTTTGGGTTAGACATGTGCATTTCAACTCCTTTTAAGACTCCTTATACGTAGTTTGCTGTTTTAATAACTTATGTAGTGGGTTTTCATTTACTTTCTCACATTCTCTCTTTAAATATTGTCTTCAACTACTAATTGCATATTTTGGTGTTGCAGGATTGATATTCAGACAGAGGGGTTCCCATCGCCAAGTTGTGATTGACCCCTCTAGGAGCCAGCCTCGCAATTATGGCAGTGTCAATGTCGACTAGCCTAAATCTTCTAACACCTCGATCATTTTACTATGACGATGGTGCGAGTAAAACGTGTTCATACCTGAATTATGTAACCAGCCCAGCCAGGCTGGTGAGGGATGCTGAATGCTTCCTCATGCACAGCACGCCTGCTGTCCTTCTTTACCCTGTGCATTTATAGTTGCAGTTTTATCTGAACCTGAAACCGTCCAAAACACTTTGAATAGACTAAGTCTGAATGTGTGAGTAAATGTTTGCGCAGCTTCAGGGCTGTTGTGTGTTCCAAATGTGCTTGTTGGCAGGGTCCACTTGCAATCAGATGTAGTGACATGAATTTTATATTTTGTTAATTGATGCGACTAGATATACCATTCAATGAAGTTGTAAAATTACTTCCATATGATTTTGTGGTCCATAAGCAGTGGGAAAGAACTAAGTACCCTGCATAGAATATAAGGTGTATTTTGAATTAGTGAAAAAGTTATGTATATACTGTACTTGACACATCGAATTTTCTAGAGGATCTATTGTTTGTTAGGGTTGTCATATTTGTATTTGAAGTTTGTGATGCAAGGTCATCGTTTTTAGCTAGTACTAATGCTCCAACATTGATTGTTGCAAGTCACTAGGACTAGATTGTGTGTTCTGCTAGATGTTTGTGTGAATGATTAATTTATCAACTGATGTGTCTTCTTGCTCTGTGATGATGTTTCATTTAAGAAGTTGCTAAACCGCCTAATGTGGTATTCTCCAATAATTTTTTAGTTATTTAGGTTGTTTTTTTATGTTGATAGTGGCAAGTCTATTCCTATGTCATGATTAACTCTTTATTTTTTTTTTATGTCTGTGGTCTTGTTAATCCATTGACATTTTTCATGTCCGATATCATCTTCTGTATATCCTTCATCTGTGTTCAAGCCTGTGAAAGTTTAGCCTTCAAGTTAAAACCTTAGAGAACACTTTCTTTTCATGACTTCTTTTTATAAATTGTTTGAGTAAGTACCCTACAACAACTGAACCATTTTCAAATGTCATTAATTCAGCTTGGCACAATGTATGGTGCCAAGTTTTCTCTGACTGGGCCCCATACATTGTTACGTATTTATTTGGAGAACAAGTTATGAGTTCCATCTAAAGTATTGTCTGAAATGTCAAGAGTTGTCAATACCTCTGCATAAGCTCAAGTCAAGCGTCATGCAGTGCTTTTCAAATAAACTTGTGTTCATATTGCTACTATAAAGTTCTCTCTTCATTTTGAATGTATGACATGTATCAAAACACTGAATCTCCTGAATGTCTTTATTTTTCCACTTGTGGCAGCTGATTATCAGTGTTAATAAATTTATCAGTAGGGCTTGCTTGTGTTCAGTGGCATATATTATTTTAAAAGATCATGTTTTTAAAAATGTCTTTAAAAGGAGATCGCTCTCAAAATTTATTTTTAGCTCATGTTTGCGCTCTGTACTTAGTATTGAAGGAGGCATCCTTGATCTGATTGTAGGTACTGTGTGTATTTAAGTCTTATTGATGCATCAAAGCCTTTTTTATATGTTGTTCAGTCAAAGCTGGTTACAGCATCTAATGTGAAATCTCCCTTTACAACAAAACCAAGTGAAGTGACCATATAAACCTAGGCATTGTCTATCATCTGCATAACTTGCTTCTAAGCAACTTATTTTTTTAATCCTGAGCCGAATGCTGTAGCTATCTTTGACTGTAATTTTAAACAGTTACTGGTTGCAATTTGCTTTTAAAAAAAAAAAACCTTGCCTCTCTGGTCAAGAATTTTATATCAGTGTGTCTGGCTTGTCTGGCTTGAATTCATTGTAACTGCTCATGTCTTTTGGTGAAAAGCATGCTCTTAACTAAATGTTCAAGAATCAAGACTTTCCTAAGGCTGCCGATTCTTACTCTAGCTTTTAATGTGTCCTGTAGGATTTGTAGTCCAATATTTGCGTCTGTGAAACGGCAAGCTTGTTGTGAAACCCTTATCCGAGAGGCGCACACAAAGATTCTTGTTCAAGAATGATTGTTTTGCTTCTCCTGCTCAGATGGTTTCTTGACAGTTGTGCTGAAGAACTGTAAGCTGATAATTTATGAATAAATTATGGTATGATGTGAATGTAACATTTGTTGAATATTCATTTTCCCTCCACCTGCATAACATGATGTGGCTCTTGCCCTACAGGGGCAAGAATAACCTGAACAGTATCCATGATACACCAACAATGCATCAAAATGATCAAAATTCCAAGTAGATAAGTTCCACTTATTTTAAAAATTTAATTATATAAAAACAGAAAAGAAACTCTAGTGTAACTGAACTGACCAAATGAACAAAGACTAGAAAATTTAAAGCAAATCGAAAGAGAATAAGAATAAGAAATGGAGACGTTCCGGACGTCGTACCGCCGGGACTTCCCCTGGCCGTGGGCGCTGCCCGTGCGACTCAGCGCGTGGCGTCCGCCCGAGGTGACCTTCGACCGTCCGCGCGAGGGCCCTCCCGCGCCGTGCCCCGACTGCCCCTGCCCCGAGCACTCCTGGGCGCGGGAGCCGCTGGCCCACTACTTGTGCCTGGCGGGGAAGGAGGCCCGGCTGCACCAGCGCGCGCAGGCCGTCAAGCACGAGCTGCAGCGATGCGCCAACCGCACACGGGTACGGCCCACGGCCTGAGCCTCGCCTCGGCAGAAGCAGCAAGTAGCGTGACGGAAAAAAGCAATGGAATACCGGATTTCAGAGCGGATGTACCGGTCATGATGAACCGCGATAAACGAGTGTCGTTACTCGTTGCAGCAAGCTCGCTCATTTTTTTGAAAATTTGAAAGTCAATTTCCTACGTGTGCATGACGCTTGTAGCCAGCTCGGCTTCCAACTCGCCAGGACGAGGAGCAAGCGCGCCGCACCAAGTACCCGCCGCTGCCCGGCGGCGAGGACTGGCTCACCATCTACGCGTCCGACTACACCCAGAAGGACATGGTGCCCCGGCTGGACTATGTCGGCGTGCTCACGGAGCTCGTCTCCACCGGCATCCCGCGGGCGCCGCTCGGCCGCAGCCTGTTCGCCACTTACGACGACCCCACGGTGTACGCGCTACGCGGTGCCACTAGACGTGCCCCTGGTCCTGGTCCTCACCGACAGCACACTGTCCGCCCATTCAGATTCCGGCGGTCCCCGCACACGGTGCCGGTGTACCGGCCCGATCGGCCCGTGAGGAGGCCGTCGAAGCGCGACATCTGGGAGCAGTGGTACGAGGACTTCCCCGTCGACTCGGAGTACGCCGTGGCCTACAGCCAGACGGCGTACAACACGACCCGCAAGTGCCAGCCCTTCAAGAACCCCCTGCTGCCCCAGCTGGCCATCGGATAGGCGGTGTCTCTCCCGGTAATTGCTCCGTCCCTCTCCCGCCTATTGGGGCCGCCCCGCGAGTGCGACAGAGACAGCGGTGAAGGCACTGTTCGGAGCGGCTAAGACTGCCTCACCGCCTTCCTTTCGACCGGGTCTGCGCGAGCACGCCGTTGTTGTGGAGTCCGGCGGTCCGGCAGTCCGGCGTCCTCAACCAAACGGGTTTTCGAATCGTCGGGCGCCTCGCCCTGGCCTCGCCGAGTGGCCGAGTGCACCGCGGGGATGGTGGTCCGGAAGGCTCTCGCCGCTCTCGCCCTGGCCGGCCGCGGTGGCTGCGGCGCAGACTGTCGGCCGTGGCTTGGGCCTGTGGGTCCTCTAGGGCATCCCTGGAGAGGGTTCGGCAGCTCGGGGCTGTGCGGCCCGCCGCCCGCCTCCAAGGCCACAGCGCTCATGAGGGAGAGAACCGGTTGCGACAGGCGGGTACCTGTCTGCCGGCTGCCCGCCCCGTCGACGGCACCCGATTTCCCTTGTCGATGGTCTTCCCCGAATGACACGCGGCCTTCACGTTCACGCCCTTCACGTCCTCCAGGCCCGTCAAGGTGGCGGTGGTGGGGGCGTCCTCGCGCGCGGGCTGGACCGCCGCCTTCCTGCTCAAGTCGAGCCGCCTGCTGAGCCAGGTGCGCCTGCACGACTGGCAGAGCAGGGCCTCCTTGACGTGTCCCGCGACGCGCGCCCTGGCCACCGAGCTGGAGCACATCAACACGGCGTGCAGCGTGAGCAGCCACGCCGGCTCCAGGGAACTGCGGACGGCGCTCACGGTGCGCTAGCTCGACACAGGCTGAAGCTTGCTGTAGTCGAAGTCCCCTACACAATGGCTTCTCCAGGGCGCGGACGTCGTTCTTCTGTGCTCGGACTCCTCGACGGTCACCTCGGAGGAGGAGGCCTTCAACCGCGGCTGCTCCACGGCCAGAGAGGTCGCCATGGCCACGGCTGACTTCTGCCCGGAGGCCGTGCTGGTGGTCGGCGCCGAGCCCGTCAACAGCTTGGTGCCCCTCATGGCGGAGGTGGGGTGGGGCCCCACGCCGCCGGCGGGGAGGGCGCGCCGGCGGGGAGGGCGCGGGAGGGCGTCAGCGCCTCGGTGACCCCTTGAGGCTTCGTCTCCGTGCAGGTGCTCGAGCACGCGGGCGTGCTGGACTGCGGCCGGGTGCTTGGCGTGGCCTCGGTGGACGCGGTGCGCGCCAGCAGCTTGCTGGCCAAGCTGGCGGGGCTGCCCGCGCACCGCATGCACGTGCCCGTCGTCGGGGGGCGGTCCGCCGCCACGGCCGTGCCCGTCGTCAGCCAGGCGAGGCCCTGCGGCGACTTCACCTCGGTCGGTACACACGCACACACTGACAGGCAGTGTCGACGAGATGACGTCATGACGATAACGACGCGCGCACTTTTAAGGTGGACTGGCGCGAGCTGCGGCAGATGATGACGGACCACGAGGCGCGGCCCCACGCCGACCTGGGCCGCGGCAGCGCGGCCGCACGCACCGTCCTCGCCGTCGTCCGGGGGCTGCGCGGGGAGGCCGTCGAGGACACGGTGTTCATCCGCTCCGACCTCATCCCGGGCGCCAGGTAGCCACCAGCAACACAACAGCACTCAACGTCAACTCCAGACGCACGCCTGGAAGTGATTTGAGGATCACTCTCTTGCCGCCCCACACCTTCGCTTCGATCCCAGCAAGGTCCTGCAGGGTCATCTGTCTGCCTTAAACTTCCCCTCCCCTCCCCTTATCTGATCCCCGTGGGCCAACTGGACGACAACGACGATCTGTGGCTGTTGGGCCGTCAGGCCGTCAGCAACAACTGCACAGTTAATCCTGAGGCAGAGGACGGAGGGGATTGGGTCCAATGGGGGACGGGGACGGGGACTGCATGCTGGCCATGCTGGTGATACGGCGCGATGCGTCTCTGACCCAATTGAGAGAGACTGACGCTGTTTGGGGCCTGCTGGGCCGCGGAAGCGGTCGCTCTGTCTCCCTCGCACCCATCGGGTCGACCCATGAGTGCGAGAGAGACAGCGAGCTCTGTTGGCGGCCGGCAGGTGGAGAGAGTGCGTGCGTCCCACGTTGGTCACTGAGCTGACGGGGGTGACGGCGACGGGGAGGCGAGGCAGGCTGTCCAGGTTATTTCTCAATCAGCTGGGCGGCTGTGGCCGGGCCCAGGCAGAGAGGTCAGGTCGCACCGCGGCGGCGACGGCGCGGCCTGGGACGGCGTGGCCTGGGACGGCGTGGCCTGGGACGGCGTGGGGCCCGAGCGAGCCCTAGAGCAGACCGACGGGGACGCGGCCACGAGTCCAGGCACTGCACTCGTGGCTGGTCCAGTGGCGTCGCGACCGGGGCGGCGCAGCGGCGCGATGCTGCCGCCGACCTGCGTGTCCGGGACCGCGTCCGCGACCGACGCGCCGCGCCGCGGGGTGCTGGCCACGGCGTGGTGCCGCCCCCGGCCGCGTGCCCCGGGCTGCGTGCTGCCGCCGTCGCCGTCAACGTCGCCGTCGAAGTCGCCGCCCCCCAAAGGACCCCTGAGAAGGGCGCCGCCGCCACCCGCTCCGTGGGACACGGACTTGAAGCTGTGGGGCGCCGCGGAGCACTCGGCGGCCGAGGACGCCGACGTGCGGCGCTACGAGGTGATCGCGCGCGTGGACGCGGAGCGCCGCGCCGCCCTGGACGCGCAGGCCGAGGTGCTGGCGACGGACGGCCGCTTCCACGTGCTGCTCAGCGCCTGGCTGGCGCCCCGCAGCCGCCCTGGACGCGCAGGCCGAGGTGCTGGCGACGGACGGCCGCTTCCACGTGCTGCTCAGCGCCTGGCTGGCGCCCCGCAGCCGCCCTGGACGCGCAGGCCGAGGTGCTGGCGACGGACGGCCGCTTCCACGTGCTGCTCAGCGCCTGGCTGGCGCCCCGCAGCCGCCCTGGACGCGCAGGCCGAGGTGCTGGCGACGGACGGCCGCTTCCACGTGCTGCTCAGCGCCTGGCTGGCGCCCCGCAGCCGACCCTGGACGCGCAGGCCGAGGTGCTGGCGACGGACGGCCGCTTCCACGTGCTGCTCAGCGCCTGGCTGGCGCCCCGCAGCCGCCCTGGACGCGCAGGCCGAGGTGCTGGCGACGGACGGCCGCTTCCACGTGCTGCTCAGCGCCTGGCTGGCGCCCCGCAGCCACCCTGGACGCGCAGGCCGAGGTGCTGGCGACGGACGGCCGCTTCCACGTGCTGCTCAGCGCCTGGCTGGCGCCCCGCAGCCGCCCTGGACGCGCAGGCCGAGGTGCTGGCGACGGACGGCCGCTTCCACGTGCTGCTCAGCGCCTGGCTGGCGCCCCGCAGCCCCCTGGACGCGCAGGCCGAGGTGCTGGCGACGGACGGCCGCTTCCACGTGCTGCTCAGCGCCTGGCTGGCGCCCCGCAGCCCCCTGGACGCGCAGGCCGAGGTGCTGGCGACGGACGGCCGCTTCCACGTGCTGCTCAGCGCCTGGCTGGCGCCCCGCAGCCACCCTGGACGCGCAGGCCGAGGTGCTGGCGACGGACGGCCGCTTCCACGTGCTGCTCAGCGCCTGGCTGGCGCCCCGCAGCCACCCTGGACGCGCAGGCCGAGGTGCTGGCGACGGACGGCCGCTTCCACGTGCTGCTCAGCGCCTGGCTGGCGCCCCGCAGCCACCCTGGACGCGCAGGCCGAGGTGCTGGCGACGGACGGCCGCTTCCACGTGCTGCTCAGCGCCTGGCTGGCGCCCCGCAGCCACCCTGGACGCGCAGGCCGAGGTGCTGGCGACGGACGGCCGCTTCCACGTGCTGCTCAGCGCCTGGCTGGCGCCCCGCAGCCACCCGCAGCGCGCGGCCTCGTCCGCCAGCCTGCAGTCCATGGACACGGCGTCGATGTGCTCCGGTTCGTCGTCGCCCTCGTCGCCGCGCAGCGCGTCGCTGCCGGACGCCGTGACGCCGTGGTTCACAGGCGATCCCTGGGCGCCGGTGCCGTCGCTGTCGTCCTGCAACAAGTACGAGGACATCGCCCTGGCGGACGAGGAGCGCCGCTTGCACCACGACGTCCCCGCGTCTTGGTCTTTTGCCGCCGCCTTCTCGTCGTCGACGCCGTCCTCCGATGAGAGCAGCAGCCCGCCGTCGCCCTCGCCGTCGTCGTCCTCGTCCTCGATCGACCGGCACTTCGCCGACTTCGACGAGCTGTTCGGGGCGAGGAAGCTGTGATCGCCCTGGCCGTAACTACCCCCTCCCCTCCGTCCCCCAACATGCCCACCCCCTGCTTCGTTGCGAAACCCTCTCCCGCTTTGCCCAACCCCTGCTTCTGCTTCCGGCATGCTCGGCAGGTTCATCACCACCGCGGCCGAGCTCGGGGCGCGCGGCGTGACGCGCGTGCTGCCAATGCCGCCCCTGTCCGCGGAGGAGGAGGCCGCCCTCGGCGCGGCCCTGCCCGCCGTCGCCGCCGCCGTGGACAGGGGGGAGTGCTACGCCCGCCAGAGGACCCCGTCGGCCTAGCCTGACCCAGCCCGGCGGAACACGGCGGAACGCCACGGCGCCTTTCTCCGCCACGCCCTGACTTGGCTCAATAGAACGGAATCCGCGTGCAGAAAAGCACGCCGCATGTTTTAATTGCAATTATTCTAATTAGACGGCTAGACGAGTATTGCTCCCTTCGTTCGCGGCCTCATGCTCACGACGGCCCACCCCGCCCCGCCCCGCCCTATCCCGCCGCGCCCTGCCCTACCCCACCACACCCAGCCGCCCCACAGGCAGGCAGGCACATCGGCCGACAGTTCGCAGCGCTCGCTTCGCCCGCTTCGCCGGCCGGTCGGCGCACTACTCCTCACGGCAAGACGGGCAAGACAGTCCTCGCGCACGCACCGGGCACCGCCACAGTCACCGCCATGGCCCCCAGGAAGCAGGTCCAGGTGCAGTCCCCGGACGTGGAGTACGGCGAGGAGGCCATCCTGGCGCGGGTCCAGTACGAGACGGCCCTCTGCCAGCGTGACGGCGACGCTGTGGTGGTGAGTACGGAGAACACACCCTCGCGTGTGCGTGAGCTCGGGGAGGGCCACGCCGTGGTCGAGACGTCCAGGCAATCTTTTCATTCGGCGTGTTCAGAAAGCGGGGCTGTGCGTTATTGTCCAGGGTCGGGGAGGTTATGGGCGCCAGCAGCAGAGCTAGCTCGGCCAGCCCGGCCAGCACTGACCTTGAACGCTTCCTCCCCCAACCCCCTCCCCGCCAGGCACACGCCAGGCCGCTGGGGGTGGGCCCCGCCATCCCCTGCTCCTGTCGCCTCCACCAGCCTCACCCCACCGCCCCCGCCCCGCAACTTCCACAATGACGTAAGAGCCCATATCGCATGCAGTGCACAAAGGGAGTGAGCCGATGTGTGAGCACCATGTGTAAGCACCAAAGCACCGTGTTCACCCGCGCCACTGGTAGTTTTCAAGATCTCGATAAAATCGGACCTTTGAGGCTGAGCGAATGATTCCACGAGTATTCCCTCGATCGACTAAATTTCTCATCCCTGGGCTGGGCTGGGCTTCCCTCCCCTACGGACAAACAACAAACAGACGAGGCACAGCCAGCGCGCATTCCCATGCCTCTGGCGTACAGCACTGCCCTCTGCTCGGCTCGTCTTTGTCACTCTACTATTTGCACGCTGATTTTTACCGTGGGCAGGGCTTTGCTCGCTTTGCTGCGCTGGCACGCGTCCCGTTTCGCCGTGCTTTGCGCCTTTCCCGCGGCCTTTGGCGGCCTTTGGCCTACAGTGTAACGTCAACGACCTGCCCCGCCATGCGGATTCGGGGGTCGGAGGCCGCACTATCACCGCCTGCACCCTCCGCTCCCTCGCTATCGTGTCCATCGTGTCAGCGGACGGGCCGCCTCTGGACATTCCTAGAGACATTCCTGGAGCGGCGCTCGCCGAAGTGCTGAGCCCTGCAGGAGGCTAGGGGCGCCACGCGTCACGACACGCACACACACACGCACACACACGGACGCACACACGGACGCGGGGGAGGAGCGAAAGCTACCGCGGGGGGTCAAGGCCTCCCTGTGGACTACCTCAACCCAAGGATGTGAAGCCAACCCAACGCGGCGAGTTGGAACCCCTAACTTGAACTTGAACTTGGCACGGTGCCAGCACCGCTGGCCCGTGCCGGCCTTGAACGATGCCTACCCCTACCCCTGCTCGTCCGCTGGGCCCCGCTGGGCCTGGGCCAGTCCTGGGCCCCCCTCCTCTTCGAATCCTCAAGAGCCTCTACCCTTCCCACCATCCTCTCGCTCTCGCCTCCACCCATCTCACTAGCCCCGGCCCGCAACTTCCACAGATGACGTTTGGAGACACACAGTGCCCAACAAAAAGTGAACCAACGTGAGAGCACCATGTGTACGCACTAATCTGACCAACGGAAAGTTTTCAGGAACGTTGATACGGGTCTTCATGTACTGTACGACGCATACCGTTATACTATTCGCCGCGTACCTTTCACTGAAAACAATCAAAACAAAACAACAACAAAACGTGTGAGTTCAGTGTCATCTTACTGTTGGTCCGACGGTGCACCGTCCCCACCCAACCTGATGGACCCTTGTTTTGGTTGGCCTCCTTTGGTGTGCTTCCCTTCCCCGTGTTTTGCTGTTTTTGCTTCGCGGCACGCCGACGCGGCCTTCCCGCCGCCATGTGGATGAGGGGGTGGGGGTTGGGGTTGGGGTTGGAGGGGCCGCCACTATCGGTGCATGCAGTGCCTGCACTTTCGGCGCCGACCGCTCCCTTGCTATCAGCTGCGGTCTCTGGACACTCCCGGGGCGGCAGGCAGGCCCTGCCCTGCCGTGCCGTGCCGTGGCGTGCCACCCGCATGGGCAATATCTCGAGTGCCGGGGGCGTGGCACGGCGTGGCGGTGCAACGCACGATTATTGGCGTAGCGGCAGTGCATTGTTCAGGGCGCTCAGGGGAATGCTAGGTGGCGGACAATACCCGACCCCCGACAGCCATTCGCTTCCGCAAACCAAACGACGAAAATGTGTCATTTTATGACTGAATAAAATACGGAGAGAAGTGGCGCCACTGGGACTCGAACCTTGGACCTCTAACCTGGAGGCTGGTTTGCTCTGCTCGCAGGTGACGCCGAAGCGGCGGCGGCTGGAGGTGCGCACGGTGCGGCGGCCACACCGCGTGGGCGCCATGCTGGTGGGCTGGGGCGGCAACAACGGCACCACGCTGACGGCCGCCTTGCTAGCGAACCGCGCGGGCCTGCGCTGGGAGACGCGCGAGGGCGAGCGGCGCGCCGACTGGCTGGGCTCGCTCACGCAGAGCGCCACCCTCAAGCTGGGCATGGACGCGGAGGGCCGTGACGTCTGGGTGCCGCTCAACACCATGGTGCCCATGGTGGACCCCGACGACCTGGAGGTGGACGGCTGGGACATCTCGGGGCTCAACCTGGAGGACGCCGCGCGCCGCAACCGCGTCCTCGACGTGGAGGTGCAGCGCGCCCTGGCGGCGCAGCTGCGCGAGCTCAAGCCGCGGCCCGCCGCCTTCAACGCGGCCTTCGTGGCGGCCAACCAGCAGGAGCGCGCCGACAACCTCCTGGCCGGCACCACGGCCCAGCAGCTGCAGCGACTCCGCGAGGACATCCGCGACTTCAAGCAGCGCAAGGCCCTGGACATGGTGGTGGTGGTGTGGACGGCCAACACGGAGCGCTTCAGCGAGGTTCGGCCGGGCCTCAACGACACCGCCGACAACCTGCTCGCCGCCATCGACCGCGGCGACGCGGAGGTGTCCTCGTCCACGCTGTACGCCGTGGCCAGCGTCCTGGAGGGCGTGAGTGTCCACAACGCATTATTTTGACCATTTGACCTAGTCAGATCTTTTACAATTTTGTTCACTTTTCATACAGTGCACGTTCATCAACGGCTCGCCGCAAAACACGTTCGTGCCGGGCTGCGTGGAGCTGGCGCAGCGGCACGGCACCCACATCGTCGGCGACGACCTCAAGACCGGCCAGACCAAGCTCAAGTCCGTCCTGGTGGACTTCCTGGTGGGCGCCGGCATCAAGCCCACCTCCATCGTGAGCTACAACCACCTGGGCAACAACGACGGCAGGAACCTGTCCGCGCCCCACACCTTCCAGTCCAAGGAGGTGAGGACGGGGTGACAAAGTGACGGACTGACAGAGTGACGGCGACGCTCCGACCTAACCTAACGCTGTTGCTCTCTTTCTCCCTCAGATCTCCAAGAGGAACGTGGTCGACGACGTCGTGGAGTCCAACTCGCTGCTGTACGCGCCCGGCGAGCACCCCGACCACGTGGTGGTCATCAAGTACGTGCCCTACGTGGGCGACAGCAAGCGCGCCATGGACGAGTACACGTCGGAGCTGCTGTTCGGCGGCCGCCACACCCTGGCCATCCACAACACGTGCGAAGACTCGCTGCTCGCCGCGCCCCTGCTCCTGGACCTCGTGGTCCTGGCCGAGTTCTGCTCGCGGGTGTCCTTCCGCGCGCACGGCAGCCAGGAGGACTTCGTGCCGTTCCACTCCGTGCTGGGCCTGCTCAGCTACCTCGTCAAGGCGCCCCTGGTGCCCAAGGGTGAGTCCGCTGCCTGTCTCACTCTGTTCGACTCGGCGGCGCGGTTGGGCACGGTGCGAGGGGTATTGACGAGTGCCTCTGGTTTGCAGATACCCCCGTCGTCAACTCGCTGTTCCGGCAGCGCGCTTGCATCGAGAACGTGCTGCGGGCGTGCGTGGGCCTCGCCCCGGACAGCAACCTGCTGCTGGAGCACAAGCTGTCCACCGACATCTTCAGCGACTAGGCGCAGCGTCACCGGAGGTGTTTTATTTTCTTGTGACCTCCCCTTTCCCCACCCCGTCTGCGTATTCCACGAGAGCGGTGGCGTGGAACACGCACGACGCCGCGCCAACATTGCCCAGACGCCGGCACTACCCCCCGTGTCTGTACGCCGTGCGGCCGAGCGTGGGGTAGCGCCGCGGGGTAGCGTCGCGGCCCGGGACTCAACCAGGACCAAACGGACCAAATGGCGCCAAATCGGACAAGAGCAGAGGCCCTCGGGCTAAGGACTAAATGCTGGCCTAAATGCTGGCCTGTGCTGGCCGACGGCTTTCTGTCAATTCACACACATCCCCCTCATTATTTTTCTTACCCGCCATTGCTAGCAATGCACAGTTGTACATTTGTTCCGAACGAGGTATTGGATGCGGTAGCACTGTCCTATCTACCAGAGCGAAAAAATAAAAGACATGTAGAACGTAGCCGGTATTGAAATGCTTTAGCCGTGTGTAGCGATGCAGTAGAATGATGTACAGTGTGGAGGAACGAGCACAACAGCCACAACTTGCACGGCTGTGAAGCTCGAATGCATGTAAACTTCTGTAATATTGTTGTATCGCAATAAAAAGCGAAGATTCGTAAATTTTCTGTCTCACGTTCACTTATTTCCCCTCCTAAAAAAAGTACAGTATCGCAATGAAAGGAATGTCAAAAGTTAAAAAAAACAGTATCTTTATTCGTAACGAGTGGTGGGAAAGTAGCAGTACAGTGGAGGCACGAAGGCTTTGTCAGAGTGGGCAGAATAGAGTGAGCGAGAGAGAGCGCCCGAAGACAGGCGACCCGTCGAGCGCGCGTGCGCTGGGGTTGCCGATGCGCAGATCCACAGGCGCTCTACTCGAGGTCGTCGAGGTTCTCCGCGCTGCGGATGCTCAGCCCCCTCGCGAACGGGAACTGGTCGTTGGTCTCGAGGAAGTACGAGCCGCGGCAACTGCGGACACAGAGAGCGCACACTGTAAAACTCCGCGGCGGGAAGGAAAATCGAAGGGAAAAAGACCCGCGGAGCCGAACCTCCTCGGGGCGTCCAGCCCCATGGCGGCGACGACGGTCTGGTTGGCTGGTTGGAAGTTGGCTCGCAGGAGGTCCTGCTCGCACCGGCCGGACCGGAAGTCCCTCTGCGATTCGCACCGCAGCGCCACGAAGTCCGCGGGCCGCAGCACCGACTCGGCGTAGTACACCCAGGCCCGAGTGTGGCTGCACGTCACTGGAAAATTGTTTTTGAAATTAAGAAAAGTAAATCAAATGACTCGATGCGGTCTCAGCGCGGAGTGCACTCACGGAACTCGTGCGGGTAGTGCCCCGTTTCGCGCAGCTCCTTGGCCGAGCACCCAGGCTGCTGCGGCCTGCCGCCGTTGGGGTAGAAGTCGGCGTGGCCGATGGCGCGACGCACGCCGAGGCCGCCGGCGTCCGTGTGGATCACGTCCACGAACTGGGCGTCGTCCTCGCTGAGGCGGCCGTCGCGCCGCGTCCAGCGGAACAGCGGGAAGGCCGGGTCCAATCCTGGAGAGGAACCACACACAATGACGTCATGTCATGACGTCATTCGTGTCGGACGATGAGCGCGATTCGTCACCTGTGATGCGGCCCAGGCGGTAGCGCCGCTGCAGCTCCTGCCCGGTCACGCCGGCCACCTCGGCGCCCAGGCTGAAGCCCACGACGTGCGTGGTGGCGGGGTCGACGCCGTCCTCGAACAGGCGCTCCAGGAAGCGGGCCAGGTAGCTGCCGGCCACGGGGACGTTGGCGACGGCGTTGGAGTACCAGGGGAAGGAGCACAGGCGCGACCAGTCCATGGTGACGAAGTTGACGTCGCGGCCCGTCGCGAAGTACGCTGTCAACAAGGCGGACAGGTCACCGGGGTGCTCTCTGTGTGGCCCTCCGGGAGGCGGTCCTCACGACGTCGCCGTCGGCCGCTTTACAGTGGACGCCCACCTTTTCGGATGGTGGAGGCGCTGGCCCCGCTGCCCTGCTCCGTGAAGCCGTGCACGTAGACCACGGTGGGCTTGTTGGGGTCGAGCTGCGGCGCCCCGGCCGCCACCCCGGCGCGCAGAGAGGCCCCCGTCCTGGCGAGGAATCACATTTGAGACTCGTCACTTCATTTGTCAAAGTATATAGAAAGCCGCGCTCGCTCCGCACTCGTCACGCTGTCTCTGGAGGCACACTGGAGGGGGCGGCGGATGCGCAATTGCGAATCGATACAGCAGCGCGCTCTCTGGGGATGAGCACAAACAAACAAACAGACAAACAGCAATAAATCATCCTTGTTTTTTCGGCACCGTTAACGTCCCGCGCCCACGCGGCCCGCCCCGAAGGACATCCCCATGCAATTACCGACCGTTTCTCGGTACCGCCGTGCCGTGGCGTGCCGCGCCGGCCCGTCGGCGTGCAGGCCGTCGAGTGGCGTGGGCGTGCAGCGCGTCCCCGATCGGTCACCAAGCTGGGCGTGGCCGCGGTGGCGGTGCCGGCCCTGCCCCCCGGGGGGCGGCGCTAAGCGACGTGGCGTGCACGGTGCAGCGCGACAACAGGTGAACGGTTAGGCGCGACCCCCGCTGGGAGGCTCGGCCTGCCTCGGCCTGCCTCGGCCAGCTCCCCAACCCCTTCCTCTTTCATTTAGTTTACCGCGCCGGGTCGTTTCCGGGACGGCGAGGCGCACCGCCGTTCCCGGAAATGACGACTACAACAACGACGGCGACATGAACAACGCCAATAGCAACAACAACGAGGAGGTGCACGTGAAGAAACGGGCCGGGAAGGGGCGGCGGGGGCCGAGGACGACGGGGACGTCAGGGACGCCCGCCGCGGCCAGGGCGGCCAGGGCGGCCAGGGCGGCCAGGGCCTTGGGGGGCAGCGGGGCAGCGCAGCGCGGTGATCGATATCTCCGGGACCGCCGCCGCGCCGCTGCCCCCTGTCGTCGTCGGCCTGCCCCCGCCCCCCTCGCCGCGGCCCCCCGCCCCCCTCCACCAGAGAGAGAGAGAGAGCGAGAGGCCCCGCGAGGGGGCGGGCCGTAGGCATAGGCAGGCTCCTTTGGCCCCGACCCCCTACTGGGGGCGGCTGGCAGGCCTAGGAGGAGGTGGCAGGGCGGTCTGGAGGCCTGCTCGAGGCAGTCAGGCAGTCTGGCAGGGAAGGCCAGGGAAGGCCCAGCGCGCCGCACCGTCTTGTTGGTGTTGGTGTTTTTAGCCGACTCGAGTAAGATACATTCTGCAAGGTTTCCGACAGCCTGACAGAAAAATAAAGAAATATAAAATGATGCGCTGTCATGTTAGGCGTCCTCTGATTTGAATTCATGGAGTGTCGGCTGCTCGCGATGCCGAGAGAGAGACCCGCGTCGAGTGCCTTTCACGCCTTTCCTTCTTTCTTTCTCGCAACCAGGCAGACTGATTCCGAGAGTCGTTTTCGTCGCTCTGTCTCTCTCGCCTCTACGGAAGACGCCCCATGAGTGCGAGAGAGAGAGAGAGTCAGCCGGACTGAAGCGTGCAATTCACCTCATGCAGCGGAGATTCGCTGACCCCTTGAGACGCCTGGAGACAATAGTACGCTTCTGGTAATGCTGAGTGACCCGAACGAATAATGGCGCTAGCTTCGAGCCGACGGAGTCTGACTCGGACATTGGCCCCGGCTGTCAACGCGTTTTCTCAAGAGCACAATGGGGAAAGAAAAAGAAAAAGAAAAGTCCCGGGAAATCCGGAAAAATTAGAAGGGGGGAGATGTTACAAATGCATGATCAGCCTCTCACCGAAAACCTCTCATGCTCACGCCCTTTACATCGAAACGCAACCTTTTCCTCAGGAGCAAGTTAAGTACTGAGCGTAAAACAAAAACTAGTGTAGCAAACGCCGCCAACTTTTGGCCTTTTGCTTGCCTGAAGTGCGTCGTGAACACGATGTCGTCCTCCAGGACGGTCTGGCAGCACAGCGCGCAGTCACCGCGCGGCAGCAGCGACATCACGTACGGCGTGCCGGCTGCGGCAGAGCGACAGAGAGGGCAGATTTTACAAAACACTCCGCGGGCCGAGAAAAAAAAACAAGACAACAAACCCGCGTCCGGTGCGGTCACCGGAGTCCTCCTACTCACCGAACATGATCTGGAGGGTCTGACACACGAGCAGGCCTTGCGGCAGCACCATGTCGTCGGCGGGGGCGATGGTCTCGGAGCAGGGCGGCGAGGGACTGACGGGGACCGCCGCTCCGGACGCCCGGCCCCCGGCCGACGACGCCGAGCCCGCGGCGCCACACCGCGGAGCGGTGTCCAGAGTCAGCGAAAATCAAATCCGCGGCTGCAAGTAGCAGGCTCCGCGCCGATTGACGCGTTTCGAGTTTCGCAAAGTCGGGAGAGAAGACGGAGAAGAAGAGGAAGAACAACTACTGAATTCAATTTTATTGGCTTCGTAAAATCACAGGGTGCGCTTTTACAGACACGTAGGACTTGAAGGAGGTCCCGGACTTGGCAGCTGTCTTCTTTGGAAGGAACAGGCCGAGGTTAAAAGGGAAGTGCTGGCAAGGTGAAGTAGAGGAAGTTTCGGGCTGGCAGCGCGCTTTTCAGCAAGGCGTGACTACTACCGCAAGGCAATCGGGAAAGCCGTGGCCGATTAGCGGCCGAGTCATGCCAAGTCCAAGGCCGCCGTGCCTCCACTTCCTGGAAGTGCAACCCTTGGGCCGCACGCGAGCGCCGCGACGCCTGGAGTCACTCCAGTGGAGTGCCGACGAGTGGCGAAGGCCGAGAGCAGCCGAAAGCCGAACAGGCTGCTCACCGCGGGCCGGCATCGTCGCAAAGACCTGCCACTCGCCTGCATACTCTGCCGAGTATGTTCGAAACGTACTCGGCAAAAATGGAACGCCGAGCACTCTCGGCTAGCAACCACCCTTCGATCGGTTCGGCTTTTGGCTGCCTTCGGCCTTCGCCACCCGTCTCCACTCCACTGGAGTGGCTCCAGGGCCGTCGCGGCGCTGGCGCACGGTCGAAGGGTTACGCTTCCAGGAAGCGGAGGCAATGCTGCCTTGAACTTGGAGCGACGTCGGCAGATTATCGGCCGCGGCTTTCCCGATTGCCACGCAATAGTACAGTCAGGCTTTGTCGAAAAGTGTGCGTTTGCCTTAACTTCGTGCTCTCCTTCTCCTTCTTCCCTCGGGCACTTGCTAGTTCTATTTTACGCCCGGCCCTAAGAGGGCCAAGTACAAGAACGTCAAGCACCAATTGCACGTGCGGCCCGTCTGGCGCGGCCAGCGGGGCCGCCGCTGTCGCTGCCTCTGGGCTGGAAGACGACTTTAATGCCGCCCACGAGCCTGCTCGTCAGGTCGAAGGCCATGTTGTCCACGAGGCTCTGGACGTCCTCGTGGTCGCCCACGGGCAGCACCCTGTGGGCGCGGACGGTGGCGGCCAGCAGCGTGGCCACCACCATCATGGCGTACTTGCCGCCGATGCAGTTGCGGCTGCCGACGCTGAAGGGGATGTGTGCGCCGCGGGGGCGGCCCCGGCTGTGCTCGGGCAGGAAGCGGCCCGGCTCGAAGACGTGCGGCTCGGGCCAGTGCCGGGGGTCCCAGTGCACGGCCAGGATGTTGAGCATGACCGAGCTGTTGGCCGGCAGGACGTGGCCGCACAGCGCCGTCTCCCGGACGCACTGGCGGCCCACGAAGGGCAGCGGCGGGAACATGCGCATCGTCTCCTTGATGACGCAGTCCAGGTACTTCATCCTGGGGCGGAGGGAGCGCGTCAGGTTGTTTCGCAACGACGCAAAACTAACTCGTTTGGTGACAAATTGGCGCCGTGTTCACTCCAACTTACTTGGGCAGGTCCTCGACGGTGACGTCCCGGTCCCCGAGCACGGCAGTCACCTCCGCGAACAGGCGCTCCTGCACCTCGGGGTGCATGGACAGCAGCTTGAGGGCCCAGCTCACCGTGGCCACCGTCGTCTCCACGTTGGCGCCGAAGAAGGTCTTGAGGTCGTCGACGACGTCGTCCTCCAGGATCTCGCCCTTGTCGTGCAGGTCGGCCAGGATGTCCGTGAGGGTTTTCCGGGCCCTGCCGGACTGCCGGCCTTTCCCGCCCGGTTGTTTCACTTCGGCATGCTTCGCCGCGAGGCCCTCCCTGATGAGGTCGTGCAGCGCCTCCCTCATCTTGGCGACGTTCCTCCCCAGGGGCGTCATCTCGAACAGGCGCTTGGACCACAGCAGGGGGTTGAAGGCGCGCCGGTTGACGGCGAACAGGAACGTCTGGAAGAAGTCGACGAAGGGCTTCACGTCGCCCTCCAGGTCCGGGCGCCCGGAGGTCCGGAGGAAGTTCCTGGAGGTGGCCTCCCGCAGGGGCCCCGCCACGTCCACGGGCTCGCCGACGGCCAGGCTGTCCGCGAAGCCCTTGGCCTCGCCGTGGAAGATGTCCATGTAGCTGTCCAGGACCTTCTTGTGGAAGCCGGGCTCCAGCGCCTTGCGACGCGCGCGCCACTCCGCGCCGCCCAGCTGCAGCAGACTCCGCGGGTCGTCCAGCAGGTGGTACACGAAGCGCGCCTTGGTCTGGAACTCGGGCCGGCGCGCCACGCAGTCAATGGCCTCGGCGTCGTTGACGAACACCACCAGGTGGTTCATGAGGGAGAAGCGGGTGAGCTCGCTGCGGCCGCCCACCAGCCGCCTGATGGTCTTGAGCGCGGTGTCGGGGGTCACGTTCACGAAGTCCAGCGTGTTGCCGAGCAGCGGCAGCGACGCCGGCCCCGGGATGGCCAGCTCCAGCCTCCGGAAGTGGATGTACTGCTGCAGGAACAGCGCCAGCAGTGTGGTGACGCCGCCCACCGCGGCCAGCACCAGGGCCTCGGTCACCAGGGTCATGGCGCTCGCTGTGCTCGCTATGCACGCTGTGCTGCGCGGTCAATAGTGATCCGCGGTCGCAGAGCACTCCTATATACAGGCTGGGCCGGACCCACGCTCCCACATGCATGCATTTCCCGCTGTCTCTTTTTCAGCAGACGTCTCCCAGGCCTTCTTAACATGCTTTTCGGCCCCGAAAACAAAAAAAAAATGTGCAGTGAACTCAAAGTCAGTCGCTTGACAGGAAGATTTGGCGGCGGTGTCAGCGGCGCTTTCCACGCGAATCGCCAATGTAGTGCGCAAGGAAATGGCATTCTCACGCACCTTGGCACCAAAGTCGCGGCGTGGGAGACGGGCAAGCGAGTTGCAGAGTTCCTATTGGCTCGGCCCTCCTAACAGCCGCCACTAGATCGCAGAAACGGACAGTGTTCCAAGAATAAGAATGTGAAGTGAAATCCGGGCGTAGCTGAGCCTCGATTCGCAAGCAAGCGCTCCCCGTTCGTCCAGCATCTCTGCCGAGTCCTTGGCCGTCGGCGTCGCCAAGCTATTGGCATTGGCTTGGCTGGCTTTACTCGGCGAGCCGCAGCCAAGCGTCCGCGGCGCCAGGCAGGCAGGCAGGCCGCATCATCGCAACGCTGACCTCGACAATTCACGATAGGGGTGCGCCCTTCCCGTCCTTCCCCCCACCACTCACTTCGGCACCCCGCCCCTCCCTTCGCTCACGCCCTGCGATTTCCTCATAAGACGCCTTGCAACAAGCCCCGGCCCCCTCCCTCGTCCAGCGCGTTCCAGAGCCCCCCTCAAGGCCCCCCCAAGGCCCCCCTCGCCCCGCGGCCCCCCTGTGCGGACGGGCTCCAGCCGTGGCTCCAGCCGTGGCTCCAGCCCCTATACGCGAAAGCCCTCGCCAACCCCCGCCACCCCCTCCCCCACTTCCCCAGGGATACTGAGGGCTGGAAGGGGGCCACGTGAGAGAGGAGGGGAGGGGGGAGTAGGGGTTGGTGGGGTGGCGCCGGTCGACGGGGGGGCTGGTGGCGCAACCCGAAAAGGCTGGGGGTTGCGAGGACGGCACAGCTTGGTTCTGCGCCCTGGTGGAAGGGCGTCCTACGTCCGCGGCGCGCCCCGTCGCCCCGTCGCCTCGTCGCCTCGTCGCCTCGTCACCGCCAGTCCGCAGGGCGTCCGGGAGCCGCGCGTCGTCGCGCCCCGACGCCGCCGAGTCCGAGGCCGAGGTGAGACACCTTGCCGCCGTGCCCACAGGCCCAATGGATTTCCAGTTGGAACCGAGTCCAGCCAGCACATGACCGCTGAATGCAGTATGGGAAATTGATCTGGCGAAAGTGGGACGCGACCCCCGCGCCGGGCCGCGCCGAAGCTAGCTGACGCAGCGCGACGCAGCGCGACGCCCCCGCGACGAAACGCGCCCGCGGCGCCGCGGCCGCGCGCGATGAACGCTTTTAATCTCTGCATGGCAGACATGTGGCAGGGCCGTGTCGCAGTCCATGCAGCACGCCACGGCACACCTGTTGTCATACCGCCCCGCGCCCCGCGCCGCCTCTCACTCATCCTGTCGCCCTGTGTACAGTTTGCTTTCGATTCCCGCGGCCGCTTGTTTGGGAGGCGGACTTCGGCGACGGCCCCTACAGTGTAACGGTTTGAGAGTGCACCGTCGTGTACACCCTACGCGCGATGCAAACGGGCCGCACTTCGCGTCGCATCCACTGTGCAGCTTAGGGCGAAATGACGGACGAAGGGAAAACAAGGGGAGGTTAGGTCGTCGAGGCGCCAGCCGTCCGCGCTGTGTGTGAGTCTCTCTCTCTCTCTCTCTCTCTCTCTCTCTCTCTCTCTCTCTCTCTCTCTCTCTCTCTCTCTTCTATCTCTCTCTCTCTCTCTCTCTCTCTCTCTCTCTTTCTCTCTCTTCTTTCTCTCTCTCTCTCTCTCTCTCTCTCTCTCTCTGACCCGCCGGAGGGGTCGTGCCCTTGTTTGGCGTGCTAAGTGGGGGGGGGGGGGTCTTTTACGGCGCAAGCAAAGTGTTTGCCGTAGGCGGTTCGCACACTCCCCCACGAATCTAGCCTCACTCGGGGGGCAGGCCGGCGGGGTGGCGAATCAAACTTTTCTTTCCTGTCCTACTCTATTCCCTTTCGTGTGTCCGCCGGTCCGTTTGCGTGTGTGGCACACTGTGTGGCACACTGTGTGTCCGTCGGCGAGTCGACATTGCGCGCGGTGTGAAGTGGGGGTGATATTCGGTGCCGATAGAATGCGTATTGATCGTGTGTTTTGGATGTTCTCCGTTGCAGGTGCAGTGGTAGTCGCCGGCACCCCCGGCAGACCGACCGGCAGAGCGGCATGGCGGCCGTGGAGCACCGCGTCCGGGCGCCGGGCAGGTTCACCCGCCTGGCCGCGGTGCTGGTGCTGGCCGCCCTGGCCCTCTTCTACAAGGGGGCCGTCAGCGCCGAGCCCATGGACGGCGTGGAGCCCACCGAGCCCCGTGAGTACACTGCGAGCATGCATGCAGCTGGGACGGGCTGGGGTGGGCGGCGACGACGGTGGCGGTGGAGGTGGCACTTCGATAACTCGATAGGACAGCCCAGGACAGCCCAGAACGGCCCAGCAAGGCTGATTCCGACAGTCGTTGGCACCTACATGGGACTCTCCGTGAGTGCGAGAGAGAGAGACAGAGCGGCGAAAACGACTCTCGGAATGAGTCCCCGAAGCGCAGAGCAATCGTCGGGCCGGTAATTCGGCTGCCACTACACTGGAATGGCGTAACTGCGAAAACTCGAACCGACATTCCTGCTTCTTACGCCTCGCCGCCTCGCCGCTCGCTCTCGCAATGTTGCCACACCTGCCGGGGAATTTTTCTCCATTTCATATTTTTATTCATCTTTAATAGAGGCACCTCTTTCCGAAACGTCCGGTTTTCCTGATTCCCAATAAAGAGATATGTACACTTCGGTTTCAATGGTAGAGGCAACGAGCCATGCCTCCCCCCCCCCTTTCCTTGCGGTTGAGCGGCGTCCAAAGTAATATGCTTCACAAACTACTGTACTACATACACGAGGTGCGTGAGTGAGGCCTAGCCCGGGCCTGGCGGGGCAGCGTTTGCCATGCGAGGCGCGAGGGGGGAAAGGGGGGGGGGGAGGGTGTCACGACACTAACACGGCACACATCATCCATCCGATTAATTAGATGTCAAGGTGGAAAGGGGAAGGGGGAGGGGGGTGATGTACACTGACGGAAATGCAGCGACGGTGGAGAAAACTCACGACGACGACGAGGGTCGTTTTAAAAACTGGTCGAATTGATGGGGAATGCCGTCGAAAGGTGAGAGGAAAACCGGTTCTCGGCGAAGGGGATGGTGGAGGGCAGGGCAACAGCAACAGCCCCAGTGGGGGCGACACTGTTGCCCCCACGGCCCTACGGCGGGGCGTAGCGTGCCCCCCGGGGCTTCGGGGAACGCCGCGGTTGACAGCGATGAGGATATAAATCCTGTTGCTGGCCGCGCAGTGCGGCGGGTTAAGGACCCTAAGGACACCGTCACGGCAAGGCGACGGCGGCACGCTGCGGCACGCCCCGGGAGTGCGAGAGAGACAGAGCGACGCTGTTCGGATATGAAGCCAGGCCGTCCGTCCTCGCCTTCTCTGTGCCGTCGCGGCAGGGATCGACAAACAGAAACTCGGCTGGGTCAAAGGCCAAAGGCGCCCAAAGGCCACAGGGCTATTTTGGCGGCGTCCTATACCTGGCCCTCGCAGCCCTGCGGACCTTCGGACCTTCCGGCGTCATAGTGACGTCACCAGCCGGCCGCAGCCATCCCCTTCGGGCCCTTCGTGTCCAGGTTATCTGATAGCGCCACCGGCTACCCGCCAACCGCCAAGCGCCGCCAAGCGCCGCCAAGTGTGGTCGCGAGTCCGAGTTGGAGGCCGAAACTTTCCTCTTTCGACTAGATAACGTTTTAATAAGGGCAGGGGCGTGTTCGTTCGCTGCGACGACACATAGGGCGTCGACGCGCACCCACTCCAGGCCGCGGCCGAGGCAAAGTAGTGCCTGGAAGGGCCGCCACACGCAGGGCCGCCACACGCAGGGCCCGTCTTCGACCTGCCTGACCCTTGTTGACACTGCTTGACGTACTGACGGCCTTGTTGTCGTCGGGCACGCAGCGCGGCCGGCCGGCGACGCGGGCGGCATCTTCTTCCCGCTGCGCGCCGCGGAGCTCAAGCTGTGGGTGGACGGCAAGTCCGGGAACGTGCTGCCGCCGCCGGGCGGCGTGCTGCTCACGCCCGCGCTCCTGGAGGACTCCGGCAAGGCCGTCACGGCGGGCGTCACCTACCGCCTCACCAGCCCCACGTCCCCGGGGCAGACGCCCAACCTGGCCTGGCTCACCGTCGACGCCAAGACCGGCACCCTCAAGGTCACCGATCACCGTGAGTATTGCCAGCGTCCGAACGCCGCAGGCGTAGGGGTTCGCGTAATGGCGGCAAGAAGCGCCTGCCGTGCCGTTTTTTCGGTGCTTTCGGCTGTCGCTAATGACCCTCTTCTTGCAGGCGTGCTGAGCGACGCGGGCGCGCAGCGGCGCCACGTGGTGTGGCTGGACGCGCGCGTGCCCGCCCTGCCCGCCGCGCCGCTGCACCGCGCCGCGCGCCCCTACATGGTGCCCGCCGACCGCGCGCGCATGAACCTCACCATCACCCTGGAGCTGGTGCAGGAGGACCGGCCGTGCGTCAACAAGCCCCAGGGCCCGGCCGCGGCGCGCGAGGACCCCTGCCACTACTGCCACGACGCGTGCTTCTGGCTGGCCGCCGAGCTGCAGGTGTGGGAGAACAAGGGGGCCACCAAGCTGGCCGCCATCGGCCACCGCCTCGCCGACGTGCCCTGCGGCGACAACGGCGACGAGCCCATCTACACGCTCAAGAACGGTGAGATCGGGGTAAAAAGTGGGGTCAAGTGTCGCACCCGCGCGTGAGGTTCTAGTCCCGTCCGACCTTGCGGTCGTTGGTGGTGATGAAGCTGGCTTAGGTGAGAGTGGTGAAAAATCTCATTCAACGAACGATAATCAAAGCAGATGATCCATCGCGTTTCACAACTGCTGTGATAGCCGAGAGGTTAGAGACGTGGGATCGAGTTACCGCAGGACGGCGTTCGAATACCAGCGTCGCAAAAGTTTTTTCGACTTGCTATCCTAAGGGTGGTGGTTCGAGGCCATGAGAGCGGAGCCGTGTGCAACAGGTCCACATGCCGGCGGTTCGACTCCTAACAAATATTTCCATTTAATTTTACTGCCTCACCCAGTGCGGTTCAAACCCGTAAACGTGAGCCCACTCCGAGCATGGGACGTGGTGGTCCAGGGAGTAGAGGCGTCGGTCCTCAGTGCAAGGGACGGCGGTTCGACTCCCCCAACTTCTTGCGAAATTTTGACCGGGTCGGTCGAGTTCTGTTGCGTCAAGAACCCACCTCACGCCGGTCCCCTCATCATGGGCCGTGGTGGCCGAGAGCGTAAAGTCGTGTGATCCCGATGGCGGGGTCCGGGGATCGAATCCCATCATTTCATTACATTTTTCGACCGCCTTCCTCCCAGTGCAACTCAAACCCGTCGTCCAACACGCTGCCAGACGTACAAGCGTGATAGCGTAGTGGTCAGAGTCACATTCACCTGGCCACTCCGCTGTGGGTGTCTAAAAAGCAATCCGCTTCGGCGGGTTGGCCTCGGCACTGGAGCGATGGAGTATTTGATCCATCAATCCAGACCACCCGGTGTGTGGTTGCGGGTGGTGCCTCCTTGACTTGTCGGGGAGGCGATGATAAGTCCTTTGAAGCTGGCCTAAAACGCTGTATGTTCGGTACGGGAGCGCCGGACAGTGGGGGTACCATGGGGTACACAACCAACCCTACGAAAACAAGAAGCTCCCACCAAACCTCTTCTCTGTCTGAGTCTCTCTCTGTCTCTCTGTCGTCTCACTCTACGTCCCGCCCCTCAAAGAGCTTCGTACTGGGTGCTCTCACCCAGCTGCCTGAGCTTTGGGGTCCTACTGGGTCCCCCGGCGAACGCTTAGGGTCGCTGACGGGATTAACCCCAGGTACCTGATAGCACCGGTTCCCATCCCGAACACCGAAGTAAAGCAGGAGGCCTCCCCATTAAGACTGGGGAGGGGGTGTAGAGTTCAAATTTTTTTCTTTTCCCTTTCAAATTTCTCAGTCAATACTCGTTCGGTTTCCTTATACGGGGTAGTATGCGGGCTCATTCCAAAGATAGTAATTAACATTCTGTATGAAACAAAATATATAGACCTGAGCGAGGTGGCCGGTGTTGGTACTAGCCGTGCCGAGCTGTGGCCTGCACCGCCCGCTGCCGAGCCCGAGCTGACCCGATGAGTTCATTCCCGCCGTGTTCTGCGGACTCCGCAGGGACCGAGTTCTTCGAGATCCGCGACGGCGACCTCTGGAGCCTGGGCAACCTGGACCGGGACGTGGGCCCCTCCAGCAACGGGTCCACGCCGGGCCCGGGGTCCCTGGTGCCGCTGGAAATCGAGTGCCGCGCGCCCTGGGGCGCCACGGAGCGGCGCGTGGTCGCCGTGCACGTCCTGGACGAGGACGACAACGCCCCCGTGCTGCAGGAGCAGGGCAAGCTCGAGTACAACTTCACCACCGAGTCGCAGCTCGCCCGCGGCGCGCACCTGCTCGTCAAGGACATGGACTCCAGGGCGGCCAACCGGTTCGGCGAGCTGCAGGTGGCGGACCCCAGCGGCGTCGTCACGCACAAGAAGCTCGAGTTCGACGTGACCCACGTCGGGGTGCAGCACACCCTCATCAGCATCCGTGCGTACACTGCCTGCCTCCACCGCGTGTGAGTTCGGTGCGTTCGGGCGTTGTTCAACCCTTTGTTGTTGTTGTTGCAGGGCTGCAAGTCCGCGACCCCATGGAGTCGCACTACAACGTGTCCCTGACCCTGACCGACGCCACCCTGCGGGAAGGGGTCCCCGGCAAGGACGTGAGTGTCCTTGGTAATAAAACAAACAACAACAAAACTCAAACTGTGTCAAACATTCTTGTTGTTTTCGGCCGCAGCTGCGCATGGACGTGACGATGTGGGGTCCGCCGCTGACGCCCCCCGTGGCCATGTCCTCCAGCAGCACCGCGCCGAAGACCGACGCCCCGCAGACCGCCGACAAGCCCGCCGACAAGCCCGCCGACAAGCCCGCCGAAAAGTCCGCTGACAAGTCTACCGACAAGCCCGCCGACAAGTCCGCCGCCGTGCCGCCGACCCGACGGCGCCGGGCCGCCCTCAACGAGGACACGATCGACGCGGTGAGAGGAAGGGAGGGGACGTTTTGGCGCGAGGTTCTCGGACCTTGGTGCGTCGGTTGGGTTGCCTGCCGCGCCGGCGCCGACGTGCACCGAGGCGCGAGGGGCGGGGCCGAGGCGGGGCTGTGCTGAGGTGCTGTTGGATGGAGGGCCTCCCGCGTCACGGCTCACGGTTCGTTGCTTCTCGTCCTTCCAGGACAGCTACGCGCCGCCCATGCTGCTGCTGCCCAACGCCAAGCAGTTCGCGCGCCTCGGGCAGCTGGGCGCGTGGAACGACGGCAAGGAGTACGTGAAGAAGGACGGCGGCCAGGGCGCCCTGGACGTCACCAGGGAGATGGGGATCGTGTACGTGGCCAACGCATCGCGCGTCTTCCCCCGCCGGGGTGACGACATCATCATGTGAGTGCCGCTTCAACTTGCTTATTCACTTTTTTTGGTTCGAGAGTTGTAACGTTGCTCTCCTCCAGCTTGGAGGTGGAGGTGTTCACCCCCGGCGCCGCCAAGCCGGACCGTACGCTGACCGTCAGCATCGTGGCTCGCCGAGCGTACGACGCGCCCGTGGAGCCGCGCGAGTGCGAGGCGAACCAGTCCTGCGCCCTGCACAAGACCCAGAAGACCTGCGAGAAGGCCTGCGGCGTGGGGACGGGGATCTTCGTCAGGTGAGTCGAGCCGCCAAACTGCAACGCACTGCAACGCAAGCGGGGCTTTCAACTTGACCTTTTCTCCGGACAGCAAAAGCAACAACAGCACCTTCTGCCAGTGGCGCGACCTGTCGCCGACCGCCACCAACGCGGTCATGATGGCCACCAAGAAGTACGCGACGTGCTCGCCCAGCCTCGTCACCTGTCCGGACGCCAAGTGCGACCCCCTGGAGCGCCTGGACTCGCGAGTCTGCCCGCAGGACTGCACCGGTGCGTTGACCGCTTCCGAGAGCCCCCTGTAGGAACGAGTGGGCAACACTCCCTACCCACTGCTTTTGGCCACTGCTGTCCTCGAGTTTGGGGGAGCCTTTCTCTTTTTGCCAGTCAGCCTCAGTCAGTTTTTTTCGTGGTGAGTTTGTTTCTTCCACTGGGCTGCTGCTTTGGTTTCTCAAAACTGGCTTGCTTTCGTGTACCACGCACCCTGTAACCCCTGGCGTCGTTCCACTGTAAACGGGCGCGGTGCTTAGGGGAGCGTCCCCAAAGCACGCCTTTGCTCAGAGGCGTCTGAAGAAGGGCCATGCAAGGATGTGGACGTGCTTGGGAACGTTCCCGTAGAACTGAAGCAATGTCGCTTTCGAAGCGATTCTTATTTATTTATTTTTGCTCACGAAAGAGTTAATAAATGGAGTTTTGGATAGTGGGAGAGAGGAGAACAATGTTGTAGTCCTCCCGACAGTGTAAGACAGTACGAAATGGTACCCGCCGATTCAGTATTAAGACAATACCACGACCTTGAAAAAGTTGTTGATAGTGAATTGGACGAAATAATATTTTGATCTATATTCAATTATAGTAATACTACTGTACCTTGAGCAGGTTTTACACTGGTAAAACTAAAGCGTAGTATTACCCACTGTTTTCAAGCGTAATCAGTTTACGCTTGAAATCAAGCGTAACAGGCTCATCCGCCAAGATTTCCCCTATCTAAATGCATAGGAGAATTTCTAGTCTATGCTTGATTTCAAGCGTAACGTCTTCAAGCGTAACTTTATGCTTGATTCAAGCATAGAGTTACGCTTTAGTTTTACCAGTGTACTAGACGTGTGAACATCATGGCTCATTTTTTTTTGGTCTCATGGGATCTGATTCGGCTAAAGAAGGACCGTTTGTAGCAATACGATCTACTTAAGTGTTTTTACGTGTAGAGGTGGGTTCGAAGCGAATAAAGACATCAACTCAGCCATCGTTTGTCATTGTCTTCGCACCTTTTTCTTCGGCAATCTTGTACATACACGCCACGCAATCACATTCATCAAACCCGAAACCACTTCAAGTTTCTCTGCTTTTGGTTTTTCACTTTCCTTCTTCTCTGCTTCGTCTTGGTAAGTTCCACTTCGCTGGCTTTGCTTTGCTTCCAATCAAAATTTTGCTTCTTCTTTTCGTCACGATCACAATACGCTTCTGCACTGTCAGACATTTCCATGATAAAATAGACGACGGAGTTTACCAGAAGAAAACAGACAGCACCTTGAAACAGAATGCAAAATTTTCCTCTCGGAACCTACAACGAAAATGAATGTTGAGGGCTTCCCTCATGCCACGTCGCTTTCGATGGCGTTCACGAGGTTCGTCCAAGACGAGGCCCAACCCGAAGTTGTCATGTTCGAGGTGGCATCCGAAACGCTTGCTTTGACCGTGCTTCAAGTACTCCCAGGCTGGGAGTCCCAGCCTCCCGCCACCCTCGCCGGCCTAAAGTGCGCCTCTGTCTCCAGACAGGGTCATCAACGGCGTGTACTGCTCCACCTTCAAGGAGAACGGCACGGACCGCGGCATGTGCCAGTGTGCCGGGATAGGTGCCTGCGACGACCACGGCTGCCAGTGCCACCCCCTGAAAACAGGTACGCCTCAACAAGAGGCAGCGCTGGAAAAGCAGGAGGTGTAATGCCTGACGGGCCTGACGTGTGTTGACTGTGCAGACCAGCGCGGCCGCCGGCTCAAGGGAAGCAAGCGGCACAACAACGCCACCGTCTCCGTCTCCGGCAACGCGACCAGCCCCCGGGTGGAGTCCCCGCGGGAGCAGTCGTGCGACTCGACGTGCCAGGCCACCATCATGATCTGCATCTTCTGCGCCGTGGTGGGCGCCGGCCTGTACGCGAGCCTGCTCAGGTCAGCGTCCAGTGGGAAAATGGGTCCCGTTTTGGTGGTTTTTGTCACTCAAAAAATGTAAACTTGGCATGCGAAGCTGCCGCAACCGCAGGCGTTCCAGCGCGAAGCGCGCGGCGCAGACGGAGCGACCGGACGACAGCGAGTACCACCTCCGCAGCGCGCAGGCCGAGGTGTTCCGCCACGACCCCGCCGTCAACACCGCGCTGCGGCAGCCCGCCAACGTGAGCACACGGAGTGACGCGGAGTGGTTTGGGGCGTTTGGGGCTCTGGCTGCAGCGGTTGGTCCGGTTGGTCTCCCGTTGCAGGTGGACCCGCGCTGGGAGGTGCCGCGCCACCACCTCATCCTCCACGAGGAGATCGGCTCGGGCGAGTTCGGGCGGGTGCTGCGGGGGACGCTCACCGCGGAGGAGAAGGGTGAGTTGACACGTTTGCGGCGGCGCAGCGAGGCGCAGGCAGTCCCGTCAAACGAACCAAATGAACGCAGGCCCGGCGACGGTGGCCGTCAAGACGCTGCGCTCGTCGGCGTCCTCGGCCGGCGGCGCCGAGCTGCGCGACCTGCTGTCCGAGCTGGAGCTCCTCAAGGACGTGGACCACCCCAACGTGATCCGGCTGCTGGGCGCCTGCACCGACCCCGAGGGCCCCGTCTGCGTGCTGCTCGAGTACTGCGGCCTGGGCTCGCTGCGGGGCTACCTGCACCGCAGCCGCTGGACCGACACCGACGACGCCGACGACGCCCTGGACAAGCAGGACAAGGGCGAGCGGCCCGCCATGACGCCCAGGAAGATCATCAGCTTCGCCTGGCAGATCGCCAAGGGCATGGACTACCTCGGCCAGCTTAAGGTGGGCCATGAGGCTGAGGACCCGCCACGGATTTTGTCCAATCTACGCTTTGTATTTATTTTCGTCGAATTGGCTGCCCCAACTTTCTGACTGTATGCATTCTTTCCGCAGCTCGTTCACCGCGACCTCGCCTCGAGGAACATCCTGCTCAACGAGAACCTCGTCTGCAAGATCTCGGACTTCGGCCTCTCGCGGGACGTGTACGTCGACGAGGCTTACTGCAAGCTGAGCGCCGGCAAAGGTGCGGTCAAATTGGGCTTTGTTGTTGTTTTGTTTGTTTTGCTTTGTTTTTGTGTTGATTGTTGTTGTTCTTTTGTTTGTTTTGCTTTGTTTTTGTGTTGATTGCTGTTGTTGTTGTTGTTTTGTTTGTTTTGCTTTGTTTTTGTGTTGATTGTTGTTGTTGTTGTTGATGTTATGCTGTTGTTTTGTTGTGATTTTTGTTGTTGACGTGCCTGCCCCTGCCCCGCAGTGCCGGTCAAATGGATGGCCCCCGAGTCGCTGCTGCTGCGCGTGTACACCAGCAAGTCGGACGTGTGGAGCTTCGGGGTGCTGCTGTGGGAGCTGTGCACGCTGGGCGGCGCGCCGTACTCGGGTGTCGCGCCCCACGACATGGTGGCCCTGCTGGCGGCCGGCCAGCGCCTGGCGCGCCCCGAGCACTGCAGCCGTGAACTGTGAGTCTCCTGAGGTCGAAACACTTATAGAGGCGGCAGCTTCGTTTTTCGCTTTTGCCTTCGTGTGTTTGTTTTGCGGAGCAAATTGAATGATTACACCGGGGAACCGCCGCGCCAGGTACCGGGTGATGCAGGGGTGCTGGCAGTCGGAGCCGCAGGAGCGGCCGCACTTCGCCCAGCTCGTCACCATCCTGGACGGCATGCTGGCCCGCGGCTCGGGCTACCTGGACCTGGACGCGCGCATGGTCATCAACCCCGAGTACTTCGAGGAGCACTCGCCGATCATCGTGGCCTGCCCGCCGTGCGGTGAGGAGCCAACTTGTTGTTTTGTTGTTGTTTTGTTGTTGTTTTTGTTATTGTTTTGTTATTGTTTTGTTATTGTTTCGTTATTGCTTTGTTGTTATTTTGTTGTGATTTTGTTGCCGATGAAGACGAAACAATGCTGACCTGTCTGTCCTTTCCAGCGGAGGGGTACCTGCAGCCTCAGACCAGGGAGCGGTGCGACGTGGTCCGCTACGAGAACACCGCCGTGACGTGAGGGGCTTCCCCGTCCCCACCACGAGCACCTCGGCGTCAAGAACGCCTAACCAAACCGACGAAACACATCATGTCGTTGACTCATAATTTATTCAAGCGTGGTGCTTAGTCAGTACCGCTGGACTAAAGTCCACTAAGTTAGTTCGATAGCTTTCGCATGACAGAGTGCAACCTGTACTCGCGGCCGGACCCTCTCTCTAACCAAAGACTGACGCAAAGCTTACTGTGATATAAACGGAGGGCCTGGCGTGTGTACGCCTCACAAAATTACGCCGATGAAAAAACAATATTTTTATAGTGTCTACTGAACTGACCGACCTGTACATACATGAATAAAAGTGACGCGCAGTGGATGAAAAAAAATAATCGGGGGCGAAAGGAAGGGACACACTTTCTTTCGCTCATCGTTCGATCTGCTGCTGCTGCGAAATCAAAGTAAAATGGCGTCCGCCTGTATTGGTCTCCCCGCGTGCTTTACGGGCCGCCCAAGGTCGTTCGTTGGTCCGATCGGAAGAGTACAGTCACAGACAGACGGGCCCACGCTGTCTCTCTCCCTCTCATTGGCCACTCAGGAGCGCTGAGCGCCGCGCACACAGGCACACACCGCACTCACACCGCACACACACAGAGGCGCAGTGGAGGTTCGACTCTCCTCGACTCCCTTGCGAACCAAGCGCTTTTGTTTCAACCCGATCGCGAAATAGCAAACTAACTCACAACGTCTCAGCAATTTCACACACACGCACACACACACACAACACAATCACGCACCTCAGGGCTCGCGGCGACCGCGGGGCCCGCTTACACTTACTCCCGCGGATTCACCGCGCGGAAACTGAATACACTGTTCGATAAATTCACCGGTTCCTATTGGTCGACTCGGGCGAGGTCGCGAGAAGCCAGAAGCCCGACACCGGGCTTCGAAGTGCTAATTAAGAGCCCCCATCGATCAGGCTCGATCACGGAGGCCATAAAGAGCCACCTTTTTGTGGTGGAGCCGTCGGCGTGGCGTGGCGCCTTTCCTAAACCAACACAAGCAGCCATAACTCTGGACTCTTTTTTGTTTTCGGCGCTCGACAGTCCGCTGTTAAATCGAACTGGATAATCGAACTCGTGAGGGAGCGCGCGAAATTCGGCTCGCACTGTTAACAAAGATTGTCGTTCCGTAACGCTCGTCAACCAAATGTTTTTCGCATCTCGAACTGCATTCTCCGCGCGCTGCTTTACAATGCATCCAAATCCTTCGCAAGGCGTTATGAGTGCATTGCCGCCGAAACTGGTCTCCCTGTGGTCTTCGCTTCGCTCGGCGAGGCTCGGCGCGCGCGGCACGGCGGCCGCTATGGGCGTACTCCTTAATTGAACCGGAGAGGAGAAGAACGGCGGAAGTGGAAAAGGCGAATAAAAACAAAAACGGCCAACGAAAACGAAAACAGGCGGTAATGAAAGAACCGCGGAGGCGCCAGGCCACGCCACGCCACGCCACGCCACGCCGCGGCGTTCCAGGGATGGGCGGGGCCGGCCGGCCAGCTGGCCAGTCCGATTCGTCGTCGCTCCGTCTCTCTCGCTCTCACGGGCCGGCCCAAAGGGGCGCGAGAGAGACGGAGCGACGAATCCGTAATGACACAGCCAGGAGCCATAGCGCTCCAGCGAGAGGTCGAAGCCGATGACGGCGGCAGATTAGAACAACTCACTGGCCAGCCGACTGGCCGACCGCACCGACCACACCCCCGCAGTACACGCCTAGCGAAGAAAAAAAAAAGACTTGGGTTCAATAATGGAAGGCGGAAAGTGATCACAAAGAGTTTGGATTTGTTGTCATTTTTGTTTTTTGGAGTCGCCGTTCGAACTTGGCTGAAAAGAGTAACTGGGTGGAGGCAGCGGCGTGTGGCGAGTGCCTTGCGCTCCAGATTTATAGGATGCTGTTTGCTGCGCTGGAGTACCAAACCAGCGGGGGGTCAGAAAGAGGGAGAAGGTCGGAGAGGAAGAAAGAAAGAAAGAAAGAAAGAAAGAAAGAAAGAAAGAAAGAAAGAAAGAAAGAAAGAAAGAAAGAAAGAAAGAAAGAAAGAAAGAAAGAAAGAAGGCCGCCGGAGAGAGCGCCTGTGAAGGCGAGGGTAGGCCGCCCCGCAACACTCCCGCGCTCGACAGCACAGCCCGCCCCCCAGGCGCCCCAGCCATCGCTCCAGCCATCGCTCCAGCCATCGCTCCAGCCATCGCTCGCAGCCTGGGCGGTACCGGGCTGCAGTCTCAGGACCACAGTGTGCCCCGGTCCCGGAAGAAGGCTTTTCGGCGGCGGTCAGCTCGGAGGCTGCGAATGATAGGGGCACGCGGACGGGGAGGCCGGGCCGGCCGGGCCGCGAGGCGTGGGTGCGAGTCCCCCCGCCAGCCCGCCCCCCACCCCGCCCCCCACCCCGAGCTGCCCCCTCCCCTCTGGGTGGTCGCCGTATAAAAGCACAGTGAAACATGTTTCAGCTCCACGAGTTTAGTCGACGAGAGCTCAGGCATCGCACACACACATCCCTGCCATGGTGAGTCCCGTTTTTAATTAGCCATGCGTTTAACGGCGTTAAACGGCCGGGGATGATTTGTGGACAGGGCGGGAAATGCCAAGGACCGCGTCAAGTCGAGAAGAATATCGAGAATCGAATGCGGTGGCCTTATGCGAGTACGCACTGAAGCGCCCGCGTGTTTTGGGGTGATTCCCAACCTCATTCGCCCTTTCTACTCCATCCAGTACACACGCTGTACCTATTTTATAAAATAGGCGTTTTGTTCGTTACTCGAACGGACTTCGAAAGTGCCCGCCTCTGTAAATTACCCCCTCATTTCGCGAGTTGACAACGCGAAAGTAATTGCCATGATTTGTCTGAGGCCGCGGTAATGGCAGTGTAGCCGATCCGATATTCGTGTGTTCCATGCACTCCGCACGGTCTGTCGCAACGCACCACGCGCTGCCCGAATGCCCTGGCGGTGGCGAATCCGCCGCGCTGCTGTTATTTGCAAGGCCAGTCGCGCTTTCATTGAAAAAATGAATGAATGAACGTGAAAAAAAAATGGTTGATTTAAATGGATCAATATCAATGTCAAGTGTCAGCTGATTCGTTCTTGCATTTCGCAGTTCGTTTTCGTTAGCACTGTAATTTTCTTTGTGCAACATGTTTCGGGGTGTGCGAGCGTGAGATTTACAATGCCAGTGAATGGGGGCGAATTCAAGTCGGGTCAGGATCAGTGAGAATGGTAAAACGGCAAGGTTATTAAATCATCGTTATGTCATCATCGAATGGACTCGTTGTTCTCCGCAACAGCGCAGCTCAGATAAGCACATTGGCTACTCTTTTCACCTCTCTGCTGTGTAGCACGTCGTCAGATCCAGGCCATTCAAGCGGCAGGGCGCACCTTGAGACGGGTCGTGGTTTAAGGTTCTCCCCCAGGCACTTGGCTGCCAGCCCCGCCAGCCCCGCCAGCCCCGCGCGCACACTCTCATATTCGCTCGCCTCGCCTCTGCTTAGCCCCGATCGCGCCCGATCCCCGGCCGGCCGACATGCCAGGCCTGCGTCATCTGGACTCGCCTCGCTTTCGTCCGATCGCAATTTGCGAGTGGAGTGTATTGTAATGCCGCCTCCACTGTGAGAGCGCGGCCCCGGCCGTGCCGAGCCGAGCCGAGACCGTCTCTGGAATATGCTTGCCGCTTCGCCGTGCCTCGCTATGCTTCGCTATCGGTCGCATCGTGTTGGGCGCGGCGCTGCGCGGTGCCTGCACTGTCTGGACTGCCCGGAGCCGCACTGGAGCCGCACTGGAGCCTTGTTTGCTCGGCGCTGTGCCGCTGCAGCCGCGGCTGGAGCTGGAATGAGCAGTGTGTCCAGCGCATGGCGGCGCACGGCATAAAGGCCACGGCGAATGCCGCAACAAACGCCGTGCCGCGCCGACGCACGCGTAAAAAGCAATGAGTGGTGAATAAGGTGGAAAGTTCGCGCCCCTGCCGAGGCGGCCGGGCCGAGGCGGCCGCACCCACGACACGACCTCCACGAGGACGCGGGTTCGAATGCGAGGTCGAGGCGACTTTTTTTTCGTTCTCTGATTTTGTTGCGCGCGCTGAATGACGCGAGGAAATGAGACGGAAGGGTTGTGGAACGGAAAGAATGGCGCAATATTGGGGGCGGCATGCATAATGCATGTGTGTGTGTGTGCTCGTGAGTCTTCTTTCCACTCCAATTCTCCAGTTCTGGACTCCAGTCACTGGGGCTTCCTCTGCATGCCCGTTAGGCCGGTAGAGGTTTTGATGGTGATGCGGTCATTTTGCCGCTGGGACGGCTTAGCCAATGCGGCGGCCTCGCCCCGCCCCGCGCAGCAGCACTGCGTCCACCACACTGCGTCCACCGCAACACCAGACACTGCGCACGCCCTCGCGGAACCAGGCCGCCGTCAAGACCGTCATGTCACAGGATACCTCGTCAATGTCACTGCGATCATCGTTTCAATGACAGCAAAACAAACAAACACGACGGCAATTCAGCGGCACGCGTTGCGGGCACGGGGATCGAACCACCGACCTTGGGGCTGGCAGCCGGCGGCGATAACCGCGACGCTAAATGTGCTCTTTCTGTTCCGCAGATGAGGCTCGTTGCTTTCTTCGCCCTGGTGGCCGTGGCCCTGGCCCAAGACGACGACGGCAGTTACAGCGCCGACAAGTACGAGAACCCCTACGCGTACTCCGAGCAGCAGGCCGCCGCCGCCGCCCCCCAGTACCAGCCCCAGCCCCAGTACCAGCCTCAGCCCCAGTACCAGCCCCAGTACCAGCCCCAGCCCCAGTACCAGCCTCAGCCTCAGTACCAGCCCCAGGCCCAGCCTCAGTACCAGCCCCAGCCTCAGTACCAGCCCCAGGTGCCTCAGTACCAGCCCCAGGTGCCCCAGTACCAGCCCCAGGCTCGTCAGTACCAGCCCCAGGTTCCCCAGTACCAGCCCCAGTACCAGCCCCAGCAGTACCAGGCGCCCGCTGCCTCCGTCAACGGCCTGCCCCAGACGTCCACCAACTACAAGACCCAGGATCACGAGCGCGTCGAGAACGTCGACGGCCAGGTACGACAGGGTCACTGCCAAGGGCCCCACACCGAACAGACGCAGTGTTGCGCTTTTCTTGAGTACTCCAATTTGCAATCCAGTGATCACAGCGTTGCTTGTTTTCAGGGAAACGTCCGCGGCCAGTACAGCTACGTCGACCCCAACGGCAAGACCATCACCGTCAAGTACACCGCGGGCAAGGACGGCTTCCAGGTCGAGGGTGACCACCTGCCTCGCGCCCCCGTCCCCGGCACCCCCGCCCCCGCCGCCGCCGCCCCCGCCTACCAGCCGCGGTACATCCAGCCTGCCGCCCCCGCCTACCAGCAGCCCAGGTACCAGCCCGCCGCCGCCGCCCCCGCCTACCCCCAGCAGGCGTACGCCCAGCAGGCCGCCCCCTCCGCCGCCTCCCAGTTCCTGAACTCGCCGCTCGGCCACCGGTTCGGCGGCGCCCCCGCCTACTAGACGTCGCGGAGGTGCCGCTCGCCGGGGGCCGTCCATGGAGCGCGTCCTGGACGGGGCGCTGGGTGGGCGGCCCCCCGCTCAGGGAAGTCACGTGGGGGTCGCTACAGTGCTGCAGCAAGTGCGGCCTAAGTGCGGCCGCCCCCGTGGCAGGGGACGAGGGACCGCGACGCTCCCTCTCCTCTACGCCGCCGGGCCTCCCCGCTGCTGACGGAGCGCCAGAGGGCCGGAGGCACTGCTTCTAGTCCTCCTGGTGCTCGGGGCGTCGGGAGCGCCCCGTGGAAGCCATAGGCTGCGCCAACAGGCGGCGAGGGTCGCGACGCGCAGCAACAACAACAACAACACGCACTAGTTGGGCGTCGCGAGACTACTCGCCTATTGACGGGTAAACCATAGGACTGCTGTGTAGTTTGTACTTTGGACTCACACTCTCTCGTTTTGTAATTACTTTCTCCCCGTGTGTGCTCTTCACACGTTCCTGTGATAACCACCTGGTACACTTCTTTTGTATAGACTACATATTTGTTGCCTTCGCGTTGTGTTTTTTTTGTGTACTTTTTTGTATTGCTTGCTTTTTTTTACGTGTAGGGCTTTTGTTGTTTTGTACAAATTTCGTGTCGAAATGAAAAATGCTGGTAAAACCCACTCTTGTCATCTTTTTTTGAACGAGACGCGTGTGCAGTCTGCCCATAGTCTCTGCCAGTGTGTCACAGTCCGCAGTTCGTTGCAGGCAGTCCCTCTCTCTCTCTCCACTCTCACTCTCGACTACTCGTGGGAGTCCTCCGAGTTGATCACGCGACCTTGCGCCCAGGCGCCGTGATGGTGCCGCCTAGATTCCGTGCCAAACGCCCCGCCCCGCCCCGCCCCGCCCCGCCCCGCCCCGCCCCGCCGCTCCAGTTAACACTCTGCCGCTCTTCGGGCGCGGCGTGGCGGCGCGGCGTGGCGGCGTGCGTACAGTGTACACGTGTCGATGGCGCTACTCGCGTGAAGCTTTGCATCATCTTGCACTCGTTGGAGTGGCCAGTGTGGTGGCCGCCCGGGAAGCGGACCCGCGGACCTCCAGGGCGTGGACCTCCCCCATGCAGGCCCGAAGGCCTCCAACGCCCTGCACCAGTGTACCTGCCGCACGGGCGGCAAGGCGGGCGCCAAGGCCACGCAGGTTACATTCTTTTACGACGCACAGTAAAGCGACTCGGCGTCTGCTCTCGTCGCGCTGTCTCTCTCGCACCCTCGCGGCACGCGCCGTGACTGCGAGAGAGAGGGAGAGAGGCCGGCGAACTGGCGAACAACAGTCCACTAATTAGAGTGCCGCACGGCCGCCCAGCCTCACCCAACCTCACCGCCGTGGAGGTTTCGTTGCCAATTTTACGGCTGCTTGTCCTCTCGCGTGCGTCTAGGCCTTCGCGGCCTGCCGCGCGATCGGCGCCACTGCTGCTGCAGTTTGGTTTCGTACCGCGCGTGTCCTTTTCCACGTGCTTGTCTGGCGGCCCCCCGGCGGCGGCGGCGGCCGCCCACAGCCACCCTGTCTGCGGCGCGCGCCGCGCTGAGCCGTCTGCCTGGCCGGGGTCGTCCTGGCAACGCGGGCCCCGCCAGCCCCGCCAGGCTTGGCCAGGCTCCACCCCCCGGCCCCGGCGGGGGTCGCGGCGCGGACTGGCGCGGACCGCCCTGGAGACGAGACGAGGCCCGACAAACTCACAGCCACAAAGCAGGCAAACGAGGTCGCGATGAACAACGAAGGGGCTACGAAAACTTTGACGGGGATGGAGAAGAAGAGGGAGAAGACGAAGAAGAAGAAGAAGAAGAAGGAGAAGCGGGAAGCTGATTTGCTGTCGTGCTTATCACGGGGAGCCACGCCCGAAGGAAGTATGTCGGTGCCAGTGACCCTGAAGGTCGCCGCCACGCCCCGCCCCGCCCCGCCCCGCCCCGCCTCGTTTCGCCTTCCTGCTGCCGGCTTTATGGAGCTCCGCGATGAAACGCAAAAAAGACGCGCCGCCACGCCTTCGCTTCGATTGAGAGCAAAACGAATCCGGCTAACCAGATGAACGCGCGCAGAGCCGGGCGTGGCCGGGCCTCGTGTCGCGGCGGGGCGGGGCGGGGCGGGGCGGGGCGGGGCGGGGCGGGGCGGGGCGGGGCGGGCCGCGGTAAAGGATGCTGGAGGAAGCGGGCAAGGGCGGAGTCGCGGAGTACAGTACACGGTAACACGGTACCATCGTATTGATCCGAGCCGGGCCGGGCCGGGCCCCCACTCTTCACTTCTCCGCGATGTGGTTCCTAGTGGACTTGCACTGCCGCCGTGCTGCCGTCGGCTCCGTCGGCGTGGCACGGTGCCCGATGCGCCTGTCTGCCTTGCCTGCCTCCGCAGCCGTCTCTCTCGCACTCGTGGGCGTGCCGCAGAGGGTTCGCGGCGGTGCGAGAGAGACAGAGCGAGCGGTCTGCTCCGTGCACTCCGTGTGCCTGGTTGCGTTGCCCGGCGCTGCCCGGTTGGCTGCCAGTGACGTCACATTGAAAGTGAATACGCTCCCTGGCCGTGGCCACGCGGCCGCTGCCCGCTGCCTGCGGTGCACTCGAGGGGTACCTCACTTCGAAAACAGGTGTACACTGACTGGTGACTGTACTCAATTTCCACTTTGACTAGACTGAAAATATCACGAAATGCGTTGCAAAAATACTAAAATTGGGACAAATTTACGTGGTTTTGCCGACTTTTTCAGTGACTAGACTGAAACAAGGCAGTGACTGGAGTCAGGGGTGTACACTGACTAGACGAAGTGAGGTACCCCTCGGGTGCACTGCGGTGAGGTGAGGCCGCCGTGTCGTGCCGCCGTGCCGTCTCCCTCGCACCCACGGCGCTTCCAGTGCAGGTGCGACGGAGACGGAGCGGCGACTGCGACTCGGAATGAGTGCAGCATTGGCACTCGGGCGCGCCGACGGCGGCGGCGCCCACTTGGCTCGCCGGACAAGGTATCCAGTCCCCACCTCGGCGCGTCTAGCCGTGTCTAGGTCTAGCGGGTCTAGCGCTCAGCGCCGCCCCGTCGGCCAACATTCGTCGCTCTGTCTCCCTCGCACTGCCTGTGTGGTGTAGGGGTATTCGCGCGCGCGCGTTTGTGTGTGTGAGAGGCGACAGGGGTCACGCGTACCAACTCATAGAACAGAAATAGTCTCCTGGATTATCAATCATGCCTCTGCAGTGTCTAGTGTCGCGCCGGCCTAACGATTCTGCGAGAGAGACAGAGCGACGAGCCGCTGCATCGGGCGCCGCGCCTCGCTTCTCCTCCTTCGCGCCAGATACCACGCGTCCTGCACTGACCTAACCCAACGCGGTGCCCGCCCCGCCCCGCCCCGCCCCGCCCCGCCCCGCCCCGCCCCGCCACGCCCCGCCACGCCCCGCCCCGCCCCGCCCCGCCTCGCCGCCACGCTTGGTCCGTCGTCTAGCGTGGGCTGGCGGCAATGGGACTGGCCGGCCGCGCGCTAGGCCGCGCCGCCCCCAAGAAGTGCGTATTGTCCGGAGTCGTCGCGCGGACGCGCGGAATCGAAAGCAGTGTATCGCGAGCGAGAACATTTTCCGTTCTACTGCAGGTGTTGCGGGGCGTTGTTTCCAGTGGGAGGGGCGCGCGGCCCGCTAGGCCGGGATAGGCCGGGCTGCCCCAGTCGGTGCGGCCTGCGGCCTGCGGGTCGCGCTATGCTAAGCAGCCGGTCTTGAATTATGAAGTGCTTCCCGTTGCCTCGATGTCTTTCCTGATCTGGATCGCTCTGGGCGGCGCGGTGGCGGCGCGGTGGCGGCGCGGTGGCGGCTCGGCGCTCCGTGCACGCCGGGTCAGCTCGCCGGCCAGGGTCACGGCCGAGGCGAGGCGAGTCGAGGCGCCGGCCGTGCGCACGTGGGAGAGAGAGAGAGAGAGTGAGAGAGAGAGAGAGAGAGAGAGAGAGAGAGAGAGAGAGAGAGAGAGAGAGAGAGAGAGAGAGAGAGGGAGAAAGTAAAGGCGGAACGTGTACTGCAGTCAGAGTGAGATGGATGAATCAGCGTGGCTGCATGCATCCGCGAAACTGCACTGGGAAAGGAATTCGATAATCCTGCAGCATGTTGGTGCATGAATCGTTTTAAAAACAAAATTGTGAAAATTCCTTTGTGAACAGCCAAAGCCCGTGCTGGAGGCGGGGACGAAAATAATTATTGTACCGGCTCCTTTCTGAGGATAATGAACGTAAAAAAAAATTGAGAGAGACTTAGTGCTGGAAGTACGCTAAAGGAATGGCAGCACAGGTTGGCCTATCTGCACCATGTGGGAGCTTGGAGCGCGCGCTGGCCGTGAGACAACGCGGACGTATGGACTCTGCATCGGCCGCCATCGGAGTGCCGCCATCGGTACGACCCACTTGAGGTCGAAGGGGCCTGCTTACCCCAAGGCTTACCCTAACCGCCACTGGCGGCCACGGGCCTGCCAAGCGAATTCATTTTTGTGGGTGTGTCCCCGCTTTCCTGAGTTTGCGGAATGGTGCTTTTTATGTGTGGGTTGGCTGCGCGGTTCGGGGGAGGACGCAAGCAGGCGAACGGTTTTCCGGTTTTTATTCTTTTTTTGCGATGTTTTGTTTTGGTGAATTAAATTAAGCTTGGCGCGGTCGGGCCGCGGGCGCGCCTATCTGCTCTTGCTGAAGCTGTAGCTGAAGCCGTCGGGGGTCCTGTTGAGGTCCAGCTTGCCGGGGGGGAAGAAGCGGTGCGGGGGCGGCGTCGTGGGGTTGTACTGGGGGATGGCGTTGACGGGGGGCTGGTACTGCTGGGGCTGCGGCTGGTACTGCTGGGGCGGCGGCTGGTACTGCTGGGGCTGGGGGCGGTAGCCGGTGTTGGGCTGGAACGCGGGGTCGTTGTAGCGGGGGTCGTACTCGCCGGTCTCGTCGTAGGAGCCGCCCTGGGGGGCGGGGTTGTACTGGGGCGCGGCGGGCGCGGGGTTGTACTGGGGCTGGGGCTGGTACTGGGGGGCGGCGGGGGCGGGGGCCGCGACGGGGACGGGCGGCTGGGGCAGGTGGTCGCCGGACGCCTGAAAAGAACCAGAGAGTGGAGTCGAGGCGAACAAGAGACAGACGGCGGAAGTTGAAAGCGCCCCGGTGGGCCTCTGTACCTGGAAGCCGTTCTTGCCGGCCGTGTAGCTGACGGTGCGACGCACGCCGGACGGGTCGACGTAGCTGTAGGCGCCGCGGCGGTCGCCGTTGGCGTCGGTCTCCTCCTTGAACTGCACGCCGTCCTCCTGGGTGTAGGCGGCGCCGAAGGTGCCGTCGCCGGACAGGTACCGGGCGTCCGTCAGGATGGCGGCCGTCTGCGGGTCGCGGCTGTACTGCTGCTGCGCGAGCGCGCCGCCGAGCAGGGCCGTCGCCACAAGTAACACCTGCGCAGCGGGGGAGAGAAAGAAAATGAGAAAACTTGAGCAATAATGCATCTCGTATTGTGGAGCTCTCTTCGAGCCGTTCGCCGGCAGTAATGGCCCGTAATGGTGCGGCGGGAAGGGCGTGTCCGCCAACGCGAGCACGCCGTCGGAGCACGCCGTCGAGGCCTGCCGCGCGGACGGGCCGGTCGCCGGCGGCAGGGTCGCCGACGTAGGGTCGCGCAGCGAGTCAATCTCTGGCGCCGAGAGCACCGATGTGAAGCACTTCCCCTCCCCTCCCCTTGCCTGTCAGAGCGGCGCGTGGCGCACTGCGCTCAAATCTAGGCCACGAGATCGCGCGCGTTTTCAAAGGATAGAAAAAGAAGGCAAGCGCGTTTTCTACAACTTTTTTCCCCCGCGGATTATCTATGCCCGTTGGCGTCGCACCCCGGAGTCTATCACCCGGTGCGGCCGGTGTGTGCGAGTGCGTGTGTGTGTGCGTGTGTGTGTGCCCTCACTGCAATTTCCCCCGCAATGCACTGGCTGCACGGCACCGCGTGCAAGAAGTGCAGCGACTTGCGACACCCAGGCGGCGCCCCGCGCCTTGCGCACGTTGCGACAGATTTTTGGCAGCATCGGGTAAAGTCCTGCCCCCCCCCCTCCCCTCCTCCTCGCAGAGAGCGCGGGGCGAGCGGGGCCAGCGCTCCGCTGTAACCAGAGCGGCCAAACAAAGTTTACACGGAGTGACGCAAGGGGCGCTAGGCCGCGCTGGGCCGCGCCAGGCGCATTCCAGAGCGCACGGCACGCGTCCCGCCACAATGCAGTGTACTGCCTTGCAGTGCAGTGCCTCGCAGTGCAGTGCCTCGCAGTGCAGCGCGGCCAGACCGAGCGCAGGGCAGTCCTTAAGGTCCCGAAGTCCCAGTGCCGCCGTGTGCGCGGCGCAGTACGGTAGTCGCAGTTGGATGCCGACCCCGACGACGTCGGAATGAACAGCGGGGAAAATGAACTCTGGCACGTCCAGTGCGACAACGACCACACTTTTGAGCAAGTTCATTCAACTAAGCGGCGGCAATATCAAGTGTTTTTGAAAGAAAATTCTTTTAAAATTTCCCGGAGAAATTTTTTTTTAGCAATTTATCAAATTTGGTGAGGCCACTCGACTCTTTACCCGTGGACAATTTCGGACCCGGAAAAGGCAACCCCCCCGCCCCCTAAAAAAATGAGGCAGAGGCAGTTGAGCGGAGAAAAATGCGACGACCCCAAAAATTTCTTGACCCCCTTCCTCCCTTTTGAGGTCGGCTACTCACGGTAGTGTACATATTGGCGACTGAGTTGGACGCACTTCAAATCGGAGACTAAGGCGTACTCCGCCCCTGCCATGCTTTTATACACCGGCCGGCCGAGCCGCCTCCCTCCCCTCCGCCTCGGCCGATCGCCACCCCGCCCCGCCCCGCCCCGCCCCGCCCCGCCCCGCCCCGCCACGACGTACGAACCACGCGGAAGCTCCAGGGCGTCGCCCCAGCTGCCGGGCCGACCGACCAGCCAGCCCGCCGCCCCGGCGCAGCCCCGGCGCAGCCTGCTATCACAACCATGACGTCATGGGCCAATTTTCAAGGGCGGGCAGGATGTTGCCGAACTGGAGAACTGGAGCTGGCTGCGGCTGGAGCTGCCCACACCTTCCTGGAGCGCATCCCCTCCCAGACCCCTTTCCACGGAGGTTTCGTGAGGCGGGTGTTTTATTGCGTGGAGTGCCCCGCCTTTGTGCAGCACCGTTGAAAAATAAGCCTTATTGATTCTGAGGAAATTGGACTGAAATGTTTGGTCGAAACTTTTCTCGGTGATGAGTCGCGTCGGGATCAGTGATCGGAGTAATCAATACAAAAGCGTTCACACCGACACATAAATAGTTTATTTGATTGCAACACACAAACACACACAAGGCGAATACATTTTGGGGGATACATTAGCGGCGTTGTAGGACGCAGTGGAAATGAAGAAAAAGCACCAGGAGGGAAAAAGTTTTAAAATAGTGTAGGTAACAGCTACGTTAGATAAAGTAAATCTACACACACACACTACTCGAAACATTTGAAACGATTACTGTGATCTACTGGCTATGCTTTCGCTTGAAAAATGTCCACACATCTTTGACATCAACTAGCGCGTTTAGTAAATTGTAAAATTATAATACAGGTAAATTTAAGTTTCGAATCGGAATAACGGCAAAGAGGCTCGAACTATCGATCAGAACGGATTCATTTTTGGTTTCTTGTGCATAATTAGATATGTTTCCTTGAATGAAGTGTCATCTACGTTTTCTTTGTAGGCCTATGCATTTTTTCAGTTTTCTGTTAAATGTCGGCAGAAGGAATGGAGAATGGAGCGCAACTCCACGGCTGCAGACTCCATTGCAACCTCCAACTACGGCACTAGAAGGGTTAGAAAAATATATGAAATATAACAAAGATCAAGACAATAGATAATATCAATATACTACTGTTCTTTTTTTTTTGTTTGATTTTTATAGGGGCGGGTACAAAAGAGGGAATACACCATTCAGTACGTTCAAAGTAGCCAACCCTACAGTGATAATTAATTTGACACAGAACCAGAACACAATACACTTCATAGTCTCCTCAGTTTCTCCTGACCCAACGTACACTGCTGCCACATGAAATAACGATGCTTTTAAAGTAACCTAGGTCATACACAAACTCAAAATGTGAAAAAAAAACACCATGTGAATTAGTGTTTTTAATATACAGAAGTGCCGACACACCGATGAATGAATAAATGAATGAACCAATGAATGAATTAACCAATCAATGAACCAATGAATGAATGCATGAGTCAATAAACCAATGAATGCATGAGTCAATAAACCAATGAATGCATGAGTCAATGAATGAATGGATGAGCCAATGAATGAATGGGCCAATGAGTCAATGAATGAAGGAATGAGTCAATGAATGAATTGATGACTGAATCAATGAATGGCTTTGATGAATGCCCTTGAAGGGATGAATAAACTGACAAGCATTGCGATCGAATGATCGAATAAAGCAATGAGCAAAGCAAGCCTAATTTAACGTATCCCTACGCTGCCTTAATCGGCTTGCGAAATAGAGAAAGACAAACAACTTTTTGCATCTCGTTCACGTGGACGCTCCATCCGAAGGACGCGTTTTCGCGAGACAAACCACGCCCTTCAAAGCTAATTTATCGATCAAACTATAATAATTTTAAAAAAAGGGTTCAACTACCAAGTTCTTGAAGAAAAATCCCTGATTTTGTACAGTCATTTAAAACAATTTGATCTGCTCCTGCGAACACAATATACCAAATATTTAATTTGAATCCGAACCGGAATCAAAGGCTGCTGTTACGCAAGGAGAACTGGGAATTTGCCACGCGACCACGAAAAGAATTGTGTTCGGTGGCAAAGTTTCCTCTATCACAGACGCTTTCTTCTCTACTGCTATGCTAGTGCAGGTACGCATTGAAGCCTATTATACACCTCAGCAAAAATATGTTGAAGGCGAGATAAATACTGGAAAGGGCGCACGCAAAATACACGGTAAACTCCTCAAAGACTAGCACACCTTGCTGCTGCTGGGTCTGCGGCGTCCGGACATCCCTGCGCACAGTTTGCTCGCCGCAGCACCGCTACCCCGTTCAAAAGCCCCCACGATGCAAAATTATCCACGCCCTCGATCCACTAAAATGGGCTCGCTTAATCTTGTAGGAACACGCTACGCGTCGCTGAAACTGGTTTGCGAGTGTCGCCGGCGTCCCGACAGCGCGGACAGCGCCAGCGCGGCGACCGGGTGACGCCCGTCCCGCACCCGCAGCAGTCCCAGCCGCTGCTTTGTCGGGCTCCCTGAAGCACGAGGACACCGACGAGTCCTTGGGGAGTCCTAACTTAACTAGTGCGAGGACACGACAAGTCCTTGGCCTAACCTAACCTAGACCCGGGGGGCGGCACTACGACGCCCCCCGGCCCCGCGGCCACCCCAGGGGGTCCATCCCCCGCTGCACGCGGGCAGGCCGGGGGCCCCCGAGGGGGCGCGCGGGGCTACGTATGTACAGACTACTGATGTTCGTGACAAGGCGAAACACATAAGAACAGGGCAAGGGTCGACGCGGGCCGCGTGTGTGGTGCACACTGTACGGCAGTCTGCTGCCGGACCCATTCTACAGACACTAAATTGAGTCCCCGTCTGCTTCAGTGGTTGCATCCATGGCAAATCGAAAAAAAATTTTTTTTTAAAAAATAGCGCCTCTGCAGACTTTTTTCCAACGAGATTGGCAGGCTAGCCAACCCGCCGCCGCATCGTTTCCTGTCCCTGTAGACGGTTGGCAACCATGGCTGCTATGGGCTGCTACCGCATGGTTCCTTCTTTGCCATTTGGGTCGTTACTTGAGGCTGGTCAGAGGAACCCGGGTCGCGGCACAACGCCGCGGTTCGGGCCTCTCTACGGTATATCACACATATCGCTCGATGTGGCCAGGGCCGGAAACGAAAAGGAAAGGGGAACGTGCAAAACGTCAAAAACACACGTCCTCACACACACACAGTCCCTCTAGCAGGGAAAAGTCAGTTCGAGCTCGAGCCCACAAAGTACCTAACCTAACGTGCGAGACCGAAAGAGTGGACTTCGCACTGTCGCTGTACAGAGATCGGTTCAAGAAATATGTACACAAGCTTAACGTAGTTAGTTGACTCGGCACAAGTTAAGTATATTGGTCGAAGAATATTCAATAAAGTCGAAAGAAACTAATCTTACTTATCGGTGGCTTTGGCCATGGTAGTCTGACTGAGACTTACTTAACTACAACCGAGACTACAACTTAATGGGTCTCGCTTGCAAGCTTGAAAGCGTGAGGCTGCGTGCGAGGTACCGGAGGTACTGGGGTGCAGCGTCGCCGCGGTGTCCTAAAGGCAACTCGCAGTGCTGTGGGTCAATCCACACGTGCGAATAGGTGCATAAAATAGTCCCCCAAAGGAAACCTACGATTTAAAAAGAAAAAAAGTCACGCGGCCTAATGGCAGCAGCTTGGCAGGTCGAGGGGTCACCTCGTTCTCGACGAATACGCTTCTTGGAATCAAAGTGCAATGGTTCTGTGTCGGTGATGCTATGTTTAAGACGCATTTAAAATAATTGGGAGGCTTTTAAAAATAAATGTTCTTTTCTTGTTTTGGTGAAATTGATACCCGCCCCCTCCCCTTTTCTGCGTCCGCACTGCGAAACTCCTCCTCTGCTGCAGTGACGGTTTGACGGTGTACCAGGCGCGCAGGCTTGCCTACGGCCGCTTCGATGTTTCGATGAATCGATGTTTTGATGAATCGATGCTTCCATGTATCGTTGGACGCAGCGCTGCCCGCATGGCCTGGGCGCGGCACAGACACCGCCTCAGTTGCCGTTCTCGGACTCACCCTTCCCGGCGTCGATCTGAACACAAAGCCAAAACATGTCCGTACTCCGAAACGTTGGCCCGACAATCGTCTCGCAGTGTCCAGGACCCACCTTGAGCCCGAACAAGGCGCTGTAGACGGCGCCGGTGTCGCGGGCCTCGTCCTGTTGGCCCTGCGCGCCGTTGCGGCGGTGCGGCCAGTCCTTGAAGATGTCCGCGAAGCTGCTGGGCATGTCGCACCACAGCAGGGGTGCAGCCTGCACCGCGCCGCGCTCCGTGGCCTCCACGCCGCCGAACCAGGCGGTGCAAGGTCCACGTCGACGGCGGGGCTGCGTGGCCACGGCGCCCCTGCCGGTGGCGTCGGCGGCCTCGACGGCGTCCTCGGAGGGGGCCGCGACGGCGCCCTCGGCGGCGGCCGCCGGCAACTGGGGCCGTGTGGCGCAGCTGGACGTCACCGTCCTGGCGGCCGAGGCGCGGTGTGGGTCCAGCGACCCTGCCTCGAAGTCCTCGCCGATGGCAGGCAGGTCGCCGAAGCTGAGCCGCCCGAAGAAGGGCCTGTCTACACGGTCTGCACCACCGCAGCGCGCCCGCTCTTCGCAGAGGTTGAAGTTGGCGTCCCGCTCTGGTTCTGCCTTGGCGCCGTCCTCGCCGTCCTCGTCGTCTTCCTCGTCCGAGAGGTCTTCGCCCTCGTCCGAGTCGCTCAGATGCACCACCTGCAGCACGCACTGCTCTCTGCAGCAGCAGTGTTCTTCTTCGTCGTACTCGTCGTCCTCGTCGCCGTCATCCTCGTCATCGTCGTCTTCATCATCCTCCGAGTCCGAGTCCTCTGCAATGCCAGACACCACGTTAACGGGGCACTCCTTCGCCTCCACTGCAAGTTCCGCCGCGACGGACACGCACCTGAGTCGTCGGCGGGGACTCCCCCGGCGACTCCCCCGCCGCGGAAGGCCGCCCTGGGCTCGCCCTTGTCCTCGCCAGGAGGCAGTCCGTCGTCGATGTCGGCGTCCAGGGGCTGCATGGCGACGTTCTGCCGAAGACAAACACTCGTCTCACCGCGCCGTTCGCTTCTCCCTTTGTGTCGGCTTACTTTCTTTATTTCCTCATTTCGTGTACCTGAATGCCTGCCAGCATGGTCATGTCCTCGAAGTCGCGCGCGGTGTTCACGATGTACATGCGGATCAGGGAGCCCCAGGACTCCAGGTGCGGGTGCACGTTCTGAGTGAGGTACAGAGAGAGGATTAACAAAACCACACCGACACGCACGCACACGAGAAACAAGACGGTGGGTTGCCCATGCGGCCGAGCGCCCGGCAAGGCGCCCTGAAGGCAACCCACCTTACCGACGGGCCGCGAGGCCGCGAGACGCGGCGCCTGCAGCCGCCGGGCAGGCAACCCTTCCGACTGCCACACTGTACACCCACCATCAGGATGGTCTGCGCCGCCTCCTGCTTGGCGAAGCGCGTCATGGGCACGGTGACGCTGTAGGAGCCGACTTTGAGGGCCAGGCGTGCCGGGCAGTACTGGTTGGCCGGGCGGTGCGTCGTGAACTGGATGTCGGCCTCGCGGTACCCGAAGTTGCTGCAAAAATAAGACCGTTGACACGCGACACCGGAAACAGAGCAAGCTATGCCTCCTCTGGACGGACACAGCACGCGCACGTAACTGGTGAACGGTAAACTGAAAATTTAAGCACGTGCTTACCGGGCGAGGCATTTCAGCAAGATCTTGTACGGCTTCACCGCATCGTAGGGCATCGTTATTTCCGGGATTCGCTCGTCCGCCAGGTCCACGTTGTCAAAAACCTGAGGACACAAAAGCAAAATGAGTCAAACGGTCGAAAGAGAAAAGTAGTCTTCAGTGCTCTCAAAGAAAGATAAATCAAAGAACATTTTTAGCACAGACATTGTTTTGCATAGCTCTGTCCCTCTCACTCACGCATCCGGAGTGCGCTCTGTCTCTCTCACTCACCGCCAGCTTGTACGCATCCGGAAGGCACTCGTCCTCCGCGAGGTCCCGCATTTCAGGCAGGAGTACCTCCGCTGTTGACTTTGCCGCCAGAATTTTGGCCACATGTTTGTTGGGGTCCTTCCTGGTGGCGTAGGTCAGGCCGTCCAGCACGGCCGTGGCCGAGTAGTCGGGGTCTGCAAACACGACGGGCGGCCTCGTTTGTCTCAAAAGCACAGTGGGCCAGAAGAACGGTGGAGGCGGCCAAAACTCTAGACGCGTTTTGAGCTCCAGAGTCGCTACACAGGACTCGATCCGAACGTGTGACCCCACCAATGGATTCCTCGCTCGGAGAGCAATCCATTGGTGGGGTCACACGTTCGGTTCGAGTCTTAACTGAACACAGCTGAACGCCACACTGTAACTGGACTCACCGCAGCGCGCGAAGACGTAGCGCACGTCGGCGCGGAAGTGGCGCTGGCAGTACTCGTTGATGGCGAGCACGTAGGAATGCCCGTTCGGCCCGGTGCCGTTGAGCATGCTGGTCGCCCTGGTCGCTGGCGGGCGCACTGGAAAACGAAACGACAATCACGTTTCCCGACTCGCCCGGACGGACTGGAACCTCTGGAGTGCTGCGCCTGGAGGGCCTGGAGCCTCCGCCGCCATCTTGTGCTCGGAGCAGGGTGGCCACCCCCCCCCCCTCCCCTCGCCCGGAGCAGCCATTCTCGATGACGTGGCAAGCACGGCTGTCCACTTTTTGAAAAATCTCGTTTTGAAGCCAGCACGTCACACTGCTTTGCACGACGGTAGTTTGGACCGAGTCGTTGTAAACAGTTGGCGCAGGGATCGGTTTGCCCTTATGACGCAACTTGTGGGCGGGTGGCGGGCGGATGCACTGCCCGGGAAAGTGGGTGGGGGAGGGGAGGGGGAGCTGCCGACCCAGCACCTGTCAGCCTCCCTCGCTCAGGAAAGTGCACTCACCCTCCCTCTATCTCTAGCCACACAACGGGACCCACCTTGTGCTCGAGCTGCTTCAGCGGCTGCGGGGCAGCCAAGCTGTGCGCCACCGCCTCCCTGCCACGCCACGCCACGCCGCGGCCGGCCGTGCGTCGCGGACTAGCATTGGGCCTGCACTGGTTGGCCTGCTGCTGCCTGCTGCGGGGCGCCGTCCGGGCCGTCGTGGCGCGGGGCCACCCTAGGCCACCCCCCGGTGCAGCGCGACCGACACCCCCCGACGGGCTGCTACCCCCCGACTACCCCAACCCGCACCTGGCCCGGGCTGGAGAGCCCGGGCTGGCTCGGCCCGGCTGGCCCAGGTCGGCGTCGGGAGCCCCCCCTTCCTCCAGCTACCCCTGCAGTACCCCAGCTACCCCCTCCAGGCGGTACTCGCCCGGGGATCTGGGTCGGCGCTGCGTGGCCTGGACGCGGACCCGGAAGGGGACGAAGACGAGAGGGGGGGGGGGGCGTCCAGCCCCACCGATGGGCAAGGGCCCGGCTAGCTACCCGAGACTCGAACCGCTGTTCCAGCGAGGTGCAGCACAGGGCGACGCTGGCCAGGCCCGAGCCATTACGGTGGGCCAGGGCGAGCCAGGACCCCGGGCACGAGGCGCGCGAGGCGCACGAGGCTTAGCCAAGGCGCCGGCTGTTGAGCGAGGCGCAACCCCCTCGCGCCCCTCGCGCCCCGCTGCACGTTTACATCGCGGTCGTTGCCCCGGGGGTGGTGGGGGCGGTGCGCCGCCGCGTGGGCGGCGGGGGCAGCGCGGGCGGCGGGCGCGACCCCAACACCCAGACGCCGAACCACCCCCGATGTGTTCCGCGTCGCCAGGGACTCTCTAAAACACTAGGACGGATGGCGTACCCGCGCCGTCCGCGACCACCGCACGCGTATCGATACACTACCCACCTGCATCGTCGGCGTGCTCTGCCATGAGGGCGGCGGTGGCGGTCGGGGCGCTACCAGGACTACCAGGCAGCCCGGCGGCGCACCCAGCCTGGAACCCCTGGAACGGGCCGCGGCGCCAGCGTTGCCATGCCCGCCCGGCGTCGCGTTGTGTCTTCGACGGCGCGCCCCGAGCGACAGAGGGGATGCGGACCGGCCCGCCCCGCCCCGCCCCGCCCCGCCCCGCCCCGCCCCGCCCCGCCCCGCCCCGCCCCGCCCCGCCCCGCCCCGCTCACGCCCTGGGCTACCGCCCCTGGCCGTCCCGGTCGCCTGCCGCCGCCACTTCCCTGACAGAGCCCCTCCCCCTGCCCCGCTCTCCCCCGCCCGGGGAACCAACCTCCTCTCCCTCCCCTCCGCGCCGCCGGCCCCGTCGGCGTGGGCAGGCCTGGCTGCCTGGCGGGGCGGGGCTGGCGGGGCTGGCGGGGCCTGGCGGGGCTGGCGGGGCTGGCGGGGCGGCCTGGCGGCGGCCCTGTCAGCGCTGGTCCCGGCTCTATCAAACAACCCCCTTTCCGGGATCGATGTACTGGAGGATGTACATCGCGCACCGCGCATCGCGCAGCCGACAGAGACAGACGGCCGGGGCAGGCGTCTGCCTAGCAACAACGCCGCAACGCCGGGCCCGTCCCGTCTCACCGGGGCCCGTCCCGTCGAGAGCAACACCTGCACCACTCACGATGCACAGCAGTCACACCTAGGCAAGCCCTCGGCGGATATCTCGACAGCCAGGCGGGCTTCCCAGATAACCGAGACTGGGAGGGAGGGAGGTGCGCGAACCGGTCGCAAACGGAATCGAACCGAATCAGGCCTCACTCCATTCGAAAACAAAGCAAACATGTAAAATTGATGAATGTAACGTTTTGGGGCCTTACTACCCCGTAGAAATAACACCCCTGTACCTGCTTTGTTCGTAATAAATATGTCATATGTGGTTCGAAAAAAAAAATTATGAAGACTTGCTTTGAGATTGGAAACAACAGATTGGCACTCCGCTATCGGGCTCTCATCACCCCGCTTATCGCCGCACCCCAGCAGACGGAGCACCGCTCTCGTGAGTCTGTCTCTCTCGCACTCAGGGCGCCTCCCGTAAGGGTGCGAGAGAGACAGAGCGACGAAAGCAGTGCTCAGGCTGCGAATAAGGAAGCGAGTTTTGCTGTCATTTGTAATCGGGAGCAGCGCGTACTTGAGCAGATCAAGCATCTTCGGGTGGCGCAGAGCAATACACGGTTCCCAGGCAAGGCACGGATCGGGGACGATGAAGTCACATTTCAAGTGGGCTAGCCCCAAGTGGGCTGTTTATTCTCCATTCATAAAGGTGGTTGGGGATCTAGATACATCGATCGAGCCTTGACTGTTGCCCCCGCTTTTCGAGGAGTTGGAGCCACTGAGTCAGAGGGCGACGGAGGGCGAGAATAGTCCGCCGTCATGAGGACGCTTACACCGGCCGGCTGGCCAATCTCTGGATTCTGGACGCGTGCATGCAATTTCTCAGCGCTTCGCCGCCCCGGCAGATAGGCAGCCCATTCGACGCGCCGCGCGCCGCCGCCCCGCCGGCCTTGACTTCCATCTATCTCTTTTTATCGCGCATCGTCGTTTGGTCCGTTTGGTTTGCCGGCTTTGCCGGTCGCCGGAAAGGGGAGCCGCCAAACAGAGGCGGCAGCGAGGTGACGAGGCGACCCACATATCCGTCCCCAGCGCGCATCGGAGGACAAGGGACTGGCGCCCCGCACGCGGCGGTTCCGCAGAGATGTGTTAGTTGAGGTCAAGCGCGTCTAGGCTGTCCAGCCTAGCTCGTCTAGCCGTCGTTGTGGGCTGCACGCTGCGCCGACATGAGGCCGAGTCAAGGCCGACTCCCTGCCTGGCTGGCTGCCTGCTTGCCTGGCTGTCTAGCTGCCTGTCTGCCTGTCCGAGTCCAGCGCGCGGCGCCCAGTCTCTCTATCCCACGTCACGGCTGGCGCGGCTGGCCAGATAGTCTCTCGTCTAACGCACGGCCGTGCTGCGCGACGCGACGGACGGGACGACGGCACCGCGCCGCAGGATGCGCAGGATGCAGGCGATGATTTGGCCCGACGGACGCGCGGGCAGGTGGACGGACGGGCACGCGGGCACGCGGACGGGACGGACAGACAGACAGACCGACTGACCGGCAGACACACTCAAAGATACTCGCGGGCGCTGGGCAGGCCAGCCAGGCGCTGCCTTGCCTGGTCCGCCTCTGCCAGTGGTGATTACGGTCCTGAGCCGTCGACTCTGTCGACTCGACTGTCCGCGACCGGCATCGACATCAGGCATCAGTTCGCGTGCTCGACGGCGTCGTCGACATGTGGTGGATCCTGCCGTACCTGGCCTGGCTGTCGCCGGTCGCCTTCCTGTACTGGTTGGTGTTCTCCGGCGACGAGCAGCGGCCCAGGCCGGCGTCGTCGCCGTACTCGCAGCCAGGTAGGGACACACTGTGGGACACCTCCGATCATCTCGGCCTTCCCTCTCGCTCGCCGCCAGTCGCCGCTCGGGGCAGGGGCGGCACACTGCCAAATCGGTCTGTCATTTTCGTCTAAATCGAACGACGTTCAGCCATGGTCGATAATCTACGAGCTCTTAGCAGTGCTGAAAACAGTAACAAGCTGCCGAAAATTCAAGCATTTCTGGACTTTGGCGCCCAATTTTGTACGCAAAATCGCAACAAATCGTGCGTGAGTCTTCATACACAAGGCTGCGCAAAAATAAAAAAGTTGTCTGTGTTTGGGACGGGGCACGGAAAAAACATACAGTGTCGTTTTTGCTTTTGCTGTTGTTGTTCCGGCGGTACACTACAATCGCGGTCTGCACTTTGCCTGCTGACGGTAGTATATGGCGATCGCCGCTGTAACAACTTATTGACGGAAATGTATTCCAAGTTCGCGCGTGCCGGCCGTGCTGTTTGACCCCAGTGCAAGAGAGAGAGAGAGAGAGAGAGAGAGAGAGAGAGAGAGAGAGAGAGAGAGAGAGAGAGAAGGGGAGAAAGAGAGAGAAGGGAACAGATATGCACGGCCAGACCGGGCCAGACGCGAGCAGCGGCAAGTTACCGTGAAAGGGAGCGACTTCGCTTCGCTTCCCTTATCGTCCGCGACACCGTTAATGTGTGTCTCTTAACGCGAGCAATGTCCGCGATCTTCTTGTTGTTGTTTTGGTGGTTGTTGTTGTTGTTGTCACGAGGGAATTCCCTCTTTGCCGGCCTGGTAAAATGGAGGAGTTCTAGATAATCACTACCATACTTGTGGCATGCTTTTGGAGATTCATTCGTCTTCAGGCCATTTTTGCGTGGGCACTGCTGCCAAACTAACTGCGGTCAAAGCCTCCCCGAGGCGGAGCATGAAAGAGTAGGGCTCTTAGAATACTAGGGCGTTGAGGGAGGCCTTTGACCGCAGCTAGATTGGACGCAGTGGCCGCCCAAAGTCAGCAAAAACGGCTACTTTCGGAGATTCAATCATTTTTTTACCATTTTTGCGAGGCCACTGCTCCCAAACAAGCTGCGGTCAAAGCCTTCCCGAGGCGGGGCATGAAAGAGTAGAGTCTTAAGAACACTAGGGCGTTGAGGGAGACCCTTGACCGCAGCTAGATTGGTCGCAGTAGTTGTCCAAAGTCAGCGAAAAAGTCGGTGATTCGATCAGTCTTCCTGTGCGTCTTAAAAACCTATCCTAACCTGATGTGCGCTGCCGCAGGATGGTACTTCCGCGCCAAGAGGCTGTGGGCCTACCTGGCCGTGCGCAGGATGAAGGCGGCCAGGGCGCAGCGGCTGGCCCAGGCGGCCGAGGACGCCGTGCGGCACCCCGACCAGCACGTCTTCCTGCCCACCGAGTACGAGCGCCGCCTTGAGCAGCCGCGTCTGCTGCTGGCCGAGGGCGTAAGCACACTGCATCTACTTCTACTTGGGGAGTTGTCGCGGAAGTGCTGACTGTCCACTCCGCTGTCTGCAGGTGGTGGACTCGCTGTGCTTCCACGGCGCCGACTTCCACTCCAACGCGCTGGTGGTGCGCATGACCCGCATGAGGCACTGCCTCGCTCGGGTCGCGCTGCAGCTCAAGGTGGGCGACAGCGTGTACCAGCTGCCGCGTGAGTGTCCCCTGCCTGCCCTGCTGCAGCACTGCCAAAACAGCCGGTGACACTGTCTCCGTTGCAGAGATGCCGGACTCCATGGCGAGCCGCACGGGCGGCGCGTGGACGGCGGGCGGCGACTGGGGCGCGCTGCGCATCGAGGTGGTGGAGCCCCTGAAGCGCTGGCGCGTCGCGTTCAACGGCGTGCTCAGGGAGGGCCCGCCGCGCTCGCACCGCGACTGGGACGGCATGCCCGGCGACCAGGACTCTCTGCGCCACGTCCGCTTCAACTTCATGTACGTCCGCGTGACGGTGGCGTGGCAGACATCCCTTGGCTGGGATCGAACCGCGTCACTTTAACGTTGGTGCTCTTGTTCAGGTGGAACGCGTGCAGCGGCCCGTACAACTGCCGCCACGACTGGAGCGCCTCCCTGCTGGCGGACACCCTTGCCAGGGAGCCCTGGCGCAACGACCACTGGATGGACATCATGTACGTTCGGCGTGCTCACTGAAAGCCCTCGCGGTGCGGCGGTGCAACGGGTTGACATGCTTGGCGTGTTGCAGCAAGGGCCACGTGGGCGGCTACGACCAGTGGGGCGTGCTGCACGGCCAGGTGAAGGTGGAGGGCGGCGAGCCCCAGGAGCTGTACCTGCGCGGACTGCGGCAGCGGCGCTGGGGGCCCAACGAGGCGGGCCGCCTGCACCGCCGGCTCACCATCAGCGGCGTGGCCAAGAACGGCACCATGTTCAGCGTGGGCGCTGACTGCCACCCGGGACAGCTCTCGCAGTGAGTAGCCGCCGGGGAGGCCCTCGGGGAAAAATCCCCACGATGCGCCGGTAAAGTTGACAACGATGGACACGCGCAGAGTACTTCAAGAAGTGCGTCTTTCTTCCCCGCAGCGCCACCTACGGCCACGTCCGCCTGCCCGAGGGCGAGCTCGTCAGCATCGACTCGACGTCCTTGTCGCTGCCGGTGCTCGCCGAGGACAAGGACCACATCCCCAAGCACTTCGTGCTGCTGTTCACCGGTACGTGGTCGATGACCGGGGGAAAACAACTAGCAATTTTGGCGTACAAGCACGATTGACTTTCAACTTTGATGAACTTTTTGTGCAGCGGGCGGCGTGCGCTACTCCTCGGCAGTGTACCTGCCGCAGGAGGACGGGCTGACGGTGCTGTGCGAGCGGCCCTGGAGCTGGCTCATGGAGCTGCAGCCGGCGCAGTGCTCGCTGCAGTGGGCGGGCCGCGGCGTGCATCAGGGCGTCGGGCTGGTGGAGCTGTGCTACCGCTACGACGGGCCCTGCCCGCTGCCCGCCGCCGCGCCCGCGCCCCTGCTGCACCTCCGCGAGTCCAAGGCAAGCGGACTGTTCGCAGTGTAGGTGCCCGTCGGTCGTTGTCGTTGCTAATCTGAAGGTTCTCCAGGTGACCCCGGGCCCGCTCGTGCTGGGCCTGGAGGAGCGTGCGTGCAGGAGCAGCGCGCTGGTGGGCGGCAAGGGCGCGTCGCTGGCCGCGCTCACGGCGCTGCTGGCGGCCAAGAACGGCGACCAGGACGACGACGGCGCGTACGCCGTGCCGGCGGGCTTCTGCCTGACGGTCACGGCCCTGGAGCGCCAGTTCGCCGCGCACCCCGCCCTGCAGCAGGCCGTGGACCACCTGGCGGAGGCGGCCGCCGCGTCCACGGCGCCGGTGGACCTGAAGCTGGCCGCCAAGTGCGAGGCCGCCGTCAAGCTGTTCGCCGCCACGGCGGTCTGCGAGGAGGTGGCCGCCGAGGTGCGCGCCGCACTGCAGCGACTTGAGGCGGAGGCTGACGGCACCACGTCCTGGGCCGTGCGCTCCTCCGCCGTGGGTGAGGACTCCGACGAGCTGTCCGCCGCCGGCCAGAACGAGACGTTCCTCGGGTGCCGCGGCGTCGACGGCGTCCTGGACGGCGTGCGGCGCTGCTGGGCGTCGCTGTTCGCGCTGCAGTCGGTGCAGTACCGGCGGCAGTACGCGCAGCCCGTCCGCGCCCCCATGGCCGTCGTGGTGCAGCGCATGGTCCACGCGCACTGCGCCGGCGTGCTCTTCACGTGCGACCCCGCCAGCGGCGACCCGCGTAGGATGCTCATCTCCGCCAACTACGGCCTCGGCGAGGTGAGCTGGGCTTAAGCGGTACACTGTGAGGCGGCGGAAGCGCCTGCGAAGTGCGGGGTAGGCCACACTGCGCGACACCCGCGTCCTGCTTGGGGTGGGATTGCCTACCCCGCCCTCGGCAGGCGCTCCGGCGCGACTGACACGTAAACCGGCCCATTGTCTGACGCGATTCCAGAGCGTGGTGTCGGCCGCCGTGGACCCGGACGTGGTGCTGGTGAAGCGTGACGTCGCGGGCCGCATGCACGTCGCCGAGAAGCGCAGCGGAGACAAGCAGCACCGCGTCGTCCTCGCAGGTACGCCAACAACAACAACAATCTCCCCCCGGCCAGTATTTGAACCCGCGCCGTCCGCACCCCACAGAGCACGGCGGCGTGCGCGAGGAGGCGGTGGCGGACCCCTCGGCGGTGTGCCTGTCCGACGACGAGGCGCTGCTGCTGGCGCGGGCCGGCGCCAGGCTGGAGCGCGCGTTCGGCGGCGCCCGCGACGTGGAGTGGGCCTTCGCCGGCGGCCGGCTGCACCTGCTGCAGTCCAGGCCCGTCACGGCCATCTTCAACTGGACCGAGTTCGAGCTGCTGCACGAGCTGGACGCGCCCTGCACCTCGGACGACGACGTGTTCTCGGTGGCCAACACGGGGTGGGTGTCCTTTCGGTCCTTTCGCAGTGCGGACGACACGGCCGGCGTTTCGGTGACACTCGGCCTGAACTTGCTTGTCTGGCTTGTGTGCAGGGAGGTGTGCCCTGGGGCGATGTCGCTGCTCGCACAGAGCACCGTGGGCCGCGCCCTGGACGTGTGCACCGGCCGCTCGGCCGCGGGCGCCAAGTGCCAGCAGTACCACTTCAGCAACTTCACGCCCCTCACCCACCACCACCTGGTGCTCAACATCCTGTCGGTGAGCGTCGCCTGGAGGGCGCGTAAATCAGCAAAGCCTTTCCTCAAGAAAAAGCAAACATTTTATATTTGTGAGTGTGCGTAGCTGATGCTCCGGAACGTGTCCCGCGAGCTGAACTTGGGCAACGAGGTGGTGGACCTCACCATCTACGGGCACAAGGCCACCACCCCCAGGATGCACCGGGCGGCCCTGCAGCGCCACGGCATCACCATGACGGCCGCCAACCAGGTCTGCCTGCCGCTCCAAGTTGAACACGGTCTGGGCCGTGGTGGGTCCAGCCGCGTCACGCCCCAGCGCTGTTGCAGGTGAAGCTGACGGTGAACGCGGTGGTGCGGGCCTTTGGCGGCAAGCAGCACGTGCGGCGCGGGCAGGCCACGGCGGCCGCGCTGGACGTGCACCAGCAGGTCGCGGCCGAGACCACGGCGCGCGGCGTCATGCGGCGCATCACCGAGGCCCTGCCCAAGGTCATCGAGGCCTTCGCCTTCCACACCTACACCTCCAGCACCAGCTCCTTCTCGCAGGTCATCGCCGTCACGGTGCTGTCCGAGGGCGCCAAAGGTCTGTCCGTCTCTCTCGCACTCGTGGAGCGTTCCGCCGGAAAGTCCTTGGAGTAACGCGCTCTCTCTCGTCGTCCAGAGCTCAGCACGGAGCACATCACAGACGTGGCCGCCATGCTGTCCTGCACTGGAGGGGACGTCACGTCGGCGGGCATCCCCACGGCCATGGCGGTAAGGCCCGCACCATGTTGTCGCCTTACAGTGTGGTCGCTTCCCGCTCACCGAGGCTGCGTTTCAGGCGATCGCCGCTGAGGTCAAGAAGAGCCCCAAGTGGAAGGACTTCCCCACCGTGCCTGTGGAGGACGCGATGGCGTGGCTGGAGAAGCACTGCCCCGCGGCGCACAAGCTGACCCTGGCCTTCCTGGAGAAGCACGGCAACCGCGTCGTACGGGAGGTCTGTCTGTCTGTCAGCCCATCTTCCTGTTTTGCCAGTGGCGGAGCGAAATTCAAAGCTGTCGTTGCGACCTGCTCGTCTCTTCCAGTTCGACGTGGCGACGGTGACTTGGGACGAGGACCCGTCCCGCCTGATGGCGGTGCTGCAGCCCTTGGTGGCCAAGGACAGCGGCGAGGCACCCAAGGCGCCGGTCGCCGCCAGCGTGGAGGACATCATCAATAAGCTCAAGTCGCCCAAGCGGGGAAGCACCAGGTAAGGCTCGGTAGGAGCTACGACATTTTGTTTTCAAAAGAACAACTCATTCTTACTCTATACTTGTCGTTTCCGCCCAGGTTCATTTTGAAGTACCTGCTGCCCTGGTTCCAGAGCTGCGTCGTGAATCGCGAGTTCACGAAGGAGGCCGGCATCCGCGCCATCCACAAGGTGCGGAGCTCTCCTTTCGTTCGAGTGACGTTTACAGTGCCGCGTTTAGAGACGCCGCGTTAGCCCCGTCCTTGTTTGCTTCTCTCCAGTTCCGCCTGGCCTTCCGGCGCCTCGGCCTGCTGCTGGAGAAGGAGGGCCTGCTGCCGGACAGGAGCCTGGCCAACTTCCTCACCTACTGGGAGCTGCACCGCCTCACCCACGACCAGCCAGACCCCAGCATCGTCGACAAGTAAGCCGTCACGTCTCGCTCGGTAGACACCTCGGCACAGTGCATCGGGGAGGTATTTTAACGACACTGTTCGTCTGTCCGCAGGGCACGGCGCCGCAAGCGCTACTGGGCCGACTGGGACGCCCTCACCTTCGACGAGGTCTTCCACGGGCCGCCGCAGCCCCAGCGGGTGAGGGTTGCATGCTCTGCTCGCCCTGCCGCTGTCCTTTTGTTTTTGTTTTCTAAACGCCTCTGCCCCTGCCCAGTTCGACGCCGACGCCGCGGCCGCGACGGGCAGCGTGGTGGCGCAGGGCACGCCCGTGTCGGAGAGCAGCGTGACGGCGCGCGCGTGCGTGGTGCTGTCCCTGGAGGGCCCCGAGATCAAGGCGCTGCAGGCCGGCGACGTGCTCATCGCGCGCAGCACCGACGTGGGCTGGAGCCCCTACTTCCCCATGCTGGGCGGCGTGGTCACCGAGCTGGGCGGCCTCATCTCACACGGTGGGGGACAAAATCCCGGACGCGTTTTGAGCTTTATAGTCGCTAAATGGGACTCGAATCAAACGTGTGACCCCTCCAATGGATTGCTCTCCGAACGAGGGATCCATTGGTGGGATCACACGCTCAATTTGAATCAGTCTGCAGTTTGGGTCACGTTGAAGAGATTTTCGTGATTTCGTTTCAGGGGCCGTGGTGGCGCGGGAGTACGGCCTGCCCTGCTTGGTCGGCGTGCAGGGAGCCACGAGAATGTTCAAGACAGGTGACTAACTTGAGACTATAATTTCTGGTTTTGCTCTTCGACAGTCAAAGCAGACTGGCTATCTCTACCTTATCTTGCCAATCTGTTTTCAGGTGACATGGTGAGGATCAACGGTAAAACGGGCGCGTTGTCGAAAATTGAGTAAACTGACTGAGCTGTGAACTAATTAATTAATTTTAATAATATAAGTGTTAAGTTTATTGAAAATTTGGCTCTGTGTACTTCATTTTTACCACCCCACATTCCCTCCCATCGTCTTAGAAGAAATGGATAGGAAGTAAAAAGACCACACAAAAATAATTCATGTACGTGTAATAACTATTTTTATTCAGTTCTTCTATGATATCTCACATGGAACAAAGACTAAATTATAAATCAATGAAATGTCTTTTACAAGTATAAAAATACAACATTTGAACAAAATCATGCAAACTAGAGAAACTATAAAAAGATCAAATAGTACTGAAAATCATGAGTTGACAAGATAGAAGACTCTGCTTCACACTTCTCAGTACATTTGTGCATAAAGCCAACAAAAGATTCATGGACAAAACAACTGAAAGGTCAGCAAATACTCTTGTTACCATGATAACATTAATGAGATAAAATTGGAACTGCCACAGAAAAACTTATACAGGTACTTGTGGATAACAAGAAACATATAACAGGGCAGTAACATTCAAATAATATTTTTCCTATATACATGTGTTTAGACAAAACTGACCTTTTAAAGGGCACTTTCACATAACAAGATATTTTTCAGTGAAATTCAAAGAACCTTCCATGTCAGTCTGCACAGAGTGACAATTTATTTCACTCCAAGTAAGCAGAAGCCAGCAGACAGCAACATCATCAATTACAACATTAACAGTAAAACAATGTCAGCTTCCACTTTGGGGTCACTAAACTTAACTGATTGATGATACCGCTGTCTTCTTGTCTACCAACATGGCAAAAAATGTCCTTCAATAATGGCTTACAAGCCAAATTTGAATAATTTGTCAATGTTCATAAATAATAATAAAAATGACTAATAAATATAAAACATGTAGTATACAATTAATTTCTACTCTACAGTTGCCAATGATATGCACATAGAATTGCTATTTGTTCAGATTGAATTGACGACAATTGACCAATAAATACATCATTTTAAATTGACATAGATAGTCACATTAACTACAAGCAATGAGTATATTTCAAATTGACATATATGTTTGTCTTGTGCAGATTTTGTACAAGAAACTAATCTCTATTATTACAGGTCTCATTTAAAGGTAGGGTGATTTAACAGTGGTTTTAATTTTATGAGCATGACTTATCACTATCAGTATTCATAGCTAATCAATAGTGTAATTGACAACGTCAATGTCTTATATACATCATATTCATTTAGGATACTGTTACGCTTACAATCTAGCAGACTTGAGAGAATGGCCGCGATTACGTATAATAATTTTCACGCTGCTGATATAATGGCAGGGGATGTTCAGGAGACTCATCATCACTCGTACTCTTTTCATCTTCATCTTCGGTCGAGCGCTGTGATAGAGCTTTCTCTGAAAAATAGGAAGCACATTCGTTAAAAATACTGTAATAGATCCTGGAGTGAGCATGTCAACAACTACAGCCAATGAGACAAAGTTGCAGCTGGCTGCAGAAGTAACAAAGAAAAATCTCTCTCCTCTTCTCATTCAAAAGGAAGAATACAACTAGGAGGACAATAAAACATAAAACAGGTAACTAACCTTGACGCAGCTGCGAACTTGGCAGAACACATGGGTACAGCTACATGCAGTCTTGACTCGAAGGATGCGAACCTAAACAAGCACATGAAGCGGGACTACAGCATACAACACAAAAGAGACGAAACATAGGACATGCTGGGCTGCACGCAGAGAAACTACTACTGTCTGCATTATCAAACAACAATACAAAGTGATCAATTATTTGAAAAGAAAAGGCAACCTTAAACATGCAATATTGAAAATTATAAGAGTAAATAATGAAATCCTACAAAACAATTAACTTTCAAACCAGAAACAGAATTTATCAAACTTCCTGTATTTACTTAATGCAAACACCTCCAGAGATATTATAAGAATTCTGAAGTCAACTGAACGTAAGCACTATGAGGCATAAGAAGGATGGAATGTTAGAGTGAAAGAATCGAGAAAACATGGGTAAGTTGTTTAGATGTGAGGACATAGTTAGTGTCATAAGCAACTTTAGGCAACAATCAACTGGAAATTCCCTCTCTGTGCCATGTTCCAGTACAAAACATAAAATTAACACAAGAGCAAATTCTGAAACAACCACATACGGTTCTAAAACAAACACAAGCACCTGAGAACATGAATGGAACACAAAAAAAAGGACATTCACTGCCTACAAGACTTGCCCAGAATTGAGTCATTAAATAATGTCAAAAGGCTGATTGAACTCTACAAAAGCATCACAAAAGGGAACTACCAGTATTTATTAGGGCCCCACATGTAGGTAAATAAATGTTTTTAAGTCCTGGAAATCTAATTGAAGCTAATCCTCATTATCTGTCCACTAGAATTTCTATATAATACGTAATGACGTAACATAGAAGAATGACATGAAAAGAGATACGAGGAAAAAGGATCTTACATGCAACCACAGATCAAGATAACAGAGAAAATACCGTACCTGCCACAAGCTTGCTCTTCTCCATAACTTGTTTAGCGAGAATTTGATTCAGCTGCAGCAAATGCTCATGCTGCTTTTTCTCTTCCTCCGCTTTCTTTTTAAGAGTTGAAGTAGGTGGTTCTTCTTCACCTGAACAACAAATATTTCACGTTACACCAGAAACATAAAAATGATTTGATATTCACACAGTGTTTTGACTAAGTCTGCCTACCTGATGTACTGGGTAGTGTTGTGCTTGAGCGAGTTTCAGATAACATCTTGCGGATAGCATCAGCTTTGCGTAATCGTTGTAATCTTTCCTCCTGACTCAAAGCTGGTTCATTCTCTGGCACATAGCGTTCTGGAATGTGAATCTTTCCTGGCGTGCCAAGGATGGAGTCAATAGTGTCTGCATCAAACTTTGGTGCCCTTCGGGAAAGAGTGGAGCGAACTACGTCTGGGGCAGCATTGTGCCTGGTGCGGAGGGCTCTTTCCATGTCTAGGTCATCCCTCGAACGAGTGCCCTGCAGCAAGAGAAGAAAGAGTCAGACGCTGAGCCATGAGTGAGAGTGAAACCACAGCAAAAGCAAAACACACTGACAAGAGTCATCAAGGACTAGACCAATTAGCATGGGTGCGTGGTTTGGAGACTCCCTCCTTGCCCCTTCCAGGTGCCCCCCCCCCCCTTTCACACAAACAAACAAATGAATAAGAGGAAAAGACAGGAAACAACATACCAGCACAGGAAGAGGTGAGCTGGATACTTCAGAAAGGGGGCGTCCGGACACAGTGTGATGACGTCTCTTTTCACGAGGCACAAGGCGCCGCTGCACATTCTGCTGCTTGTCCTGGAGTCTCTGTTGCTGTAGTTGTCGCTGCTGCTTCTGCTGCGCCACTTTCTGTGTGGGCAAGACAGAGGGACTGGAGGCGTTCATTTCCATCACGATCTGGCGAGCAGCCTCGCTTTGGTACGCCTACAGCACCCATGAAATCAGAATTAATCAAACAATTCTTATCAAGTGTTATGTTGTGTTTCTAAACCCACAAAAATATTAAATAATCTAAGACACATATTTAGGAGGATTAAGATGATAAAGCATAGCTCTGTAGATTAGCATGTGTTTCTGGTTACCTATCAGTGCAGAAATACAACGTGATTTACTAAAATTAAATAAAGATTAAGTTAGATGAAAATGGTTTGAGCGTAAAGTTTTCTTTCTTACAACATACAGCAGCAAAGCTAAGATCATGAGCAGAAGAAGAAAAGAGACAAATGTGATGAGCCCCAATGTTGGGTCCGTGCTAGATAATGTAGCAACATTCAAATAGGAATTGCAATGGCTTTGGGCCCTGCCAGATAAGCAACACACGGAAATATCTACTCATAGTAATCTACCTGAAACAGTGGCTCTAGGGTTAACCGAATCTGACTACATCCTAACAACAAGTAGTACATGGTGCAAAGATTTATTAGACAAGTTAAAATTGAATTGAATAAAGAGGATCATTGACTCCAAAAGTCAAAGATGGGTGGCTTAAAAACTCACCTTCCACATCTTGAACAGCTACATCCAAGAAGTATTTAAGAAAAAAGAACAAACAAATCCTCACAATTTGTCAAAACTGAATTTGCGAATCTATGCTGGGCTATCAACTGTGTGACCAGTTAACTAGTCTAAAGCTCTACTTAATTTGGCTACATGCTGGAAATATAATGGAGGAAGTTGCATTGGTACAGTTTCTTTTAATTCTAATCCTCTACAAAATTCCAAAAGAGACTCACAAAGAAAACTTGGGAGACTTTTTGAATTCATGTGTCCATACTATCATGTGAAAATATTTTGCTTTCTCTATGAATATTACAAAACTATGTGTGTATTGAGTTGGTGTTGGTGAAAGAAACCTAAGATTGAGTGCAGTGAGCCGTGAGCCAAAGAATAGTCTTTGTGGGTGTGTTTTGTATCTTTGGAACTTTTCTGAAGCTGCAATAAATTGTAATTAAGGAAGCGTTTGGTCAGAGCAGTGTCAGGTTGAGTCACTCACCGCATGGTTGGCAAAGACAGGACTGAGCTGTGGAGAAGTTTCCCTTGAAGCCAAGCCCAACATAGAGTAGCCCGTAGCCAAGTGTTCTGCTGAACTTCCAAATAGCTGTTCCCTTGCGGAAAGTGGTCGGGAACCACTCGGACTACTTGTGTTACTTTCACTTCCACTTCCCGAATGAGTGTCAAACTGCATAAAAGTTAAAGTAAAAGTTAAGTGAGGACAGAAGAGGTCAAGGAAAATGAAATGAAAGCATAGCTATTACGGTGTGCGCACCATGGAAGTTGTTATAATACTCACACGAACTCTTTGACGACGCATGCCAGCCATCGATAAATTGCTCTCACTTCCAGGAGCAGATGCAACCATTGGTTTTTTCGTGCGTAAGTTGTACTTGTCAATACTGGGAGAAGCTTCTACTTCTATGCCTTGAGCATTCGTTTTACCAAAGCCTCGGGGAAGTGACAATGACCGCTGGAAGACTGCCTCCTCAGTCATCTCCAGCTCGTCATCCAGTTGGGCCATGGCTTCATCAAGTGCTTGGCTACTGGTACTTTCCTGAGCCCAACTGTTGGTTGCAGTGGTGGTGCTGGTGCCAGTCAAGGAAGAAGACATTGCTGCAGACGTCGTGAGTGCAGGGGATTCGCTGCTGCCAAAGGAGGCAGACGCAGAGGCAGTGCTGCCCGTCAGGTTGCTTGCCATGCCAGAAGAGAAGGCAGAGTGGCTTGCGGGGAGTGCGGTGGCGGTGGACGTGGGGGTTGCCTCCTCACCCTCCAGCAATTGACCCAGGCCCAGTTGCTGTGACCGCTGAGCAATCAAGAAAATATGAAAAATTTAAATGAAGCAGTGCAAAAAGATGGACAGAAAAGTCTGCAAGAGTAAAATATTGTTTGTTTGTGACATTACTTACATCTAAAATGGTCACACTGTTTTCACCCTGGTCTTCAATGAGGGCCACTCGTTTCCCCGTTGAGCCAAAGACAGGTATGCCTATGTTGCCACTGCGATCTCGGTCTCTCTGTCGACGCTCTGATTCACGTTTCACGATTCGCACTGTCTTGAACTCCTGTTGCTTTTCTTTTGGTATGATTCCTAGTGAGATAAAGGACAAGTTCAAGTTTGTACAAAAAATAAATAAATTAATAAAACCTCCAGAAACAAACATTATTGAAAAACAAAACATACCATAGTATCTTTTCATACGATCATCTGCTTCACTGAGTTCAATTTGACTGAGACTAGTTGCTCCAGGTTCACTTGAGGTGAGAAGTGTGGGAGTTTCTTCTCCGGAGCCGCTTCCGTCAGCTGTAATCACAAATTGAACATAGGAAAAGATAAGAGAGTGGGTCAGTGTCAACAACGTGGGGGCAACATAGACAAGATAAGTCTTCTTCATTTGCCATGAGTAAACTTCTTTATACTAACCTTGAGGTTTGTCATTTCCAGTATTGACATACAATGGTATAGTACTAGATGTCGATGGTGTGCTGGCAGCTGTTGAGACAGGGCTCGTTGGCTGAGATCCTGCCCCTGTGTCACGTGATACTAAAGAGTCCAAGTCCGTTTCCACCCAGGAGCTCTGTTGTTTCTTCTTTCCTGGGATTGGTCCTGCACCTGCATTTAAGCAGCACATTGAACAAAAATCCTAATAAAGTAAGATGTAAAGAAATATAAATTGAAAAACACACCTGCAACACCTGTCGGCCCTGGACGAACAGGGTCTGATTTGTCTGTCAGTTGTTTAACAGCAACACTGATTTCTTGTCGCTGTCGATGTAGGTCACCCATAATTAGTTGTACTCGCTTCAGCTCAGCCTCCAGTTGAGCAGTAGGATTAGTTGGTTCTTCAGGTGTAAAGGGATAATCAGCATCTAACATCCCAAGAGGAGGGGATGAGAAAGAATCGTGCCGAGAGGTCTGAAGCTTCTGACGGACAATTACAAGTTCCTGTTCAAGGCGAGCATTTTCTGCAACTGTTTCTTCCAATTTCTGAAAAGCAAAATAGAGATTCAAACAAACATACTTCAAGTCAAAGTAATCACAAAAATTTACCACATTAAATCCTTGAGAGTAAATAATAAAGAGTAATGTAATAAGGGGAAAAAACCTACTTTGGAGTTGTGGGCCAGGAGTAGGCGGACTCGGCTCAGTTCACGTTCCAAGAGTCTTTGTTGTTTGCGATAAGTGTCCCTAAGGCTTGGTGGAATTTGAGATGTGGCAAGTTTCAGACGCACTCCAGATAAGGCACGTTCAACGAGTTCCTAAAAGTAAGAGGCACAAAAATTTAGTTTGATAACAATAGAGGAAGTGTGGAAGATTTATTTGACATTTCAACTGTTGATTGATTGGATTAGGTACCTTATCAATTTGCAATGTTTGCAGTGTATGAGACTCCTCTTGCATCTCTTGATCAAGACGATACAATTGCTGGACTTTAGCCTGACAAGAAAACCAGCAAATAATGTAAAAAAATTCTCAGACAAAACTCTATGCCAATGTAAATGAATTTTAAAAATCAATATGTACCTGTAATTGTCCATAGTCTGGACTAAGGCGATCCCAGTCTCGTCGCTCCTCAGCCAGAAGTCTCTGCTCCTGAACTTTGTAATTAAATTCTAGCCTTTCACGAGATGGAATACCACTCAGGGAGTGCATACTGGACGAGCCAAGTACACCAGAGGTAGGGGTGCCATTGCGGTACAGAGAACCCAACTTCACCATGTTGTCCACCAAATTTACAAGAGGCTTGCCCTTTTCGTGCTGTTTCTCCAATTCAATTAATTGCTTCTTGAGATCATCAAGCCTCTGTAAATGTTCCATTTGTTTCGGTGTGTCCAGCTCAGCCAAGCGGGCCTGGAAGAAATAGAAAAATTAAGAAATGGTAGAGTGAGGTAAATTTTTTTACAACTGAAATAAATCATCAGAAATTAATGAAATTGAAAGAGGTCGCAATTGCGGCTTGTACCACATGCAGGGAGCTGAGGCATATTGTAGATCTATCTAAATTTATCTAAAAGAACTGAATGGTTCTCACAGTTTACACACACTCACACAAACACCAGACCACCACCCAAATTGTTAGTTAAGGTTTTTTTTTTGTTTTTTTGTTAGTGATATTTTATTATGGAGGCAGACCTGGGTTTCTATTTCCATGTGGCAAGATTCCATAGCTTTGCATACAGCTGCACTAGCTCTGCGCAACTGAATGAGCAGCAGTACCAGTTCTTCGTGGGTTCGGCCAAGCAATTCTCCAGCAGACACCTGGACAATACTCTGTACATGAGCCTCAAGCTTTACAAGCGATGCTGCTAGTGAAAGAAAGCATGCTCAACACAACTAAGTGTGAAAGCTCATGTAATTTGTAAATTATGATCTTTTACAGTAAGAAAAAAGATCTTATGAAATTATATTAAGAAACAAAACAAACTACAATAACACACTTAACAAAAAAATTATATAAAATGAAAGCTAAAAAAATTGTACGATACAATGACTACAACAATTAAAACAACGACAAAGTTTTGCTGACCTTGCTCACCTTGTGGGCCTGGTAGGCCTCACGGAATTCCAATGCCTCCTTGGCCCGAGCTTCCTGCACCTCGAGACTCTCCCAGGTCCTCGGTCGAATCAGCTCAAGGAAGTCCCCAGGGCTTGGTGGGCTCGTTGAGCTGTCGGGACTTGCCAGACTCTCTGGAGTTGAAAGTTCCATTGTTTGACTTCGGCTGAGTGCTGTGATTTCTGGAAAACAACGATCAAATTTTTTAAAATTAAAAACTAAAAATTGAGAGGGCAATAATTTTTTTTAAAAATTGTTTGTCTAGATTTGCTTGGTAAAAAAATAAAGCGTTGTCATACCTCTGTCCAGTGAACTGATTCTCGCGGACAAGGACGAGAGGGCCATAGAGGCGTCCCTGCCCGGGTCCGCCGCTCCGTGGCCGTCCATTGACCTGTCCATAGCCAGGGACTGGCTGAGCCCCAGCCCCGGCCCCGTCGGCACCAGCCCCGTCGGCACTAGGCCCTGGGCAAAGTCCCGCGCCGACATGGACCCGGCTCCGGACAGGGAGAGGGACACTACGGGACAGGAAACACGAACCGTCATCACACTGCGCTCGGATGGGTGCGGCAGGGCGCGGCGTGGGTGTCAGCTGTCGGTCGGACCGCCGGACCGACACAAAGACAAGGTCGACGAGGCGATGCCGTATCCGCGATCGCGTCCACGCCACTACGGCTCTCGGAAACGTACTCTCTCAATGAGTTTGGTGGCGAGTACTAACATTTTTCTCACATTTTCCCAAAAAAACTCTTGAATTATTTTCATCAAAAACTTTTCCATTTTTTAAAAGTCAAATTTTTAAATAATTTGATGTATCTTAGATCATTGCATCGTTATAATGCCCTTGATTATCTCAAAAGTATCTCATCACTTGGGAGGGGGGAAGTCCACACACAAATGCAAAAACAAAGCGGCAAAGCTGTGCTTTGAGATTTGTACCAAACATGTACAGTGCTTCAAAAAGTGCATTTAGTGTAATTACAAAATGTCAATAGTGCTGTGGTACCATCACCTCGAAACAATACTCATGGTAGAACTTAAAATTTAAAACAGATGGATACTTTGGAGAGAAACAGAGGACGGGTATATTGCCATCTTATGGTCTGCCTCATGGGTAAGCATTCACAAGCTACTGTGCACAAATAACAAAAAAAATAAAAGTCATCAAAAAAGCCAAAAAGTAAATAAAAGAAGCACATATATGAAACGGAAAACCTAATAAATTTCACATTCTTTTTACAACAAATAACAGTTTGACACCACTGTCTTCCCAAAATTTTCTCTGGTACACAGGCATGGCGTAGTGCTTTCCCAGGACAGATACAGACACTGGACAGATACAGCAGCCCCCTCTTTCTTTTTCTTTCCCTCACTGACTGGACATGACTAGCCGGCGTTTGGCCGGGCTGGCAACGTACCCGCTGGCGGAGTGCTGTTGAGGTGCTGCAGTCGAGGTCGCGGCCGCTCCGACCCCTGCCGGCCCTGCCCCTGCACCCCCTGAGCCTGTGACCCCGCCCCCCCACCGACCTGGGTGGACGGAGGCGGGCCAACCTCTAAAAAAGACTTGGTGTCGTTGTTGCTGCTGGCGTTGTTGTTGTTGTTGCTCGCGGCGTGCTGCTGCTGCGGCTGCCGGAAGGTCTCCCTGTCCTCGTCCCAGACGTAGGCGTCCAGGTAGGTCTGGCCGCGGCGGTTGCGCTCCAGACTCTCCGACGTGAACCTGGACAGGCGCTCGTAGTGGATGCCGTCGTCGCGGTCGTCCGGCGGCGCGGGCCGCGTCTCCCTGTAGTCCTCGTAGTCCTTGTAGGCCTTGGCGTGCGGCGCCTGCAGTTCCCGCGGGGGCTCGCTGCGCCGCCGCGCGCTGGCGCTGCTGTAGGCGTTGGCGCCGCGGTTCGCCCTCATGGTGACGGCGTGGACGGCGTGGACGGCGTGGCCCGGCGAGGTGGGCCCCCTGGCGGCGGGGGACGTTGGCGCGGGACTGCTGGGCGTCGTGGACGCGGACGCGTTGTCGTCCAGGTTGTCCAGCGAGCGCGTGTGCCGCAGGCTGACGCGCCGCAGGCTCTCCCGCCACAGCGCGTCCTCCTCCCACATGTCGCCGCCCTCCCCGCCCGCCTGGCTCTGCTGCTGTTCTTGTTGCTGCTGCTGTTGGCGTTGCTGCTGCTGGCGTTGCTGCTGTTGCAGCTGCAGCAGTTGCTGTTGTTGCTGCTGGCGCTGCTGCTGCGGCGGTGGCGGCGGAGGGGACAGCCCCGGCTCGTCCAGCAGCCCCTCGACGGAGCGGCTGCGTCGCCGCTTGTCCCTCAGCCCGTTGGGGTACAGGTTGTGCTCCAGGAAGTCCGGCGTGTGCGAGCGCGCCTGCACGGCGTGGCCCTGGTTCTGGGCCTGGGCCCCGCGGTGCCGCAAGCGCGCCGAGCGCTGCAGTGTGTCCGCCTCGTAGAGGTTGCGCTGGTCCACGCGCCCGCACTTCTCGGCGCCGAGGAAGGTCTCCGACGTGGAGCGCACGTCCTCGGCGAGGCGGTCCCGGTCGGGCGCGGCCATGGCGGCCATGGAGCCCAGGGTGGCGGCGTGCGCGCGGTTGGGGATGGGGTTCACCTTGCGGCCCACGTCGTTGCGCTTCACGTCGGGGAGCTGCGGCCGCTGCTGCTCGGCGCGGTCGCCCCACGCGGCGCGCGGCTGGTTGTTGCTGCGCTGGTTGTTGAGCGGCTGCAGCCGCGACCGGCCCGAGTTCTGCGTCCGGGCGGCGGCCAGGCTGCGCTCGCGTTCCGCGGCCGCGGCGGCCGCCGCCCTCACGGCGTTGGCGGTCTCCGCGTCCTCCAGGTTGCCGCGAAGCAGGTCGGAGTAGTAGTACGGCGCGCCCGCCTGGTCGCACTGCTGGCCCTGCAGGGCGTTGACGCCGTCCTGGCCCTGCTGTGGCGCGGACTGCGGCGCTTCCTGAGGCCCCGCGGTCTTGGCGGGGGAGGTCTGCGGCGACGCCTGCACCGTGCCGCTCTCGGGTCTCTCGGGGGGCGGAGGCTTGGGCTGCAGCATCTCCGGGGGCGGCGGCGGCAGCAGGTTCTCGTACAACAGCTCCTCCTCCTGCGCCTGGCCGGCCTGGCCGCCGCCACGGCTGCCGTACGACGACTCGCGGCCCTGCAGGTTGCCCAGGTACTTGTCGAGGTCCACGTCCTCCGCACCGAAGTCCAGCGCCACGCCGCTGCGGCGGCCGATGGAGTCCAGGGACGTGCGCTGCGCCGCGGGCATGGCCTTGGAGATGTAGGCGGGGTCGTCGAAGCGGTCCAGCAGGTCCTCCGACACGGACACGGGCCCGGGCCGCCGCTTGCGCAGGCTGCCCGCGGGGTCCAGGTTGGCGGCGTGCATGGCCTCGTTGAGCGCCTCGCTGAGCGCGTCGTCGACGCTCGTGCAGCGCGAGGACTGGCTCGGCGACCGCAGCACCGCGCCACTGTCGGAGAACGAGCCGCCGCGGCCGGGGTGGTTCCAGGCCGGCGAGGGCAGGTCCCCGTTGACGAGCAGGTCCTTCTGGCTGGCGATGCTGTTGGACTTGGAGTGAATGGGCGAGAGGCGGGGCTTGGCGCCAGGACCGCCCGGCACGCCGCCCGGCACGCCCACGTCCAGCGAGGAGTCGTGCAGGTCCAGGGACGTGTCCAGCGACGTGTCCAGGTCGCCGAGGGGCGGCGGGCTGGTCGGGATGGGCGGCGGCGACACGAGCTCGCTGTCCGAGGAGTCCTGGTGGTCGTTGGCGGCGTCGGTGTGGTTGAGGAAGGCGCCGTGGCCGCGGTCCGCCGCGCCCACGCCCGCCGAGACGCCTAGGTAGTACGACGCGGGCCGGAACGTGTCCGACAGGCTGAAGCGCGGGTGCCGCGGCGTGTCCAGCGAGTCCAGGTCCTTGCTCGCCTCGTCGTCGGCGTCCGAGCTCTCCGACTTGAGCGACGTCTTCTGCTGGAACGACGAGTTGGACGAGTTGAGGATGTCGGGCAGGCTGAGGCGCGGCGGCGTGGGCGGGATGTGGTCCGAGACGTTGTCGTCGGCGACGTGCGTCGAGTGGAGGTCGTCCGTGGCCGAGGTGGAGCAGTTGCTGAACTGGCGGGCGTGCACGGGCGTGGCGGGCGGCGCCGGGGTGGGCGTCGACGTCTCTGCCTCGTCCTGCTTGGAGTGCTCGGACTGCGAGCTCACCTCCATGTAGAGAGGCTCGTGCGCCGAGCCCGCGCGGTACATGAGCTCGTAGTGGGACTGCGTCGCGCCGCCCAGGTCGTCGCCCAGCACGTTGGCGATGGCCAGGGCCCTGGAGTTGATGATGGAGTCGGGCGCGAGCAGCGAGCGCGACAAGCCGCCCGTCGTCATCTCCACGTACGAGCTCTCCTCCACCTCGAACATGGACGTGGACATGGACGAGTGGCTGAAGAGCGTGTCGGACATCATCTTCTTGGACGGCGTCATGGGCAGGTAGTGCTCCTCCATGACGGTCTCGTCGTTCTTGGCGTTGCCGGCGTTGTCGTTGTCGCCCAGCATGGCGGCCATGTCGGGCGTCTTGGCGCCGCCGTACTTGTCCGACTGGCGGGACGGTGGCGGCGGCGTGCCGCTCTCGGACGCGGAGGGCGCCGCCGACGACTTGGAGCCGCCGAAGTCCACCTTCTTCTTGCCCAGGTCGCGGCACGCGCTCACGAACTGCTCGCGGTCGCGCTTGCCCAGCGCCGCGGCCACCTCGCCGTCCTCGTCCTCGTCCTGGGGGTACTTGCTGGGGTACTTGTTGGGCTGCCACAGGCTGTTGCCGCGGTACTGCCGGTTCTTGTCGAAGGGCTCGTCGAGGATCTCGGGGTCGCTGGACGTGTCGTACATGAGGGTCTCCGTGTCGCTGAACACGTGACGCCTGCTGTCCTCCTCGGACTTGCGCTCCAGCTCCGCGGCCTTCTCCTTGGCCAGCTTCGACTTCCTCTCGAAGTCCGCCAGGAGGTCCTTCACGGACTTGGGGTACTTGGGCTCCTCCACGGGCACTTCCTTGGCGGAATCGTCGCCGAAGACGAAGTTCTTCAGGATGGACCTGGAGCGAATTTGGTGCTCTGGGATTTCGTTTAAATATTCTAAGGAGCCTTGAGAGCCCGCACTGTTGCCTGCCTGGTCTTCAAACAGTTTCTTGCGGTTTGAAACAACATTTCTAGAGAGAGATTTGGTGCCTTCAAGCAGGTTGCAGTTGTTTTGTCCTCTATTTTTCACATACTGGAAGGAAAACTCTTTCACAACTGCTGTCTCATCCAGTTTTGTTTCTGCTCTGGATGACTCTCCTTGCCCACTCTGTGAGTCAAACCCATGTGGCCTAAATTTCAGAGGAGATTTGTTTGGGCTGTCATTGCTAGTGTTTAGAGCAGCACCATTCTGCAAAGTATCGTAACCACTGTCCGAGCACTTGCCAGAGAAATAGCGGTCCTCATAGAGACCTCGGTAACTGTCATTACTCCTGGATGTTTCTGACAAGGTGTGACGTTCCGTCATCCTGTTCCATTCCATTCCCCTTTGAGCGATATCTCTGGCAACAACCAAGTTATTTGGCTGACTAGACACACCCTGGAAACTGGCATTTTTTTCTTCTTGCGGTGATTGAGCTTCAAATGACACTGCTTTGCGACTACTTTTTTCTTCAGAACTGTTGCGATGGGATCTACTGGATTGAGATGGACGTCTGGACCTTTTTCTGGGCTCACGCGTGTCTCCAACTACAAGCGACAAAGACAAGGAAATGGATTGTGAACAACCAAGAAATACAATAATCATCATGATCAGCCTTTGTGCAAAATGCAAATATACTTAAAATAAAATATGAATGGAGTGTTAAGCCTTAGTTTCAAAATTTTGTAATGTAAATTTTATGAATAAATTTTCTTTTTGAAAAAAAATTATGATATAGACCTAAGCAGGCAAAGGAAACTGAGAAGGACAAAGACAAAGATGACTTCATAGCACACCAGATAAAACATGAAGAGGGCACCCATAAATCATCAACCTTCAAATGTTAAATTCATTCATGCTTACAATGCTCAAAACAGTTATTTTAAAACACATAAACAGAACACCTGAATATTATTTGTTATGCTTTCCTTTCAATGCCAAAGCAAGAAACAAGGTATTAACCATAACATTCAGAAATAAAGCATGTTCAGAGGCAATTCAAACAATCTTAATTTTTTGTAGTTGAAAATTTCCCAGTCAGTTACAACAGAAAAATACAAATACACCGAACTATCACCAATGAGCACCAGCCCAAAAATACAAAAATAATAAGAGTTAAGAAAGGTTCCTTTTCCTATGGCTCATGGGTGGAGCATGAATTGTAGAGGGCACGGTTCATGAATAATCTTTCACACTACAATTTTGGATACTTAAACTTCGCTTTCCAAATTAAATTCCTAGCATTGAAACAATTTTTTTGTCAATAAGTAACAAGAACTCCCAGCAATGAACATCATTCACATTGTAGCAAAAAGCACAGTCATCAGTACAGGCATACCTTAGCTGACAAAATGAGTTTGACACCTTGAACCATCATACAACACATTAGAGTAAGTTGTCATGCACTACAATACAGTTAGTGACAAAATGGAAAGACAGGATAAACCAAGATATAAAATGCCTCAATGACACTTCAACAGATCTGCTGTCCTACACGCCACAATTAAAAACAGTACCTGACAATTTCTAAATGTTCCCTTTGGCTTTGCCACATGCAGGGAGGGTGAGCTGGAGCTCTTGGGGGACTCATATAACAAACTCAAAGCACTACATGCAAAACAAAAAACAAAGGGAAGAAAATAAACAACAAAAAAACACACCCCATCACCATGATTTAAGATACACAAATTTCGTCAGTTTGTAGCAATTGTTAAACTACGTACATACCATCCACCACAAACAAATTAAATTGAATTAAAATTTCTACCGGCCACCAAGCTCATAATAAATTTGTTATAGGCCATAAAATTTCAGAGCCTCCATGGGAGTATTTCCTTCATTTTTTTAAGAATCCTTTCATATTGCAAAGTTTTTTAGAAGTCACTTACTGTCCTCATCAGAAGAGTAGCTTGTGTATCTGTTAGATGCTGAAGATCTGCGCCCTTCTTGGCTTCTGCTTCTGGACACTTTTCCTAAATCTTCCTGGCTTTTTAATGCAAGGAAATCTGCAGCTTGCTGAGAATCAAGCATTTCTGCACCCCATGGCACCGAACCTGCTTGATCATCAACTAAGTCTTGCATATCCATCAATTTTGGATTACTGAAATACAAAACAAAACAATCATAAACATGTTCACTCTTTCTAAAATTATTTTTAAAAAATTTCTTGAATTTCTGAAACAAAGCAAACCTCATGAGATGACTCTCCATAATTGCCTCTTGACTAAGATGCCTTGAAAGTCCCTGTGCCCTTCGTTCCTGATCAGCCAACTCTCGCAGAGCTTGCTGTTTGTAATAATTTGACAGCTGGTTTTGAGCAGAGTTAACACCTCTCGTTGCAGAGCCAGAGGGTTTCCTTGCCAAAGGAGATTGTAACATTCTCTGCTTCCATTCCAATAGGCGTTTCATGGATTCTTCACGCTACAAACATTACAAAAAATATATTTAGAAAATTGCTGTAAAAATGGCCATGAAAAATGATAAGTTAGTTCATTTCCTCTAGAGGATAAACCAGAGATTACGAACTGGAGTGGTTGCCTCTAGGGAGGAGGGTGTTGATATGTCTGGTGTGGTGCTTAAAGCAGTGTACTGTCAACAAATAAAAATTTGCAACTCACACTCTGATCACCCTTACAACACAGACAATGCGAACCCATATGGCAAATAAAATTTATTCATACAACGTTAGGTATGAAAAACAAACCTGTTGGAACTTCTGGCTGCCATAATCTGCGCCTGATCTCCTATTGGTGTACAGGCCGCTGCCACTGCCACTGTTCCGTCTGGGCTTGAAGCCCTCCTCTTCCTCATCACGTTCTGGGTCGTATTTGTGGCGGGGCAACCGAGCACTTGCAGACCGCATGAAAGGCTGTTGCGACATAGGTGACTGCATTTCAGAATAATACGACAGCAGCTGCCGTTCCTCTTCCTCTTCAATCTGTTGTCGTTGCATCTGTTCTTGATGGCTCTGCTGTTTCTGGTAATCCAGTTGTTGCTGAAGTATTTTCTGTTCCTCAAGCAGCTGCTGCTGTCTCCTTTGCATGTTCAAAAGATGTTGCTCTTCACTCTCCTAAAAAAAGGGTTTATAAATTTACAGAGAAACAAGAAAAGTTAATACTTTGAGCAAAACCTACCCTCATTAGCTCTGCAGAGGGAGATAGGACTCGATTTGCACCAAGCTCTGAGACTCTGGAGGAGCTCTGAGACTGCAGAATGTTAGAGAAGGATGGGAAATTACTTCTAGTTGGAATTTGGGGCTGTGGCAATGCTCCACTGGGATTTTGCTGCAAGAGGTATGCAGACTGGCGCATTTTTTGAGCATAGCCTTCTTCAGACCAATACACATTGTCAGGATCTCGCATTATATCAAGACTTGACTTGGGGCGTGGGGGCTGCAAATTAAATTGAGAACGTGAGCCCCTGACTTGAGGTTCAGCATTTTTAGCGATGTCCAGAGCCTCCTCATGCCTGAAACAAGAAATGAAGTGTCATTACCCTAAACCCCTTTTTAAAAAAAAAAAACGCTGTTTAAACTTTGCTTTTACTATTTTTACCTGCGAGCATCGTATTCCAGAAAGTCAGCACTGTGTGGTCTGGGTGGTTGTCTTCGAGGGGATTGTCCAAGGGAGTTAGCTGGTTGTGGTTGTGGCTGTGATTGAGGCTGTGGTTGCGGCTTATTTTCTATACGGCTATTGTAGGTTGCTTCATAGCCTTTGGTAATAATTTTGGCGCCGTTTCCGGATGTCTGCAGATAAGCTTGCTTCCCAAACTTATTGGTCCAGGTCTGGCCTTCCAACTGTCGTCTCTCACTGTTGTAAATGTCTTCGTAATCACTAGGCTTAAGTTTACTGCTTATGCTAATACTAGTCGGCACCGACCCTGCTGGTCGGCTGTAAGTGTCAGGAGTGCGTCGCTCTGTATTGTTTCCAGGCGACATCACAAGGCGGGATTGCACCTGAGGCATGGCAGTGGGGTTGAACTGATAGTTGGACTGCATCAGGCGTGGAGGCTGCTGGGGCTGCGCAGCTCCACCTTGCTGATGCTCGGGGGACTGATCACTTGAAGATCCCATGTCTTCATTTGTAAGGCGGCGAGGCTTTGGTGGGGCATTGGCATAGAGGTGATGATGGAAGCTACGATCATCAAATCCCTGCTGCTGTTGCTGCTGTTGCAGCTGCTGCTGCAGGAGAGGGCTCTGCCAGCCGTTCATTGAGCCGGAGACTGCAAGCCTGGGGCGGTAAGTGCCAAAGCCAGCATCACTCTCGTCTCCAGGGCTGTGTTGAGAGCTAATCGGCTGCTGGTTTATTACACGAGGCTCCTCGTAGCTGAAAGAAGGAAAATCTGAATTAGGCCTCCTTTTTTTGAATTGGACGAAGCAATGCCGAAGATGACTCATGGAACGAACAAGAATGAGGGTGATGAATGACAGGCAGCAAAGCAAGAAGTACATACCAGTGGATAGTATCATAGTCAATTTGATAACTTTCCTCTCTGAGAGCAGCGAGAACAAAGCATAAAAGAATTTGTTTTACAAGCCTGGCAACCCCTCACAAACCAGGCATGTAAAATAAAATATTTTTAAAATGTCAGACTCACCTTGTGGGCCGATCCTGCAAGACTGAAGCGAGACTCATGCAATGCATCCATTGCACCATAATTTCTTGGGTGTCTGCCGCAAAATAATATGTGCGCATGTTAGCATGCTCTGCCTTGAAGCTGAACTTTCGGTAAACTCGATCAACTTGAGGCGTGCAGGGCGAGATGGTGTAGGAGGGCAGCAGAATAGACCCAAGCAGTTTCTCCTCTTCAGGTCCTGAAAAATGAAAGATAAAATAAAATTGATGAACACAGCAAGCAAATGGCAAGACTTTTTTTTCTTTTCATCCAAACGTGTTCATAAGGACAATAGTACACACAAGCCCCTGGGATTTACAAGGGGGGTGAAAAGACAGGAGGAAAAATCAATTTCATGAATAAAATTCACAATGCTAACCTCCATTTCTGCTGTTAAATGCATAAACCTACGATAAACTAAGATATTCTATAAAACCACTATGCACTTTTCATTCTGAAAACGGGTTTAAGTAAAGAAAAACGGCAGAAGGGGAAAATGTAAATGTCAACAAAAAGTCTTCTGCTAGAGTCGGCTTTCGGCTGAAAATTGGCCAACTTGAGCACTAGAAAACACTAGCTTGGAAATCGCAATGAAACATTGGAGAGGCTTTCGTTTGGGCTGTGAATGATTGCGAGCGACTGGGCTATCACAGGGTCGCGAATCCCCAGGGGTCTCTCAAATATCGATTCATCTTTCGCAAGAAGCCAAACGAAGGCATGAGTGGCAGCACTGCAGTGACGTAACCAGCCCTTCCAGTGGTCCAGTAGGGCCAACGTGGAAGACGCCTCCGGTTGGCGGTCAGAAAATCACACCGATCGCGCGAATTCGGCTACAGTACTTCCGAACTGGGATAGTCGGCTCCGCTACACCGCACTACACCGCGCAGAGGCGCGAGGGAGCCGAGAGCACCGCCTCCGCGGTTTCTGACCGACAGTTGGCTGCAAGGGGTGGCTGGGGGCGGTGACCCCTATCCACGCGACTGCGCGCCAAGTTCGAAACGGGCCGCACAGTGGGCCAGAAGACCGACGGAGGCGGCCAAAATTCTAGACGCTTTTTGAGCTCCAGAGTCGCTGAATAGGACCTGAACCGAGCGTGTGACCCCTCGTTCGGAGAGCAATCCATTGGTGGGGTCACACGTTCGGTTCGAGTCCCATGTAGTGACTCGTGCTTCGTGCTCACCTTTGTAGTAGAAGAGGCAGTAGTCGCAGAGCACGAACCAGCGCTTCTTCCACAGCATGAGGCCCTCGCTGCCCTGCTTGTGCAGCCAGCCCTGCTGGGTGACGGGCGCGCCGACGGGCCTCTTGACGACGGGCGAGCGCAGCTGGGCCGCGCGCTGCGCTACCTTGCCCAGGCGGCGCGGCGTGCACACCTGGCCGGCCTGCAGCGCCTGGCGCGCGCACGCCTGCAGCTGCGACAGCTGTTGGCTGCACTGCGAGCCGGGCGGCGACTGCAGCGAGTGCTGCGACGGCGAGGCCACGCTGCTCAGCCCCAAGTACTGATTCTGCTGCTGCTGCTGGAACTGTTGTTGTTGCTGCTGTTGCTGCTGCTGGTAGTGCTGCTGTTGTTGCTGTTGCTGCTGCTGGTAGAGCTGCTGTTGGTACTGCTGCTGTTGCTGCTGCTGCAGGTGGACGTTGGCGGGGTGCGGTCCGATGGCGAGCTGTGAACAAACAGGCAAATCAGTTTACGCCGATTGGTCGGACTGGCGTTCCGAATCGACTGCAAACAAAACAGGGGCAACAAAAACGCAATGAGGGAAGGCAGGCAAGGCAGGCCCTAACGAGACCAAATTGGGTTGCGCCTCTGTTTTCCTCTGTTTTGCCGCCGCCGCCGAGGAAGTGAGCGATCCCGGACGCGCGGGCGGGGCGGACGAGCGGCACCGGGACACACCGGGGCGTCGGCCGGGGAAGCAGGGAGAGTCTCAGAGGGAGAGCGCGTGGGAGAGTAACGGAGAGACGGAGAGCCGGAGAGCGGCGCGGCACGCTGCCCTGCCCCGTTGCCCCGTTGGCCGGCCCGGGTTGCACTTTTCCAATAACGCGCTGCCGGGAGCGCTCTCCCCTCGGCTCTCCCCTTGGCTCTCCCCTCGGCTCTCCAGTCGCACGACATAGCGGGGACTGCTGGGATTGCGTTTCTGCCGAGTGATTCAAAAGTTTTGCCATTGACAGATTGGTTTAGGCGAGTGAGCGCGGCATTGTGAAATCGTTTGCTGAGAAACGTTTTCTTCAGTGCCCGGAAAACTGGCGAGAACGAGATGCGGCGGACAGGGGGGTGGGAAAGGAGAGAGAGAGAGGGGGGGGGGAGATAGGGGGTTTGCTGACGAGCCATTGTGTTTGCCATATTTCAATTATCGGCTGCTTGGAGGGAGGGGGAGGGGGTCGGTTGCTCTCAGAGGTCCGGGAGGAAATAGCTTCGAGCAATAAACTATGGAGCAGAGAATGAGAGGAGCGGCGTCACTGAACCGATACTCACGAACGCCGCGGCGCCACCCTAAAAAAAGAGGGGGGGGGGCAGCCAAGGGGGTAGGAAAAAGAGGGTGGGGGTCAAAAGGGCCCGCGTCATGTACCCGACCCCGCTGCCGCGCTGCCGCCGTCGAGGCGAGGCAGCCCCTCCGTGTCGGAAACGATTCGAGTGTCGGACGGGGAAGCGGGGCAGTGGCCTCCGTGCCTCCGTGGCAAAAGTTTACTTTCCTGCAAACTTTGCTTTCCCTCCCGGCCCTAAACCACCCCTCTCTCTCACTCTCTCTCTCTTTCTCTGCTCCCCGCGGGGCGCGGGTCTGTTCTCTGCACGGCTAAGGGCTCAGGCCGTTTGGGGATAGCCGCTGTGTCGAGAAGAATAACAGCACGGTGCCAGTGACTCGAGCACCAACACGGCGCGCACCGCCATCGCCGCATACCGTCGGTATTGACGGGACGCAGTGAGGCAGGTGGAAGTTGCCGAGGGCGGCTCAGGCTTCCCCCGGCTTCCACAAATTGAGCAAGGCAGCGGTAAATCTCGTTTGCCCGGGGCATCGCCGGGGCATCGCCGGGGCATCGCCGGGGCATCGCGGCCCTCGGGGCGGCGCGGGGCGGCCCGCTCCAGCACGGGCTCTATGGCCCCAGCCGCGCCGGTTTATAGTATTCAGATATTGGAGCGAAACGGGGCGGCACGGCGCGGAGGGACTTCCACCCTGCCCGCCTTCACGGCGTCAAAAATAATAAAATAATCAGCAAGCCACGCCGCCGTGTGAAATTCATCCGTTCGACCGCCGCGCGAGAGTTGGCGCGGCTGGTCGGCGGTCGTCGTTGCAGTGTGCCCCCGCCACCGACTCGGGCGGAAAACACGGATGCAACAGCACACGGGAGACTGCGGGGTGGCGGTGCGCCCCGCGGACACGGCGAGGGGGGGGCGTCCCTTTTTGTGTTCCTGCTCTCGATAAGGCGCGAAGGGAAGGGTACTTGGCGCACAGGGCCGGAGGGCCGGGGGGTGGAAGGGCTGCCTGTAGCACACTGTAGCAGACCATCTTGACCCATATTCCCCCGCGTGCTCCACCGACGCCCCGCCTCGCCGCGCCACGTTCGTGGGGCGTCCGCCGAAGGAAGAGAATGAGCACTGCAAATTGTAGTGAGTGGGGGGCGGCAGGCGGTCGGGGGTTGGGGGTGGACGTCAGAGCGAGCCTTGCGGTGCGAGGCCAGTGCGGCCCCAGCCACCGCAGCCCCACCGCCCCGCGGCAAGGCCCGCGGCCCACACAGCCCCAAGCGATACCAGTCACTACTTGCCACTTCGCGACCCACTTATTGCCGCCCACCGCCGCCCACCGCCACTCATTCCCCGGGCAGCCGCCCTGTCCGCCTCGTCCGCCCCGTCACAACGGCGACGCTGCCGCCGGGAACACGCGGAGCCGAGCCTTCTCAAGGCCCTCCAGGCCCTCGCCATTCCGACGCACGCACACACACACACACACACACACACACACACACAACGTCCATAGTTTCGAGTCAATAGTCCCGCCAGGCAAGGCAACTTCCCCCCGCCCCCCCCCCTTTCGTGTGCGCCGCGCTCTCTCCGGAGAAGCAAAGGGGTGGAGGTCAACAGCGGCAGGCAGGTCGAGACTCGAAGAGACTCGAAGAGAAGAGTGGGCCTGGTTAGGGACCTCGACTAGCAAACGGAGCGGGCACGCCTCTGCGTGTGTGTGTGTGTGTGTGTGTGTGTGTGTGCAGAGAGGCAGGGCTACGTGGAACCAGGAGGCACAGGGATGCGTGGGGAAAGCGGAAAAGTGGCACAGGAAGGAAGGGTTGAATGGAGAGGGGGTGGGGGTAACCGAATAGTGAATAGGGCAGGGAGCTTCACTTGGTTCTTGCCGTGCGCGAGGAAGAGAGGCAGAGCAGCCTGTCGGCCACCCCACTGCCACATTTATAGGAGCGTCCGAGAATGATTGGAGGCGAGACGAGGACGGTGAGTCCCAGCTCGGCCTGGCTCGGTCCATCTGGCCCGCCATGTGAGTCCGGCCGCATGCCATTAGTTAATGGGGCGGATTGGGGTGGAAACGCCGCGCGGCGCCCGCTGGACGGACGGACAGTGTGTGTCCAGGGACTGCCAGGGACCGAGCGGGGCGTTCTCACGCTCTCTGCCCGACCCCCACCAATTAGGCGAGGGCAAAGGAAAGCCACGCCAACTTCGGCTTCGCCGCGCGCTCCGCCAGGTGAAGCCGAGCGGCGGCGTCCCGTTCCAGTTCCCTCTCCTTCCCCTCATTTTCCTTATCTTGTTTCGGGCCTTCGGGGTGATATTTTCCTTTTGCGGTGCTCATCCTCATCCCCAGCCTATCAGGATCCCTTCCCCCCCACCCCTCCGCCGCCCCGGCCGAGGCTCCCCGTTCGCAGGGCTCTGAGCTTTGAGCCGCTGAGCCCCGCGCTGCGGTGCGCTGCGGTGCGGTGCCCCCGCAGCTCTTGGGCCACACGGCGTCTCGGTATGGGGCGCCGGCGTCGTCGTGGGGCCGCCCAGGCAGGGCTGGCTGGCAGGGCAGGCAGGGCGCACTGGACGAGGACGGCCCTTGTGCCACCGTGTTGAGCCTAATCCTGTTGCTTGTAAAGCTACCCCGCCAAACACCCCGGCCGCCGCTTCGCACTCCACACCGCGGGCTTTGAATCATCGCCACTACACGACCAGTGCGACCGGCGCCTCGACAACGTGTTCCCGCGAGCCGCCGCGCGCGGAGAGGGAGAGAGAGAGAGAGAGAGAGACAGAGAGAGAGAGAGAGAGAGAGAGAGAGAGAGAGAGAGAGAGAGAGAGAGAGAGAGAGAGGGAGAGAGAGAGAGAGAGGGGGGGGGGGGAGAGAACGCAGCGCCGCGGGCGCACGGAACGCCTGCAGCGTAGGCTTCCAGCGCGCACGCCTGCGAGGCGCACTGCCTACCCCAGCGGTTCTCAACCTTTCTCGGCTCGCGACCCCAAATTTAAAGCCAAAAATTTCCGCGACCCCCAGGAAAAATTTCGCGACCCCACGGGACCCCTCCTTTAACATGCCACGGCGTCTGATCCGAGGCGGGCATTTTGCTCCCTCAACGAGCAACTGGTCTTTGGACCTTCCTATAGCATGCCTTTGTTACGGAGTGCAATTATCAGTCTTAGTTAGGGAGCAGTATTGTCTCAAAGTTGGCCGAAACGGTCAGCAGTGTCTTTGAAAAATCGTGTTTTGGGCCGATTTTAAGCAGCCACTGCGTCTGATCCGAGGCGGGCATTTTGCTCCCTCAACGGGCAGTTGGTCTTTGGACCTTCCTTTAGCATGCCTTTGTTACGGAGTGCAATTATCAGTCTTAGTTTGGGAGCAGTATTGTCTCAAAGTTGGCCGAAACGCTCAGAAATGTCCATGAAAAATCGTGTTTTGGGCCGATTTTAAGCAGCCACAGCGTCTGATCCAAGGCGGGCATTTTGCTCCCTCAATGGACAATTGGTCTTTGGACCTTCCTTTAGCATGCCTTTGTTACGGAGTGCGATTATCAGTCTTAGTTTGGGAGCAGTATTGTCTCAAAGTCGATCAAAACGGTCGCAAGTGTCTTTGAAAAACCGTTGTGACTATTTTGGTCAACTTTGAGACAATACTGCTCCCAAACTAAGACTGATAATCGCACTCCGTAACAAAGGCATGCTAAAGGAAGGTCCAAAGACCAACTGCCCGTTGAGGGAGCAAAATGCCCGCCTCGGATCAGACGCAGTGGCTGCTTAAAATCGGCCCAAAACACGATTTTTCATAGACATTTCTGAGCGTTTCGGCCAACTTTGAGACAGTACTGCTCCCAAACTAAGACTGATAATTGCACTCCGTAACAAAGGCATGCTAAAGGAAGGTCCAAAGACCAACTGCCCGTTGAGGGAGCAAAATGCCCGCCTCGGATCAGACGCAGTGGCTGCTTAAAATCGGCCCAAAACACGATTTTTCATAGACATTTCTGAGCGTTTCGGCCAACTTTGAGACAATACTGCTCCCAAACTAAGACTGATAATTGCACTCCGTAACAAAGGCATGCTAAAGGAAGGTCCAAAGACCAACTGCCCGTTGAGGGAGCAAAATGCCCGCCTCGGATCAGACGCAGTGGCTGCTTAAAATCAGCCTAAAACACGACCCCAGCATCGCCGCGACCCCTTAAAAAAATTTCGCGACCCCGCTTGGGGTCGCGACCCTAAGGTTGAGAACCACTGGCCTACCCCGCCAGGCGCTCTCTCTTGTAAGTCTCTCTCCGTCTCTCTCGCACTCCCACTCGCGCCCTAGAATAGCGTCGACTATTACTGTCCAACGACCTGCCGCGCTGCCGCCCTACCGCACGACACAGTGGCACCGCTATGGATTTCTCGTAACCCACACCGAGCTTCGCCACCCCCTGCAGTCCCTGCAGGTCCCGGCCCATCTTCCTGGAGTCTCTCTAGTCTCGCCTCGCCTCGCCAGTCCGTCCCGTCCGTCCGGCAGGCAGGCAGGCCGTCCATGCCTTATGCATCGTGGCCTGGTTCTGGTGCCTCGCCACTGCTATCCGGGCCCTGGCGCCGCTGTCGCCTCCGGCCACATCGACTGGCCGGTACGCCCCGCCCCGCCCCGCCCCGCCCCGCCCCGCCCAGTCCGACTTGGCATATTGCCAATATGCCGGGCGTGCCGCCCCGCCCCGCCCCGCCCTGCCCCGCACACACCGTTGTCACAGCCGGCCGGCCATACGAGATTCGTACCGCGTCGCGTCTCCCGGGCGAGAACCTTTGGAATCCCAACGGTGGCTATCGTACGCCTCGCCTCGACTTCCAAGGCCCGCGTTCCTCTCTCCCTGCGAGGTGGATAGAATCATCTTTGGCGGCCAGTTCGTCCGATTAGCCGCGGACGGACGGACAGACAGACAGACAGACAGACAGGGTTTCCTCCTGGACCGCACACGGCACGCCCACCCCACTAGTAAGTCTTATCGGATGGAATAACGGAGTTGATCCGGAAGCGTTCCATTCTGCATCCGGGTTTCGCTGACCCGTCTGTCTGCCTGCCTGTCTGTCCGTCCGTGTGTCCGTCCGCCCGTCCGTCGGATGATCTACGATCTGCAGTGCGCTGCGTGCGGCCGTTCGTTAGGCTGGAGTGCAAATAATGACCCTAGCATTATTCGCAGAGCGAACAGCCGAGGGGAAGTGGAGGGGGGCCGACCCCGTCCCACCTCCATCGAGAGGAGGATCGGGTGTCCCGCCGAGGCCAAACCAACCCAACTGAAAGGCAGAGAGGAATGGCGATCACCCCTGGGGCACTGCTTGTTCTTGTTTCGCCTGACTGATGTGCGAACGCCAACTCCTCGACGCCGCGACTCAAGTATCGGTAGCAGAGTCGCACCGACATCCACTCCGTTTTCTTTCCGTTCGACTCGCGTGGGGTGGCCGGCCCTGTCCGCGTGTACGGGATGCCCCATGAGTGCGAGAGAGACAGAGCGTCGGAAGCGGCCCGGGGTGGAGCAGCATGCCTTTCATCACCGGGACGGCGAGGAGGCAGAGGAGGCCCGCCCAAGCATCCGGGGCAAATCGGGTCGTTTGGAGCGCGCCCCAAAAAGGGGATGCTCCATGTCCAATCTGTCGGGGCGACGGTAGTAGGGGATCCGCCAGCCCCGCCCCGCCCCACCCCGCCCCGCCCCGCCCCGCCCCGCCCCGCCCCACCCCACCCCGCCCTCCAGACGCGCGGCGGCAACTTTTCTGGACCACGCAGAGCGACGCAGAGGAATTGGCCGGGTGTCACGGAAGATAGGGGCGGCGCGGCCCGAGGCGCGGCTAGTCAACCGCGGGGGGTATAAGGTGGTAAAGATCGGGGCAGGGCCGAGGCAGGGCCGAGCCAGCCGCCCTACAAAGGAGGGGGGGGGGGGGCTGGGGGTCACTGGCTGGCCCGAACACGTGGTGGGAGTGGGGCACGGTGGGGGTAGGGAAGGGCACTGTGCTGGAGCGGCAAGCGTGAACGGCCTGCAGCAGAAACTGCGCCCTCCCCTCCGCCACCCCCTCAACCTCCCCCCCCCCCCCCCGCGCGCCCCCGCCCCCCGGCCCCCGGCCCACAGCCACCCACCGAGGCGGCGGGGCCCTGCGCCCTGCGCGCGGCGCGCTGCGCGATCCGGCGTACTACAACACCGCACATCGATTTTTGGAGGGTAGGCGACACGCCGCGGCACGCCGCCACGGAGTGCACGGAGTACACGGAGTGCGGCAAGAAGGAGGAAGGCGGCGGCGGGAATGCGTGTGGGGCAGGCCGGGCAGGCGGGGCAGGCCGACGACCAAGGCAAGGCCGACGGAAGGGCGACGGAAGGGCAGGAAAGGGAAGGGAAGGGACCGGCACCGCGAGGACTGGGACACACCGAGCCCTGCGTCCTCGCGTCCTCGCTGCGGGGCTTGGCACACACACACACACACACACACAGGGAAAAGCATTACCGAAACACTCGCACACCACGCTGCCCTCCTTTTCCAGTGGCACACATTCACACATACGCGCACACTCACACATATACACACGACAGACGCAAACGCAGCAGCCTCCCGCCGCCGGGTGATTATGCCATTCGAGCGAATGAAACCGCCCGGGGGTTGCTGGAGATAAGCGCCCGTCGCGCGCGCGCGCGCGGGTGTGTGTGTGTGTGTGTGTGTGTGTGTGTTACTCTTTTTGCGCACAGGGCCGCGGGATGAAGGGCATGTCACATGAAGGGGTCGTCCCGGCCCGGCGGCGTGAAGGGGGTGATGATGATCGCGAGGACGGGGCGCGGAGGGCGTGTCCACTGTGTATAGCAGTAGAGCCCCCCACAGCACAGCAGCACACAGGTACATGACAACCCCCGCCGCCGCGGCACTGCCCCAGTGATGAATGCACCCCGTCAGACCGAGGCCGCTCAAAGTCGGTCCGAATCACGATTTGCACGGCTGGGGCGGCGGAGACAGACAGAGGGTTGGTGTTTACGGAAGTGGCCCGTCCGGCCCGGGCAAGGCGAGGCGGGGCCAAAGCCACCGCAGCCGCGAAAGCGGTAAGCGTGGTAAAGTCCGCTAAGTGGCGGCCGGCTGCGGACTCTCCCCCCCCCCCCCAAACCGGGGGGTTTGCGGCAGTGGACCGCGCAACACCGCTCTCCTGCGGGTTCCGAAATCATCCCTGCCAGGTTCTCGCCTCCCTTCCGCGGTTGGGCGACCCCTGGCTGCGCGGGCTGCGTCGCTGCGTCGCGCCTCAGTGCCCTCTACCCTTTCGACCGCCGTCTGCCTCAACGGCTTGCCTGGCTTGCCCTGAGTGGGATTCGTTGCGGCGCGGATAAATAACCAGCAACGCCATGGCGGGCTCACCTTTCGGACTTCGTGGACGGCAACGGCAGGGTTGCCGATGGGCGACGTCTGCGGAGCCTCGAGCCTGGAACAAAAAGAAAACAAAAACACAGCGGTCAGAAAAGCGCATCGTGTAACTCTTGGTGGAACAGCTCAGCACCCGGTGAGCTTGTCGCTCCAGGGTACATTAGCGACCGGAAAAATTGAATTTTCCAGAGCGGATTTCCCCGCCACGACGCACTGTAAGGGCGGTGTCCTTTTCCGGGTGTGGCGACGACGCCCCGGGGACGGCCACATAGTCGAGTGCCCGGGGACCCTAATCAGAAAACATGACAAACATGCTTTCGAAAAAACGATCAGAGCGGGGCTTAGAGGGTGGGGGCGGCAGTGGGCCGCACTGCGTGTCGCCAGCACGGCTCCCCCCCCCCCCCCCTCCCACGCGATGAGACGTTGACAACCCCCCACCATCTTGCGACGAGGCGGGATGGGCCCGCCGTCAAACGACCAATCAGAGCCCCGAGACTAGAGCACTGCGAGACTGCGGGGCAGCCCACCACCACACACGCCCAAAAAAAAAATCGACTTCATGTTTCAAGTAAATTCACTCTCGGTTCAAAAAACGACTTCTTTTTTCAGGGTGGAGGCACTCACCATGTCCAGATGTGGGAGAGGCAGGACGAGAACATAGCGGAGCCTCCTGAAAAAAGCGCGGAAACCGAAACCGGACGCTCAGTCACACGCCCCACCGACCAATCAGACTCACACAGTCCTCAAACCCCGCGAGCGGTGGAGCAGCGCGCATGACTCGGAGGAGCGGAGAACCTCGCGGAACCTCGCGGAGTAACTACTCGGGGAAAAGCGGAAGCAGGGGAGGGGAGGGGGAGGGGGGGGGGTGATTCTCCGGAGACCGCCTGCAGAGCGGCAGCGAGTAGGCTCCATGCCTCCACTTCCCTCAAGGTGCTTCCCTGAAAGAGCAGCAAGATTCTTGACTTTAGGGGTGGCAGGGTGGGGGAGGGCTCGCGCCACTGTAGGCGGGGCGGGGGAGGGGGCGGGATCGCCAACACTGTAAGCTAAGCCCCCTTTTGTCGACTTGACGCCGTGGACACGGGGCGCAGCGAGTCGGGGCGATCAGGCCGAGGGGGGCTTCGGCCGAGGCTTTCGGCTCAGGCGAATGCATCAGGTTCCCGCGATCACATAATCCAAATAATCCGAATAATCCCTCCTTCTTCGGGATTTCGTCTTTCTCGGTTCTCGCTGACCCTCCCCTCTCCTCCCCTCCCCTCCCTCCATCGCTCATCCATCCATCCATCCACTCATCCATCTACCCATCCATCTCTCCATTCATCCATTCGGCCGTTTGCTTTTCTGGTGGACGTCGAGGCGTGGCGGGGTGTTTGCCGGCATCGACCCGCGCGCCGCGTGCTGCCGCGTGCGGCCGCGTGACTCCGTGGACTCGGAGGAGGAAAGCGATGAGGAAAGCCCCTCGAGGAAAAGCCCTCAGAAGAAAAGCGGGGAAACTTGCCGGCACGACACGCAAGTTGGCCCGGCAGGGCGGCAAGGGCCCTGCACGGCGGAAGGGAAGGATTAAGGGGGCAAGTTTGGTGCGGTGAGCCGGTGAGCCCGTCGACGAAATTCGGCACTCCGCGCACCTGGGGCCGCCAGGGCCGCCAGGGCCGCCAGGGCCACCAGGACCACGAGGCAGGGCCAACGCGGCGGGAGCGGCGGGCCGGGAAAATCGGGAAAACCGCCACGGGAAGCCGAACCGTGTGAAAATCCCCGCGAAATCGCATCATTATTGCAAAGGTGAGGGGGGGGGGGTCGCTCTCGTGCATTTTGCACGGAATGATAAATACGTGATGGACTTTGCGTGCGCACTTAGTGCGCGCGCGCGTGGCACAAAATGCGCTTATTTGCGAGAGGGAACGTACAATCACACAGAGAGACACGAAAAATCTTTCTGAAAGGGAAGCTTGGAAATTTCCGACAGATTCCCATTTATTTCTAACGCTGGAATCTAGTAGCGTAATGGGCAAAACGCGCATGTCCCCTTCGGCGGGACACACGTCGCGAGGCCCCTTCGAGACACCCCCCCCCCCCCCCCCGGCCTTGACGGCCACGCTCCGCGTTCCGCCCCTTGACGTGCACGGCGGCGGCCTCGCCCGCCTCGCCGCGACCCCGGCGGCTACCAGCGCCGCCAAATCTACATCACAAATTTTCCATAAAAAATAGGGGGCGGGGCGCGCGGGGCCTTGGCCACGGAAGGCAGGCAGGGCCGAGCGCGCCCTCGGACCCCACAGACCCTACACGCCCTTAAGGCCCTTCAGGGTGATAATGGCGGGAAAGGGCCTCAATCATCGTGCTTTAATCCGGTGGCCTTGGCCCTTCGCACACACTGTAACGTGTAACGCGGCATTCAATTTGCACGCCACAGTGGACCTGCCAGAAGACCGGCGCAGGCGGTCGCAAAACTCTAGGCGCGTTTTTAGCTCCAGCGTCGCTGAACAGGGCTCGAACCGAACGTGTGACCCCACCAATGGATTCCTCGTTCGGTGAGCAATCCATTGGTGGGGTCACACGTTCGGTTCTAGTCCCGTTCAGCGACTCTGGAGCTCAAAACGCGTCCGGGACTTTGACCGCCTCCACCGGTCCCAGCCGGTCAGCCTGCAGCGTAGGCAGCCAGCGCACACGTCTGCGAGGCGCACTGCCCACCCCGCCGGGCGCTCTCTCCGTCTCTCTCGCACTCGCAGCGCACAGCGTCACAGGCCGGCTTTTCAGGGCCAGGAAAAAGGACACGTAAAACCGCACTCATGCATCTGTTTGCACAAAACGGCGCGCTGCCCTCGACGGCGGAGCAGCGCACGGGGCTCCAGGAGAGGGCTCCAGGAGAGGGCTCCAGGAGAGGGCTCCAGGAGAGGGCTCCAGGAGAGGGCTCCAGGAGGAGGGTCTTAGGGAGCACGGTGCGGGGTCGCGCTTAAGAAGAGCGCCATTAGCGACACCGAGAAGCCCCCGCAGCCAATCAGGAGGCTGATTCCGAACGGTCGCACCGTCTCTCTTGCACGCCAGTGTCCCTGCGGGCCTGCCCCGCGAGTGCGAGAGAGACAGAGCGACTCCGCCCCGTTTAATACCACCGGCCGCGGAGCCGGGGCGCGGGGCCTCAAAAAGGGCCGCGGGTCGGTAAGTGGCTGCTAACTCGATCAGGATGGGCCTGCCTGCCTGCCTGCCTGCCTCGCGGCGAGTCAAGGTGTGATGACAACCGCCACTCAGAGGCCGAGGTCGTTTGAAGCGATTCCGACCGACTTCACGAAGGGAAGGGAAGGGCAACGAGCTCAGATCGGAGGCCCCGCTTCCGAGGTTTCGCTACGCAAATTAATTTGATTACAGCCAACTCCTGTCATCCCTTTAGAAAAAAGGATTTCAGAACGCGTTCTTTTGAGCGGGCCGGCGCTAAAATTGGGCGTCGGACAAAAACAGGAAAGGACTTAACGAGAAGGCCGGCAGTCGCACTGCTCCGCGTCATTGGCGGGTCGAAAAGTCGTACCGCACCCGGACACCGACCGCGCCTTCTTCGAACCTATCCCACGCTCTGGGCGGTTGAGCGGCGGTCGCCGTCACGCTGTCTGTGTCCGCGGTTCGCGTGGCACCGCGTAGCACGCGCCGTTCGATTCGGGGAACGACGTGTTCGGGGAATCACCACAGAGAGAGAGAGAGAGAGAGAGAGAAAGAGGCGGCGATGTTTCTTCCCCTTTCCGCGGTCGTCACGTCATGATTGGTTCCGCCGTTGCATGCGCGCTGGGGGCGCCGCTGGCGGGGCGGAGGACTGTTGTTTGTCTTGGCAGCACACACACACACAGACACACACGTCACGAGATGATGGAGGGTGAAGAATGATGCCGGTGGTGGTGATGTTGATGTTGACGGCGGTGGTGAAACGCGCCGCGCGGGGCGGTGTCCGCGGCCCACGAGTGCCCACTGCGTGGCCACTGGCCCACGCTAGCCGGCTGGCCCGCGGGGCTGGCTGGCGGGGCTGGCGGGGCTGGCGTGCCGGAGGGGCCCGCTGTGGCCGCCGCGCTGCCTGTGGCTCCCTGCCCCAACCGACCAGCCCGTCGTCCCAGTTGAAACTGCGGCAGCGTGCCCCCGCCGTACAACGCCCCCCAGCGCGCCCCCGCCGCCCCCGCCGCCCCCAGGCCCCGCCCCGGCCGCCGCCACCCCCTGCGACTGCTGGCAGCGAACAGACTGCGCGTCCAACGCCCCCACCCCCACCCCCACCCCCACCCCACCTGGAGGCCCGGAGGAGACACCCCTGTTCCCTCGTCAGCCACTCCAGCCCCCTAACCGCTACCCGCCCCGGCCGCCCCCGGCCGCCCCCGGCCGCCCCCGGCCGCCCCCGGCCCTGGGCCTCGCGTGGCGTGCGGCGCGGTGTTTAGGGCCTTGAGACGGCCTTGCGCTGCCCGGCCTGCACACTCACACACACACACACACACACACACACACACACGGCCTGGACTGAATGAATAACCCGAATCGGGGTCAACGCGACGCTCGCTGCCGGGGCCGGGGCCGGGGGGCTGCCCGCCTGCCCGTCCGCATGCATGGCGCTGGCATGGATCTGGAGGGGTGGCGGCCGGTGGCGGCGGCATGGTCCCGGAGTCCGGAAGTCCTCTCAGCTCCGGGCGGCTCCGGGCGGTCCTCGGCTAACGCGGTTCGACCCTCCACGTGGGAGAGTGGGAGCGCCGAGAGTGGGTGTACGGGTAGCGACGGGCGACAACTTCAGCTAAACGAAACACAGAACGACGAGACACGTCCGGGACTCGGTGCGGCCCTCGATAGTCAGTCGAGGCCCGCCGCTCCCAATGACCACGTGACCACGGCGGGCAGCACACCGGCCCCGCCCCTGGTCGTTGGCGGTCACGGGCAGCACGGCCGGCAGCGGGACAGCGTGAGACAGAGTGAGACAGAGTGAGACAGAGCGAGCGGCATAGTAATGGCGAGTGCCGCGGTGCTGTGGCCAGAGCCCCCTAATAAAACAGATGGACAGCGGCCTGCGCTCTCTCCCCCCTCCCCCCCTCTCTCCCACCGCCGCGTTAAAGCGCAGGTACTTAAAGCACAGGTACTCGACCGCGCTTGGAGCGAAACGCCTTGCAGCGCGGGCCGACCCGTGGCACGGGCGTGCGTGCGGGTTGCCTGCCGGCCAGGCTGCCTTGCCGCCCCGCCAGGGCTGGCAGGCAGCCGCGTCCGCGTCGTCCACGTCGGCCGGCCGTGCCGCTCTTGGTGGAGACGGGGACTCACTCAAGCGCCTGGGGGCCCGGCGGCCCGGGGGCGCAGACAGCCCTCAGCTTGATTAGCATTCTGTTTCAGCGTTTCGGGGCGCCACCTCGGCAAAGCGGGCCAGCCGCCAGGCGGGCAGGCAGGCAGCCAGCCAGGCAGGCAGGCAGACGACGGCGTGCGCAAACTAGCTACCCCAAATAGCTAGTTACCGGGAGTGTTTACCCGACGGGTGACTCGACGGGCCGCGGGCCGCCGGGGCACTCCCCAAGTGGCTCCAAGACCGCCCCAGCCCAAAGACCGCCCCAGCCAGCTCCGGGGCAAAGGCATCCCGCTGGCTCTCGGGCACACACTCCCCCTCCCCCTCCTCTCTCTCTCTCTCTCTCTCTCTCTCTCTCTCTCTCTCTCTCTCTCTCTCTCAACCCTTTCCTCTCCTCTCCTTCTTCCTCCTCGTCGGCCTCCACGGAGCGGCGGCCGCAACAGACGGACGTACAATGTAAGCGCAAGGGCTGAGACCGGCCAAATTTCTCCCAGCAGCCCGAGTGGGGGTTTCCATCTCTGTCTCCCTGGGGCGTCCCGCGAGGGTGCGAGAGAGACAGAGCGTCGAAATAAAGCACTCCGCGGCGACGTCCAATTCCTCGACTTCCGGCCGGTCCTCCCGACGGGGACACACAGAGAGAGAGAGAGAGAGAGAGAGAGAGAGAGAGAGAGAGAGAGAGAGAGAGAGAGAGAGAGAGAGAGAGAGAGAGAGAGAGAGGCGCTCGACAAAAGAGACGCAATCACAGCGGTGTGCCGGTGCGGCCGTCCGGCCCCGATCCCACTGTGCGGCATTGCCAGGCATTGCCAGGCATTGCCAGGCATTGCACCGGGAATCGGCGGGCAGGCGTTCCCACTCTTTGCATAAGCCGCCACGCCACGCCACGCCAGCTGACTGCAAATAACGCAATCCATCCCCCTTATTCGCAGAGCCGCGCGGTCTGCCTCTTCATTGTCAACTCCAATCGCACACAGCGCCATGCCATCCGCGTTCGTCTCTCGTCTCGTTCGGTTCGAGTCCCATCGGGCGACTCTGGAGCTCAAAACGCTTTTAGGATTTCGGCCGTTTCCCACAGTGTAGGGGCGTAACTGGAGCCGCCCGCATGATCGGTGATGCACCACAACGCGTAGAGCGCGATGCACAATGCCTGGCACGCCGGCCGAACCGCAATGGGCCGCAAAAAAAAAAAAGAGCGAGAGAGACAAAGAGAGACAGAGAGAGGGGAAAAAAGTAAAAGACGGGCAGCAAGGGCTTCCGTCTGAGTCGTCCAATCTTTACAGACAGGCAGCGATTTGGAGCGATTTCAGCCCCATCACTGGACGCGCGCGGCACGCCACGGCGATCGTTGTCATGGCAACGGAGAGCTGGAGTCCCGGCAAGGCGCGGCAACGGGAGCAGAGAGAGGTCCTTCGGATCAGGAGTCAGGACCGATCAGGGCATCAGGACATCAAGACAACGGGCGGGGCAGAAACGGCAGCCCGATCCGCGACTCGGAGACTCGGAGAACACCTTTGTTACGAAGTGCGATTAGGCGCCTTAGTTTGGGAGCGGTATTGCAGCAAAGTTTGTCGAAACGGTAACAAATGTGTAGAAATCGTCGTTTGGCCTGACTTCAGGCAGCCACTGCGTCTAATCTAAGGCGGCCAATCGTTCTCCCTCAACGGGTGGGTACTCTTTGGGCCTTCCTTTAGAACACCTTTGTTACGGAGTGCGATTGGCCACCTTAGTTTGGGAGCGGTATTGCAGCAAAGTTTGTCGAAACGGTAACAAATGTGTAGAAATCATCGTTTGGCCTGACTTTAGGCAGCCACTGCATCTAATCTAAGGCGCCAAATCGTTCTCCCTCAACGGGTGGGTATTCTTTGGGCCTTCCTTTAGAACACCTTTGTTACGGAGTGCGATTGGCCACCTTAGTTTGGGAGCGGTATTGCAGCAAAGTTTGTCGAAACGGTAACAAATGTGTAGAAATCGTCGTTTGGCCTGACTTTAGGCAGCCACTGCGTCTAATCTAAGGCGGCCAATCGTTCTCCCTCAACGGGTGGGTACTCTTTGGGCCTTCCTTTAGAACACCTTTGTTACGGAGTGCGATTGGCCACCTTAGTTTGGGAGCGGTATTGCAGCAAAGTTTGTCGAAACGGTAACAAATGTGTAGAAATCGTCGTTTGGCCTGACTTTAGGCAGCCACTGCGTCTAATCTAAGGCGGCCAATCGTTCTCCCTCAACGGGTGGGTACTCTTTGGGCCTTGCTTTAGAACACCGTGGGCCGGTGACGTTTCTGGTAACTCGGCGATCGCGTACAGTCACGCAAACCGCGCGCAAACACTGATTCCAAAAATAGGCCGCATTGTTCGACGTTCAAAATAGAACATTTCACACCGTTCCGCGTGCTTCCCCCGCTTTTCCCCCCTTCGCTCCCCGCCACTGCCTCTTGAATCATTTTTCAACTCGCGCCGCGCATTCTGGGCATCCCCGCGGGAGGCCAGGCACGCGGTGAGGTATGCGGAGGAAAGAACCCGCTCCCGTTTCGGACAGCGAGACCGAAGCAAAGTGCAAAGTGGGGTGACGCGCGCGCGTGGGGTGGCGACCCCGCCCCGCCAGCCTGGCCAACAAAACGCGACAAAAAAAAAAGAAAAGCGGATCAAAGTTTTTGTTTGAACCTGCTGAAGTTTGCGCCGTGCAGCCAACCTGACGGCAAAGCCGGTAGTGCAACGGACGCAACGACCGCAGGGGCGTAAAAAGAAAAACGCGCAGCGCTGAAACGCTAAAAAGAGAAATTAATAGTCGGCGACAAAGAGCAAAAAAAAACACGAGGCTGCCTTCCCACGGGGAGGGGCCGGCGTCATCACAGAGCGACGAACGCAAGTCTCCCCCGAAATTAAGATTTAGAAAAAACGGGCGGAGAACATTGGGAGCACGCCTGGAGTATCCTTCTGAACCGCGGACGTTGGTGAGGACTGTGATTTGAAAGCAATAACTTTGGAATGGACTTCCTGAACGTTTCCACACTGAAGCCCTTAGCACGGTGGAGAAAGGGGGGGGGGGGGTACACGGCAGGGACTACACTACAATGCGCCCGCCGCTTAGACAATGGTTCTCCGTACCTCAAAGTGGCGTAATCCTTGACGGGCATCTTGATGATGTTGTTGATGTTGTTGTTGATGTTGTTATTGCTGTTCTTGTTGTTGCCGGGTGAGGGGCCCCGGAGGCCGAGGGGCGGCGCGGCGGCGCGGGGGCCCGGGGGTCCGACCAGGGGTCCCAGGGGCGCGCGCAGCCCCCGCGGTCCGGCCCCCGCGGCCCCCGGGAACCCCTGCGGGCCCCCGGGAGCCCTCGGCCCCCCAGCAGGCCCCGCGCGGACGGCGCCGGGCCGTCGGTACTGCACGGGCCGGCTGCAACAGAGAGAGAGAGCACACAGTCAGAGAGAGAGGCATTTCATGAAAATATAAAGCATAATCGGCATGGCGGCGGGCACGCTAGGCACGCGCAGCGGCACTGCCAAGCCAAGGCACTGCAATCAAGTGCAACAAGGACAGAGAGAAGCGGGCGAAACGGCCGGGCATTCCGTGCGGCCAGCCAGCGGCTGGGGCTACGCCAGGCTATGCAAAAGCACGCCAAAGCTCGCCGAAGCACGCCAGAGGCAGGCCGGCCTGCGGACCGCGGGGGAGAAAGAGAGAGAGAGACGCGGCTCCAGCGGGACAAGGAAAAGAGAGCAAGAGACAAGGCTGGCATCACTCTTCATCACGGCCAAGTTCAGCTTTCGGGCTTTCAGCTTTGGCCCCCCTGCGCTTTCAGTCGGCACAGCAGCCGAGAGGCCCGTGGAGGGCCAGCCGGCCAGCCTCGGGGCAGCGCGCTCCAGTAAGAAACCCCGCGATATAAAAACGGAGCTACGGCACGCCGCAAATGGACGCGTGCATGTTCTCCCTCCGATTTTATTTTGCTCTATTTTCGTTTGCCCCTTTCGTTCTTTTTATTTCGGTCGTGAGACGGGGTCGTATTCCTCGTGCCCTGGAAAAGCCCCCCCCCCCTCCCTTCCCTCCTATCGGGTTACCGATGAATTCTGTAATGAAGCGTACGCAGGGCCAGGTTAGCTGCAGCAAAGCTCCAGCAAAGCTTCAGCAAAGCGTCAGCAAAGCTTCAAGCTCCAGTACAGCTTCAGCAAAGTTCCAGTACAGCTCCAGCCAACCTTCATGCAGCAAAGCTCCCAGTAAAGTTCGAGCAAAGCTCCAGCACAGCTCCGGCAACAACCCGGACGGTGCAGCCTGCCTGCAGCCCCGTTCCAAAAACGCGCACGCCGACGTGTTGCAGCTGCACTCGTCTATCTATAGTAGGCGCAACTCAACCGCAGAGATCGCCTGCCACGCCACGCCAAGGCTGTCGGGTCCGTGGCCTGGCGCGGCCTGGCGCGGCCCGGCCTGCCGTCTGCTCAGCAGGGATAGGCAGGACTGGTTCTTGTGGTCACTCCAGGCACTCCAGGCTCCAGCAGCGCGTTGCACCGGCGTTTCCCCTACCCTCCCGGCCTTCCAGCGGCGGCTCCAGGCTCCTCCAGGCCGCTCCAGCGCGACTCCAGCCGGTATACGGGCCGCGGGAATGTCAACAGCCCCCCTCCCCTCCAGCGTACACACACAAATACGCATACGCACGCGTACACCGCAATTATTTGGCGCCGTGTGCGTCATTGTCGAGCGGTTTTCGTTTAAATTTATTTTCTCTTTTCGCGGTGGTTTTGGGAAACACGTTTTCGGAGAGGCGACCGCTGTGTGGACCACACCAGTGACACCCCAATGAACTGTATTCACGAGTGTACGGGACTGTAACCGGGAGTTCTACATATCGTCGATACACATAGTTATTCGTGTGTCGATATACTCTCTTCATACAGCACCCATCCAATTCAAAGCAGATTACGACACAAAATACTAAATAAAATTTTCTTTTCAACTCAGCTTTTTCCTTTAATTTTTCTCTAGCGACTGATCAGACTAACGGGCACCTGACTTCAATATAATCCGCCTCGAGCCAAATAGATGTCAGTGGATGAGCGCACCCGTTATGCAAAAGGATGAGGGAAAAGAGATGCAATTGGCAAGTCAGGTGCACCGATGCACGGGGATAGGCGCCTGGCGGTTCGTTTGGTTCGTTTCGTTCCAGTGCCCGGGCTTGGCCAAGGGCTCGCCCGCCCCGCTCGCCACGAGCTGTTTGACTAGGAGCGCATTGTTCTGCATTCTGCATCAAAATGAGTCCACTGCGAGTGGATGCAGCGCAGTGCCCACAGCCCAGGTGGGCCACTTCCCGTTAGGCTCCAGCCATGGCTCCAGCCACCCAGCCCGCCTCCGCGGAGGCCGGACTTGTCCACAGGCCGCGCAGCCGTCCGAACACTGCTTCGTCGCTCTGTCTCTCTCGCACCCCTACGGACCGCCCCATGAGTGCGAGAGAGACAGAGCGACGAAAGCAGTCAAAATGCGTCCGGGATTTCGACCGCCTCCACCGGTCTTCTGGCCCACTGTGCTCCTGTTCCCTCCGGTCCGACGGCCCTCACAGTGTGCCTACGGCTGCCTATGGCACAGTCTGCGATGGACCACGACGCCGGGCGGCTGAGCGGCGCGGCTCTCGTCTCCGGCGGCGCGGCTCCGGGGACCGGGTACCGGGTACTTAGGCCCTGAGACCGGCCAGCGTTGCCACGGTTGCCACGTCGGTGCTGCCCGCCTGCAGGCTCTGAGGTTCTGGGCTCTGGCTCTGAGGCGGCGCGTAGTGGGGCGTGGCCGGGCGGGGCGGGGCGGGGCGCGGCGGGGCGGGGCGGGGCGGGCGCCACGACGTCGACCCTGGTGAGTAAGAGGTAGCAAAAGGACCAGCGCGGCGGTACGTACGTACGCGGCCGGCGCGCGAGCGCGGCGCCGACCGAACCCACAGCACGCACGCACGCGGTTGTAGTACGCGGGTACGCACACACACGCACGGCGTCGTGCTGTCACACGTACACGCAGTCACTGACACACACTAACTCAAACGCGCAGTGACTGGCTTGCATACATACAGACAGGCAGGCAGACAGACAGACAGACCACCACACTTTCGGCCCGACGCTTTTATAATTGAATGGCGGTGTTACAAATTCGCGCGCATTCCTACACCGCGATCGCTGACACGACACGGCACGGCCCGGCAGGTGTGATGATTGCCCGTGTGAACACAAACGGAAACACACACACACACAGCGACTCACACACACTCACGCACGCGGCCGCTCACGATACGCCAAAGAGTTTCTCACAATTAACTCATCAGCGTGGTGGGTGTGCACTTCATATCTGGGGCGGAATTCGCACGCACGGTTGGGCGCGGCGGCGCCCCCAAACAACAACAACAACAACAACAGCAAGGGCAGCGCACGGACAGCAACAACAACAACAACACACGTGTCGACGGGAGGACATGACGGGAATATCAAAGCGCCGCCACAATGCTTCCAGTGTGGGGGGCGTCGCTGGGAACCTCCGCACTGGCAGTGCATCATCCTCGGCACGGTAATAACACGTGGCCGCCTTTTTAGCGGCCCCGCGCGCCGCCCCGCGCGGCCGCTACACTAGAAGGGCTTCCCGCCGAGCCAAACCGGAAACAAAATGAATGGTTGGGGAGCGGCGGAGAGGAGCAGCGCGCGGAGAAGTGAGTGGAGTAAGTAAGTCTGGTAATGAACTGCTCAGTGCTCTGCGTGCTCTGTGGAGACTCTCTGGAGGGGCTCTCGGGACGGGAGCGGAGCGAGCGGGGGGAATGCGGACGGGGCGGTCCGGCGGGCCACTCACACACACACACACACACACACACTCACACTCACACACGCACACACACACATGCACACTAGACAAGGCGCCGCAGTGAGTCATGCGGGGGCGTGGCAGCGTGCGTGTGTGTGTGGTGTGTGTGTGCGTGTGTGTGTGTGTGTGTGTGTGTGTGTGTGTGTGTGTGTGTGTGAGTGCGCGCTGCACGACGAATTGCGGGAAATCAAGAAAGAAACAAAACGTCGGCCAATTATGCACAGGAAACATGGGAACCGTCGCCCCGAAGCAGTCGTTTTTATTTCTTGATGATGTGGAATTTTGGCGCCGGCTTTTCATCGGTGACGTCGATTTTAGACGTCCCGCGGGACGCTTTTGGCGCGAGTTGGCGAGCACGACTGGAGGACAGGAAGACCGGACAGGGGATAGATACATAATTGAGTGGCGGCAAAAGCACTCCCGGGATGGTATTTCTGGCACGTGGCTGTCAGCCAGTCCTGCACATTGAGTTGAGAGAGAGAGAGCAACGAACGTGACGTCACATTCGATTGAATGGGGGGAAATACACCACCCATTCAAACAAAAACGAATCGAGTCTGAATCGCTCCGGATTCACTTGAAAAAAAAAAAGAGAGAAAAAAGAGCAATGTTGTCACGAAAAAAAAAATATGGAGATGACATAATCTCCATTATTCGGATGAGATGTCACATTCGTTGAATTCCGGCGAGATGGGCCTGGAGCTGGATGGAGGGGCGGTGGGAGCAGGGCTTTTCACCTGTCTGTTGGCAGCACTGTTGGCAGCACTGCTGGCGCCAATGTTGGCAGCGCAACGCTGATGGCGGCACAATAGCCCTCACTTACCGGCAACCTGCCGGGCGAGCCGATGTCGTGTTTATCAGGCAACTAAGAGACCCAGCACCGCCGGCCGCCGCCAGACACGGCCGCCAGCACCGGACGGACACTCGTGTAAGTAAAGCAGTCCAAGACTTTGGACCATTCGACAATTCTTTTTTCGAGTAGATTTTCGAAAAACGTAGGCGGCTCAGACACTGTGACACTGTTCGCCGTCGCTCGCTGCTGGCGGTGCCGTCCGAACAACAACAACAACAACAACAACAACAACAACAACAACAGGAAAACAATTGGGCCGGTGAGACACTGGTCGCATTCTCGCATTCCCGGCCCGCGAACGCATTCCGCTTTCCGCTGCGCTTTGAGAACGCACCCCGCGCGCGGCCGTTTACGGTGTGCTTGCCTAGTCGCTCTGTCTCTCTCGCACCTGTGCGGGACGCCCCGCGAGTGCGAGAGAGACAGAGCGACGAAATCGGTACGCTGTATGCGCCCTTCTTTCGCCCTGCTACGTGTTCGGCGGGGAAACGCGCGGACTTGCACGCCCCGCCCCGCCCCGCCCCGCCCCGCCACGCACAGAAACCGAACGCACGAAGCATTCACGTCGGTCTGCCGGGCCTGCCGGGCCTGCCGGGCGTGGGTGTGGGAGGGGGAGGTTCGGGGCGGCAACAGGGGAGGGAGGGGGAGGGGGAAGGGGTAGGCCGGCTGGAGCACAGTGGTGCAGGCCTTCCTTCGGGTGGGTCCGGTAATGGGCAGCAAGGTACAGTCCGGGCGGGAAGCATTTCGCCCCCTCCCGTCACTGCGTTGCGCTGCGTTGGACTGTGGTGACGGTATCGCACACGCGACACAGTGTAGGTACAGCCACCCCTCCAGTTCCACGGCTGTGCTTTTGGGTGTGAGTGTGCGTCCGCGCATGTGGCCGTAATTGAACTCCGCGCCCCCTGCCCCTTCCCGTACAGGTGACGGTCAGGACACGGGACACGGGACTCGCTGGTCGGTGGTCAGTGGGCCGCGCCAAAGTTTCGTGCGACATCCGTTACTGTCATTATATTTCCGCATTTCGTTCACTTGTCTTTTTTGTCAGAGTACCGATCGCAGCGTGTGAACCCCCCTCCGAGTCCTTTATCGCCTGTTTGTACTACCTGCTGAACAAATGCACAGCTCCCCTTCTTATCGACGAAGGACGGACGGACGGACGCACTCCCATTTGCATTCCCAATACGAGGAAAAGGTATAAAATCACGCGGACACGCCAGAGGCAGTCAGACGGACAGACAGACATGCCGAATGCAGTCGCTGGAAGTGGCGACGTCAGTCGAATTTGAACCAATAGGGTCTGCCCTCGGACCTCGGGAGTGTGTCGGGTTCGCTTCTTCTGGAAAAGGGTTCCCAGTCCACCGTGACGGCGGTGACGGCCAAGGCGAGGCAAACCCGACGCCGCCCGGAGAGGGGCCGTCCCGGACGCACGACGCGGCATGGCATGGCGGCATGGCATGGCGGCTCCGCGACGGTCCCCCGGCGACACTCTGGGCCGAGCCGGCCGTTTTGAGGTGTCAGCCGCGCCGCGCCGGGGGCCGGGGGTAAATAAGCGCGAAAAAAGGGCGGAAAAAGGTCGCCGTCGACGCGAGAAAAAGGAAAAAGGACTCCCCCGAGCCCGACACCACGCACAGCTCGACGCACAGCGGCGGCGGCGGCGGAGAGAACCCCGACAAGTACAGTCTGCTTAAAACTCACCCCGCGACCCCGCCCCACTCCACCCCTTCGGGGCCCCTCAAGGGGTGCGCGCTAAAGCACGGCCGAAGCGCGGCCGGGAAAGAACGGGAGGAGATGTGCGAAGGCCAGCCAGCGTCGCTGCAAGGGGCGTTCCCGACGCGTCTCGATCAAATTCAGGGACACACACACAGTGTGATCGTGCGTGTGTGTGTGAGGTAATTGGTACGAAACGATGCAAGGGCACGCCGCACCGCGCCGCACCGCGCCGCACGCCCTACAGGAGGGTCTCTAGCGACGCGGCTTCCTTCCAACGGCCGATGTGCGCGAGCGCCGCTGTGGGCCTGGACCTCCTCGGACAGGCAAACGCATCCCTACAGACCAGTAGGCAAACAGGCAGACGGACGGACGGACGGACAGACTTCCAATAATTCGAAACGGCTGTGTGATGGAGACGCCCGCAAGGAGTGGAGGGGGCAGCAGAGAGGGGGAGGGGGGAAGCTGCCTGGACCGCTTCGGCTTGGCCGGCAAAGAGCGCAGCCGCTCCAAGCAGCAGGCTCCAGGAGAGGAAGAGAGAAACAGGGAGGCTGGAGCGTCGGCTGGAGCGAGAAAGAGAAGAAAGAGGCAGGGCAATCACCTGTTGCTCGTCGGCCTCACGTTGGACAGCACGGCGGCCTGGCCCGGTGCTCGGCGGGGACCAAGCACGCTGTCATCGGGGTCCTGGGAGGTAATCCTGGTGGGTAATCCTTACAGTATCCTCAGGTAATCCAGCGAGAGGTAATCCACACGTTCACTGACACACACACTTTGATTGAGGCGATTGCACTTTGCGTTTGCACTTTGCTTTGCACTTCTCACTGCACTTTTCACATTGCAGACGCTGCACTGTTGCACTTGGGTTGCACTTGTCGCGGGGCTGGCCGCCTAGGCCGTGGTTTCGCCCTAGGCCGTGGTTTCGCAGGCTTGGCAGGCTTCGCTAGCCGTGGCCGTTCGGCCGTTCGGATGGCTGAGGGCTCACCGCCTCGACGCCAAGGTATGCAGCTTGGCGGGGCCCCGGCTCGGCGCGGCGCGGCTCAAGAGAGACTGCCGGCTCTCTGCTGTGTGTTCTCCGCTTCTTGGTGGTTGTGTGGTAGGGTGCCATGCCGGCATGCCAGCCCCGTCTGTGGTGCCCGGCCTGCCCGCCAGCCCGGCTGCCCGCCTGCCCGAGCGGCACAAGGTGTGTTGGCCCGCCCCGCCCCGCCCCGCCCCTACCCCGCCACGCCGCCAGCCTCGGCTCGGTGCGGCTTCCTTCGGGTCCTTCGGGGACCCTCGGCTTCGGGCCGGTCCTCGGCTTCGGTAGGATCGGTGAACTCGGCTCGGCTCGCCTCAAGATCCTTCGGGTACTCGTCGGCCAGGTACCCCACGGCGGGCACCGCGGGTACCTAGTCCAGCGCGCCAGCGCCGCGCGGCTGTACGGAGCACGGAGTGGCAGAGCGAGGCGAGAGAAGAGAACGGGTGGAGAACAAAGGAACGGATTGGTGCCGGCAGCGCGGCGCAGCGCGGCAGCAGGGGCTGTAGGCTGAGGCCGTGTAAAGCACCGCCTTACCGCCTTCCCACTGCACTGGGAGACTTTTCTTTCCGGGGCAGGTGCAACCAGTGCACCTCGAGTGCACGCCCAAGCCCCTCCGGATCACAACGCAAATCACTGCAGTCAGGCGGGCCATCGCCCGCGGTTCGAATCCCGGCCCCGTCTTTTAATCTTATTAACGGGCTGGCGGCGGACTTGAGCTGCTGGCTGGGTTCGAATGAGAACCGGAGAGGTTCCCAGAAGCCTCGTCGCGACGGTGGCGGCGTGGCGGCGGCAGGGAGAGAGAGGCTGTGGCTTTGACACGATGACACGATGAACTCGGTAGGCGAGGCGGTGTCAATCCGACCCGCCAGCCGGCTGTTCCGAGTGAAAGGTCTCTCTCTCACTCATGGGGCGTCCCGTATGGGTGCGAGAGAGACAGACCGACGAGAGCCCGGAGCTTCCGATCGGAGAGGGCTTGGACACGGCCAGGCTGGAAACCAGCAGCCACTCCTTGGAGAGAAAATGGGCTAGGACCCGCTTTTCTACAGCTTAGTCGGCTCACGTGTCGGTTGGGCTGCCTACTCGCCGGGCGCACTCGGGCACCTGCACTGCAAGTGTCTTCCCTCCGCAGATTCCAGCGGCAGATTCACATTCAAATTCACTGCCGGCTGCAACCTCGGGCGACAGGGGCGGCGGTGAGCCTGGAGCGGCACAGTGGCCTTCACCGCCCGAACCTCTTCGTTCGTTAGTGGCGCGGGCGGGAGGCGAGAAAGCGTAGGCGCGCTTTCCACGGTATTCCGCGCAGTCGTTAGTCGTTAGTAGATTAACGCTCCGCGGGGGGGCGCCACCCGCGGCACCCGCGGCCCGGTGAGAATGAGAATTCGGGGCTATCATCTGCCCTGCCCTGCCCTGCCCGACCCGCCGCGTCTGCCAGAGTGCCTGCCCTGTGGGACCACGCCGGACACCGCCACTGCCACTACACTACTTTCGCTGTGGGAATCAAGTTTTGTCTCGCCGTGCCGCGGTGCCGCGATCCGCATCCTAGTCGCGATGGCACGAGGAGATTTGCATTCGCGTGACAGCAGTGCGCGCGTGTCGTCTGCCCGGATCATAACAACAAACAACAACAACAAAAACAACTGCAACGCAAGCAGCGTCAGCAGCGCCAACTGCAAAAAAACAAAAGAAAATGACCGCGACGCGACCGAGATTTGAACACGGGACCAGCGAGTGCTTGGCTTTCCCGGTTGTTGGCCCGATGTCGGTCGCGTTTGTGGTGTTGACCGCGTTCCCCGGCCCTTCACTCCGCTCCCTGTGACTGCCTGTGACCCGTGGGCAGCCTCACTTTGGTCACCGCCAATGTTATCGAGGCTGAAGCCGGCTGAAGGGGCCAGAAGGGGCGTCCGGAGGGGAGGGGAAGGGGGGGGGGGGACCGGCCACGAGGAACGGCCGGCCGAACCAAAGTGAATGTTTGGCCGGCGACCGGGCGCCGAACACGTCGCGGTGACTCTCTCTCTCACTCCCATCAGTCGCTGCCCATCCCACTTGGCCGTCAGTGCAGTGCCTCTAGCTAGACCCTCTAGACAGACCACCGTCCCCGCCGAAGACATGTGTGCTCGTGAGTCCAGTGTTTACCTTGCCGTTTTTGAGGCGACCAGCCCGTTGCAGTGCGGGAGCGGTTTGCGGGCAGACCATGGCGGTCCTCGCTTGATTCGCGTCTTTGTCTTGCAGTCCGCGTGCAGCGCGTGGCCGCCGACGACGCCAAGGCCCACGAGGCCGTCGCCGAGGTGATGCGGCGGGGCTTCCTGCCGCACGAGTCGGCCTGCCACGCGTCGCGCGTGTCGCAGGACCCGGACGCCGAGCGCGAGCTGCTGGACCTCGTCCGCGCCGCCCTCGCCGACGGCGTCTCCGTGGCCGTGTACATCGGCGACGACATGGTGGGCGCGGCCGTCAACAAGATCCAGGTGAGTGCGCTAAACCTGGCGTTACTACGTTACCACCGCCATCAAACGCCTGAAAATGTAAAATGATGTAACTTGACGAAAATGAGGAAAGTTTGTGGAAACGTGGCGCCCGAAAACGTTTCCAGGGCGGAATCGTTCTTGGCGTGTGTGTAGTGTGTTTAGTCTGTTTGCTCGCCGAGTCAGGGCAGGGAGGGATGAAAATGGCCGAGCGCTGAATATTATCGCATTGGCTCCTGGCTTTCCACGATTGTGGCATTCATGACCGGGAATGATTTTGACGTTGCTTCCTGTGAGCAGGTCCGGCCGCCCCCGGGGGGGAAGTCCTTCTTCGAGCGCTTCTACGAGGAGCGCGCCTCGCGGCCCGCCACCCGCTTCGTGCTGGACTTCATGGCGAAGATCGACGCGCAGGCCGACCTGTTCGCCGAGGCCGGCGGCGACCCCATCCTGGAGCTCATGTTCCTGGGCGTGGTGCCGGAGGCGGGGCGGCGCGGCGTCGGCCAGCGGCTCACGGAGGAGACGGTGCAGCTGGCCAGGTCGGTGCGCGTCAAGGCCGTGTCCGCCATCTGGACCTCGGACTACAGCCGCGCCATCGGCGCCAGGCTCGGTTTCAAGGTGAGGCTTCCAGGTTCAAATCTCGCCCCTCCCAGTGTCCTTCCCAAGCTTTTCTTTCTGAAACATTTCAAATAATTTCCTCTTTTGTCTCAAACGGTCGAAAAATTTACTTTGATCAATTTTATTTTTGTTATTTTTATTTTTAGGAACTGACCGTCGCCGACCACAGCACGTTCTCGTTCGAGGGGACCACCATCGCGCAGGCTGCGGCTCCTCACCAGCAGCGCTCCGTCCTCGCGCTGTTCAAACTCCCGGCCGAAAGCCGAAACCTGTAGGAACTAGTTGAAAATTTTGTGATATTCGATAGGAGAGTGATTTTATTTGTCATGTGTTCATTGTCTTTTATAAAAAAAAAAATTACATCATTAGTTTTGTGCTAAATGCGCACTCAATAAATTTTAGATCAAAATTTTTCTCTCCTCTTTTTATACCGTATGAACCCAAAAAGACAACGCTCATAAAAAAAGAAAACTAAAAAAATTAAGAAAACCTTTGAAAAACGAAAACGCGATCGGTATTTGAACCCACGACAACGGCTGCCGAAGGCTCAGAACGTGCTCAGCAAGGTTCTGGCAATAGGTCAATGCAACTTCCGCGAGGAAAAATAGTATGTCAGAAGTGGGATTTGAACCCACGCCCTCATTCGAGGACCAGAACACTCGCCCCGTGTGCACGGGTAAGGTTGCCCTTGAGTCTGGCGCCTTAGACCGCTCGGCCATCCTGACAGTTGAGGACGAGGCGGCGTAGAACCGAGTCAGTATCCGCTAACCCCCACTCCTCGCTGCCGTGCGCGCGCTGTGGTGCGCTCTGTCGGTGACCGCTCTAACCACCGCGCTCGGAGAGGACCTGTCGCGCGGGGTAGAGGCGAGCGGCGTGCGGCGCGGACTAGCAGACGCGGGGTACAGGCAGGAGCCGCTGTCCCGCGGAGTATCTCCGCCGGGCAGGGCGAGTGCGACGCAGAGAGCGAGAAAGATGGAGCGACGCAGACGACTCGCGGCACTGCAGGGCTTCCTAATGGCGTCAACAGGCCGTCAGCGCGACGTTGGCGTCGTTGACGTCGCGGAGGCGACGGCGGGAACACGGGGCCGCGCCAGGCCGCGCGATCACAGTCATTAATTACCAACTTTCCGTCGCTAATCGGGCCAACAATTACGCGCCGCGCGTCGGCGACCGTTGGCAACACTGGCGCAGCACGCGCGGCACTGGCGCGTCGTCTGGATAGTTAGCGGAGCAAATTGAGAGAGACGAAAATGCAACCCCCGTTCCGTTCCCGTTCCCCTCCTTGGCCGCGTTGGCCGCGTTGGCCGTCTTGGCCGACGTGCTATGCTAGTCCCATGGCTGCAGCCAGCGCCGCCTCGCCGAGTCACCGCCTTGTTCGCGGCCGGCTTATGCGGTACGTAACGTCGCGACGCCCCCCCCCCTTCCCCAAAACCTCGAAACCCCGAAACCACCCGAACCCCGAAACCACCCGAACCTCCCGCCATCCTCGAGTCCGCTCGAGTCGCTCTTGACCCTCTCCCGGAAACGCCACAAACCGGAAGCCAGTGCTGGAGGCCCTGGCTGCGCGGGCTGCCCCGTGCACAATGCCACACAGTCTCGGCCTGGTCCAGAATCCTCCTTCCCGGGGCTCTTTTCTCCGTCTTACTAACTAAGTCCGCGCGCCAGGGCCAGCCAGGGCCGAATCTCGCATTTCAGGTTGGAGTGAAGGGAGAAGAGGGGGAGGAGGGGGAGGGGGTGGTAAGCAGCGTGCAGCGCGCGAAGTGGAACAATTGCACGAGCATCGCCAACAGGCGAGAAAAGCGCACGTAATGTCCTTATTTTGAAGTCATTGTCACGCCGCATTCTGGCACCAACTACAAAGAAACAATGAAACATCGCTGCATCCCAAAATGCGCGCGAATCACTGATCACCTCAAAAAGCGCGCGAATCGCTGCTCATCCCAAAAAGCGCGGGAAATGCACAAGCTCTGCCGGGCTGGCTCCGCCTCTCCTGGTTGGCTGGCTCTGGCTGGCTTTGGCCCCGACGGCGACGGTGCCGCGGACGGTGCCGACGTCCGGAGTGGCGCCGACGACAACCCCCTCCTTGGTGGCGGCAGGGCGGCAGTCGCGGCTCTCTTGGTGGCCTTTCTTTCACGCCAGCGACTTCCGGTGAGTCCGGGTCGGCCAGCGCGGGGCAGGGCCAGCAGCCCAGCACCGGTGCCGCAGCCTCGCCTACACTACAAACCAAGGCGACTAGAGGCAGCGGAAGTGGCGCTGAGATACTAGGCAGCCCGGAGAAGGCCCAGGCAGGTGGTACAAGGAACAGGGCATAGTGCCGGGCTGCATGCTCGGACACTCGGACACGAGTCGCAGCCGAGTCTTCGACACTCCGACCGACTGTGTTGAGGTTAGGCCGAGGACGCGCGGGTCCGGCGGCATGGCAGAGGCGACCGAGACCGAGCCGCTCTCAGAGGCGCTTAAATTTAATTGAAGGGTCGCGAGGCTAGTTTAGGGGTGGCCGACCCACTTTGAGCCGTGCGGGCAGTGCGGGCCGCAGGAGGGTCTGTCTTGCGTGAAGAGTAGGTTGGGAAGGTCAGGAGAGGCAAGGGTAAAGGGCCAAGTAGGGGGAGAAAGGTGAAAAGCACAACGAAATTGGAACTTGAACGGCTGGTCAAAGCCGTAAGACAACTTTATGTTGTCCCTCCCTCAACCCCCGCTCTTTCATGCCCAAAAGTTTGCCGCCGAGACGCGTACGGGCAATGCGACCGGAGAGACCTAGAGAGGCTAGAGCAGTGGTTCTCAGCCTTAGGGTCGCGACCCCAAGTGGGGTCGCGAAAAAATTAAAAGGGGTCGCGGCGAGGTAGCTGGGGTCGTGTTTTGGGCCGATTTTAAGCAGCCACTGCGTCTGATCCGAGGCGGGCATTTTGCTCCTTCAACGGGCAATTGGTCTTTGGACCTTCCTTTAGCATGCCTCTGTTACGGAGTGCGATTATCAGTCTTAGTTTGGGAGCAGTATTGTCTCAAAGTTGGCCAAAACGCTCAGAAATGTCTTTAAAAAATCATGTTTTGGGTCGATTTTAAGCAGCCACTGCGTCTGATCCGAGGCGGGCATTTTGCTCCCTCAACGGGCAATTGGTCTTTGGACCTTCCTTTAGCATGCCTCTGTTACGGAGTGCGATTATCAGTCTTAGTTTGGGAGCAGTATTGTCTCAAAGTTGGCCAAAACGCTCAGAAATGTCTTTAAAAAATCATGTTTTGGGTCGATTTTAAGCAGCCACTGCGTCTGATCCAAGGCGGGCATATTGCTCCCTCAACGGGCAATTGGTCTTTGGACCTTCCTTTAGCATGCCTCTGTTACGGAGTGCGATTATCAGTCTTAGTTTGGGAGCAGTATTGTCTCAAAGTTGGCCGAAACGCTCAGAAATGTCTTTGAAAAATCGTTGTGCCTGTTTTGGTCAACTTTGAGACAATACTGCTCCCAAACTAAGACTGATAATCGCATTCCGTAACAGAGGCATGCTAAAGGAAGGTCCAAGAAACAATTGCCCGTTGAGGGAGCAAAATGCCCGCCTTGGATCAGACGCAGTGGCTGCTTAAAATCGACCCAAAACATGATTTTTAAAGACATTTCTGAGCGTTTTAGCCAACTTTGAGACAATACTGCTCCCAAACTAAGACTGATAATCGCACTCCGTAACAGAGGCATGCTAAAGGAAGGTCCAAAGACCAATTGCCCGTTGAGGGAGCAAAATGCCCGCCTTGGATCAGACGCAGTGGCTGCTTAAAATCGACCCAAAACATGATTTTTTAAAGACATTTCTGAGCGTTTTGGCCAACTTTGAGACAATACTGCTCCCAAACTAAGACTGATAATCGCACTCCGTAACAGAGGCATGCTAAAGGAAGGTCCAAAGACCAATTGCCCGTTGAGGGAGCAAAATGCCGCCTTGGATCAGACGCAGTGGCTGCTTAAAATCGACCCAAAACATGATTTTTTAAAGACATTTCTGAGCGTTTTAGCCAACTTTGAGACAATACTGCTCCCAAACTAAGACTGATAATCGCACTCCGTAACAGAGGCATGCTCAAGGAAGGTCCAAAGACCAATTGCCCGTTGAGGGAGCAAAATGCCCGCCTCGGATCAGACGCAGTGGCATGCTAAAGGAGGGGTCCCGTGGGGTCGCGAAACTTTTCCTGGGGGTCGCGGAAATTTTTGGCTACAAATTTGGGGTCGCGAGCCGAGAAAGGTTGAGAACCGCTGGGCTAGAGAGACCCGGAGAGACCCGGCATGAGAGATTGGTCGCTCGGAAGGCGCGGACACTGACGCGCGTGACGGGCTGGCGCTGGTGGCGCGTGCGTGCCGCTCCTCCAGGGGCCCGGGAGGGGCCCCATGCCGCCCCATGCGCCCCGCGAGTGCGACAAGGACGCCCCCCATCCACGGCGCGTGGGGCCGAGGGGCCGCGGGGGCCCGGGGGGTCCGGGGGCCCGGGGGGTCCGGGGGCCCGGGGGGACGGCGGTGTTGCTTTGCGTTATTTGGTGCTCACATCAAAGCGGAGGCATTCTTCGCGCGCGTGTGCCAGTGTGCCCGCCGAGCCCGCACAGCCCGCGCAGCCCGCACAGCGCGACATTCTAGACGCGCGTTCATGTTGTCGCTTTTCGTGGCTCTGCCGGGGCTCTGGTTGGACGAGTCGGAGCCCACAAGCCACACAGCGCCTGCTTCAAACCACGCACCACATTCTGCGAGCCACAAACCACACACCGTAAACCACACAAGAAACCTGCCGAATAGATCGATCAAACTTCGAGACCGATTTTCCACCAAGAAAGGTTCTGTTTTGTTTCCGAGGGCAGAGAACCGAACCCATTTGACTGCGCCGCGGGTTCGACGAGATTCCATCTCGCTTTTTTTTTTTCTTTCGGCGATCGGTGTTTGTTTTCGGGACCGAAAATGGAATCGCCTTCAATCTGTGTACGCGCCGTTTCTCCGGGTGCGTCCTGTCTGTCTCCGAACGGACAGGCGGGTGGATGCGACGTCTGCGCTTGCTCTCCCGCGTCTTTCTCTTCACCTGCATCGCTGTTGTTGTTGTTGTTGCCGCTGCTGGGGCTGCTGCTACTGCTGCTGCGCGCGGCACAGCCTCGCCAGCCTCCGCTCGGCTCAGCGGCGCGTCACTCCCCGTCCCGGCCATCCCGGCCCGTCTCCAGGACGACGACGGCTCGGCGGGGCTGTGCGGGGGCTGTGCGGGGTGGTCCCAGCAGCCCCGGCAGGCGCGCCCCCCGCCCGGTGGACGTCCAGGGAGCCTCACCAGTCCCGCCCGGCCAGACTTGCCGCGACTGCAATTCGTTCTGAATTGAGAACACGGAGCAGAATGCGGCAGAATGCAGAACGGAGGCATAACACGCGCCCCATTTTACCTCGACGCGCCGTGGAGTGTCGCGCCGCCGCGCATACGCGCGATTTGCGACGACAAGAACCCCGCCCCGCCCCGCCCCGCCCCGCCCCGCCCCGCCCCGCCCCGCCCCGCCCCGCCCCGCCCACACGCTCGGCTTGGCAGACGAGTCCCTGTGCCAAGGAAGGCGCGGCAGACAAGGGTCCGCGTAACTTTACGATTTTCGCCCCATTTTCGGTGTGCCGTACCGCCGTGCCGTGACTCATAAGGACTCGACGGCCGAATAGGGGACCGAAGGGAAGGGGAAGAAAAGGGGCACGAAAGGAAGGAACGATGACGCCCGAAGTGACATCAGTGTCCAGAGAACGGCGAGTCGACAGATTGATGTGTTTTCGGCATTTTGCTTCGGCGAGTCCTATGAGCCCCGGCCGTCCACTGGAAAACGTTTCGGCACGCCTTTTGAGAGTGGAATTGTCAACAAGAGCGGGTCAATTTTTTTCTGTGTTTGGTGGTTTTGAGAGACAGGCCTCCTGGTCTCTCAAGCCGAAGAGGAGAAGTGGCGCTTCGTCAATGTTGCAGGACTCTGGCCTCGGCGCGCCGACCGATCGAGGGAACGAGGAACAAGGATCAAGGAGCGACGAGTAAGGAACAAGGTTCCAGGAACAAGGAGACAGCCGGCCCGACACCCTTTGTGAGGTAACGAGATTACAGAGGGATTGTGGATCGTGATTAGCCGTTGCTCTACCTTGGCCCTTGAGGCCCCGGCCTGGCCCTTTGGCCCTTGGCTGGCACACCGTCGCTGCGCCGCCCCGCGGACGAAGTCTCGGTGCCTCAACACAAGACACTCATAGTCATTCCGCCCACCCGTCCGTCAGTCAGTCAGTGTAGACGCAAGTGCTTTCTGCTCACCGTCGCGTCGCTCCGCGGGGCGCTTGGAGTCGAGCGCCTGGAGTCGGGCGCCTGGAGTCGAGCGCGCAGGCGGCCCGCTGCACACGGGGCCGGGCCGGGTTGCGTGGCTGTTGCTCGCAGGGGCGCTGCTCCGCCGCTCCGCAGCCCGGCGGGCAGGGTGGGGGCGCACAGTGGGCCAGAAGACCGGTGGAGGCGGGCAAACACTCGAGCCGCGTTTTTTGAGCTCCAGAGTCGCTAAACAGGACTCGAACCGAACGTGTGACCCCACCAATGGACTGCTCTCCAAACGAGGAATTCATTGGTGGGGTCACACATTTGGTTCGAGACCCATTTAGCGACGCTAGAGCTCAAAACGCGTCCTGAGTTTTGGCCTCGTGCGCCGGTCTTCTGCCCCACTGTGCTGCGCCGGCGGCTGGCGGATAGGGAGGGGCGCTTGTGCAGCCCGAGCCGTAATTAGCCTGTAATCCAGTCCGATACAGGAAGGCATCGAGATTCTGTGAAAGTTTAATGGGAGCGAGTAGCGGTGCACGTGTGTGCCGCGCGCCAGCTGGTAGTTGCAATCGATAGTCTGAGTCTCGATAGATTCGAGTGCACTTCCCTGCCTGAGGTCTTCCCCCGGAGACCTTGAACCACGTGGACTCTCCCCGGCAGGACGCCCGCCGAAGTAGCGGTTCGCGACAGGTACAGTCGGCGCGGTCTGGCAACTTCTGGCAGCGCCGGCGCTGCATTTTGCATTTTTAAGAAGTCCACACTTTCGGGAGGCTTCAATAATTAGTCGAGGAGCGGCGACAGTCCGACCAACACCCTGCGAGGAGCGCGAGGAGCAAATTTAGGTTAGGTGAGGTTCATACAGGTTTTTTAGGTTTTCGTAGGTGCTTTTATAATTTTTTACAAGATTTTACAGGTTTCAGTCTGTACCAAACAGTCCCTTTGGGTGGACTTGAACGCCTTTGCTGCGGCTGCATGTCCTCCACACACGCCGCCCGAGCAGCATCCTGATGACACGACGCTCTCGGAGGTCTGGGAGATCTCGGAGGAGCCCAACGACCGCCATTCAATCGCAGAGCACGTCGTGGAGGCCCTCGTCTAGGCCTCCGGGCGCAGCGCTGCGGCGCGCAGCGGGGGGCTGATTTCGCCTTGTGCGGGGCCTCGCTAGCCTCGCTCTTGGAGGCGGCCGTCGACACGGCGCTTTCGAGGACCTGGTGGCGGCCGCATGCGGTGCACTCACTCACTTGCCAAAACATTACCGGACTGTTTCGCCAAGGCCGGGCACAGCCGAACTTTTCATAGCCGATGGGAAATACTGCCGTGATCTCGCCAAGTTGTGCTTCCTTTTGTGTGTTGTAAGGCAAGCGCTGGCCGGGACGACCCGACCGCCCCGACGCGGGGCTAAATTATTGAACGGCCATGTCCTGTCCGCGACCGTGTTGACGCAAGCGACGCAAGCGAGGGTCGGGCAGACGGGGGTCGTCTCGCAGATTTTGCTCTGCGAAGAGCGCTTGCCGCCACCCACAACAGACACGTTGCGTCAAATGGGCCACAAGTCAAACAAAAGGTTCGTAGAGTGGTGGCTAGTGGGTGATGGCTACCGCCGGTCAGTCAGAAACCAGCTTTGTGTTCCTCCTCCTCCTTTAGGAATAAAATAAAATAAATGAATGAATAACCAATTTATTCTTATATTGTTTAGATCGGTGTTGGCGCGCCGCGTTGCCGCCTTGCCGCAGGGCGGACCTCCACTGGAATATCGATGCCACCAGCAAGCCGCCGGTCCCATCTTCCATCTACAAGTCGGCTCGTTCGTTTTAATGATGCCTCGGGCCGAACGCCCTGCCGTGCCGCGCCGCGCCGCGCCGGCCCGGGTACTTGGTGGAGTCTCAGAGCGCATTCAGGTTGGGTTTATTTATGCGAGACTTTGGCACCTTTTCTCGTTATGGAAGTCAGCGTCTCTCGGCGCGGCGGTGAGGGGTGAGGTTAGCCCCCCCCCCTCCCCAAGCCGATGAACGGAACGCCTCCATCTTGCATTAATTCCGGGGGTGAAGCTGCGCGAAATTGACTTATTATTTAGCCGGAGCGTTATCCGTTTCGCGGGAAAAGCGTGTTGGGATGGCGGGACACGCTCCGGGTTCGCAGAACGGCCGGGGCGAGCAGCGGGAGCCTTTCCCGGCACTCTTTGGCCGGCAGGTCCGGCTGCCTTGCCTAGCGCCCGCTGCCTGCTCGCTGTGCTCGCTCTGCCCCCGTGGCTGTTCCTGTGGAACGGGGCCGGCGTACTCAGTACTACGAAGCAGGCATGCCTCACCGCCGAGTCCTGCGTAGTCCTCTTTTCAAATTTGATTTTGTTTTGCCGTAGCTTTGCACGCCATGCACCACCAGAGAGGCTAGGCGGATTTGCGCCAACCCACGAGGTTCAAAAGGTCAGCTTTTATGCAAGTGCCCCATTTGACGTTCTGTCTGCGCTAGGACGCTCTTGATGTAATAATGACCCCACTGTGAAATTCTTAGCTGTCATCCTCACGAGATAAGTAAAGGAGCTTTGCTTTCGCTTTGATACCATCAAGTTTTTGATAGGATTTAGAAAATTTGATGCACTATTTTTGAGTTAAGTGGGAGCTCCTTTTTGCAGTGTGCCTGTGAGTGTGCTTGCGCGCGCCACGGGTGCATCTTTTCCCCCTTTGCCATGGAGCAGAAGATAACGAGAAAGACAAATTTACTCAAAGTTTGTGTTGCCGCTGCCGGGGCCGCCGCCGGGCCGGCCGGGCTCTCTCACTAATGCACTCCGTTGATTGAATCCGCGAATCGAAGTTAGAGAGAAAGAATTAGACACGCTCAAAGGGGTTCGAACAAAAAACCGCCGACTGTTTTTAATCCATCCGGTCTCCATGGCGACGGGCGGTGCGCCGTGCGTCGAGGTGGTGGAGGGTCAGCCCATTTCGCGTCTAGCACGGGCCGTCGCGGGCCACTCTCAGCTCTGGACAGGGGAAAAAGAGGCTTTAGTGAGCACGAATGCGTGGAATCACAAAGCGCACTGCATGTCATGAGCTGGCCTCACCGAAGCCTCTCGTCTTGGGATCGGCCTGCACGGCCTGCGCCGCGCATTTCAGCGTGCAGGGGTTGGCGTAGGTGACGCCGTCGGAGCCGCAGGTGGGCCGCAGCTCCCTGGTGCAGGGGCACACTCCGCCGGGCAGCAGGCTGGGCTCGGCGCCGGACTCGAGGGCCTGCACCAGCAGCAGCCCCGCCAGCACAGCCAGCAGCAGCACGCACTTCATGGCAGCTGGGACGTCGCAGCAGCAGAAGGAACTCGCTCTCACACCTGGTCGACGGACACTTGCACTCTCCGCCTGGCCCAAGCAGAACACAGTCAAATGGCGCTGCGCCGCGACAAAGACAACACGAACCTAACCAAAGATTATTTCCTTTGCTCTTAGGTTCAAAATTCCGTCAAACTTCAACCGATCGTCCGGCACATTCAAGAGAAAGAAGTAATGACAGCGGCGAAAATGGTGGAAAATGAAGCAGAGTGACGAAATGGTCGGGTGGATTGGCGAAGCTCGGCGGACGGGCAGGACTCACACGTCGAACACGTCGTCGTCCTGGGGGCGTGATGCCGACACTGATAAGGCGGGGCTCCGTGACACACCGCGGTCATCAACAACAGCAACAACAACAAAGGGGCATTATCAGCAGCCTTATCATCGGCCCGGCTCGATTCGCTATCCGAGCGTCGATTGTTATTGTTTCGCCCGACGCCTCATCTGACTGACGGACGGACCTCGCGGATTCTCATTCAGTTCAAGGCGAAGCCGCGGCCGTAATCAAATATAAACGTAAACCGAACGTAAATAAATAAAATGGCGTAGGGGAAAAGAGAGGGGGGGGGAGGTTAAGAGATGCGCTGGCTCTCGGGGCAGGCCAGCTCGACCGGACCGGACCCCACTCCTCCGTGACCTGCTTCGTCGTCCGACCCAAAGTGACGGAGTGACGGCCAGCCACTGACACTAAAGTACTTTGCCTTGTCAGTGGACGCAGCAAAACGACGCCCGCTGCCTGACCAGCACGTCACGTGTGTGTGTGTGTGGCGTGTGTGTGTGTGTGTGTGTGTGTGTGTGTGTGTGTGTGTGTGTGTGTGTGTGTGTGTGTGTGTGTGTGTGTCCACACCCCACAGGTATGAGTTCCCGAAAGGAAAAAATGTTCCCGAGCATGCGTGCAGATCGGTTCGTACCGACGCGCTCGCTTGTTGGTGAGGTGCGAGGGTGATGCTCCTGCCTGTTGGGTGTGGCGTGTCCATTGAACTCCCATTGCAGCCCTTTCACATGGCTGGTGCACTGCAAGCCGTGTGCAGGCCGTGTGCTGGCCTGCCGTGCCAAAACACGGAACGCAGGGCAGCTTGATGATGGATGCGTTCGAACGCCGGTCCCCTTTGAGTTCACGGCGTGTTGCCTTCACAGAGACGGGCACGACGATGAGCGGATGCGGCCGCGAGAAAAGGGAAAGAGAGAGAGAGAGAGGCGTTGGTGGGACACTGTCGCATTCTGATGCGCCCACAAGCAATTCCAACCGTCGACCTATTAATGAGGCCTTTCACGTTAGGAACACTCAAGCTCGTCGTCGCATAGCGTCAATAACTGAACAGGCATTAGCCATTAAAAGAGCCCAAAGTGCAATATTTCTTTCATTTTTTAAGAATAATTTCATGGCGAGCTTCCACTGGCCTGCTTGCATTGCATGAAAGTGGGCGTATTGGCGTGGACTGCTGTGCAGACTAGTTCGATATGTTTGTCTGTGGCCCGAACACTTTGGCGAAAATGCGTACAAGGGGTGGAGTGACAGGCCCGACAGGCCCGACAGGCTTTTAACTATCAACATCGTTGTTTCCAGCGGGCCCGCTACACACCGAAAGCCCGCTGTGTACACCTGCATCGGGCTTTTAGTCCCAGGGACTCGTCGGGCCGGTGACGTCAGGCAGGGCCCGCTCTTTGGATGTTGAGCATCCCTAGCGCTGTGACGCCGTTGATTGGATGGTTTCGGCCGAAGCCTCCCGGACAGCCCCGTGAGTGCGAAAGAGACGTCGACTGCTGGGAATGTGCCTGCCGCGCCTGCCAGGCTGGCTAACTGCCCCAAGGACTGCCCTCTGAATTCTGAAAGCATCCAGGCGGAGCGTCATCGGCGCGCGGCACGCTTCGAACCTGAGCCCGAGCCTCGGCCTGCAGCTCGGCCTGGGCCCGGGCCACTCCCTCATTCCACCAGGAACTAAGAGTGCGCTCGGAGGAGCACAAGAGCACAATTGGGCCAGCGGGGTGTGGCGGGGCGGGGCGCGGCGCGGCGCTGCCTCGGCGCAAATTAAATTACGTACCGAGCAATGCAATGCAACGCTATCGCCGACAACGCGGCGGGGCGCGGCGGGGCGCGGCGGGGTGCGGCGGGCGGGTGGACTCGAGTTGGGCCCTTCAATTCGCAGTGTGCGAAACGCAGTGCGTCTTGCAAGCTGCATGCGGCGCCGCTGCGCGCTCCGCCCCTCCGTGGAGTGGCCCATCATGAAGAGCAGGCCTGGAGAGGGTCGGGATTTCGAACCACCCGACCGGCAGTGTAGTAGTTCGCGGACGGCTCTCTTCGGTGCATTCAAATCGAAACCTGCACACGCCGACCACCACAGCTCAGGCGAAATGCAAACGGAGCATAACCGACGTCAGGTCAAGGCGCCACTACACTACAGGCCATAGCGATGACGTCATTTTCAACAGGGTGAAACGACTCGCACATAGTATTGGCCACCCTCCCCCTCCCCCCAAATGTCCCCCTTCCCCCTTCCAGAGCAGGCACAACATCAACGCCCCCGCCGCGACCACAAGAAGCGACGGCAGAAAACAGGCATGGCACGGGCCGTGGCATTAGCAGTCACAAATCGGGGCACTTCTGGCATGTACTGCCTGACGCATGTTGGAATTCGCGCGCACACACACAGACAGACACACACACGCACACACACAAGGCCGTTCTGTCTGCATCAGGCCGCTGCGTTTTACCACGTTTTACTCGCACGGCTCGCTTCCCCCCGCTGGCTGCTTTTTAGTGCCACCAATGCCAATGGCGACGAGTCAGTGGGTCGAGAAGTCGAGAATCGGCCGCCCCCGCCGCCCCGGCCGCGCGCCTGCACTGTGCGAATGAATTAAACAGCGACCGGATTGGACGCAGCGCGTCGGAGAGCTAGGCACGGCCGAACCCCGCCGAGCCGAACCCAGCCGAGGCCGAACCTGGGCCCGCTGGATTGAAAGGTCCAAGCGAGGCTGGCTGGAGTAGAGACCGCTTCAAAATAATGTTCCTAAAAAAAACAGTGTTCATTTTTTGTTCGGGGTCGTGAAGGAAGCAAAGAGGATGGCCCCCGTTTCCTCGCCGATAAGACAGTTGATTTCCTGACAAACACCCCTCTATCATCCCTCTCACTCCCCCTCCGCGCTCCGCGGCGTAGCCGGGCCTTCCCGCTCCGCATGCTTCGCACCGTTCGCAGCCGCCCGGCTTGCCCGACAAAGAACGCAAAGAAGAGGCTAATAATCCGTTTGGCGCGTCGTGTCGGATTGGTTCGCCCTTCCCTTCGGGATGCGTCGCTCTGTCTCTCTCGCACCCTTACGGAGAGCCCCGTGAGTGCGAGAGAGGTGGAGCGACGCAGCGTCTGCCTTGCCGGCGAGTGCGCCGCGAATGCGCGACTCGTCGCCGTTCGTGTATTTCTTTTCCAGGTTGGCTTTTGGCTTTTTCGACCGGTCGATAGATAACACGGCAACGGCCGTGTGCTGCTTGCCTCTGCGCACGCCGCCGTGCTGCTTGCCGCCACGCCAGTGGGCACGCGCCAGCCACGTGGCGCGGAGCACGCCGGAGCACCCCGCCAAGATGAAACGAAACAAAACAAACGTTTGGAGTCAAAATAACGCAGCGGCAAAAGCATGGCAGAAGCGGGGCGCCACCGACAATCGCATCCAATCACTGATACGAGATGAGCTTAACGCTCGAGCGACTCGTGTGTGTGTGTGTGTGTGTGTGTGTGTGTGTGTGTGTGTGGTGTGTGTGTGTGTGTCTGTGTGTTGGTCTGCGATGTGCGATGGACCCGAGCGCAAACTACTTGCGAAATGAAACATTGTGGCCGTCGCCACTTTGAGCGAGGCAGACGGATGCGTATAACAACCCCATCTCCCCGAAGGAGCAACCCCATCGACACGACGGCCGTGAACACACACACACACGCAGACACGCATACGAACACACACGCGCCACCCCACCCAGACAGTCGCCGACGACGCCGCGGCCCACCCTCGAGAGAGCCCGCACCCACGCACCACGCCCCGCCACGCCACCATGGGTACCGGCAACGCGGGCAACGCGGCAACCTTTAATGTCCTCTCCCAAGTCACACAGCAGCCCTCTTATAGCGCGTCGCTTCCGGGGGCCGTTTGCCGCACAAGCACGCCCGGAGCGGCCCGGAGCCCGAGGGAGAGCCCGGAGCAAGGCGGGCAAGGCCCGGAGCAGGGAGGACATGTGTCAAACTACACGCCCTGCAGGCCCTCTCAGACTCCATCCTCGTTGGTGAAAACCTTCCTGTGGTTCGTATGGGACGGTTACATCAGCGGACAAAGTCTGTAAAGTGACAACGTCCGCTTTTCGAACTTTCGAACATTTTACGAGGTGAAGCTGCGCGCGCACGGGACCGGTATATATATGAAGCCCCGGGCAGCCATTTTTTTACCGTAGTCCGGCAATTGTTTTTGTTGTTGTTGTTTTTCGTGCTTCCTCTCGCTTTTTCTTTTTAATAACTCCCCCTCTGATCTGCGATTAACCGCCACGTTGCCGACACTGCCGAGGGGCGGGCTGCAGGCGAGGCGGGCAGCAGCGCGCGGGCCTCGCGGGCCGCTGAGCACCACTGAGTGGTTGCAACACGTGCTCCATGGTGGCGATCAAGACGACGACGATGATGATTGATGCTGAGAAGTGCGAGTGCGAGGGGCGCGTCTTTCGGCATTTCCCACGCGAGCCCCAGCATCCAGCCTACTCTCACTAATTTCGCTGCAGAATGGCTGTCGCAGCGTACGCGAGTAGTATAGACACTCCCTTCTGTTACGGGTGAGGAGGAGGGTTCTATACTACTCACGCGTGTTGCAATGGATGGATGCCGGCTTTCTTTGAGGGTGACTTCGCGCTCAATATTTATGCCGCGCACATCCTCGGTGCTCTCGGAGTTGCTGCGTAATAAGGACAATTATAGCGTGTAACGAGGAGCACTGACGCGTCGCCCCACGCGCAGCCCGCGCAGGGACAGCCCCCGCTCCGGTAAGTGCTCGTCTCGTCCCCAGCTCGTCTCTTTCTGCCCACGTGCATGCCGTCGTGGACCCTCGGACGTCCCGGACGTCCCGGACACGGAATCGCAGCCAACGCGTCCGCCCTGCCGCCCGCGGACATCTCCAAGTCTCTCTCTCTCGAACTACTCTCAATTATTCCCTACCCGTCCCGCCGCTTCACTCGCTCCCTCGCGTTCCTCCCCTCCCTCCCCATCCCCAGGGAGGATGAGCGGTTCGAACAGGTCAACACATATTGCGGGGAGGGGAGCGCAGGCACCCCTTTTTAAACCGCACGTTTACGGAGCATCCAAATCCAGCAACAACAACAACAAAAACACGTACGCGGCTACGCGGCCACGCCAATCATTATTAACATCATCTTTATTATGACGGGTCGGTATTTGATTTCGCTGGCGAGCGGACAATGGGGCGAGGCTCGGCCGCTCGGCCGCTCCGTCGACGGCCAGGGCTGCGCGGTGGGGTCGCAGGGGTGCCGCGGACGGGGACGCGCTGGGCGTGCTGGGGCGGGGCGGGGCCGGGTGGGGCCGCTAGTGCGCTCGTCAGACGAATATTAAAGTGCCGTTGTCGGCTTGGATTAAGGACGGCTTAATTTGGATGACGCGAGCGTTGAAAGTGCGTTCCGATTTGCATAGGGGTTTAAGACGTCGTCATCATCATCGTTACGGTGTCCGGCGCGCGAGTCAGACACCTCCAGCTCACACCCCTATGCGCTGGCGAGCTCGCCGTCGAGCCTTTTCAAATATTAAAAATCGTTCCCGTTTTTTTTCCTCGGAGCCCCCACCCTTGCAATCCTAGAAAGATGCCCATAAAAATATATGAAAAATTTTGCGAGCTTCTCCGTAAAGAATAATTGATACGGCACTAACGCCGCGAACCGATACATTCATCTCGATGATTCATGAGAAATTCATCCAACTGCATTGACGTATGAAAGTCATGCGACTGGAGGGGCTTTGCTGCTGCACCGCTGCACTGCGACCGCACTGCTGATGATGCCGCATCCGAGGAGCAGATTCTCGACGTGCACACGGAATTTGTGCTCCCGAAAGTCGACTAACGATGGCCGGGCCTGGGCAGGGGTGCGCCCGCGCCGCCGGTCCTCCAGATACCAATAAAACTCGTGCAAACAAGCGCGCACACACACACATTCACACACACGCACGGACCCATCGAACCGCACTCGCCTTCAGACACACTCACAAACACAGAGAGAGAACCAATCGTGAGGGCGCATTGGATGTTAACATCGTTTGGGAGTGAGACTGTTATTAATTAACAGACGAGCCCCTATTGTCTGCATAGAGAGGCCAAAAAACAGGCAAAAAATGGGAATCATCGACGCGCCCTGGCGGGCCTGGCGGGCCTGGTGGGCCCGGCGAGCGTGCCTGCGATGAGGCGGAGGGGGAGGGGAGGTGGGCTTTTGCGAGCGGAGACAGCTTTTGGTGCGTAAGGCCCCATTAGTCGGTACATGGCCGCGTGTGTGTGCGTGTAAGGGAGAGAGAGAGAGAGTGAGATCGTGAGCGAGAGGGAGTGAGAGAGGGGGAGGGGGTGGGATGGGGGACGGCTTGTTTGCGATTGTGTGTGAGGGAGTGCGACGTTGCGTGCCTCAGGTGGTGGAGCGAGGCAACGAGGGGACGTATATTCCCCCTCCCTCCCCCGCCTTTTCGGAGGGGGCTGTGGGATCTCGGCTGGTTGAATGGTGTCGGTAACGACTAAGCCCGCGTCGCGGCGGACGCGGCGGACGCGGCTCTCCTCCAGTCCTTTGGCGAGACGAGGCACGAGCAACAAGACGGCCTGGCCGAGCCGGGCCCACCAGCCCCTCCCCGTGCTCCAAGCAAGCTATGGTTAATGTCCTCCAACTTTGTTTTCGTCCGCAGACGCCGCTGCGACGCTGCGGGGGAGGACGCCACTTTTTTGACACTTTCCCCGAGTCGCAAAATCTAACGACGTCGTAAAAACGGGAAACAACGTGATTAGCTTATTGTGGGACGACGCGTTGAAGACGGTTTCCGCTTGAAGAGGCGGCGCGGGGGGGGGGAATGCGGCAATAAACAGGTGTAGTGGAGTCTGCGGCGCCAATCTGACAGTTCCGGAAGCCGCACCTTGCAGCGCCGCCGCGTGGTGCGGTCGCACCGAGGTGGCACCGAGGTGGCACACTGCGAAAACACCAAACACCCCGCATCCCGTGAGAGCACCGCGCAGCGCGGCGCAGCACGGCGCACACCTCCACCTTCCGCCCTCCGCCCGCGCAACGCCTTCGCATCGCCCTGCCTTCGCATCCCCGCCGACACCGCCTCACCTCCCGGCAGCGCGCCGCCACCACCCCCTCCCCTCCCCTCCCCTGCCGGGCCGGGCTGGCTGCCGTCGGCCAGCGTCTCGCGTCTCGCCCGCCCCGCTCGCTCGCTGCTCGGCGCGCGGCGCGCTGCTCGCTGGCTGGGGCTGGGCGGCGCACGCAGTCCGCTCAAGGCCGTCCGCGTGCTAGGACGCCGCCTCGCCGCCGCCCCGCCGCGCGCCGCTCCGCGTGCTGCTGGACGCCGAGCACGCCGACGGCGACGCCGCCACCCTGGCCCGGCGCCCCGCGCCGCCGCGCCGCCCTCGCGTGTGTGTCGCTCCGCCGGCCCCGCCCCAGCAACACGTGGATTACAATGCGTCGCGTCGTCGCCCTGCTCCTGCCCGCCCTGCTGGCCGTCCTGGCCGCCCCGGCCCCCGTCGCCGCCTCCAACTGGTGCTACGGCGAGGAGTGGTGCCGGACGCTGCGGACGCCCGTCACCACGGACAGGGCCACCTGGCCGCCCGCGCTGGTCTCGGCCAAGCTGGTCCGGGACGAGTCCGGGGAGGGGGAAGGTGAGCCTGGAGAAGGGTGTGCTGCTCCCTTAAAACCTGTTGTCGACTACATAGTGGATGACAGGCATTGTAGTCACTTTAAAACGATGACAATTTCATCACAAATTCATGATATTGTCATGAAAGCTCTTATGCGACAGCAATGTCATCAACTGGTTTGACATCCTACCTGTAAAGAAAGTAAGCATCGACGTTGTCATCAAGTGGGAACCAAAATTTTCGCAGTGTGGCGCTCGCGACGCTGTTCGATGTGCTCCCTCTTTTTAGAAACAACATTTCTCGGTAGAGCAACCCGCTTCCCGCGGGTTGAATCATTTCGTTGCGGCCCTAAAACAAGGAGGAGGAACATTGAAAAATAGAACACCTTTTTTTATTTTCCGGTGGTAGCGACGCGGAATTCGGCATGGCATTCGTTGATTCAATATAGTGGCCCGGCCGGCCGCCCACCCACCCAGGGCGGGTTTATTGCTGTGTTCATGATGTTGATTTTAGCTTTCCTTTTTTTGGGGCAACAAGACGGACACCGGTGAATGTTCTGCTATTTTCCTTTCCTTCTTTTTATTCGTATCGGGGCGCGCAGAGCCGGGGCAGAGCCAGGACGCAGCGGCGCACCGTCGGGCAGTGTACTCACTCAGAGCGCTAATTGCTAATTCGTTATAATCGCGGCTCCTGAAGCCAAAGGAAGCGCCAACACCGTCCAAAAACAAAAACAAAAATCGGCTTGCACTGTGGAGCAACAAAACGATTGGGACGATTGCAGTTTACCAAACCCGGGGACGACAACACGATCAGCTCAAATGAACGCGTTCAAAAAAATGATGTGAAACTTCCTCTTCGAAACGAGGTGTATGGTTTGCAGCATGCATGACGGACTGGGGCTGAGTAATCTTTATTTTCCATTTTCCAACGTGCGCGTGTGTTAGTGTATGTGTGTGCGCGCGTTTATGTATATGTGTGTGCGTGCATGTGTAGTGCGTGCGCGCGCGTGTGTGTGTGTGTGTGTGTGTGTGCGTGCGTGCGTGTGTGTGAGTGGCGTGCTAGGGAGGGCGTCGACTAGCCCGGACTAGCCCGGACTAGCCACGGCACGGCGTGGCACGGCGTGGCGGCCTACAGTGGCGTGGCAGCCTACAGTGGCGTAGCGGGGCGCAGTAGTCATGGCGTCCTATCACTTCCAGGCCATCGTGATGCAGATCGGACACGTCAATAGCGGCAATGAGCGCGATGACGGAATGAACCGAAAAAATTTAAAAGCCCCGGACAGCGTGTCGCCCGTCCGTGTCCACCGCGCTGCAGGCAGACTGACTCCGAGGGTCACGTTCCGTCTCTCTCGCACCTGTGCGCGACGCGCCGTGGGTGCGAGAGAGACGGAGCTACGAGAAAGGACTGCCAGGGCCGTATAATGTGGGCCGCTGAAACACGGCGAAACCAGGCGAAGCGCCGCGGGCGTCGCGCTGATGTGATCTAGAGCAGATGTGGAGAAGCCTCGCGCACTTTCGACCCTTTTTTTCCGGTCCTCCTTTTTTCAATGCCGAAAGTTAATGTCCTGAAGGCGAGTCCCATCCGGTGGTGTCGTGCGCCTCGCAGCGCCTCGCAGTGTGGCAGCGCGGCAGCGCCCCGGCATGGCATGGCCTGGGCATGGCGAGCCGCCGCCGGCCGCCCCTCCCGAAGGGAGGGCGAGAATGCACGATGCCCATTGAACTCGGTTTCGCCCGCGGGCAGCCTGGGGCAGCGCAGCGTGGGGCAGCCTGCTCTCGTATCGGAGGGCCCGCCCCGCCCCGCCACGCCCCGCCCGCCCCGCCCGCCCCGCCCCGCCCCGCCACGCCCGCCCCGCCCCGCCCGCCCCGCCCCGCCCCGCCCCGCCCCGCCCGCCCCGCCCCGCCCCGCCCCGCCCGCCCCGCCCCGCCCGCCCCGCCCCGCCCCGCCCCGCCCCGCCCCGCCCGCCCCGCCCGCCCCGCCCCGCCCCGCCCCGCCCCGCCCCGCCCCGCCACGCCCCGCCCCGCCCCGCCACGCCCCGCCACGCGCGCTGGCCGGCAGGCACCGAAAGCTTACGCGATGCAGAAACGAAGGTTGTTACCGAAGACGAATTGGCGGGCAGGGCCGAGGCCTTGCCATCCCCCTCGCTGCCGGACGCTACACTGTATATGTACAGCATACAGCAGCAAAAGTTTTGCCCTCCCCGTCGCATCGCTGCACAATATAAAAACGTATGACAAATCCGTTCGAGGGTGTGGAGGACCGCCACCACCACCACCACGAGGACGAGGAGGACGACGACGACGTTGCCACGTTCCATGTTTTATCGGAAATGAGCTGAAAAGCATCATTTGTCAGGTTGTCCGTCGGATGCGGGCTCCAGAAATTACGCTTGGGATTCCGATTCCTTGGAGCCTCCAAGCCTCGCGCGTCATAGACCGTCATAGACGGACGGCGGGGGATGCAGCACTGATCAAGTGATCCTGGAGTGATGCTGCATGACGGACTGTCTGTGCAGCAGCGGCAGGCCTTGCGTAGCCTGGGGTAGCCTGGGGTATGCGGCTCGCTGCTAATGGAGCGTTGGCGCGCGTTGGCGCGCGTTGGCGTTGGCAGGCCTGCATACTGCACACCAACGGAACCAAAACGGAACGCCAAGCATTCAGGCATCCCCACAGCAATTTTCCTTAATTTCTCGGAAGATTCCACGTTCTTTAGGGGAGGAGGTATCATCTGCTAATAAAAAATTGGAGAGGATTTCCAAGGGCGTGAGCTGGTGTGCAGGCTGGCACATTTATCCCCTGAGGTGCATCTCCCTCGCCTACTTAACTTGTCGTTGATGTATACCGCAGACGGAGTCACTGAAAGTCAAGGGGTGGCTGATGTGGCGTCACGATCCCTTGATTCGAGGGGGCTGCCGAGACAAAGCTCTCTCTCTCTCTCTCTCTCTCTCTCTCTCTCTCTCTCTCTCTCTCTCTCTCTCTCTCTCTCTCTCTCTCTCTCTCTCTCTCTCTCTCTCTCTCTCCACCCCCTCTAGATCAGCCACTCCCTGGCTGAAGACCTGAAGAGGAAGGCGGAAGAACGCACCAAGATTGTGTCGCGGGCTGCGGGTCTGCCTGGGCCTCGGCGAGTCTTGAGTCCCGCCGGTCCCGACATGACCGCGTCCCCTTTATTGGTTTTGGCTTTCGCCGCGCCATTATTAGCAGGGTATAAGTTAGAGGCCGGGCAGACCGACGCAGACGCGGAGCGCGAGGAGCTAGGCCCGCCCGCCGTCTCTGCCTCTCTCTCTCTCGCACTCACGGGGCGCCCCGTTCAGGTGCGACAGAGACAGAGCGACGGAAACGACTCTGCCGGCCTGACCGCGCCACCAGAAAGGCCCAATCGTCGTCGTACGCACGCCGCGGCCGCCCCGCCGCGCCCCGCCGCGCCCCGCCCCGCCCCGCCGCGCCCCGCCGCCGCCGGCCAACTTTCCTTTCTTCTCCATGGTTTATTGGTCCTGCAAGCAGTTTCGGGGAATGTAAAAGCATTCTAAGCGGGGTTCGAACAGTGCGAGCGCTTGCGAGGGCTTGCGAGAGCGAGCGAGAGGCCGGCCGAGTCTTTGATTTGATTTACCGCCAAGTGCGCCGCGCCGCGAGTCGCGCCAGAGGGGAAAAGGGGAGGGGGCGTGGCCACGACGGCGACGACGACGACGACGGCGACGACGGCGACGACGGCGACCTCCGGCGGCCCGGCCGGCTGCCAGCGCCGCGCGGGAAACTGCACTGGCGTCCCTGCAGGCCTGCAGCCTGCAGCCGGAACAGACCGGCCGCCATGTATTATAAAAGGCGAGTCCCGGACACGGCGTTGCGATGCCCTCGGACGGCGACCTCGAGCCCGCGGGCCCGCGAAGGGGTGGCGGCGGCGTGGCGAGGCACCCCGCGGACCCCGACGCTCCAACATGAATCTCTTAGCTACCCGCGCGCGCGCCGCCACCCCCGCCACCCCCGAAGCAACACCGGAAGTCATCCAGCGAGGCACACGCGGCACATCAACAACCCCCTGGCCCTGGGTCTGGCGCTGGGTCTGGCGTTGGGTCTGGCCCGGCGCCGCGCAGCCGGGGGCGCCACCCTTGCCCTGGCCCGATGCGCGGGCCCGCGGGGTCGCGGCTCCGAAGCGCTGGGCGCTAATTCTTCCGAACAGTGCTGTCGCCGCGCGGCCTCACTCCCACTCGCGAGGCGCCCCGCCCCGCCCCGCCGCGGTGCGAGGGAGACGGAGGCGAGGCAGCCACCTGTCACGCCTCGGCTAACTTTGTCGCCGGGCTGCCCGCCGGGTCCGGGCGGCGCTCTGTCTCTCTCGCACCTCCGTGGGCCGCCCCGTGAGTGCGAGGGAGACGCAGCGACGGTGGCGCCCTGCAGAATCCACCCTCTGTCACCGCTAGACCGGCCAGACTCGGCCAGACTCGGCTGGACTGGACCGCGCGTTTGCACGACGGCGGCGAGGCCATGGCGAGGCCGACGGACGGACAGTGGTGTCGCGAGCAGGGGCAGACCGCCGTCTGGCGGAGTCGGAATCCGTAGCTAACAAAAAAAAAAGAGAATAAAAACATCTGATTTTCGGAAACAAAAATCATACAACGCAAATTTTTGATGGACTATTATTGGAATTTTCTGATGAGGGCAGTCACTATCGAACCTCTGATTTCGAGATGCCACGAGTGTCCCCCGTGCTCACTAGCAATAAGCTCATGGTTTAAAGAAGGAGGAAAAAAAAACTTGCCGACAGGGAGGAACACGGCCCCGCACTCTGTCGCACTCACACTCACACACACACACGCACGCCAGCTCGGCCTTTGTTTTTGCGGACTGCAAAGTGACGCGGCTTGCAGCGTTCTGGCGGCCAGATTTCCCGACTCAGGGCACGCGCGTCGCGTTGGTGGTAAAAACATGGAAAGCTTGAAGGAGCCCCCGCCGCGCCCCGCCACGCCCCGCACCGCCACGACCCGCCACGCCCCGCCAGCCAGCAACACCTGGTCATAAATTGTAGCGGCAAAGCTGCGGGGCTCAGGCCCGGTGGCGGGAGGGAGGGGCAGCTATGCCTCCAGCAATGCCAGCGAAGAATGCGAGCGGGCATGGCCGGTGACTATAACTCCCCCTCCCCCTTTTCCCCCTTTCGCCTCGGCCAGCCACCCCGCCCCACCCCGCCCCGCCCCACCCCGCCTCGCCCCGCCCCGCCCCGCCCGGTCCGTCTGGGCGGGCGTCTTCATATCAAAAGTCCCGGCAGACACCCCCTTGTCATATCTCCCCGTCACCACTTCATACTTTATGGGCTTTTATATCCAGTTTCGAGACCGCTCGACTCCATCATGAGCGTTCCGCTTCCCGAAGCGTGTCCTGTTCGAGGGGGTATGCGCTCTCTGAACCTGTGTACCGACTATTACGCTATTACGCTCTATTACGCCACAAATTAATCGGAATATAGCTAAAAACGGCCTAAAACACACCAAAATTGATAAAATTTTGACAATTTCGGCTATTACGCGTATTATTACGCGTGCTATTACAGATAGAGTGTACCGACTATTACGCGAGTGCATACCCCCTCGGTCCTGTTTGGCGGAGCCACCCGCTAACTTGTCCCGATAAGTTGGTTTCCTGGTAAAAAAAATAATTTTTTAAAAATTAAAAAGAACTCAAAAGCTCGACAGTCTCGTTCTTGCTCACGTGTGAACTCCCATGCACTTTGGACGCAAATGCACGTGCAGCCCTCTCCAGCCATACACCTGCACCCAAAGGAGGGGGACTCTTTGTTGGAGAGACTTTTTCCGCATTCGAACCAGTCGGAAGATGCGCGATACTGCGACTGCATGCTCGGAAGGCAGCGCCTGGCAGCGCGCTCCGTCCGCCGCCTGAATGGACCTATGCCTTTTGTGTCGGCCAGGAGCCTCTCTTCGTTTCGTGCGCCGAAAATGATGCAGCAGCGACAGGGAAACGGGCACAACCAGAGGAGAGGCCGGCCTCCGAAACCCGGTGATGGTAGTGGTGCTGGGTGGTGGTGGTGGTTTGGGAGAGGGGGGGGGGGGGGGGTGAGGGTGGTGGTGGTGATAGGGGGGGGGGTGATGATGATGATGGGGATGGTGATGATGGTGGGGATGGTGATGGTGGTGATGATGATGGGGATGGTGATGATGGTGGGGGTGGTGATGATGGTGATGATGGTGGAGGTGCTGGTGCTGGTGGCGGTAGTAGAAGTGGGGGCGGGGTAGGGTAGTCCTTTGACAGCCCTGCAGCGAGGTGACCCGTTTCTGCCGTTTGTCCAAACCGCTATATATTGCAAGCCTTTCGCGGAATCGAAACAAGTGAGACCGTCGAGTGCAGTACCAGCAGTAACGGCAAAAGTCGAGGCCTTGTGCCGCTTCCCCGTAAAAGCTGTGTGGGACAGCAGGACTGCCCCAGCGTGCCCCAAACGTGGAGCTATGAGTTTCTGGCGGAAAAACAACTCAGGCAAATTGTGAAATCTTTTCGTGGTAAACGCAAGTTCGGGGAATGGAGCGCAGGAAAGCACTGTTTGTTACGAGCTGTCTGAGCCATCGCCCCTTACGACGAGCGGGTAGGCAGTCCCGTCACAGAGCGCTGCATCCGGGACTGCCTACGCACCAGGCGCTATCCCTCGCGCGCATACAATGAAAATTATCTGGATCGAATTAAAAGAAGCGACCATGAAAGCTTCTCTCCTGTGTGCAGGCCCCCGTGAGGGGGACGCCGCTCTGCAAGCTGCTGCACTGTTTGTAGGGGCGCGCGACGCTCCGGCACGCTTTTCCGTCTCCCGTTTCACTGACGCTCGCCGACGCCACTCTTGTTGCAGACGCGCTGCGCCGCTGGTACCTGACGGACGACGCCGCGGCCAACGCCGACCTGGAGGACACGCTGCAGGGCGTGCTGCACGACCTGCTGCCCTACCCCGTCAGCACCCGGAGACGACGTGAGTGCTTTCGGCTGCGGTGCTTCTGGAAGCACCCGCACCGACTCCCTCTCGAGTTCTGCTGATGCCGATCGCACTTTACCGCTGGGCTGGCCCGAGGCTGGCCCGAGGCTGGCCGCAGGGCTCGTAGTTGCGCCGGACCGCAGTCGAGATGCAAACCCCTGTGGCCAGTCGGTCCGTCTCTCTCGCACTTATGGAAAGTCCCGCGAGGGAGCGAGGGAGACGGAGCGACGGTCTGCAGTGCGCTGGCGCTGCACAGTGGGCCAGAAGACCTGGCCCACTGTGCGCTGGCTGCTGGCTGGCGCGGCAGGACCTACTTCACCGGCCGGCTAGGCTGTGGAGCACTGTGAAACACAGTGAAACACCGGGGCACAAGTGGGTCAGTCGGGGTCACTAACAAAGCCGCTACTCAGCTTCCCAGAGGACGCTTACAAATCCGACGGACCTGACTGGCGTTTCGGGTTGTTGTTGTGGTGGTCGCTCTTTTGTCCACTGCATCGCGCTGGCATTAAAAAGTTGAAAAAGACTGGTTGGCGAAAATCGTGAAAAACCTGGAACTTGTAAAATTGGTTTATTCCTTGTTTGATGCGACAAAGTGGGGTATCCAAGTGCTTCTAATCAGAATCATTGATCCGAATTTTTTAAAATTCTAATCACTTAATTTTTTTTTAACCCTGAAATTTGAGCCGAATTTCGAGATGCAAATGGCAGCCCTCTGGCCGGCGTCTTCGTATTATCTGAGCGCAAAAACGAGCTTGGGGCTAGATTGTGGCTCGGCCACTTGGACCGTCCCCCGACTCGGGACGCGGGCCCCAGTGTCCCAGCCGCGTCCCCAGAGGCCCCCGCGCCGCCACCGGCCCCACTGCGGTGGTTGATGGTGCACGAGTCAAACCGGACGGCAGCCGGGGTGCAGTTAGAACAAAAATGGCAGGGAGAGGGTCGCGCGACCTCTCTTCTGCCCCGCCCTGCTGGAATCTCAATTCGCTGACAAAGGGAGGGTCCGGCGCTAGGCGCTGCAGCGGTCCCGGAGTGGGGCGCTGCACAGTGGGCCAGAGGACCGGTGGGCGCGGCAGAAACTCTAGACGCGTTTTGAGCTCCAGAGTCGCTAAATGGGACTCGAACCGAACGTGTGACCCCACCACTAGATTGCTCTCCGAACGAGGAATCCATCGGTGGGGTCACACGTTCGGTTCGAGCCCCATTTAGCGACTCTGGAGCGCAAAACGCGTCTAGAGTTTTTGCCGCCTCCACCGGTCTTCTGGCCCACTGTGCGCTGTGTCCGAGGCCCCGGTCCCGTGGGCGGCCGCTCCCCGGGGACGCTTCAGTGTGACGTCATTCCCATCCACATTTTGGCGGCAGTGCTGCGGCCCGCGGGCTCCGCGCCGTTTCGTTCGGACGGCGGTCGCGGCGGTCGCCGAGTCCGTTGTCCCGTTGTTCCTCAAACTCCGCCGAGGCCGAGCCGTGCCGAGCCGTGCCGAGTGGCGTGCTGTGCAACGGGAACGACCGCGGAAATTCGCGGCGGGCTGCGGAAAGTTTGGTAGGTTTCCCGGTTCCGACCGTGCCGGACCGTGCCCGGTGAGAGATGCCGAAATGACGAGATAAGCCATGCAGGAAGATTCGAGTGAGGGTGCGGCGTTTTCTTTGAGAGGGCGCGAAACGAACGCGTGTCGTCCTTTCCTCTTTCCTTCTCACCCAAAAAACCTGCCAAAATAAAACTATCACTCGGGGTGGCTACCTTTCTCCGGAAGCGGGGGGTTGACGAGGAAGTTTATTTCGCCACCGGCATGACGAGGACGTCGTTCGTGTCGCCGCAACAGAAAGAGAGAGAATTCCACGAAGAAGGGCTAATTATCTACTACACTGGAGGATGTCGCATGCCCCGCGAACAAGCGACAGGTTTGGCTGTGGGTGGGCGGCATGCGAGTGCCCGTGGCGGCGTGGCGCACAGTGGGCCAGAAGACCGGTGGAAATCCCGAACGCGTTTTGAGCTCCAGAGTCGCTAAATGGGACTCGAACCGAACGTGTGACCCCACCAATGGATCGCTCTCCGAACGAGGAATCCATTGGTGGGGTCACACGTTCGGTTCGAGTCCTTCTTAGCGACTATGGAGCTCCGGCCGCCTACGCCGGTCTTCTGGCCCACTGTGCGTGGCCGTGCGCTGCGTGTGCCCTGGTGTGCCCTTGCCTGCCAGCTCGGGCGGGGCGGCCGGTCATTCATTGTGTCCTGCAGGATGCTTTGATCGCGTCCCGGGATAGGAGGATGGCGGCATCGCGGCAGCCAATTAAACAGCGCCAGAGGCAGTCGGAGGCAGCGCGCCCGCCAGGCGGCCCAGCCCGGCTGGCAGCCACGGCCAGCCACGCGCAGCCACGGCCAGCCACCAGCGAAAAAGGGATGGACTCGTATTTATTTCAAAGCGCCGCCGCCGCGGCCAAGCGACTACGCTAAAGCGGCCGCCGCATCGCAAAAAAAAAAACCATTAAAAATGGCGCAAAAAGAGAGCAAAATACTGTTGTCTAAACGGGCGGGGTCTCTCGTTTATCCAAATAAATCCTGATTAAATTTTTGCTGTTCTTGTTGCTGCGTTTTGCCTCGTTCCAAGCAAAAACAAATTGAGAAAATTTGATCGGACGGAAATGAATTTGACGTCGAATGATACAAAGGTGATATATTCAAAGTTGCAACCCCTTTCAAGGGTGCAAGCAGGTTTGCTTGCACGTCACAAGCCACCGCACCCTCTCCCTTGCGCCCCGTCACCCTCCCACACGCAGCCATTACTCCGATTGTCCGAGACGCCGCCGCTCTCTCTCTCTCTCTCTCTCTCTCTCTCTCTCTCTCTCTCTCTCTCTCTCTCTCTCTCTCTCTCTCTCTCTCTCTCTCTTTTTCTCTCTCTCTCTCTCTCTCTCTCTCTCTCTCTCATGCACACACACAGTCACTCGACAACACGCGCGACGTGTGTCAATTAATTAAACGCAGAGCGCCAATTATTATCACGCACCGAACTGTTCCCTTTTTGAAGCGCAGCAAAAATAAACAAGGTAACGATTCTGTTCAAAAGAATACAAACATTTAAAAAAAATTGAAGTATGATAAGATAAGTGGACAGGGCCGGATGTCAAGTTTTAGGACACCGTGTCGGAAGTTGGCGAACACCTGTCTGCACTGATCCCTGTTTTCTTTTCTTTTTCATTCTCGCCTTGGTTTTAAAGTGTACCACGCGGGCACCACCGCAAACCGTATCATTTTGAATGCATTGCCCCTTCAGTGTGATAACACACACGACACCACCACTTCACGCGTATAAGGGTTGGGTTTTTTTTTCCTGTTTGTGTTTTAAAACAATAAGAACATAAGCGGGGTGCCCGCGCGCGCGGCGGGGTATAATGTGAATACTTGGGCTGTTAGCACCCCTCCATCATTTTGGCCTCGAATCCAATCCAACTTATGTCGTCTTGGTGGCGCTCCGCGCGGCTCTGCGGGTGGCGGTGCTCCCTCCCCCTCCCCCATATCATGCACCGCGCGGCGCTGCGTGCGCCCGGCGCGCCCCCGTCACACTCGCACGGCGTTTTCAACCAAATTGATTCGGGCGGGGAGATGCAAGTGACGATAAACCGCTGTGAACACCCTCAAACTCAGTCCGCTCGCCGGAGGGGCGGGGCGGAAAAAAAGGAGACCCCCTTCCCTTCGGCATATAATTGGTACCCGCTGTATGCCCACGGCGCGCGCTCCACCCCTGCCTGCCGGCCTGCCGCGCGCGAAGCCCCCGAAGCCTGTATTGGCTCATGTCCTTGTCCGTCCTGTCTGCATTATAAACAGTGTGGTGCCTTTCCTGTTGCAGCGCTGCATAACCGACACTGCGGTGTGTTTTCTCTGTTTCAGCGCCGAGTACGTATGCCCGTCGCGGTGCCCTGGACTGGCCCCACCGACCTGGCCAGACTGCCGCTGGAAGAGCTCGCCACCCAGTTATATTATTCTAGAAACGCTTTCGCGAGGATCCCCTTCTTTCAGGGGATTGTAGTGAAGGGGTTTCGTTGGAACTGTGGTGCTTCACTCACTTCATTTTGGCCTTGGCTCGGGCCTTCGACCGCTAATCGGCTTGTCCCACGAGACAACTAGGTGTAATTATTACACGGTAGAAAATCGACTCGAAACTCATTTTATTTTGTGCTTGCTAGGCCGGTTCCACGACGGCCACAACGAGGACCTCGTCATCTCCACGGACACTGACATGGCGCTGCAGGGGCCCAAGCCGGCCTTCACGCAGCCCGGCTACGATATTGACGTGCTGCTGGGCGAGCAGTTCCAGCTGGACTGCCGAGTCAAGAATGCAGGTCGGTTTTGCCGCAGCGCAGCGAACGCATGGATTTCTCATTCCGAGAAGCGGTATCATTATATGAGAGGGCTTCATGTCTGAGAGGGACGCAGAGCGCCCCGCTGGCTCCCACTGGGGCGAGAGGCACCCAGTGCGAGGCTAGCCTCAATCACTATTCGCGGAAACATCTGTCCGGTCGCCCATTTCAGCGTTTACACTAGACTGAACGTCGAGTGAAAAACCAAACGGGGTTCTGTTTTGAAAGAGCGTTTTCTCTACGCCTCGTTTTGCCTCACAGAGAAGCACGTCATCATGTGGCGCCGGGGCCCCACGCTGGTGAGCTTCGCCCAGACCATGGCCAGCCCCAGCACGCGCATGGCCGTCAACGCCAACCACACCCTGACCGTGTCCAACGCCAACTGGAGCGACAGTGGCGTCTTCGAGTGCGGCGTCGGCTCGCTGCGCAACTTCACCCAGGCCAGCACCGTCAACGTCATGGGTACGCAGCGTAACCTAACCTGACCTAACCTGACCGGGTTAGGTTGGATTCATCGCAAACGAATGCCGAGCGGCCGAACGACATATGGAATGTCTGTTTCGCGGCGCGCGCTAACAGCGGTGTGCATTTCCGCACTAAATCGCACAACCGCATTTTATCGGTTTCTATGATGGGGTTGTTTGACTGAGATTGAATCGACAAAGCAGTGACTTTTCAGCTGGAAATATTGCCCATCTGACTTGGTTCGTTTGACCTGTCTCATATTCGCTTTATTGTGAATCGGGGCGGCCCGAGGCCCCAGGCAAATCAAATCGAAATGAATGTGACTAACAGTCAAATGCGATTCGTGTTCAAACAAACGTGAGAGGCCACGTACCTGGCATCCCAGTGTCGTTGATTCACCTCGTTTAAAGTCTGTCCTTTTCCGCGCCTAAAACACTCTCTGATCGCAGGCCCCACGACGCCCGTGAAGCTGCCGGCCGACGAGACGGACCGGGAAGTGGCTTGGAACTCGACCGTGGTGCTGCGCTGCCCCGCCACCGGCCGGCCGCAGCCGCGCGTCAAATGGCTCAAGCGGGTGAGTTGGCAGGGCGGCAGAGCGCAGCACTGTCTGCCGCGGCCGGGTAAGGTTCGGTTCGATTCGCACCGCTCTCGCTGGCAGTGTGGGAGTCCGACAACACCGTGGCACAAGACAAATGATAAACCTTTCAACCTCACGAGGGTCTGCTCGGGTGACCCCAGGGCGCCCAGGGACGACTACCGTAGCCCCCGACCTGTTTGTTGCAGGGGGTGCGCGGCGTGCTCAACACCGGGCCGAACCTGACCATCCGGGAGGCCCGGCGGCACCACTCGGGGACCTACGTCTGCGTGCTCTTCAACGGCATCGGCTCCCGGATAGTCCAGAGGATAAAGGTCAAAGTGCAATGTGAGTTCACGACGACGGCCCAGTGGACCGCACCCTCAGTATTGCCAATTTTCTCCATGCCTGCCCCATTTGACCTTTGCCGTACGATCCGTGCAATTGTGTCATAACTGCGCAAGAATGGTCAAATTGGACACAAAAAGAAAATGGTCAATACTTCGGACGAAAGCTGAACTGAAGCTGGAGGTGCAGCACCATCGTCGCCTCTCATAAAAAGATTATCAGCAGCGCGTCGACAGACTAACTAGCCCCAGCGCTAAGGTCCAACTTTTTGAATGTCCGCGACAGACCCGCCCGAGATCCAATGCGCGGACGAGTCCAAGCCCGACTGGAAGAGAGGCACCATCCAGGTCTCCATCGTGTGCACAGCGGACGCCCTGCCAGCAGTCCACGTAAGCTAACAAGTCTGAAACAAAAGAGAAAAACATAATTGAAAAGTTATCTATCCACCGTAGCGCCAGAAAACTCACCAAACTCGACTTCCGCTAAAGCCAGAGTATCGTCAGTGCGAACTGGGGATAAAAGTCGAACCAAAGTGTAATTTGTTGACTGCAAATAAAAAGCCCCGCTGGCTTGGATGTGAAAGATTTTCCCGGGCCGATCTGATGACGAGTCCTTTGATTTCATGCAGCCTCCCCTGCAGGCGCTAGCTTCCGCGATCCTCCATCCCGATTGTGTTGCAGCTGGTGTCGTGGACGGTGCCCGGAAACTCCCTGGGGCCGATACGACTGGACTCGCGGTCCGAGTCCACCACGGTCGGCCGGTACCTGGGCAGGGCCTCCAGCGACTTCGCCAGGATCGAGTTCGTCATCGCCAACTTCACGCACCACGACCTCGGCACCTACACCATCTGGGTCAACAACAGCGTGGCCGGCACAGCCGTCAAGCACAACGTGACCAGTGAGTGGACGCTCAAACCGGCCGTGTCTGTCGATTTGGTTAGCGACGTGCCGTTATACACGCTCGCCCGAACTCTTCACTGCGCGAAAGAAAACTTTCTTGCGACAGCGACTGGCTGGGCTGGGCGGGAGCCTGGGAGGGTGGGGGAATGGCGGAGCAAAATAATCATCGATACTTAGTCGAGAAGTCCCGTTGCCGAGCCAAAACATTGCACTTTAATCATCATGTCCCTGTATTTTTATTTTCAGGCAACGCGCAGCCCGTGGTCTTCACCAGCCCGGACGAGAGTCCCTCCGAGACGGCCTTCAACGTGTCCTTCCGCTACAAGTCCCACCTGCCGCCCCTCGAGATCCGCGTCATGTACCGCAACCACCACGTGAGTCGCGCATGTTGACGAGAGTCTCCACAACTTGTCCGACAAAAGTCTCGGTTCAGTTTGGATACGCCAACTCTTTGGGTGCCTCTTTCTGTCGCTTTTCCCGCCCGCTCTCTGGCGCCACACGGCACTCCATATCTATCGAGTGGCTGTCCCTGCCGAGTCCCGCTGCACGCGCTGCACTCGTGTTTGCTTGCTGCCCTTCACCCTTTGCGTGGACGCCCTGACGGACGGCACACGCGAGTCGCACACCGACTGACAGACACGCCGGTCAGCGCCCGCCATTTTCGTTTCCCTCTTTTTTTTTGTTTTGTCGTTTGAGAGTGGCGCGGGAAACAACAGAAAGAGACCCCATTTCCGGGTGGCGTCGTCCTCAAATAAGTGCGCGTTGCATTGCTGCACTGTGTTGACTTTTTGACAACACTTTGTTCCGATCCAGAGCGACGGCCCGCTCAACCTGGTGTACGACAGCCAGGGCCTGCTGGTGTCGCCTGGCTTCGGGGAGAAGAGCGTCAACACTTACGCCGTCAAGAAGAAGTGGCAGGTGCGCCGTCCTTTTGTCATGTTGTTGCTGCTGTTGTTGTTGTTGTTACGTGAGCCATGCGTGTCGCAGGGGGCGGAGGCCGGTCTCAACGGCTGGATCGAGAAGGAGGTGAAGCGGCCCCGGCTGCAGGAGACGTACACCGTGTCGCTGCTGGGGCTGGAGCCGGCCAGCGCCTACGAGGTGTTCGTGCAGCTGCGCAACAAGGAGGGCTGGAACGCGGTGGAGGAGCCCTTCCAGTTCTCCACCAAGGGCATGATGCTGGTCAAGAGGCAGCACCAGCAGCAGCTTCTGGCCCACGACGCCGGTACGGCCGGCAAATCGCCTTTGTTTACCAACCGTTCCTCGTTCTTCCGGAAAGATTAATTTATTTTATTTTTTTTCCAGTGGAGGCCGCGACGTCGTCGGGCAGCCGGTCGGGCGCCTCGCTGGCGCGGCTGGCGCTCGGCTTCCTGCTCATGGCGCTGTGAGCGAGGTGGGCGGTCGGTGCGCGCTCCGAAAGAAAGAGAGCGGAATTATTGAGTCGTCTGACTCTTTCATGTCTGTCGGCAGGAAGGTGATGGCCGTCTCGTTATCGCATCGGTGCTGTCCGCGCTTGCAGTGTCGGCGACGCGGTGACGCGGTGGAGCAGTCTGAGGGGCGGCGGTGGCCAGACCCGCCCTTGTTCGCCCCGCTAGCCCTGCCCCTCCGCAGACTGCTGACTCCCTGCAGAGCATGCTCTGGGACTTTGTCCGGCGCGGTCTCCGTTTTATTTATTTAACTCGTGGCGTGGCGTTCGACGGCAGCGCTCAGCCAGCGCGGCACGGCCAGCGCGGCACGGCGGCGGGACTCGGAACTTGCCGTGTTACACATAACACCGGCGGGCCAAGCCCCCCAGCGGTCCCCAGCGGCGTGCGGCACTTCGGGACCGCATGACGGAGACACCGAGGCCGCCAGCAGTCCGCACGGAGAGCAAGAAGACCCCGCAAAACGAGGGCGGAGCCAAGCCTCGCCGTTTTTGGAACGTCTCCCTTTCTCCCGCGCATCCAAAAACACGACGCACGCTCTCTCGGTTTCCAAATTTTTCGTTTACCGTGCGCCGCCATCGTTTGCGAGGCAAAGCAGTGTTGTTGTTGCTGGTTTGATGTTGTTGTTTAACCCTTCTCGAAGACCCGGGGGAAGCCTGTTCCTGGGAAGGGGATACGCTCCGGATTTTCGCGGGCATTTATCTTTACGTACAGAGAACAAATATTTTTGTCCGGAGAAACGCCTAACAACCTCTCCAGCCTGGCTGCGCCGGTTCCGCCGCTCAAGGAGTTGATACAATGAATCCTTGATGGGCGGCCCCACGGTCCAGCGGCCAGGGGGTTGGAGGAAAGGAAAGGTATGTTTCACAACTGTCACGGTCCCCACAAGTTACCAACTGCGACGACGGGGGCGTTCTGTTCCACCTGGGAATTGTAGAACCTGCACCACGCCAAAATTACGAACCGTCCGGATTTCTTCCCTTCGCTACGCCCTCCTTTTCATTTTCCCTTTTTGCGCGTGAGGTCACTTTTTGCGGCCACGCCAAGACATGCCCCACCCTCCGAGTCTCTTACTGGTCCACAATGCTCTTGTCAACCGAAATTGGGGAAAAGTCCGACCGCGCTTTGGCGTAAAATTGTCGAGGAATGGATGTCGTCTCGACCACCAATTATGTCTCCCTTTCCCGTGCAGTACTTGCTTAAAACTTTTCCAATACTTTGGCGTCCTCCTCCCGAGGCACTGTGGACGCACGGCACACGCGCCGACCGCTTCGGGGAGGTGGGTAGGGGCCGCCCAGGTATTACGTAACGCCCTTTGTCTCTCTCGCACTCATTGAGGTTGGGAGGGGGATAAGTTACCAACGCATCATCGTGAAAGAGCTCTTTTTAGGAAATCGACTCGCTGTTAGGTTCTTGTACCATGTCCTGTTTTTTTTTGTTTTTTGAAGCGATCGATATGTTTGTAAGAAACTCTTCTTTATGTTTCGATCTTAGCTACATCCTATTTTTAATTTGTTCAGAATGTAAGACACTCTTTCCTGAGTACGCGTGTGATATTCTCGTAAAGCTTATGGTTGTGGCTGCATGTGTGTTCGAATGTGTACTCTTGTGTGTGTGCGCGCGTGACTGGATTTCAATCGAGCCCCTTCGATGAAAGATTTTTTTTAAATACTTCAAACGACAAAAAAAAATGATCAATTCTTTAATTTTTCTACTTAAGGAACGAAGTGCAAGAATGCCTCCTTCTTATAAAAAATGCAACAGGGGCCATACGTAAAACAAAACAAAAAAAATAGAGTAGAAATTGATGGTGAATTAGTAGAAACTCGCTTAGCAAGAAACGCATAAAGAGTCATTTTTTTACGAATAAAATCTCATATAAGGTTGATTATTGTATAAGTGCGATGTATAAGCTCAGTAATTTTTATCCCAAGTCACTTTTGTTCGTTTGGTTCCTTAAAAACATTTCCTATACGAAATATTGCCCTTTAAGTGTTTGAGTCATTGTCAAACTAAGTGTTTATCCCATAATGTCCCTTCCCGTCCTCACGACTAGCAAGCGCTTATGTCTAGTCGAAAGCTATTGTTGTTCTTGTGATCGAGACTATGTGTTATTAATTTTATGAATGTATGATGCAATATGTGGAAAATGTAGTTATTGTAACGTATTAATGTATAAATATGCTATTCAAGATCTCAGAAAGTGTCTTTGTTCTTTCGGATCGTGTTTCTTCACAGAGCCTCGGATTTCTTCTGCCGCTGCCAGTTTTTTTTTTTCCTGTCCGTGCGACCGCGCGCGCTGGCGTAGGCAAACCCCGGGCACACGCAGCCCGCAGAAGAAGCACGCCCCCACCGCGCAAGAAGTCGTTACTCGCCAAAATGGTCCGACTGACCACCGTGTCTCTGCCGGCGCCGCCACGCCGGCGACACGCACTCGAACGAACGGGTGGGGACGTTTCGCAGTCGCTTCGCTGTGCTTCGCCATGGCTTCGCAGCACCGCCGCCGATTAGCATAATCATCGGTATAATTAGACGTCGACGGCCACATGCCCGGCCGGACCCTTCCTCGCCCCGCCCCGGCCCGCCCACGCCGAGTCAAAGTGCACCAAAAGTGCAGCCGGCGTGTCCGGCCCGGGCGGGCTGGCTGGTCGGTCGGCTTGGCCGGCCAGTCCCACTGCGTCACATTCGTATGCAAATTTTCAATTTGCCGCTTCGCCCCTCGACCGTGGCGGGGCGGGCGCGGCCGTCGTCCGGCCACCCCTGCCGCGCGCCCCGCCCCGCCCCGCCCCCGGCCCTGTCACACGCTGATGGTAATCGCGCTAATTTCTTCCGCGTGACGAAAATGATCGGCATCTTAACAAAATAAGTGAAGGGGCCCGGCGGCCCGGGTGGCCGGCCGGCCGACCCGGGGTGCCTTGTTCTTGCGTGGACATGGACACACGCCCTCGCCCAGTTTGCTTTTGGACTGCACGGAAAATAATAAACCGCGTGGCGTGGCATGCCCGGGACACGACACGCCCGATAAGGGAGGGTGCCCCTTTTCGGATGGGGTCGTTGAGGGTGAAAAAAAAGCAGGCCGTCGCACGATAGGGGTAAAAACCGCTAACCTGCCGCCACGGCGCCCGGCGCCGGTATTTCAATATCGCGGTGATTATGGTCCGAGAGCGCCGCTCAAATACCGCCACCGTTTTATTATGTATTTTCCTCCTACCCTCTAATTTGGTGTAGGGAGAAAAGGGGGGTTTTGCTAAATAAGGAACAGAAAAGAGCCGCACCCCCGGCGTCGCAAGGAAGGGGCCTCTTCTGGAACCCCTTCGTTGTCCCGGCTTAATTAACGCGTCTGGATTTGGAGTAATTCATAAGACTCGCCACTTTGCCTGCTTATTGGATTTTAAACGCCAAGGCGCGATGTCTCCGCCGAGGCTGGGCTAGGCGAGGGTCCCGACGCCCCGGAGCTGGCGGGGCGGGGCGGGGCGGGGCGGGGCGCGGCGGGGTGCAGTCCGCATCCTGGCTAAAAGCGTTGTCGTTACTTTCGGCGCGTCTGGCGGGGTTAATCATGCCCTGCCGTGCCGCGCCGCGCCGTCTGGTTTACCTCCTGGCGCCGCATGGCGTGGACGGGGCGACGCGGCCCCGCCCCGTTTCCTCGCCGTTTCTCGTTTCCGCCGCGAGGTGGTCCCCTTCGGGCCTTGGCCGGGCCTTGGGGCCTTCGGTCCCCACCGCCTCAGAAAACAGGAGGTAACAGGACGTGCGCGATAAGCGGGCAGGCCGGGGCGGCCGGGGCGAGCGGGCCGCCGTCGGGGTGGTCTCGGCCTCCTCGCCTCCTCGGCCTCCTCGGCGCGGCACGCCACGGCCCGGCACGCCAGCCGCCGCCGCGCAACACCCAATCGAAAGCAAAGCAACACCACGCGGACCGACGCGGGCCGCACGCAAAAGAATAATTTTCACTCCAGAGCTATAAGCCCTTCCGTTGAGAAATTTAGCACCGGCGTTTTCAACTGGTTAGCGCTTTAGCCGACGTGGGGAATTCTTTGCACCTGCAGGAGATCTCCAGCCGCGCGAGAGAGATCACTAAAACGGCGCAAAGTGCCTTTCCTAAAAATTAGCCGAGCTGGGAATTAGTTTTTGCGCGCGGACTCTATGCTGGCTGGCCTTTTTACTCCCGCCGTCGACAGCCGCGCAAACAAACGGCAAAAAGAGGGAGTTCCGAGTGTGTTTGGCGTGGTGGTGCTGTGCCGCCGCCCCTGGCCGCCCCGCGCTGCGATTCCAATGTCCCTAGAGCACGGCCCACTATTCCATTCCAAACGGGCAAAACGGGGTCTAGAGGGTCTAGCGCCGCTTTCCCGGCCTTCCTGGCTGACCGCCATTTTCCGCGTCATCGGCCACACAAAGGTTCCCGATCGTCAAGTTCAAGACGGCGGCGGCGTGCTCATGACCCTCCCCCTTTCACCCGTTGCATCTTCCGGTCGGCATCAGACCCTTTGCAGCAAGGGGTGCCTGCCACCAGCGCCAGCCAGGAAGTCGGTCTTAGGTAGGCAATCACAGCCGCCACGCCGCAGCGGTGCTGAGCGGCCTGCCTACCCGCGTGTCCACAGGCTGAGTCTGTCGGGCGGAGCGCACGACACAGCACAACACCGCTTCATCCGGGGCGGGGCACTCCGAGCCATCTGGCGGCGCTGTAACAGGGCGCACGCACACGGTAGGCCGCTAAATCCTGCCGCTGCAACATCCACATCACAAAAAACAAAATGTTCTGCAAAAAAAAACAGTCCGAAAAATGGCATACGTTTTAGAGACAAAGATTTTTCTTTGTGAGCGATTTCCGAAACAGACAACGTGTGGAGTAAGGAGTTTTAGTGCAAGTCGGGAGCTGTCACCGCCTCCTCCACGCTCTAAACTTTGAACCCCGCGTAGTCGCTTCGCCCGCTTCGCCTCAGCGCGCGTCAGAGGGACGGCAAGGCGGTGCTGCACTGGTGCTGCACCGCACTGGCACTGACAGCCAAAGTCGGCTTCGGTCGGGATCCGTAAATAAGACAGCGGAACGGGAAACAACCGGAGCGAGTTGCCGTAATTTGCTCGACAGTGCCCGAGTTCCCCGATGCGTGAAAGATGGTGAACCTTAAAAAAATTGTTCGGTTCGATTTGTCCTTTTTTTGTCGCGTCTGGCGGCCGAGTGCGCTGCGCCGGCGGCGCGATAGCCTGCCGAGCGATTCTGAATAGACGCTCCGTCGCTCTGTCGCACTCACGGGGCTCTCCGTGAGGGTGCGAGGGAGACAGAACCGCTCTTGTGAATCGTCCGGCTGGGAAGCGCCCTCCGACCCGGCCACCCAGACGAGCAACAAGCTTTGGGCCATGGTGATCCCGACCGACTGCTCAATCATATTCAATCAAACCGGGAAGAGAAAAGCCTTCATCATCATCGCGTCGCCACCGTCGCCAAAGTAAAGCTGGTTCACCATCAATTTGTGTGGCCCCTTCCACGACACAACGCTCGCAGATCGGACTTTTATTACAAAAAAAAAAAAAATAACTATTGACATGACAGTTTCATAACAAAAAATAAAATTTATTAACATAACGATTTTGAAAGGGTAACAACAATGTGGTCGTGTCAGTCTTAATTCTGCTTCTTGGTGGATTTGTGGCTGATCTTGGGAGGGGGACCTGGCAACAGACACAAATGGATTATTATTGTTTATAAAAACAAAGTCATTTCCATTGAAATGGCGCGCAGTGCACCCACCCCAGCGCGTCTTGACGAAGGACCTGACGACCAGCGACAGGGTGAGGAACATGACCGACGTGAAGCCGATGAGGGCCACGCGGCCCGGCCAGGAGAGGATCGAGAAAACGGGGTAAATCCAGCGGCGCGACAGCCAGTACTCGTAGAAGAACCTGCCGAAGAAAACAACAGTACACATTTATTGTTCCGTCAGGTTGGCTCTGCTCAAAAAGGCGAACAGGAGCCGGATGCTTCAACAAGTGAGCGAACACTTTCGTCCCGTCGGGTTGGCACTGCTCGCGAAGGTGAAAGGACCGAAAGGACGGCCCGCGGGCTTTATCTTGTATCTTGCTCCTATTCCGAGCCGGCCGACGCAACGCGAGCAAGGCCAAGGTCGGTGCACACAAATAATGTTTCCAACCGCGACCGGGATCGTTTGTCAATCAGCCTTTTTTGCCGCGCCCCAACAGCAGGACGGAGTACGGAGGGGGTGAAAAAGTAGCATAAAGTTGCCGCTCGCTGAACGGACGGTCTCGAATCAGTCTCGCGTGGTTCGTGGCCGCGAGCCGCGATGGCAATCGGAATGTGCATGACGAGCGAGCCGTACGTACACGGAGTTATAGGCCACGGTGAAGAAGGTGCCGACGGTGAGTGTGGCGGTCTTGGACGGCGCGTAGTGCGGCTCGGCCAGCATCTGCACCACCACCAGGACCACGACGAAGGTGTGCATGGTGTGGTTGAGCCACGTCGGGATCAGGGCGTCCAGCTCGGCGGGCATCACCATGTTGCGGTCCAGCTTGAAGAGGCTCCAGAACATAGCCGAGACCGTCTGCAAGGTACACGGTTCCCACGATGATTAATTGTTATGCAAGCAATTTTTTAAAAAGTACGAGAAGTCCGCGCCTGTGGCTCCGAGGAACTCCTGGACTATTCGGCTAGTTCCGGGTTGTTGCTGGAGCTAGCCAGCCAGGCCTGGAGGTCGCGGAGCTCGTCGTGGAGGTACTGACCAAGGCCCCCGGGGCGGCCACCGCCACCAGGATGAGGTCGCGCAGGCTCCGCGCGCCGCGCCGCACCGCGTTGTCGGCCGGGAGCAGGCGGGCGACGTCGTGCAGCACGCACAGCGCGAACAGCACCAGCTGGGCGGCCTGTCAAAAGGGGCAGAACGGGCAAAACGGTCAAACGCACGCACGCACGCCACGCCACGCCGCGCCGGCGGAGCTCCAGGCAGGGCGTTCCGCTCGACACGCACTCGCCTCTCTGCGTTTCGCTGATTTGACTGTAAGATGTAGTCAAATCTACTCAGCACCGTTTGGGTACAGTGAAGGCTGCGCGACCGGTACAGTCAAATGGGCCAAATGCCGCCAAATGCAGCCTTACTTAGCGCGATGCGCTAGACCCGACTCCCACCGTCGCCGCCAGGTGGCGCCGGTAGGCAACCCATCCTGCGCGACCGGTACAGTCAAATGGGCCAAATGCCGCCAAATGCAGCCGTACTTAGCGCGATGCGCTAGACCAGACTCCCACTGTCGCCGCCAGGTGGCGCCGGTAGGCAACCCATCCTGCGCGACCGGTACAGTCAAATGGGCCAAATGCCGCCAAATGCAGCCTTACTTAGCGCGATGCGCTAGACCAGACTCCCACTGTCGCCGCCAGGTGGCGCCAGTAGGCAACCCATCCGGGCCCGAGTGCCCCGAGTACAGTACACTCACCACGCCCCACATGGTGAAGAACTTGGTCTTGAAGTCCATGAAGTCGCGCACGATGGTGGAGGTGGGCTCGGCCTGGATGGCGGCGATGGCGCGCAGGATGTGCACATAGTAGAACAGCGTGGTGGCGTGCGCGATGGTGTTGAACAGGATGGCGGCCGCCATGTTGCCGCGTGCGTGCGTGCGTGCGTGCTCGTCACGAAATCGCGGGGACGCGCTGCCACTCCGCGGGCCGCTCCGTGAGCTCCGTGCCACTCGCGCTGCGCAGTGCTGGTGCCGGCAGTGCTGGCTGTGCTGCCGGGCCCTCTAGCCGTGCGGTGCCGTGCGGTGCCGAGCGGCAGACAGCAAAGACAGCTGATAGCCAACTGCTGCTCGCTCGCGCTTGCCGGCTTGCCAGCCCACTTGATGAAGCGAGAAATAAACGAAAAGCGAAGCCAGTGGGAATATGTTTATGTGGGAGGGAACACACAATCTCACATTGGCATTCTTCACATTTTTTTACGCTGTTAGTTTGCAAAACATGGCAGGGGCCAAAAGCAGAGTACTCCCACGCAGGCGGTCGCAGACCATCCTTCCTAAGCGGGTTCTCGTTCTCAGCATCGAGACGACTTTGCTGTCATTCCGTGTTTTCGCGGTTCAGACCGGCTGATTCCAATAACTCGTACCGTGAGATAGTGCACGTTCACTATCACTTTCCTGAGAACTTTTTCAAGGTTTATTCAGATGGAGTCCGCCTAGGCCGTTTTCGGATCAAGCGTCCCGAAAAAGGAGGCTCGCCTCCAACTGCTCTTACCTGACACACTGCGCAGGGCGCAGACACAACAGCGACTCGTGCTACTCCGCGGTCGCGGCTGTCTCATCAACACGGAGCCACGCCACTACACTGTGGCAGGCTTGGCGTGGTGTGGCGGGAGAACCTCATGGAACCGCATCGCACGCTAGGTCTGCGCAGGTAATGACAAAAATATGACCACAGTTGAAAAACAACCGGGGAAAAGTTATCTGCAACGCCACAATTTTTTCGGGCTTCCGAATATGATATGTGACATTTCACGGCACCCGATCCATCGACACCCGCTAATAATCGAAACCCCCTTTTTTTCCCTTACTCCTTTCCCGCGCATGAAAAGCCTAAATTGTTGGCGCGTCTGGTAAGTGAAACGGTTATTGCAGGCCTGGTGCCGATAACCGGTTATGAAATCCCATCCCGGCCCGCTGTGCCCGCTGCCCCGCACACGGCCCGGCCTGGCCCGGCCTATGCCACGCGATTGTGTTGATAATGTACTGTGGTCCTGGCCGTCCAGCCCGCCCTGATGATGCACTGCCGGTCAGTGCTGTCCCGCCGTATCTCTGTGCCCGGCCAGGGTCACTGGCGCTGGCTCTGTGGTGGCCCAGGGGAGGGCGAGGGGGAGGGGGCTCGAGTGCCCTCGGGAGGGGCGAAAGAGAGACTCGTGCTGCGATATTTCACTTTACTTCTTGCGGAGACGCTTCAGTAAATAAATAACTGCCGTCGGTCTTCCCTCTGCAGTGCTGTGCAGTGCTCTGCAGCGCGGCCGACGGCCGCCGTTCGAAAGTCAAGGCGACCTGCACTGCACGGCCGCGCGTCGAATGGGTTGCCTACTGCCGCGGCGGCCAGCAGCCAGCAGACATCACCGTGCTGCCATCTGCTGACGGGGACCGGCACTACCCACCGACGTGCCGTCTGCTACGAGAATGGGATCAGTTTACGAGAAGTCGTTGCCTCTGTGAATGTGTATTTCTCCTTGACAAACTGTGCATTGCGGCTGATTAATTTGCGTCTGGTTTAAACTTTGGCTGATGAGAAACTCCTGTGGATTTGACGTTCTGGAGACATGAGGGCCGTCCTTAAAGTCATTGGACTGACAGAAAACATAACCTCGACCCAGGCCATCAGCTGTAAACATAGACAAATCCATTCTTCGCATTCTAGGTACGGTTTGTTTCCAATATTAACTCTTTTTCATGTTGCTAACTTCAATTTTTTTCCCTTTTTCGGTTAGGTGTAAAGCTTCAATTATAGATGGAGTCAAACGAGCCAATTCTATTCAAGATGAACTCAAGAAAGAAGTGTCGTTGCTCGAAGGGAATCGACCTCAGCTCACTACTGTCTTAGTGGGTGACGACTATGTTAGCCATGTTTATATCAAAAGAAAAATGATGGCTGCTAAAGCTGTTGGTGTGTTGTTGAACAAATTTCACCAATAAATTTGAGTAATTGTAATTTTTTTGATGCCATAGAACTTTATTTTGTTTTGCAGGTATTTCTACAAACACAATCTATTTGGAAAACTCATGTTCAGAAAGAGATCTTGTGAGTTTATTGGATTCTCTAAATCAGGATGTAAACGTCAACGCAATTTTGGTTCAGGTAAATATTTCTGTGTGTGTGCTTTCATTATATTTGTAAGTGTTCTAAACCACCTTTTTCTAGTTGCCGCTCCCAAACCACATCTGTGAGCGAACTATATGCAATACAATTGCTCCTCTCAAAGATGTGGATGGATTCAATTTCTTCAATATGGGTCGGTTTGCCCTTGGTATGAATGCTCTGTGGCCGTGTACTGCAATGGCCGTGCATGATCTCATCACTAGCACAGGTAAGGACTTTATTCTTCTGAATTCCTTGTTGCATAAAAGTCATATTACGTATATATCCTAATTTTTACCTTTTCTGAAGGAATTGAAACGAAAGGCAAACATGCTGTCATATGTGGCAGGTCAAAAAATGTAGGTTTCCCTATAGCTATGACACTTCATTCCAGTGGATTTGGTATGACATCATTTCCTTGTATCAAATTGTTTGGAGGCAGCTTTGGTTTGTCATAGGATCTTTTAAATTTTCTCATTTTCTTAGGTGGGTCTCCTGGTATGGATGCAACTACAACAATTTGCCATCGACATACACCATTGAGTCTTTTGTCATCACTAACTAAATCAGCAGACATTTTAATCTCAGCCACTGGTAAGAATTTTTCTTTTATAAATGATTTATTTGGATTGTAACAGCACATTTATTTATAAAGCTGCTTTTGTTTTCTCATAAGGACAACCTGAGATATTTTTGGTTTTATTTGGCAGGTGTTCCCGGCCTGATCAGTTCCAGCATGGTGAAGCCTGGAGCTTGTGTTATTGATGTTGGAATAACTAGGATACATAATGAAGAACTGAAAGAAACTCGTCTGATTGGAGATGTTGACTTTGATGGTGGGTGAAGCCAGTACTTAGAATGTTGCTTTTAATTTTGTTTTCTTTGTTCTTTACTGATAAGTGTGAATGAAGTTGCATTGTTCAACAGATACTGTCTGCTTTCAGGTGTTAGCAAAATTGCAGGATTTCTGACTCCAGTACCAGGTGGAGTAGGGCCCATGACAGTAGCCATGCTTTTAAAAAACACAGTGCTAGCATACAAACTGCAGATGAGAGGGAAAGGATAAGAAACTAAGACACCTTGTTTAAAAAATAGCAGCATTTATTTATACAACAACATTTGAATTAATAAAATAAAACTATGTGACTTATTAAAAGAAATAGAACAAAATTACACATAATTCATTTTTTCTTAAATGCACGGTAGACTTTGCTCTCACTGTTATGAACATGATAATTAATTCAGTCAGTGTATAGTATTGACTTTAAAACAGTGCATTAGTTCTATAAGTTTGGTGCCATTTTCTAGGCGTTAGTAACAACTTTGAAGTCTGCCCTTTCTTGGGGAATTCCTACCAACAAGTTATTTTTTGGACTGCAGGTAGGTGGATCCATTTTGGATAAATGAACATAGTAGCCTCCTTCATGTGAATGCAAAAGTCGATCAGTATCAATAGCAGCCATGCACAAGTTCCCTTGAGCTGTTTTGCACCCTTCTTCTCCGTGTGTTTGATCGGCACAATGACCAAGAACCAAGTAGTCTTTCATCCCCAATGAGGAATCTTGAAATAGCTAAAAAATACCACAAGGAAATTTATAGAGCCTGCTACAGTTAGGAAAGTAAATTGAGCATCCTTGAATGTTAATATTATACTAACTTGGCTTCTTGGGTAAGACACTGTATGTCCACTTTGGATTGAGCCGTAGCAGCAGGGGCATACCACAAAAGCAGCCCGTTTTGATTCACAAAGTTGAAGCACTATGTCTGATGCAACACCACAAGCATGTAATGCAATGCCAATATCAAATTCACCCTGAAACCAAAACCAAGCCAATAAAAACACTAAATTCAAACACTGCATTTCCTCCTTATAAATTATCAGTTATTTTTTGTGTACCTGGAAGTAATCAATGTTGCCTTGGACCAGCTCCACATTCTTAAGACCCAATTTCTCAATGCGATCTACAGCCCGCTGCAATGATTTGTCTTTGTTCTCCAGAAGAAGCACAGTGCAGGAAGGCAGAACCCATGCCAAGAGAAGGCCCAGGTGGCCACTCCCTGAGCAGAAGTCCACCAGAATATGACCTGGCTGAGCCAACTACTCAGATTTATTTTAAAAAGTAAAACAGAATTAGTTATACATTATTTTAAAAGCCTACTAAGTATAAGTTTAAAATTAGTGTTTCTTTACCTTCATGACAGCTTTTGCCATATTTTGCAATTGCTCTGCTTTGCGGCTTTGACGTTTCTCTGGGACATGTCCTCCCTCTGGTTGAATTTCAAGAGGTAAATTTTGCCATAGCAATTCAATTTCATCCCCAAACGGTTTTGTTGTTTGAATAATCTCATGCTCAGACTAAAGTCATAATAAAAAATACCAACATGTAAATGGTTACAGTACACACTGAATGGGCAGGAGAAGGGTGGTACTCACCATCAAAGTGTTGACAATGGCCAATGATGCTTCTACATCTTCCTGCTGTGTGTACATTTTGTTGCTGCGAGGTTTGTACCGAGATGGATCACATTTGTACAGGCTTTCTTTAGGTACTAAGGGCAAGTTATATGAACTTTTGTCAAGGTCTGAAGGAACTGGTAAAATTGAGGCCAACTGTAACACCATAATTACTGATTATGAAGAAGTTAGGCATTACTACAGTTTTCACTATACCAAAATTACAAAACTTACCTTTAAGAGCAGTTCAGCTCCATTCAGAAGTTGCTCAGAGGCCAAAACCCTGGCATACCAGGAGAACACTAGAGGAACTGTTTCAACTAATACATGCTCAGGAAAACTGCTCAGGAGTATAAAAAAGCATGGAAATAAAATAACATCTGCCAAAGTCATGGATGGACCCTCAGCAAACAAGTGGGGCACCTCAGCTTCCGACTCTGTGCTTCCAATAGTTTTAGCATAAGCCTAAAAACAGAAAAAATAATTGATTTTTAACAAACTTTTCTGTAGCTACAGCATTAAAACACACGCTATTTCCTCCACCAATCACTCCACTGCAATAAGCAAATTAAATCACCTGACGATGTTTTCGAACATTGTGGAGGCGTGGGGCATGTGACAAATGTTCCTCTAAGCGGGCAACATCAATGGGAATATATTCCAAGTACGACTGAGAGTTTCTAAGAAGCATGTCTTTTACGGAATTAATGATGTCAACCTGATGAACAAATTGATGCTGTCAGCCAAGGATACTTGCAATCATAAGGAAACCTTAACTTGGAGAAATAAAATTGATAGAATTATCACCTCACAAAAACGAGTCCACACAGAAACTTCAGCACAGGCAATGAGGCATGACTGACGAAATCCTAATAATGGATGGTCTTGAGAGTTAACGAACAACAATTTACGGAGAACAGAACTCAGCCCAGCCACTGTTTGAAGGAGGCCTTTTTCCTTTGCCACAAAAGCGGGCAATTTACAGACTTTAGCTTGATAAGGTAGAGCTGAATGAGAAACTTCTGTTAAAAGCAGAAAATTTATTAAGGAACAACCAAGGCTAATTTGTAATTTCACAACAACATTGTAAAACTCTTTCCTTACCTACACTGATGTGAGAGAAGATATCAACATCCACAGGTACACTTGGACTTAGCAAGTCTCCATTTGATTCTACTAGGACAATATGAATGGGAGATGCACCACTTTGTAAATCTAGGCTTTTGATGGCATGGAGGACAACAAAGGTCTCAACAGGGACAGCTCTTGAAGAATCCTCCAGTTTGCCAAAAGCATTGAGATACAAAGTACCCATTGTAGTAAATTAATTATTCTGAATCAAGCACAAGTAGTAGAAAGTTGAGCTTGTAACCGTTTCATCATTCGTCTATCTAGCTGCCTCTGACGAATGAATACAGCCAAGGAAGATATAAGAGCTCCACACAGTGTAAAAACCTCAAACAGCCAGAATTTTCGCTCCTCAAGCCAAACCACTTTTTGACAGCTGTAAACACACAGAACCTCCATTATTTCTGGTCATTTGAATTCTTAGACACAATTTTAAATCCTATGACACTACCTTCTAACAGCACGTCCAGATATCCTGCACTTAACTACTTCCTTGAACTTAGTTGGAATGCACTCCTTAATGCTTTTACTTGCAACTTCAAAATCTAAAAACCAAACAGGCAACACAATGACATAAGTTGAGGGCTGAACTTTCAAAGGAAAAAGTCGGGTTCAAAATTGTTCCAAAATTTACCTGTACATGGATGACATTCTTCCACAACTTCATATTCTTCATGCAGCCAGCAGGAAGTGTTGGTCGCTTGAGGTGACGAGGCTGACGAGACTGATGAGGCAGAGGGGGCAACGGTACCTCTGGCCGCAGTGGCAGACCACGTCCACCGTCCTTCCAATATCAGAACTAATAAAGTCACTCTGTAAAAGTCAAGGCTGGATTATTAATAACAATGGAAAATATTTTTTTGAAAATCATCGACAATATGTTACATCGGCATCCCCAGTCAAAGAGAAGAAAACTGTGGTGGGCGAGAAGTCTCCATCAGGGAAGTCCCCAATAATTCAGGAGAATGTCGCGAAAGAGGAAACTAATGAGAAAGGGTGCAAAATGCTAACACTTACCCTCCTAGTAAGCCAATGGCTATGAACATACGTCTCTCGGAGCAGAACTCTATCATGTTAGCGGGACTGGAGAAAGGAAGCCAAAAGGGTTGCAACCTGCATGACGTATGACCGTCAGCCGTCCAAATCAACTTCTAAACAAAACTTTTTGCTATCAAATCAACGAAAAGTCTGTTGATTTGGGTGACTAAGGGCAGCATTAACCTAAAAAGTGCTTGCAAGATAATTTGCAGAACAACCAACATTTTCTTCTGAGCAAATATTTTTTATTATACAAATCAGAATAACATAATGCCAAGAACATAAGAAAATAAAAATTTCATACGTTTTTGCATTGGCAGTAGTATGATTTCATCATATGAGAGCACCAGCATCTTTTCATATTTGGGTAATTAGTACTATAGGTTGGTAGTGATGACACGTGTTTAGAATTCCCTAAGTTTTGCTGGAAGGCCGTGCTATGAGAAGTTAACAGGTCAATTTATTTGTTTTGTTTCAGTCCATGAGTGCGATGTGTGTTGCTCTGCGAGTTTTGAGCAACAAGTTGTTAAATTCACCTCTCCTTAGCGTATTCATGTTCATAAACTCTACTGATGTTTGGCCTTCGAGTACTTTTTTGTCGTATTCAAGTTGACGTAAGTTATTACGAGAGGACATCGTCCAAATTTGAAACAGATGCGGTAACCTCATGAGCAGGGAAGCGCGGGTACGACGGAGGGAGAGTGACAGTGAAACAGAGAATCAGCGAAAACAAGCTGCCTTTTGCACTTGTTTGCCTGGTTTCCATACATGTTGGCATTAAAAATGTTGTCTCAAGGAGCGGCGATTCTTTCTTCCCGCCGCCCACGTAGCTTTTAATTGTGGAAGCTGGAAATTGGGTGGGCGGATGCAAGTGTGCATGTTATGTAATCTTCACATTTGTTTTTCCCTGTGCTTTCTGTTTGCCTCAAAGAGCCTGAAGATTTCTCACTTTGTTCTCAAACCCCTTTTTCATCAAGGTAATAATAAATACAAACCGTCCCTTCTTTGTTGTAGTAAACATCAATTGTTATTACGTAGCACAAAATGCAGGAAGTAGTGAAAATGATGTATGTGCTTGTTGAGACTGATGACACATCTAGTCTCTCTTCTCCTTTGAAAACTTCAAACCGCATCAAGGTACTTTTATAATTAAGGCATCATTATTACTAGCATTGTTTCATTATTTAGGAGTGTTTGCAAGTAGTATTCATGCCCCTTTTTGTCTTCTAGTTTTTGTCTTTTGCGGCATCTGAAAATTTTATTATATTTGGTGCTACCAGTGGTGGTCTTTATGTTTATAACAGACAGACATTCACATTTAAGTCATTAGTACCTAACAAGGTTTGTTTATCTTTTGTTACACGGTAATTCTAAACATGATTTTCATTTAATTTTCATAACATTTCTTCTTTGGTTTTAGGAGGGTCCAGTTACTTGTGTCACAATTTCTCCCAACGAGAAGTGGTTTGGTTTTTCTACTGCAAGAGGCACCAGTTGTGTCCTTGAGCACAATGGTTCATCAGTAAATCGACGAATTTTGTCCTCTGTTCACGAAGGGAGAGAAGTGACTGCCCTTCAGTGGAATAACAGTAGCAGCCAGTTGTATGTTGGTGATAACAGTGGTCAAATATCTGTCATCAGTGTGGCTTCATATTTGGTAATAACCATTCTCTTTCAAATTTTACTAAAAGTATTCTTCCTTTTTGTAGTATGTTTTGCTTACATGTACTGGAAAGAGGTTTCATGTGTGTTTCTTTATCAGACTCCTGCTGTGGCATTGATGCAGCTTGATTCTTCAGTTGTTCAGTTGGACACCTGTAGTTACCTGCTACTTGCCTCGACAACCACCCGCTCTTACCTCTGTGACACACTAAGAGAGCAATACCGTCAGATAGGAACTCGCCAACGTGATGGGGAATTTGGAGCCTGCTTTTATCAGGTTGATTCTCATGAAACTTCTATAGACATTCTTGACAATAATGCTGACCTCAAAGATTCCTACAATCCGTTCAGGTATTTTTTCCTTTACCTTTTCTCTCATTTTGTGCTCTTAAAAATTGTTTTATTCTGTTGTTTTGTATTTTCAGCTCACTTAATGATGGAGAGTGGTTGTTAACGGACAAACACTTCCAAAATGTGAAACTTTTTTGTGCTCGGCCAGGGCTGCGACTCTGGGAGGTACGAGTTGATGGAGCTGTGGTGAGCACTCATCAATTCAAGCAGTTGCGGTCAACTAGTCCAGCAAGTGTAATAAAACCACCTGGTCTGGGAGTCCCTCAAGAGACATCTGAGGCTCCACAACCAAAACATTTGGCTCAGTTCATGAAACTTAACATAGTTGCAGACAATTTCATAGTAACTTATGATTCAAATGGATTGTGTGTCCTTGACCCAATGACCAGTGATGTTATTTTGTGGACTGATCAATTCAGAAATATTATAGATATGTGTGTAGTCGGAGAAATTTTGTACCTTTGGATGGGTGACAGTAGACTTCATGCTATCTCTGTCATACCAATTGATAAATTTCTTGTTAGGTCATACCTTCAGAGGAAGTATTTGTATTGTGCTCAACTTTGTGCAGCTCATTCTGATATTCTGAAAAAGTTGGCTGGTGTCTCTCTGAAAATGCATGTTTTAGTTGATTTGTTTGACAAGATCAAGGATGAAGAGGGGGAAGACTCATTAGATCAAGAAATTTCAGAGAAACTTCAAGATCTCTTAAGTGAAGTATCTAAAAACACTCAGAATCAAGAACAAGCTCAGATGTTAAAATCTGGTATCTTCATTGTTGGAAATGCACACCTGCTCTCTAGGAAAGAGGAAATTAGAACTAAGAATCCTCGAGTCCATACATCTGACAAGTTGGATGCTAATGATTTATCAGTGGATTTTTACCCCACCTTGCAGGGGAAGCAACATTGTTCCTCTCAAGACAGTGGTGAAAGCGAAACTTTGAATGGCATTTTTAAAAAGAGTATTTTGCCATCTATTTCTTCCTTGCCACTGCAATCAGAACACTCAAATGTTAATAGTGATGAGGACTATGACCCCTTTCCTGATTTACCTTTGTCTTCCCTCACATCTGCAGAGACAATAATGGCACTGAAAAACCTCACCACCACGGTGTCTGGCACCATTTCTAATGGCACAAAGTCACTTAAAGAAAAATGGCAAAATCTTGAGGAAAAGTTAAGAGGTCAAGATGAGAGTTGTCTGAGTGTTGAAAAAAGTATTAACAGACTTGATTTAGCATCATCACATGTGGAAGAATCTAATGATGATGAAGACCAAGACATATTTGCTGTCTCCAAGGAGAAATCTTCAATGCTGCCTGTATTGCCTTTGATCGAAAAATGTCAACAAATTGCTTCCCTCAAAGTGGACAATGGAAACGATTTGCAGGAGTTGGAGCATGAAATGTTAGACTGTTTTGCTTCTCTATATGGAAAGTTTAGACAGTCTTCTAGAGATGATCAAGGGAAGGACCTCAGTGATTCAACAGAGCCCACCCACAGTTTTGGAAAGTGGCTAAACACATATGAAGCCGTTTCTTTCCCTTTCCATGACCACTTTGAAAAGGAATTCCTAGTTGTTTTGCGTCAGCAGTTTCAACTTAGCCTGAAATCTGGTTCCCTCTTAAAATGGGTCGCACAATATGTCCCCTGTATTGAGTTTAATGAAGAGCTATTCCCTGCGCATATTCGCCTCATCCACAGTGATGAAACCCTATTAGTTGACCAAGCATTAGGATTCACTCTGGAGATATGCAAATTACTGCTGGATCCTCATACTGCTTTTCAGTTTCTCAGTGAGTCAGGATCTGTGTGCCATTATTTCTCCTGGAATATTATTATGAATTTCTTCCAGTGCAGCCCTATTGTGATGACAGATCCCAAGAATGACTCACAAGATTGGCCTCTCCCTCGCATTCTCAATGCCATGCTAGTATTGTTCCAGCTGGGGCAAGTTGAGTCATCTCGCAGCATTGGAAAAAATGTTCCAGTAATACATGTTTTGAGAACAATACTCAGAGTGAATGAAGACTCTGTGCAAATGTACAATTTGTTCCTCTTGTACCTTGAGAAGGTGCCACTTGAAAATTTACTAACATTTTTTGAAGATCAAGAAGTTTACAGTTTTGCTAGATTGGCTTATGAGAGATTGCACAAGCCTGATGCAGTTTGTCAGTGTACATGTGGTTACCCTTTAGGTATGATTAGACACGAAATGACCTTCAGCCGGGTGGGTCAGGCCTTGCTTGCCCATATCCATAAGGCCAGTGGACTACTGGAGGCTCTTTCAATGTGTCAAAGAACTGGGGTGCTTTGGTACCACCTTCTCATTCTGAGGTATGTGTGATGTCAGTCCTTACCAAATTGACAGAAATTTCCAATTTCTTCTCAAAAGTATTCTTTTCGCTTTGAAAGTACAGTATTATAACATTTTATTATTTCTTGCAGACGAAGTGACTCCATTGAAAAAGTTTTACCTCTCATCCTTCAGACAACTTGTGAGGAGGAACTTGAATACAGAAGCAGAGAGATGTCTTCCTCAGCATGGGACTTGGTATTTCAGTTGATGGCTCGATTGCAAGAAGGATACTGTCTTCAATGCAATACCAAAAGTGAAAAAAACCATTTCAAAGCAATACCTTGGATGTCTATAGTTTCTTTAATGTTACTTGAAAACGATGTGGACTCTACTCTGGAGATTATCTCCAAATACTCTCATTCAATCCCTGCTGGAAGCCTAAGCTTGGATTTCTACCAGAACTTGCTTCTTGTTTCTGCATTGGAACCTGAGAGTAATGAAACCAAGAGAAAGTTGCTTAGAGGTCTTTCTGACAACAAAAAACTCCATGTCATGTCTGCTGGTGTGAGTTTGTGTTTGAGATTCTGTCCCCTGCGTTTGTGTGTGATTTTCCTGCATTGATTTATGCTATACTTTTAGTTGGCAGGAAAGCTGGGCATTCCTCATGGTCATGGTGAACACCATTGGGGACTTCAACTGCAGCTGTCAGAGAGCCACTGTGTCTACTGCTTTCTCCCTCTGGCATCTTTCTCTGGAGGCTCGGTTCTCAGCTTCTACTGTCAACACTCATTCCACTCGGTTTGTCTTCAGAAACAGCCTTTCAAGCAGTGCCCCATCTGCACTAAGTGATGCTGCATCGTGCCTTAATAACTAGTCATACTCCTGTGATACCTGGCAATTTATGGTGTTCTATAAATTGTTCAAGCAAATATGTATCGCCATGTTCATGTGATGAATTGAAATGTCATGGGATCAAATAAATTTAATCATGACACAATACATATGCAAACTAAGGGTTTTTTATTAAAATTTTGAATGCTGAAGAATTTTAACCTGATTTGTACATTTTATGTCATAGATTTCTGAACATTAATACTATTCTCAACTTCCATTAAACAATAGAAAATCAAAACTAGAACAATTATAACTGAAACAGCTCAACAAATTAATAACATTAAAAACAGATTGATAAAATCACAAGTCAAATAAAAAATTTCGGTGGGCACAAAAAGAATTTAACAGATACCCACAAACTGTGGTTTTGTGGCAAAGTATAATAAATTATGCAACACTTTGATACATAACTCAGCAAGTCTCCAAACATTTAAAATATCATGTCATCACTCTTTAACTTGAACAATCATAAATAGAGTCAATGCAAGAAACAGCAACAGAGGAAACTTTTCTAGTACAAGTCAATGCAAACAGTACAAATGTACTTTTAAATAGATTGATGGTAATTTTCTAATAAATCAAAGCATTAAGTTAACAATTTTAAGGTAAATTTTTATAAATACACAGTAAACAACCAACAATTATTAGAGCAACAAGAGAACTAATACACTTCATAAAACATTTCATTACCTAAAACCCAAAGGTAGACATTTGGAATGCAATCAATACAAAAGTGTAAACTTTAAAAAAAAATTTAACTTAATATTCAAATAAATATTTGAAACTTAGGTATGTGTCATAAAAAAGACACCCTACTGGTATCACAAGAACGAACACAGTGCTTCAAAGTAAAATGACCCAGAATGTCACAAACCATTGCACATTGGAATAGCACTATAGAGATGCTGAACACATCAGGATACACACTCAGTGCTCCATGGAAGATGAAGGCGGCCCACTAGGAATAATCAATACATATTATCACCTCTAATCTAATACAGTGTTGTCTCACACAAAACATACTTTGCACAGAAACAAAACAGTAATAACAATAAACCAAATAATCCCTTAGGGTACTCTCTCTAGTATGAGGTCGAATTCCGACCCAAAACCTGTACTTAAATAAGGAAGTCACATTTCATTGAGATCTTACACAGCCTGCATGCATAAAAAGAGGTCTGAAAGCCACTTTCAGTCATTCTTTTTGCTCTTGGTAGATTTGGATCTGTCATTGGCTGTTTTCTTGGTTTGCTCATTAGAGGGACCCCCTGACTTACCAGGCTTGTCCCCATTTTGTTCTTGTTTCTCCACAGCATTGCGCTCCTGCCCAGTTTCATTAATAATCGATTGACTCTGTTGATTTCTTTCTCCCACACTACCTTCTTCAATGCGAGATGAGTCAACAGGGTACAACCTTGGAAAATTGTTTTTTAGAGCTAGTTAGTAAATATACAGACAGATGATATAAATAGTAAAATTTATCTATTAATAAGTGTACTCACCAGCGTTGATACAGGTAAATAATAAATACAACATCATCTCGGAAGCACGCAACACGATGGGACATAGGCATTGTAATTATGAAAGCAAAGATGTCATCAATGAAAGTGTTGATGGCCTGAAAATATAAACATGGTTAGACACAAGGCCTAGCTCATTTATTTAGATAGTCAGATTAAAAATCTCACTTGTTCTTACTTTGTACATGAAGGAACGCCATGGGATGTGAGCCACTGATTTCAAATGATAGTTTATAAACAGCTGTGGTAGCATGAAAAGGAATCCAAATGCATAAACACCATTCACCATACTATGAACAGTCCAAGAATACCATCTAGAGAGAGAGAGAATTGTTATTGTTACTCTTTGATAAATTTGCTGCCAAATTTAACATAAACCAATCTCCATAGACACTCACCCTCTGTGAGGCTCGTAGATGAGAGAATAAATTGCCCCAACTACACATAAGGGATACAGCAAGTACATGAGGTACTTCATGGCTTGAGCATCCAGTTTTTGAGTAAGCTGCTCCCCTTGTGAAGACCGCTTCAACTGTACGGAGTACAGTGGAAAGCCCCACCTTGTTGGTTGCCGCACAATGTCTACCACCTTCTTCACTTTCCACATCTAGATTCAATGGCAAAAACAACAATTTAAATCTGAGACGACTACAGACAATGTCGAAGAGAGGAAAATGGAGACTATCTGAAATTACCTCAAGTAATGTGTTTAAGCCAGATGGCACAAGAACGAGCAAGGATGTTTTCTCATCCAGCAAATACAGAAAGACAACACTTTGGCTGAATGCTCGCCATAGCACAGAGCGTCCAGACACACCACTCAAGTCAGTTCTTGTTTTCCAGTAGTTAATATCATGTCTCAATGCCAAGAAGTCCAGAACAAGCTGCAAGTAATTTATCAAAATAATTCACGCACCTAAAAATGTTTGCTGAAAAGAGTGTGAAAAGTAAAAGAAGTACATACATGAGCAGAGGCTACAACTACAGTAACCAACAAAAGATACATGTTTGTGTCCTCAAAAATACCCTTGATATCATCTAGGTCTTTGTCTGAGAACCCCATGGTCTTCAGTGACATCATAGAAGTCTCCATGTGAAGTAAAAACCTGCAGAATTTAATTCCATCAATCAAACTAATTTCCTATGGCTATGGTAATTTCACTGCAAGTAAAGGAAAGTCAAAAATATCCTTGCCTCATTTTTCCAAATGAAGTAGGTGAATATGCCAGTGTTATATCAACACTATCCAAATCAGGCTTGATTTCTTTTAAATCCTTAAGGCGGGTAGCCATGAAATTATGCTGGAGAGGTGGCAAGTACTGAAGTCGAGAGTTTATCCTAATACAAACCAACAGAAAGGGGTAAAAAGACACTGAATATTTCCAAATAATTAATATTTATGATAAGTGTGCTGGAGAAATGCAGTACTCACGAAAACATGTGCCGCATTTCTGGAGGCAGACTGAACTTGGGCAGGTTGACATGAGTAGCCATCATATTGACAGCAATTTTACGCTTTATATGATTAACTTTAGATTTCTGCTGGGTAGTTTCAGAGCCTTTCCTTCCTTCTGAAATCTGTCCAAAAAGCATCAAATCACTAAGTTTTACTCAAACAATCCAGAATATTTTGGTTTAATTGTACTAGGCTTACATTTTCTTTTGCCTCTGAGCCAAGAAGGTTGTAGGTTTCAGGGGCTGGTACATGAAATTGAGTTAGCTTGATTCGAGTCAAGCTCTTCTCATCTTCATTCATTATGACTCCTCCAGTGATGTGGTTTGACTTTTGTGGAAGCACGAAAACAGCTAGGTATAGGGTTCCATTCTTTTTAACATGGCCCGGAAGTTTTATGGATCTGGTCCTGTCACATACAAAGAATTTCCTCATTATTTTTCCCTAAAGCTACAAGATAAACAGTAAGACATTGGGAACTGAGAGATTACCACTCAGCAGGTTTGTCAAATTGGAGGTCTTCTTTCCAAATTGGCTCTTGTTGTGGATAAAGACGCAGATTTTTGTCAGTCAGGAAGCCAACAATCTGAAACAAAAATAGGTGTTATTTCTCTCTGTTCAAATCAAATCTTTTTACTTTTTTTTCTTTTTACTTGGCTGAATCAGGAATTACACACCATTAATTTGTTCCTGCTCAGAAGAGATGATCGAAGGCATGGTTCTGTGTCATTGCATTCTGGTGGTACGAACAGAGTCGACAAGACCCACACACAATGGAGAATATAAACCACAAACACAGAAACAACCAAAGTGGTTGCTGATGGGTAGACCAACATGTTTTCTGCACATAAAAAGAAAACCACCAATTATGAATGTTAATAATGTATATAATAATCAAATCAGTTGACAAGAACACACACTGATTAACTGGTTGTTTACAGAATGATGAATGGATCTATGACGCATAAATATACTAGATGTAGATAAGTCGAACGAAGGAAAAGTCTACACGCAAAACACACATCGAAAGAGATTTTCTCTATTTTAACATGGTCCATGTAGTCACACACACAAACATAACCCCCAAGTTTGAGTTCAAGCCGCAGCCTAAAAGAAATCAATAAACGTACCTTGTGTTGATATTTAACGAGTCTATAAAATTCAACACAGCGAATCGCGTGAGTAATTAGGTTTTTTCACTTCCTTGCGAAGAACGCAAGTCTCTTCTCCAGTTGCAGCATTCCGAATGTCAAATCTAGCAGCCGCTGCATCCAGCAGCCGACACTAAACAATGACACGGGCTGGGTAGGCAGCCCGCAACTCCGCAACAACTAACAGGCCTTGACGGAATGTGAAGTCATTTCCCTTCACTGAGAAAAGGGTTGTATCGTGTATAAGGAAATGAGCAAAATCTTGGAGTGGGGTGACTTCATTGAAATAGCGTCTTTCTTTTCAGTTTGTTTCAGGTGTGAACTGTGAACGCGTGGCAGTACTTCCGGTTCCAGGATTGTGGAGGGAAAACAGGAGGGAAGTACAAATTCACAATTAATGTTTTAATAACTGAATGTAGTAGTTTAAGATTTTCTTGCAACGTCACAATTTCATTGTACAAGGAGAGAAAACAACAAGAAACTTAATAAGCATAATCAACAGATACCATCAATCAATTAAGAAATTAAAAGTAAGATTGACTGATTGTACATGGTAAAATATATAAACAATAAGGAAAAAATGCAATAAACCGCATCCCTACTGATCTGATCACAAAAATGCAAACTTCAGTTTAAAATTTAATTAAACCTTACAGAATAAAATACAATATATCACAGACACTAAATACAATGTAAGAGACACATTTGCTTCTGTACCTCCATAATGGGCACATAATATAATATGTATGGAATACTGCACTCTGAAATGAAATAAAGAACACTCTTCTTCATTCTGTAGGTTCATATCACATAGACAGTTGGCTTGTGATTGGACACTTCATATTTTGAGGCCTTTTCATGATTACACAAGTGATTATGCTAAGACAAACATGCAGATGGTATGAAGACAAGTATATGTTGTACACATTATTCTCTAGTTTTGAAATTGGAAACTAGGGGGTAGATGAGCACACAAACGGTGGAGGCCGGCCTTCCTTAGCAATGCGCAAAGCTTGCAGAACAGCAACTGTGTCGTGCTCTTTTTGAGATGATATCTCATTATCCAAACATATTAACGTTGCTCTGGCTCCAAACTGCTCCAGAACCTTGACCCTATAATCAACAACAATGGCCAAAGGATTGCCTGTCAGCACAACATTCTCCAGGCATGGCAGGTTGCAAATGTGCTTCACTTGATCCAGATCAGAAATCTGATTGGAAGCTAAATTTAGAGTTTCTAATGAGTACAGTTTGGAGAAGCCTTCCAAACTCACTATCTGATTCTCAGAGAGATCTAAGTGAACAACATTACCAATTTTACGATGAAGTTCATTAAGACTTGAAAAACAATTTCCAGAAAGATGTAACTGAGCGAGGTGTGGAAGAAGTGTTAAATTGTCCAGAGAGGAGAGCCGATTGTTATTTAAGAAGAGCTGCTCTACTCTGGGCATCAGTTTGACTGAAGCATCTATTTCACTGATTTCATTGTTGCTAAGGTTCACACATGTCATTTTTTTCCAAGCCTGTTGAGGTTCACTGGCTGAGGAGGCTTCCTTGTGCACATCATCGCAAAGAAGCACGTGTGATATGCGCTCTAGACGACAATGGTGAGCACTCAGAGAAATGAGATTTTCTCTTAATAAACCAACACCATAAATATTAGCCACAGGAAGATTAGTGATGTAAAGTGAGTCCACTGCTTTAAATGAAGACAGCTCAAATAATAAATTATTGTAGACAATGTTGCTGTTGCCAAAAACACTACTCGAGCCCAAAATTGAAAGGCTGTTGAGTTGATAGCAGAAATCCAGAACATGGCTGAAATCATATTTCTTGTCTACCATTTCACGAGGAGGGCAGGGCTGCTTGAGGCGTTCGCTGATGGCATGAAGCTACAAGAAAAGAAGAAGATTAATTTAATGGAAATTTACAACAATAAAATATGGGGGAAAATTGAAATGTAAGCTTACTTGCAATGGGGTGAACACATAATGCTTTGATGAACGTAGATGCTCATCACCATTTTCAAAAAAATTGACAGCCATTTCTTGCAATATGAAGAGAATGTCATACTTATGGAAATCAAGAAATATTGCAAGCTCCCTGGGCATAGTGTGCAGAAGGAAAGTCAGTACGCTGGCCAGGTACATCTCCAACGCAGATCGTCTTTTCTCAACAAACACTGGGTCTCTGTTGCCGATCACTTTCTTTGGGGGCAGTAAATCCTTGGTCACACCATGGTCAGCCACAAGTTTATCGTGCAGCTCCACAAAGTCCTTGTAGCGATGCGGCACTCTCCAGGACACAGGACCCACTTCCACAGCAATCTGGTACACCATGTAGTTCTCAGGCTGCTGCAACTCCACCTCAGGGATGTAGACCTTGGTCCCCTGCTTGTTGTCCACAAACGTCGACATGGTTTCGATTGTACCTGGTCCACAGACAGGCGACTGGAGATGCTGGCCTGATCCTGTGACTTGTCGTACACAGGTTAACTGTCAGTGGAGCTGTGTCTCCTGCTGCCTGCAGCTTTTCTGCAGACGCTACCAGCAGACGACACTCGCACACACGGAGCTCCGTGCCGTTCGTTTCACACTCGTGGAGAACTAGGTGGCATCATCGTTGGGGGAGCTCATTCATTGATGAGACCGGTCGAAAGACAACAATAAGAAGGACAACATACTGAGCAATCATCGGCCATTTGCCACTTGTTTGGGTGGCGAATGAATGGCGGTGGCGACTACTACTGCCTCACTGCTACTACTGCTGCTGCCGCCTTCCCTCCCCTCCCCTCTCCCTCCCCCTCCTCTCCATTATGAGAAATTTCAAGATGCGTACTCTGGACCAACTGGACCATAGAGTCCTGTAGGACCTATAGGACTCTACTGGACCACTGGGCCAGTAGGGACCGTCTGTGAACCACCAAATGGATTCAGGCTAATTCTGGCTAGGGAGAGAGCCTCTAATCTAATTCATGCCAATTGTCACCGACCCCTCTCCTTCGCGTGCATTTAGTGTAGGGAGGTGACTTCAAGGCCCCAACCTCCGTGACTGTCTTCAACCGACCAAAGATGATGGGAAAAGTGTAAAAGGGACTTGAGGATAAAACTAAATAAAGTGTGTACTGGAGATATTCTTGGAAATTTTACTAATAACCAATAACATTATATAAATCTTCAGTACATTGAAATTATATTTTAAAAAAACCATAACAAACCATGGCTGCAGTTGCAGGTTCTCAGCTTGACATAAGAGCACCAATCATGACAAGCCAGGCTGCAAAGCTCACAAAGTAATATACTGTAAGACTATAACCATATTTCTCTGCAAAAACTTCAAAAGAAGTCAAACCAGAAGGAGTAAGTGGCAAAGTTCTCATCCTGCCCAAGTTCTCAAACGGCTTTAGATTACTTACAAGTTCAAAAATGCACCCATTTGTGCAATAATGTCACAGTCAAAAGTAAATCAAAAGAACCCTAATAATATATGGAGAGGTCACAAAATACTCTGATGCAAAGTTAACATTACAATTGATAAGGTGCTTATCAAAGACATTTGGAGGATTGGATTGTGTATTCTTATTTACATAAGATTTGTGGGGCTGTTTAAAAACACCTTTGCATACAGCCAACAGATGTTAAGATGCTCAAAACCCTGGCAATGTATATTCATCAAACCAGCTCACTATATACAGGCTATGGAACAATCCGGGAAGGCAGTTAGTAAGTCATAATACGTAACACTCCCTGAAGAACGTGAAACCATGATGCTCAAAAATCTTTTTTGGGAGAGAAGTCCCAATACTATGCACCATGGGGGCACAAACTCAAGTCTAGAACACCAGTGAGCAGTAGAATGAAACAATTAATATTAGGCATGTAGTTTCAATCCATTAAAATTTAACAAAAAGAATTGTGCCAAGAAATTGCAATATTTGAGTTACAATCCGCATTAATGTGGTTAAAGCACTTCCCTCTTAAACATTTCATCACAGAAACTCCTAAGACATTAGACTCTAATTACTTAACACACAACACACATGTACACAGGAAAATACAGCATCATTAAACAATAATGAACAAATGAATGGAGAGCAGGCCACTCATCTCAGCCATTAAGTTAGTAGTGATTTTTTATAACATTCAATGAAAGAAAAGTTTGAATTTGCTTTTCAAGACTAATGACATTATATTATACAAATTACAATTGTTATTAAAAATATCAATAATAAAATATGTAAAAAAAAATATTGATGAAATACTGGAGGCCTGATGTCTCCATGCTGGTGGAGGGGTGAAGGCAAAAATGACCAACTTCATCAGGGATGCACAAAGGATACAATCAATAATGCACATTTCTATGTGCCTAAACCTGAAGTTCTTCTTACCAGTGTAATACATTATATTTAGATCTCAAGAAAAACAAATTCCGGATTCAGCAGTTACAAGCAAACAAACAACATAACTGGCAAGCAATTCTATTAAGAGTAGGTTAATTTTGGAACACAACTAGAGACACCTATGAATTGATGAAAGTTTATTAAATGCAAACATCTGACAGCATTTTTCAACAAATGCAATTGAGTTTAGTAATTTCAAAAAGGAAAAAAAAAAACAACACTTTGACTGTATATGTAATAATGACTGAAAAAACAAGTACTTCAGTTCCTGTAGGCCAGTGGTGAACCAAAGTTTCAATTTTCTTAAATGACATTTTATAATTTGTGCACATAATGAACAACACCCGAAAATGTTTCAAATGTTACCCAAATATAGCAAATCTCAAAAACCGTGTACCTTTTCCAGTCTTGATCGGTGGTCACAGCCATAAAAGCCTGTGGTTTTAGAGAAGAAATGCAGTTTAAGTAGATGGACTCTCGCCTTTAGCTTGCCTCCTTCGCAATGCTTCAGCAAGGTCTTGTTGCAGCAGGGCTTGTTGGTGTGTATCAGCTAGAGGTGTCACACTTCGCAGACCATTCACAATGTCCTTTGTTTTTCCCAAATAGATTTCATTCAAAGTATTTCTGATTTTGTTCTCCATGTCTTCCACCAAGCGTCCAATGTTGGCAATGTGCGGGGATGCTTCACTGACAGAGTTGTCTTGTTCTATCTGTTGGATCAAAACATTATAAACAAGGTTAGAGGTAAAAAGATTTTAGAACATAGCTCAACTAATAATATTTAATCTTCTACAAAGCTTGTATTTTGTTAAATTGTGCGCAATTTTACCTGTCTTGTCAAGCTGCCCCCCAAGTTCATTGTTCCAGAGCCAGCTTTGTTAGTTTGAAGCCACAGCATCACTGTTGATGTCAGTTTGTAATGTGCGTGACGGCCATTGGACTTCTCTTGCACTTCAACAACGTGGATTGAGTCCCAGCATCCTTTGATTTTTTTAGAACCATCTCCAGCTTTTTTGATAAGTATCACACCTTAAACACGAGATTAACAATTAGCTCCATACTAACAAAATTGAGACAGGGCTAAAACACCAGTGGTGATCAAAACAAAATTAATATATACCTGCAAAACCATGATCTAAGTCCCACAGATACACAGATGACACCCCACCTTCAAAGTACATGTCTCTGAATTGGTCAAAAGCATTGTTGGCATCTATTTCCAATTGTCGCAGTCTGTCAGAGGGCATTGATCCATCCTCAAGGGGTGGATCATACTGGTTACTCCACGGGGACCTGCACATAATTATTTCACTAGATGACAAGTTGCTCTAAAGACACACTTCAACAAGAAGAGGAAATTTACATTAAAACATCAGAAATAATGATAAAAAAAAATACAAACCTGTAAGAATCCCCATCTCGATTGTAATCACAGAGCAAGTAATCTTTTCCCATAGAACGGTCACGAGCTATCTTGAGTGGCTGATCAACTGAAGAGAGCAGGTCTTCACATAAACTAGGCACCAAGTCAATAAGATCACTTAGATTTTTCTCAATTTGCTGCGGAGGGAGGCGCCTCATCAGATCCAAAGCACAATCCATTTGTTGCTCTGTCTGTAATTTAAAAAAGATGAATCAATACCGGATTATGCCATACAATTAGTGCATGCTTGTATATTTGATGGATCAACCCAATCATTCGTTGATTCATTCTGAGTCAAGTCCTGACTTCATCCTACCCTTCCCATCCAGATGATAAGAGTATTAGGTTAGTTAGTGAGTCAACTGTACAGAAACTGGGGTATCAACTTGATTTAGAGGAAAACCAACAAAAGATAAGAAAAACCGGAGAACCGCATCAACTTGAAGTGGTTCACAGGCGGTAAAAGACAGTAACGTCAGAAATAACAACACAAAACTAGAGATAAATATTGCTAAGCAAGTGACCTGAATCAAGTAGGTTTAGACTGAAATCAACACCAAACCACACTGCGCATCGTCACATCCTACACTAAATAGACTCACCATTTTGGAATGTGAAGGTTCGACGAAACACAACTGATAAGCAGAAGTAAATTAATTTAATTGCGAAATGACAGCAAACAAATCGGTCTAAGGAAAACGCCTTCAACACCAACCAACGACAGCGAAGTCGAGCCGAGATGGAACGACAAGCCGGTCCAACCGGAAACCCGACCGTGTTTCACCAAGGCGGTGGCTCTGTTTTTATTTTCTAGTTTCTAGCTAGCATCAACAAACGTCAGGAGGATGGCTGATGTTGTCAAAGATGAAAAAGATAAGATTCGGGACGATTTAAAGAGAAAAATCTACGATGATAACCATGCTTTTGATGAAGATGACAAATCGGGTAACTCTTGTTATTTTTAATGAACCGTCTGTCCCCTTTTCCTTGTCAAACTTGCAGTGGACTCGAATCAAAGGGTTATGTTGTCCAGCCGGTCGTGTGTTAAATAGCGCAATAGCTGCTTCATCGTATAATGCTTTAGTGGCACATCCTTGTCTAGCTTTCTCTCACATTGAAACTCCTCTTTTATATGATTCATAGGTTTATTTGCTTCTTGTCAAGTATTACATGATATGCTTAACCTAGGTATCAAGAGTTATCACTTAAATTTTTATATTTTTCAGAGGTCAAGAAGTTTATTGGAAAGCAGAAAGTCCATAGATTATGCCCCTACCTAGATACAATCAACAGGCAGGTCTTAGATTTTGATTTTGAAAAGTTGTGCAGTGTATCCCTGTCACGTATCAATGTTTACGCTTGCTTGGTCTGTGGAAAGTACTTTCAAGGCAAGTCTCAACAAATAAACATGTTTCAGTTAAACTTTTTTTTTATTTTAATTCTTCTATGAATTTATCAATACTATCTCTCTTCTTTTGGCTTTCCTTTTACAAAGTCCTTTGTTTGTTTCATTTCAGGGAGAGGTACAAATACTCATGCTTACACTCATAGTGTGAGTGAGAGTCATCATGTATTTCTCAATCTTCACACCCTTAAATTTTACTGCCTACCAGACAATTATGAAATCATAGGTATCGAATTGGCATTTGCTTTCTCAAATAGGTAAAGAGGTTCCTTGTTTGCATAATGGAATTGAGATTTTTCTTTCATTAGATTCATCATTGGATGACATCAAATATGTCTTAAATCCAACATTTGATTCCGACCACATTAAATGTGTTGATGTCAGTGACAAAATGTCAAGAGCTATCGATGGAACTCTTTATTTGCCTGGCATTGTTGGTCTGAACAACATCAAAGCTAATGACTACTGCAATGTAATTTTGCAGGTAAGATCGATTTTGTTTTGTATTTTAATTCATTTGGACCCTCAATGGCCTTCAGCAAATTTTCTTCACTGCTTTTAGGCTCTTTCTCATGTTACACCCTTAAGAGATTATTTCTTGCGTGAAATAAACTATGCCCGTGTCAAGAGACCTCCAGGAGATAGTATGTTTCTCCTTGTACAACGTTTTGGAGAACTTATGAGAAAACTTTGGAACCCAAGAAACTTCAAAGCCCATGTGTCCCCACATGAAATGTTACAGGCTGTGGTACTATGGAGTAAAAAGAAATTCCAAATTACACAGCAAGGTATGAATTGCTCTTCAAGACAGTATCTACTTAATACAGATCGTGGTGTCACCATACTAACATAGTTGTAAATTTTTTTTTATTTTTAAATTGTAGGAGATCCTGTGGAATTTCTATCCTGGTTTCTGAATGCCTTACACATGGCTCTCAATGGTACCAAAAAATCTGATTCTTCCATTATCTACAAGTCATTTTTAGGATCAATGAGAATTTACACTCGTAAAATTCCTGCTACTGAGTTGGATGACAAACAGAAAGCAGCGATGTTGCTCACAACAGAGTATCAAGAAGTAATCACAGAATCCCCATTCTTGTACTTGACCTGTGACCTTCCTCCTCCACCCCTCTTTAAAGATGAAACAGTTGAAAATATAATTCCTCAGGTTTGTGCTGTCTCCCTCTGTTGTTAACTTAAAGACAGAAAGAAAAATAGTCAATATATTTTATTTTTTTCAACTTTTTCAGGTAAATTTGTACACTTTGCTTGCAAAATTTAATTCTGTTTCCGAGAAGGAATACAAGACAGTTAAAGAAGATTTTATGAAGCGCTTTGAAATTATTCAACTGCCTCAATACTTAATATTGTATATTAAGGTATGTGCATAGTTGTAGCCGGGGCTACCAAACCATTGTCTTTCTTATGTGTATCGACTGTAACTGAATACGTTTTGTTTTTCTAGAGGTTTACCAAAAATACATTCTTCGTGGAGAAGAATCCTACAATTGTTAACTTCCCTGTGAAGTAAGTAGCTTTCCCTCATGAGTGCATTTCTTATCTTGACTAGTGTAAGTGTAACAGCACTTATCAGTTTGCATGTTCTTTGCTCAGGAACATTGATTTTGGAGATATTCTGACCCCTGAAGTGAAAGCTCGTCACAAGCAAACCATTTATAATCTAGTTGCCAATATTGTCCATGATGGAGAGCCAGGGAAGGGGACATATCGTGTCCATCTCCTTCATAAGGTAAGATTGTTCCTGTTAGTAAGTTTTAAATGATAGACAAGGCATCATGGTCCATAACAAATGTCGATTTGTACAGGGAACTGGGAAATGGTATGAAATGCAAGACCTTCATGTCACTGATATTCTTCCTCAAATGATAACTCTCACAGAAGCATACATTCAGGTGAGAATGATAAAAAAAAAAATTCCTTTCCTGGTGCGTTGTTTATATAGGAACCTGTTGAATTGGCTGCTACATCTTTGATTTTTCTTTTGACCTCTAGATCTATGAAAGGAAAGAAGATTAGATTGGATTGCATCAAAACTGTCTCCACCAGATACTAGCTTAAGTGAGTGAGTGTTAGAGAAAATAAAAACCTTGCACAAAATAAAAATGTTCCTCATTTTTAAAAAATCACTTTTTTCTTATTTAGTAAATAACAAATGAATAACAGTAATCAATCTTGCATCACAGTTCAAAATGAAATCAGACACAAAATTACAATGTTTCCTTGAGATCACAGAAAGGGAAATAATTTTAAGTAATTTCTGTACCACTACACAATACAGAGTTCTATGACAAAGTTAGAAGTTCAGCTACTCCATAAAAAAGGAAAAATGTCTAAAAATTAGGACCTTGGCCTTGAGAAATGAATTAAATTAGAGTTACAATAGTTACAAAAGCTTACTTCTAATAGAGGCACATACAACTTGAACCTAGACATAGAGGTAGACTTGAAATTTAACTACATACTGGCCATTTTAACAAATAGTTAGACTTGATTTCCAATTAAAAACAACTATGAAAATATCAGAAGAATTTCCACAGAAGCAGACTGACTAGAAAGTTCTAAGGTACCCCTCAGACTGGGTAGACTGGAGAGTACTACATTACAAAGACTAGCTTAACTCTCATTCCTTACACAAGTGACATTAAACCAAAACTTATGACAAATTTGTAAGATCAGGTACTCTTTCGTCTTCCTTCTACCATGGAATGTTCTCGCATTTGTCACAAAATATTCTGACCCAGGGCAACTTATGGCTCAAGCTTTTGATCTGCGCGTCACATCTTTCAGTGGGATGGAACCCTTCTCTTTCGTCTCCCCGGCGCAACACCATTCCTTGCAGGTTTTCAAGGCCACATGCACTCAACCGCTTGGTCAGATCTTTGCAGATCCACTGCCGCCCATTCATCCTTAATTTTAAACCAACATAAACTTCCAGTTCCTACAAGAAAGCAGAAAAAGGTGCTCAGGGCGCGATCCCCAAATGCAGGAAAAGGCATAAATTTGAAATCATTATCATCTTAACAGGTACCTTGAGACTATGACCATGGGCTGCTATGAGGGATAGAGAAGTTTCCTTGGGAAGAAAAACATGCAAAAACTGGAGGCCAGCAATGCCTGGATCCAGTGGAGGAAATTTGTAGGGATCTGCTTCAAGAGCCTCACTCCACCCTTCAACTTCCAGGCGTCTAAGTTGCGGCATATTTTGCAAACAAACTAAATGGCACTTCTCGACATTCCACAACTGTAACAGATGCAAAATTTTGAAGAGGGATGGATTAAGGTTATTTTAATAGATGAACGAAACACTTCAGCGTTGAGAAGAAGCATATTAACCTGTACTTCCTCAAGCTGCGGAGCTAACTGCTCGAGGAGTTGTTGGGCCCAAAGAGGGTCATCATTGCAATCAAGGCTGAGCAGTTTGCGTACCTGAAAAAGAAAGAGATTATCAACCAAAAATGCGTGCCACTGAAGTGAAATAACACTTTGCACTTTAAATGCACAGATAGAGAACTAAAACGAAACTAACGCTGTGAAGGCGCTCCGAATCCAACAGCATTAATTTTGCCTCTTGTTTACCAGTCTGATCCCATTGTCCAAATCCTGTACAGAAACGTGGCCAAATGTGTATTAGCGATGTCCAGGAATCAACAAGTCACCGAGACCTTTTTGTTACTTACTGCTCTTCATGCTTCGGCAATGCTCCTCCACATCTAACTCTTCCTGGCTGTGATTCATGATTGAATTCTACGTTACAGCTAGGGAGGGGACATAAAACTGAAAAAGGATGAGAAACCAGTTACGCACAATATGACACAACCCAGTACAATAGTGAGCGATACCCAGTTGCGGAGAATGCCAGCCACTGGACAGTGGGTTAAATGTTCTCACAAGCCGAGCAGAATACGCAAAATGACTCATTTCAATTAATCTCGATTTAATAAAGTGTTACCGGCGACGTCAACACAAGCATGGAGACTCGGTAAAACTATGTTCAACTTACTCATTCACAGCACATCCCTCAAACGATAACCGCACCCTGAAGCGACCCGACAGGGGTTGACTGGAAAGAAACAACATCTAGATCTAGAACCTCCACGGACGCAAATGGGGGTTACAAGCGTTGCAGGCAAGGAACGGGCTGGGACAAACATCAGCACTTAGGGGATGGGTTTGCGATCAATATGCAAATACACTGGCAGCAGACGTCTGTTTTGATAGTATGAGAAATTGTGCAACCGCAATAGCTCTGTGAGAGTCGGGGACTCTATGCTCTGATCTGCCTGCACCCTGTTTAGCCTTGCCACCCTTGCCACCCCCTATCGCTCTAGACTGTTGCTCATTTCGCAAGACGCTTTTAATTTTACTTCCCTGTCATTTTGGACCAGGAAATTGATCAATGACACGCCAAACAAAATGTTTTACTCGTTTTATTAAATTCATTAACACAAATAAATTTCCATACAAAAAAATATTGCCATGTTTTTCGAAGTTCAACAAGTTCAGAAACAATTGTAACACAAAGTATATTTTAAAACACGTAATGATAGTCGTATACATTTTGAAACACGCAACCGACCCTCCCGGTATGTCACGGGCTGTCACGGGGCGGGCGGTGGCCTACCCAACAGGCGCCAAAGGTTGCCAAGGTTCTAGAGCTAGACAGAGGCGCTGCGGTGTGACCGGTATGGTCGCGGCGCCCCTGCCCCCTCCCCCTCCCCCTCCCCCTCCCTGTCCCGGCGCCGACTGGCCTCCCTGGCCATCCTCTGCGCGATGAGTGCCTCGCGGCCCTCCACGATCAGCCTGTCCAGCTCGGCGAGGGAGCGCCTCACGCGCTCCATCCAGACCGCCACCTCCCCGTCGGGCGCGATGAGCTCGTTGTCGTTGAGGTCCAGGTTGGCGTCCTCCAGCGAGTCCGCCGGCGACGCCCTGGAAGGGCTCCGCGGAGAGTAGCGCGGACGAGCGGGTGGCGGCGACCGGGCCCAGGGCGGCCAGGGCTCCCACTCGCTCTGTTGGCGTTGACTCTGTTGCCGCGGCTGTGGCGGTGGCGTCTGTTGAGTCTGTTGAGCCAGCATTTGCTGAGCCGCTTCGTACCGGAGCAGCAGCTGCTTCCTGTCGTGGTACGCCCCCATGACGTACACGATGCTCTGGACGATCACTTTGCGCCAGCGCTCAGCGAACAGGGCGTGCCCGCGGCCCCGCGAAGGCCCCCAGGAGGTGGGGGAGGGGCCCGAGGACGTCGGCGGCGACGGTGACCGCGTCTCGGGCTGCGGCCAGATGAGCGAGGACGGCGGCGACGACGACGGCAGCGAGGGGGCCGAGGGTGGCGGCAGCGGCATCGGGGGCCGGTTCCTCGGCGGCGGCGGTTCCGGCCGTTCCGGCGCGCCGCGAAGCAGTCTCAGGAAGCTGCGCGGCTGCTGGCGCAGGCGGAGGCAGCAGTTCCAGGCTGTGGCGGCCGGGGTGCGCGCAGGCCGGGGGTGGGGTTGGCCGGGGTGGCCGAACAGGGCGTGCACGCCGTTGGCCACGGCGTTGCCCACGGCGCGGCACGCCAGGCACGCCAGGCACGCCAGGCAGCCGGCGTGGCGGCGGCGGCAAGCTGAGGGCGGCGTCTCACCATCAGACTCCTGCGAGCAGTGGTGTCCCCGTTTTGCACAAGCATTCAAAATGAAACACTCGGAAGCTTTTTCAGGAAACAGTAAAACTTCCTTACCCACGTCTCGACGTCCGGGGACGGCATGGGCGGTAGGGGCATCGAAGACGCAGCGGACACCAGAGACTCCAGAGACGCCGAAGACAGGGGTGATGGAGGAGGCCCCGGCGGCAGGGGCAACTGGAGGCCGCTGGAACTGGACCTGGACGAGGCTGGCGTGTTGGGTCCGGACGCTTGGTAGTTCGGCATTCCTCCAGGCAGTTTCCTTGGATGAACCCAACAAAGTCAGTGAAAAGCACACCTACAGACACACGCAGGCGCACACGCACGCACTCACTCTCTCGCAACGGTTTTGTCAGTTAAGATGCAGCAGTGTCGAGGGTCTCCGTATCAGCGCCAATTCGGGGTCAAAGAGAACGTCGGAAAGGCGCAGATAGGCAAACCCGCTACTCCTTGGGTGTCTTGACTGACACCATTCACACACACATCTACGCGCACTCTGTAGCTTCGGGTCAAGTTGTAGTTGAAAAAACACTACGCAAAACAGACTTGCCCGAAAAAAAAATTGTTGCCGTGCAGGACCCCGGCGGGGCCGAAGCAGGCGGCGGCTAGGCAGTCCCGTTAAGCAACTGTGCATTCGGGACTGCCTAGCCATCAGGCGCTAAGGCTGCCCTACTGCGTAGCGGTCAGAGTTAGGTGTGGTTAGGTTTGGTAGGTTAGGTTAGTCCAGTGTGCGCTCACCGGAAGCTCACTCTTGTTATTATAGTTTTATCTAACTTATCTCTCAATTGCCGGCATGCTGAGGCAAAGAGGCTAATAAACTTTAACTGCAGACCACTTCGATGCTACCTCAACTTTTGAAGGTACTACATACATAGGAAAGCGAAGAGAAAAATATACAAAAAACTTGAAATTAAAGTAAAGTGTCCAGCAATCCGTCGCCTCAGATAAAAAATAGTGAAGGATACAAATAACTGGTATTTAAAAAAAAATCGAGTGGGAACTTGGTAAAACCGATCTGCTCCATCCATCGTGTTTACAAATGTAAATATTTCTCCATTTTATTGCTACCCGAAAGCAGTTTTTAAAATTGATGCAAAACTGACGCGCATAGAGCGTGGCAGCGTGGCAGAGCCGTGGCATGCGGTTGGGACGTTCAGCGTGTCACTCGCACTACTACCAACTGTATCTGGAGCAGCCTGGTTCACAAAGCTGCCGCAGAAACAACAGGAGGGCCCCAGGTTGGCGCGCTACGCCAAGTCACACTGACAGGCACGGCGCGGCACTGTAGTCGAAACAAACTGAAGAGAAAAACACATCAAAAGCAAAAAATGAGAAACAGATAGATACAAAGGCTACGGCAACACAAGTAAAAGCTCATGCTGAAACCATCCACTGTGGTGGCCAAGGGCCATGACAGACACGAACCCAGAAAAAGTAAAGAGTGATTTCTCTTTGGATCACGATAATCCATGATCCAGGATCAACAATTCCTTTACAGAGACCACACCGTTGCGAATGTTAAATCACGAACCCGAGGCAAGGGAGCGCGACCATACCCCTCACCTTTTTGTGCCTCTTTGTGGGGCTAAGAGACGAAACCGACCAAAATTCCTTTCCCCCCATCGTGCTGGATCAATTTTAAGAAACGCGGTATGGCAGTCCATGTTAGACATACAACACAACATCCCGCAGGCGTTCCGTCTCGCACACACAGACACAGTCACAGACACAGACACACGCACACAGCACCAGGGCGGCGGCGTACAGCTTACCCGTCGCCGCGCCGAAACACGCCACCCCGCGGCGTCTGTGGACGGAGAAGCTAGCGTCATTGGTGGAGACTGCAATGCACTTAGCTGCAGATAGGCCGATGCTTACCACGTAGTCCCCCCGGGCGCTCTGGCGAAGACGATCAGTCTCAATCATCTGCTGGAGGCTCTCGCGGAGGGGGTGGCGGGCTTCGTCGAGGCCCGGGGACGGCGCCCTCGGAGGCGGCTCTCGCGTCCCTAGCGGCGGGGGCGGCCCTGGCGGCAGACTTGACGGCAGAGGCGGCCCTAGCGGCAGAGGCGGCGGAAGCGGCAGCCCTGGTGGCAGAGGCAGTCCTGGCGGCAGAGGCGGCGGGGGCGGCGGGGGCGGTGGAGGAGGCGCCAGGAACCTGGGCTGGCTGGGCCGGTGCGACGCCGGGCCCGCGCCCATCCATGGCCCCGGCGTGCACGGCGCTCGGCACGGCGGCCCCTGGAAGTCGCCCTGTAGGTCTCTCAGGCCTGGCCTCTGCCTCGGTGGCCCGTCCACGGCGCCGTCAGGCAGGCCTCTGCCCGTCAAGGACTCCGACAGCCGGTGGGGCGCGGCCGGCGCGGCCCCCACCCCGTCCACCGTGTCTTCCGACTGGTAGCTCTGCGGCGGCGTCGGCGGCAGCGTGCAGGAGAGGTCCAGCACGCTGTCCTGACGGAGCCCGCCCTGCTCGTCCTGCTCGCCCTGGCTGCTGCGCGGACACGGTGGACACGGCCGTCGATCGGAGAGGCGGCGGTGATCCGCGTCCGGCCCTGCACTCAGTCCGTTCGAATCACTAGGGCCTCTGGGGCTTCTTGCGCTTGTCGCCGAGGCGGAGACCGCAGTCCTGAACCCAGGCCGCGGCGCCGGCCACCGCGAACCCCGCGGTCTTGGTGGAGGCTGCGCAGGCTGCGGAGCACGAGGAGAGCGCGCCCCGGAGCCCCGCGGCTGGCCGCCGTCACCATTCTGTCGACTGGTGAGGGAAAAGAAAGGGCAGTGCAAGAAAGTCACCAAGACGAATCGGATCGTTGCGATTGGACTCACCTGTGAGCACTGCCCGCCGGTGACGTCCGGCGTTGGCCCTCGGAGAACGGCGACACTTCACCCTCCTCCTCCGAGGAAATGGGGCTTAAGCTGCACGCCGAAGACGGAGGTCCCGTCCCTGGCGGAGTCCTGGGCCCCACACGGCTCCCCCAGAACGGGATGCAGCACCTCGACGGACTCCTAGTTCGACTCCTCGATCGACGCGACGACGGGCTCCTAGGCCTACTCCTCGATCGACGCCTCGCCGGACTTCTAGCTCGACTCCTAGATCGATGCCTCGGCGGACTCCTACCTCGACTCCTAGATCGACGCCTCGGTGGACTTCTAGCTCGACTCCTCGATCGATGCCTCGACGGACTCCTCGATCGACGCCTCGTCGGACTCCTAGCTCGACTCCTAGATCGATGCCTTGACGGACTCCTCGATCGACGCCTCGTCGGACTCCTAGCTCGACTTCTAGATCGACGCCTAGTAGGACTTCTAACTCGACTCCTGGATCGATGCCTCGATGGACTCCTCGATCGACGCCTCGACGGACTCCTCGATCGACGCCTCGTCGGACTCCTAGCTCGACTCCTCGATCGACGCCTCGTTGGACTCCTAGCTCGACTCCTCGATCGATGCCTCGACGGACTCCTTGATCGACGCCTCTTCGGACCCCTAGCTCGACTCCTCGATCGATACATCGTCGGACTCCTCGATCGACGCCTCGTCGGACCCCTAGCTCGACTCCTCGATTGACTCCTCCTCGACGGACTCCTCAATCGATACCTCGGCCGACTCCTTGATCGATGCCTCGGTGAACTCCTCGATACTTGCCTCGACGGGGTCAATGGTCTTCTCGGGTTATTCAATCGGGTGCTACTTCTCGATGTTGCACTCCGCAGTGGAGATCGCGGTTGAATCGTTATCGCCGATCGAACCCTCGGTGGCCTCGTCGATGGGCTTGTCGATGGACTTCTTGATGGACTTCTCGATGAACTTCGTGACGGACTTCTCAATGGACGCCCCAATAGAATTATCGATGGACTTCTTGTCATCGAGATCCGCGCTGGTCTTCTCCATGGTCTTGTCGGTGGGCTTCTCGACGGACTTCTCGATAGGTTTCTCGATGGACTTCTCGAAGGTCTTCTTGATGGACTTCTTGATGGAATTATCGATAGATCTATCGTTGAAATTCTCGATAGACTTCTTGTCATCGAGATCCGCTGTGGTGTTCTCCATGGTCTTGTCGATGGACTTCTCGATGGACTTCTCGATGGGCTTCCTGATGGACTTCTCGATGGACTTCTCGAAGGTCTTCTTGATGGACTTCTTGATGGTCTTCTCGATGGACGTCTCGATGAAATTCTCGACGGACTATTTATCATCGAGATACGCGGCGGACTTCCTCCTTGGCTACTTTGACAGTTTCTCATTGGGCTAACAGGCAGGAGGTGCGGTGGGCTACTCAACGGTCTTCCTGGCGTCATCCGCAGATCGCTCTCCAACAGGATCGTTCCGCTACTCGACCCTCTCGTCTGAGGGCTGCGTGGTGGCCTCTCTGACGGGCTTCTCGGCGCACTTGCTTTAGGGCTCAGTGGCGGGCTTTTTGGCCTTCCCCCGGACGCTCTAGTTTGGGGGCTCAGTGTTGGGATACCTGGCTCTCCCATTTGAGGGTTTCTTGGTGGGCTCATTGACCGGCTCCACTCTGGAAGTGGGCTCCTTGACGAGCTCCCCTCTGGAAGTTGGTTCCTTGAGGGGCTATCCTCTGGAAGTGGGCTCCTTGACGGGGTCACCTCTTGAAGTGGGCTCCTTGACGGGCCCCTTGACGCTCTCGCCCGCCGGTCTAGAAGTGGGCTTCTTGACGGGCTTCCCTCTGGAAGTGGGTTCCTTGACGGCCTCTCCTGTGGAAGTGGGCTTCTTGACGGGCTCCCCTCTCGAAGCGGGCTCCTTGAGGGGCTCCCCTCTGGAAGTAGGCTCCTTGACGGGCTCCCCTCTGGAAGCGGGCTCCTTGACGGGCTCCCTTCCAAAAGTGGGCTTGACGGGCTCCCTTCTGGAAGTGGGATCCTTGACGGGATCCCTTCTGGAAGTGGGCTCCTTGACGGGATCCCCTCTGGAAGTAAGCTCCTTGACGGGCTCTCCTCTGGAAGTGGGCTCCTTGACGGGCTCGCTTCTGGAAGTGGGCTCCTTGACGGGTTCCCCTCCGGAAGTGGGCTTCTTGACGGGCTCCCTTCTGGAAGTGGGCTCACTGACGGGCTCCCTTCTGGAAGTGGGCTCCTTGACGGGCTCCTCGCAATACCCGATGCAACCGCAGACGAGAACCTCGGCGACGAGCTCGACGGCGTGCCGCTCGAGAAGCTGCTCGTTCTGATGTCGCACACCATCTGGAGATGGCGTGCCAGCAGTTCGTCCGACTTGATCTGAGCTTCCATGTCCCTTCGGCCCTGCTCAGCGACCGTCATGTGTAGTTCGGCGTCTGCTGGGCCGGGACTAGCGGTCAGGGAGTCTGAGTCGTGCCTCGAGCAAGCTCGTAGCAGGCACACCAGGAACTCCTCGCCCAGTGCCGCAATGAACTCCGCCAGGGACTCGTGCACCCCCTCCTCGTAGAACCTTGTGGACACGATGCGGCTCAGTGAGCGCACCGTGGTGGGCGCCTTGCGGCGCAGGGGCAGCCGGCAGATGATGGGCGACACGCTGCGATGTTCGCTGGGGAGTTGGACGCCCAGGCCGCCCAGACCGGGACTGCCTTCCCCGCTCCTGGGCACGCCCTGGAGGAGGGCACCGCTAGGGGGCTGGCCGCCCTGGGCGTACATTTGGACCAGAGAGTCGTGCTGCTTGAGGTCCCCCTCGATAGGACGTGTGGATGGATCCTCGGCTATTTGCAGGCAGCTTACTGCAACTGACAGACAGGTTAGAGTGTGCTGGCGCCGGGACTCCAACTCGACCTTCAACCACTCGACCACGCTACCTCTCTCCACGTTGGCGGCCTCGCGTTCCTCCTCCTCGTAGTACGCGTACTGCAAGCCGAAGGCCAGCTCCCTGTCTAGCGCGACCTGCGCTCGCTCGTCGTCGGAGTCGCGGTGCCGCTTGGCGGGGAGCTCGGTGTCGTCCGGCGGAGGCTGCTTGCGCCGCGGAGGGCCCCGCGGGCAGGCGGCGTCACCGTCGGCCACCCCGTCGGCCACCCCGTCGGCCACCCCGTCCGCCCCTTCGGCGGCGCCGCGCAGGCACAGCTGTTGCGGTAGCGCAGGCTGTATGGCGCCCCTGCCGGGGGGCGCGTCGTCTCCGGTCGCGGCCAGGAACTGGCTCTCCGACGGAGGCCTGGGGGGCGCCGACCAGGGGGCCGCGGCCGCTCTCAGTAGGGGCCACAGGGGTGCACTGCTGCCGCTAATGACTCCGGAGCAGGCGGCGGTCTCTTCGGCCGCAGGCGTGGCCGCGCCGTGCGGGTGGTCGGTTTGGTCGTCGGTGGTACCGCCAAACGTGGCCTGGTACAACGGCACTGCCGCGGCTACCGCGGCCGACCCCAGCGCGGCCTGCCCCGAGGCGGCGTCTTTCACGCTTCGTTCGAACAGCTCTCTGGGAGAGCTGGGAGAGCTGGGAGAGGTTTGAGAGCTGGGAGAGGTGGGAGAGGTTTGAGAGCTGGGAGAGGTGGGGCAGCTGGGAGAGCTGTGGGAGCTGTGAGAGCTAGGCTCCGAGTGGTGGAGGCCCCTGACGTACTGCAGCTCGGCCCGGTGCCGCGGCCGGGGCCCGGGCCGCGAAGGGTGGAAGACGCGGCTCAGGACGCTCTTCTTGGCCGAGTCTGGCGTGGCGTCCACGTTGTCAAACTGCGCTGTGCCGTCCAGGTCTCCGTCTCCATCGTGGTCCGTGTCGTCGACGCCTTCCCCTTGGTCCATGTCACTCTTCACACCCTCGTGGTCCGTGTCGTCGACGCCTTCCCCTTGGTCCATGTCACTCTTCACACCCTCGTCGTCCGTGTCGTCGACGCCCTCCCCTTGGTCCATGCCACCCTTCCCACCCTCGTCGTCTACGTCGTGGACCACGTCGTGGGTGTAATCCCCTCGGTCAACAATGTCACCCTTCCCAACCTCGTCGCCCACGTCGCTCTCCCCGCCCTCGTCGTCCGCGTCGTTCGCCCCGTCCTCGTCGTCCGCGGGGCTCGCCCCGTCCGCGTTGTCCTCCGAGGTCTCGTCGCTCTGGTCCAGCGGGCTCACCAACGCCACGTGCATGGCCGCCATCTCCTCCAAGAGAAGGGCGGGGGAGCTCGACGACACCTGTCAACAGCAAACAGCGCATGTCGCAAGCCGATACAAAGCATCTCGAGGAGGCGGAGCTGCGGAGCTACCTCAACCTCATCACTTCCTGACGCCCCTCCCTCCGAGGAGCTCGAAGCATGTCTATCTTTTGACCTGGAAAGATAACGTAACATTGAACTGATTAAACTGCCTTCGTCTTGTGTTCCGACTTGATGAATGTGCCAGATCAGATTCCCATCGGACTTACATTGTGTGTGGGAATCGTCGCGTCTCTCATCCAACGGGCTGACGCCAACGACCTTCTGGACGCAGAAAAGAAAGAGAACAGTTTAGAAAAAGAGCATTGTACATCGAAGGCCCATTAAATGATCCCGCAATATCGACTCAAGCCAAGCGCTGGCCAAGCGCCACGTGCGGCATACATAATTGGATTGATCAATTACCACGCCACTTTTGGGGGTATGATTTCCCGGCTTGGATCGGATTGGACGCACTGGCCGTCATACTCCATTATGTTCACAAGTCTTTGGACAACCCTAACATGGCTGTGTCAGATCATCCCCTCGAGCGCTCCCCCTCCGCCCTCCGACCTGCCTTCCTGACTGCCTGTCCGTTCCTGCCTGCCTGGCGAGCTGTCTGGGCTGTCCCCTCTGGCCGCGAGGACCTTCCCACCTGCATGGCCAAGATGTCGTCCTCCGAGCACAGCTAGCACAGCTCCCACAGCTAGCACAGCTTCCCCGGGGAAAATCGATTGATCCCGTCTCGTCATTTTGTTGGCGTTTCGCGCAGCAGAAAACATACAGGCGGAGCCCCCCCCCCTCTCCGTGCCACCCCGTGTGGCCGTGTGGCCACCCCCAACCTGCGACGTGGAGCCCGCACAGCCAGCACAGCCAGCGAGCCCCCACCACCAACCGTCGCGTCGCGCGCGTGTCCGGGCCGTCCGGGCCGTCATCTGGGGACTGATTCCGCGCGGCGTCTCGTCGCTCCGTCTCTCTCGCACCCACTCGGGACGCCCCATGAGTGCGAGAGAGACAGAGCGAGATGCGCTGCTAATGGGGATGATTTGGCCAACGCGGACCCGCTGACCGTGGTCACTGTCTCTCTCACACTCATGGAGCGTCTCGTTCGAGCGCGAGAGAGCGAGAGAGAGGGAGGACACTCCACCCCACGCGGCACGCACGCGCCCTGCCTCGCTCTCCAGGAAACAATAATCATGGCATCCCAGCATCCCCGAGCTAGCGGGTCGGGGGGCGGCTGAGGCGGCCGGGTCAGTATCGAGAGGGAGGGGGTGGGGAGAGGGGGAGGGTGGCGCATGCGGCTAGGGGTTGGGGCTGGCCAGGGAGGAAGCGTGATGCCACCGCCTTGCCGCCCACCCTCCACCACCCTCCACCACTCCAACCCACCGCCCTCCGTCTGTCTGGCGGGGCTGGTCTGGCCCGGCCCGGCCAGAGTGCCACGCTGGAACTGTCAACCCCTGGAGGCCCCTGGCTCGCACTGTTCCCACCATTTCTCACGCCTTCCAAGTCGTTCAAACCCAACACACCTGACATCGCACAATGTACTCACGTTCGGCGATCCGGCGTCTCGGCCTCCGCGCACAGGTTTCGGCGGCGTGGCGCTGGCTGAGGCACCGAGGCCGCGGCGCTAGCGAGTCACCCGGACAGGCGAACAAAGGGTGACACTTGTCAAAACTGTCAAAACTGTTGTCAAAACTGGCGGTCTAGCGGGTTGTCTCCAGCCGGGCCAGTCAGCCGGACGCTGCGTGGCGCGCGTTGCATCGGTGCTGCCGCTGCCACCACACCGCCGCCGCGGGTGGCGCGCTGTGCCCGGGACCCTGGGGGCGTAAGGCCACGCGCCGCGCCGCGCTGCACCGCTGCACTGCGGGCTGATTTATGGGGCTGTTGCGCCCCTCGGTCCGCGCAGCTCGCGCAGCTCCAGCTCCAGCTCCGGGCTGCCAGCTCCGCCAGGCCGCCGGCTCCGCCGCCCAACGCGCAGGACGCGCCGCCTCGTGTGAGCAGGCGAGCGGCCCCGGCCCGGCGGCCCCGGCAGCCCCTGCCACTGCAGCACTGCCGCCGGGGCCGGTCGCGGGGCGAGGGGGGCGGTGGCGCGGGGGGGGGCGCGGCGGCGGGGCGGAGCGCGGAGGCGGCGCGGGGCCGCCGAGGCGAGGGGTGGCTCTAGGAAGACCTGTGATTGGCTCGCCGCCGTTTCCCGGGAGATCGGGCTGGACTAGACTGCTGCCTGGTAAGGTTCAGAAAGGCCCGGTTACCTCGCGGCCTCGCGCGTGCCGCCGACTGCAAGCCGACTCCGATTCCAGGGCTGGCTGGGGTGACATGCACTTGAGGGGTTGGGGCGGGGGAGCGGGCTGTGGGGGCAGGCTCGTGCCCCGGCGGCGCCGCGTACGCTGCACTGCAGCAAGACAGGCGGCCGAGGGGGTCGCGTGGCACGTGGCACAGCGTGGCACAGCCTCGAGGGAAGGGCATGCTCTAGTGCCCTAGTCCAGTCACGGTGTCAACAGCAAGGCTCGCTTACTATGCCCCGCTAGCTTGAACGGTCAAACGCCGTGGATTTAATAAAGACATTCTGCTTAGGTCCAAGTTCCAGGCCCGTGCTAACGCAGCTAACGCAGCTAACGCAGCTAACGCAGGTAAAGCAGGCACTGGCACGGCCGCCGCTGGTGGTGATCCTGGCGGCAGGGCTTCGCTGTCTGCCGCTGTCTGCCCTCTCGCTCTCGACGCATGGTATTGGCGACATGCCGTGCCGTAGGCCGCAGCCCGCAGGCCCGGCGAGCGGCGCGGCCGTGGACGCGGCTCCCCTGGCCGCTCTCAAGCCCCAGCCAGCCTCCGCCTGGCCTGCCTGCTCCGCCTGGCCGTATGAACGTTCGCTGGGGCCGAGAGGGAAGGGGAGAGGGAGAGGGGAGAGTAGCGACATAGCGGCATAGCGGTCGCAGGTGGAGCCGGAGCGCGCTGGAGCGAGAGGCTGGAGCGACAGGCCGGAGATGTCCAGTCCAGTCGCCTCACAGTCACCATGGACGTGGACGGCGCGAGTCTGGAGGCGGCCCGCGGCCACGGCCACTTCCTGGAGAGGGTCACCGCCATGCTCCGGGAGGAGGGCTTCATCGGCCAGCCCTCGCGCAGCCAGCCCGTCGTGCAGTTCAGCCACCCCGACAAGCTGCAGGTGAGCGTCATGGAGGTCCCCGCCGCGGGGCCGGCCAGTGTGCCGGGCCGGGTCGTCGCCGTCCTCTCAGAGAACGGTCGTGTCGCTTCGCCCTTTTCAGCCTGACATCACAAACAGTGCTGCCAAAGGCAGCGCAGTCGTGTTCCTGCCAGTGTGTGTGTGGGCGTGTGCCTGCCTGCCCCTCGGTTGGTATGCCTGGAGTTTCCATATACCGTTCTGCAAGAATGCCTCAGTGCTCAAGGTTGCTGCCGGCGAGGCTGGCGAGGCGAGGCGAGGCACTGGTACGCCGGCGTTGCTGCGCCGGCACTGCTATGGGACGCCTGCCAAGCGACTGCACGAGCGAACCAACAATAAAGATGCCGAGTGATTTTCCACCGCCCATTCAGACGGCTACGTAATACACGTGGAGCAAGGAAAAAACGACAGGCAAATGAAAAATGGCGGCCTTTTAGTCTGCTCCCAATTTGTCCCAATTCATCCCGATTCATCCTGATCTTGATGGTGCAGGAGGTGCTGCGCCTGGGGCTGGGCGCGGCCACCGTTGACGAGGACGAGCTGCTTGCAGTGGCGCGGGACGTGGTGCGTCAGTCCGTGCGCACCGGCCACCCCCAGTTCCACAACCAGCTCTACGGCGGCGCGGATCCCTTCGGCGTGGCGGGGGCCTGGATCACCGAGGCGCTCAACACGAGTCAGTGAGTCGGTCCGGAGAGCCACGTCCAGGAAAAGCCCCGCGGCTTCAACTCGCAGTGCACTGCAAATGGACTCGTTCTCTGCCCCGCAGGTACACCTTCGAAGTGGCGCCGGCGTTCACGCTCATCGAGCACAAGGTGATCGAGCACGTGCTGGCCAAGGTGGGCTTCAGCAACGGAGATGGCATCTTCACGCCGGGTGAGTTGTCAACCGGGGCCGGTGCGGGTGGGAGAGAGAGGGGGGTAATGCTGACAGGCCTGTCCTTGCCCACAGGCGGCAGCGTGGCGAACATGTACGCCATGGTGGCCGCCAGGTACAAGATGTTCCCGCAAGTCAAGAGCGAGGGAGTCCGCGCGCTGCCCCCGCTCGCCTTCTTCACATCCTACGACGTGAGTAGGGGCCGCACAGTTGATTTGCCAGAAGGCCGGCGGAGGCGGCCATTACTCTAGACGCTCCAAGAGTAAGCTCAGAACGCGTCTAGAGTGTTAGCCACCTCCACCGGCCTTCTGGCCCACTGTGCATCGGAAGCGCCTGTCTCTCTCTGGCTGACGCTTGCTGACGCCCTGCTTGCCCTGCTCGCTGTCCCGCAGAGCCACTACTCGATCCAGAAGGGCGCGCACTGGCTGGGCGTGGGCACCAACAGCATCATCAAGGTGGCGACGGACGCGGAGGGGCGGATGCAGGCCGCCGAGCTCCGCGACGCCATCCTGGAGGCGCGGCGCGGCGGCCGCCAGCCCTGCATGGTCAACGCCACGGTCGGCACCACCGTGCTGGGCGCCATCGACCCCCTGGACCAGGTCGCCGACGTCTGCCAGGAGCTGGGCGTGTGGCTGCACGTCGACGTGGGTCCACTGTGTACCTCCCTTCGTTCTTTTTCGGCGCTGTTTGAACCCCAGGCATGTGACACTCTGTGTTTCCGCAGGCCTGCTGGGGAGGGTCCCTGCTGCTGTCCCCGACGCACAAGTCCCGCCTGGACGGGCTGTCTCGAGCCGACTCGGTGGCGTGGAACCCCCACAAGATGCTCGGCGCGCCCCTGCAGTGCTCCATGTTCCTCGTCCGCCACAAGGTGAGCGTCGAGCGTTGCCCGCCAAAAATTCCCACGTTGCGCCAATGTTGCCAGGGTTGCCAACCACAGCCTGCCAACCAGGCAATACTTGGGCTTTGCAGAGGAGAAGTTGCCTAGAGAGCAGGCTGAAGGCTGAAGTTGGCAACACTGGTGCATGGCGGAAATTTTCGGCGCGAGTTGAAGCGGGCGGCGGCGCCGGCAGGTAGGCAGCCCAGCCGACGCGGGCGCCAGTTGGTACGCCTGGAGACATGTCCGTTACCCCTCTCCGCTCGTCTGTTGGCCAGGGCCTGCTCCACAAGTGCAACTCGGCCGCCGCGACCTACCTCTTCCAGCAGGACAAGTTCTACGACGTGTCCTGGGACACGGGCGACAAGAGCATGCAGTGCGGCCGCAAGGTGGACGCCTTCAAGCTGTGGCTCTTGTGGAAGGCGCGGGGCGACGACGGCCTGGCCGCGCTCGTCGACAACGCCATGGCCTGCGCGAGGTACGCCCGAGTCCGACATCGGCTCTCTATTCCCTCTTTTTTTTTCGCGACTGACGTCCTTGGTCCTTGCAGCTACTTCCGGTCCAGGGTGCAGCAGACGGAAGGGTTCCGGCTGGTGGCGCAGGGCCTGGACTGCACCAACGTGTGCTTCTGGTACATCCCGCCCAGCCTGCGCGGCCAGACGGAGGACGAACAGTGGTGGGCCAGGATGGCGGCCGTCGCCCCCGCCATCAAGGAGCGTCTCGTGCTGGCCGGCACACTGCTCATCGGCTACTGCCCGCTGCAGCACCGCGGCCACGTCAACTTCTTCCGCATGGTGACCACGTGCCAGCCGCCCGCCACCAGGGAGGACATGGACCTCGCCATCAGGGAGATCCAGCGACACGGGGAGGCCTTATAGGACGAATATGAATGAATGAATGAATGAATGAATGAATGAATGAATGAATGAATGAATGAATGAATGAATGAATGAATGAATGAATGAATGAATGAATGAATGAATGAATGAAATCGTGCATTGTGATGTAATATATACGACCAACAGTAAAAAATAAATACCACTATATTCTTATAAAGAAATATGATTTATCTCTGTTATTTATACATTTGATACGTGAGAGTATTACAGTTACATTGAGGTGAGCATCCACACACATTATTGTACAAAATAGTCCTCTAGTGAGTGACTCCGCGACTCCGCAGTGCGCCGACGACAAGGCTGCACCGTGAGTGCAGGGCGGTTCTAGATTCTAAAGTCGACACTGGAATTGCACCGTTCCACTTCCTAACAACAACATTCATCAGTCGACGCGTAGGCCTGACACTTCCTTAAGAGCCGCGCCCCCGGGAGGGGTTGGCTTCGCTAACATCACAGATTCCAAGTACGGAGTAAGGTCGCGAGTGACTCCACCGCCAAGTCGGTGCCCTAGACTATGGCACTATGGCACTCTGCGACGGAGGGACCGTCCCACAACGCGGCGGCCTCGCCCAGGCTTGGCCAGCGCATTCTTGGACGGCCCCCGCTCGTCGCCGCGGCCAGGGCAGGCGACCGCGCTATATTCTAAAACTTAAAACTAGTCTAAAACTTACGTAAAAACTTAACAGAGGTGGGCCCCGGGCCCAGGGCCCAGTGACAGAGGCTAAATTACAAATGACTAGCAACGCAGGCCCGAGTGCGGGGGGCCCCGGAGGGTTGTTGGGCTCGCAGCCCAGGAATGTACATGCACTTGTACTGGCAGGCGGCTTGGATGGGGTGGATGGGGGTTGGGGCTTCCGGGCGCGGTGCGGTGAGGGGGTGGCTCTGTGCCCTTCCGCCCCGACGCCCCGCCGCCAGCCGAGGACTCTAGCCAGCCTAGAGAGACTAGAGAGCGTGCGTTCATCCGCGCGACGCTTTTCAAACTTGCAGCTCCCTTCTTGCCTCGCCCCTCGCCGCTCACAGGCTGCAGTTGTTGTTCCGGAGGCGAAGCTTCTCTGCGATGGCGGCCACCAGACCGGCGCCCTTGCCGCTTCCGTCCTCCGCCAGCAGGAACTTCCGCTGCGGGCACAGAGCACGCCGTCAGTTAGGCCCACAGACAGACAGACAGACAGACAGACAAACAGGCAGACAGGTACATACCTTTCTCTCAGGCGCCAGCATGCTGGTGTACTTCTCCAGGAGCCCCTTGACGCGGGGGTGTTTCTGGTACAACGACCCGTCTACGGCGATGGTGGCCGTCGGCTTCTCCATGCGGTCGAGCAGTGAGGCCAGGCCTGCGACGGGTTGACATCGAGTTAAGTTAATACATAATTAAAAACATAAATAAAAGACGAGTCAGACTTGAGTAAAGGAAAGGCGCTTACAGATTGAGACGAGAAGCGAGCACCGGTTGGAGATGATTTGGCACACCCACTGGACCACGAGGATGTCGTCGGAGTTGAAGTTGAGGTTGAAGCCGTCCAGGATGTCCTTGGTGTTCCTGTGCAGGCCGTCCAGGTTGTCCCTGGTGGCGGTGACGGGGTATCATTAGTCTCACTGTGCCGGCGGGCAGTGACAAGGGTGGCGGCCGTGAGAATAACCCAGCCATACTACTGATACGTACTGCTCGATGTGCGACACCATGGAGGTGGTGAAGGCCCAGGTCGTGTTGAGCTCCGGGGTGAGCTGGCCGCTGAACAGCAGCCCGTCCTTGACGAGCCTCAGCAGCACTCGCCGCACCAGCTCGCCCAGGTACTTGCCGCCGATGTACTTCTCGAACCTGCCCGCCCAGAGAACATTTTAGCTTCACGGATACAGAACTCTGCGTCAGTGAGTTTGAGAGAGGGAGACTCACGTGAAGGAGCCGGGGATGACGGACACCTCGTCGACCTGGTCGTCGAACTCGGTGCGGATGAAGTCGAGGGAGCCGTTGTCGCCGAAGGCGCCCCACTCGATGTCCACGATGATCTCGCTCTCGCCGTGCGTCAGGCTGGACGCGTTCTTGGCCTTCTCGGCCTTCTCCAGGAAGCAGGCGTTGCTGCCGGTGCCCAGGATGAGGCCGATGGCGCACTCGCGGTCCAGGTAGGAGCCCCGGACGAGCGTGCCCGCCGTGTCGTTGAGCACGGCCAGCACGTCCACGTTGGTGTCGCCGCGGCGCTGCAGCGCCTCACGCAGCAGCTGCACGGCGTTCATGCCCACCACGTTGGGGCAGTTGAAGGTCTTGGTCCACGTCACCAGCTTGCCGACGTCCAGGCCGTCCTGCGTCATGGGGAAGGAGAAGGTGAAGCCTTCTCCGACCAAAACGGTTCAGCGTCTCGAGTGATAACAGGCGATAGAAAAGGGCTTCGAAATAGCCCTGCCGCGGTGATAAGCGTGATAGGCACTGCCAAGGCACTGCACTGACCTAGGGGAAGGCGGCCGCTACCGAGGTTCTGCTTGTGCACGAAGTCGGCGATGCACTCGGCCAGGTAGTCGAACAGGCGGAACCCGCAGCCGATGCGCAGGTGCTCCTCGACGTGGTAGAAGGAGATGGCTTCGTCCACCACCTTGCCGGCCTTGAGGTCCAGCACCATGACTCTGAAGTTGGTGCCGCCCAGGTCGAGCGCCAGGAAGGAGCCCGTCTCTGCGAAAGCCCAATTTGCCTTTCAAGTTCAAAACTCCCGCTTTGCTCCGATTTCGTGCGTGATACCCGCCTTATGGGCACGGCCTGACAGTTGAAACGAGTTTAAAACCACACTGGAAACACGGAGGCTGGCTACTACGCGTCAGGTTCATCGCCGGCTGTACACCAGGAAAACGGAGTTGTCGACCGGGTCTACTGTACCGCCAACATTTGTTTACGTTTTTATGAAAGGGATCCTCTTTCCGTGGGAGGAGGGACCGGTTGAATTATTCTTGCTGCAGTCTGCTAAGTCCATGTCCCGTCCACTTTGGCGCAAACCATTTCGCGCCCCAGCTGTCATTCCCGCACGCGAATCCCTCGCAGATGTCACTGTCCACTGCAAAAAAATAGCAATTTTTAAAAAATTATTCACCTGTGCCGTCGAGCAGCTCGGGAATGAAGGTGTTCTCCATCTGCAGCGACGAAGGCTTGTTGAGGCGCCCATTCTCCATCTCCTCCTCGAAGACCCTGCGGACTCGGAGCACCGTCTCGGCGTCCAGGCGCAGCCCGTCCACGGCCTCCTCCACCTGGAACACGACGCGCTGCAGTGCGTCTGTCTCTCTCGCACCCCGACGCGACGCCCCGAGAGCGCGACAGAGACAGAGCGACCGAAAAAAAAACAGGAGCTGACTGTCATTACTTGCAGAACGAGCGCTGATTTGTTTTCGAGAGAGATGATGCGCTCATTTTGCCCGTTTGTGTGAGTGTACGTCTGTGTGTGTGTGTGTGTATTTGGTGTCGCGGTTTCGCTATTTGTCTCGATGGACACCACCGGCAAACAAATGACGGACTGCGCGAAAAGACTGCTGTTCCCAAGGTCGCAACCAAATAACAGCGGCCCCCTCCCCTCCCGCCCCGCCCCACCCCGCCCCTCCCCTCCCCTCCCGCCCCGCCCGGCCCCGCACATTCCCGATTCCACCGCGCCTCGCCGCGCCTCCCGACACCGCTCCTGACCCGCAGAACCCATTCGTTTCGTTTCGTTTCGATACCAGCAGCGAGTGGCGTCAGCGCGTCGGCGATCGAGGCGACATACGTTTCCGAACGTTAAGTTTCGGGCTGATGAATGATTAATGGCCAGCGGGGCAGTCGCGAACACATACACACACATCAGACACTCACACATACATACCACTCTTCTTCCATTAAAAGCCATTCAAACACATTCTGTTCGTAGCGAGGTTATTGTCATCACGTGAGATGATGTGTAAAAAAAAAGAAAATATTTCGACCAACAATTTAGAAAAAGTGTTTTGGAAACAAATAAAGCTTTTTATTTTCCTGGATTAATAAAACAACGACTGTCTCCAAACGAACGGTGGATGAGGCGCGGTGACGGCGACAGAAATAGCTGATGATAAGCCTCACCTTCTTGGTCCTGTTCTTGTCGTGCAGGGGGGTGAGGGAAGGCCCCCTGGCCGTGGCGTTCAGGGTCATCATGTCCACAGTCGACTGGAGCTTCATGGTGGCTGGTCCCTGCAACAACAATCGCGCTCAATATGCCGTCCGATTCAAAGTCAGCGGCGGGGCCGAACACACTCCGACCCGCGATGGATCTAATTGGCCGCCCAAAGTCACTAATCACCTTTCCGGCGATAAACAAACAGAAACAATCCGGTCAGTCCTCGCCGGTCGCGTGCTGCTGCTTGACTGTGCCGGGCACTGGCGGGCACAGCGAGCCCAAGTGCCTCCTCGGACTGCACTTCACTGGCCCGTCCGTCCGTCGGTCTGTCTGCCTGCCGGTCCGTCTGTCCGCCCGTCTCGACGACCAACGGCAAGGCAGAGCGATTATACGCTGCCGACTGCTAACTAACACACTCGAAGAGCGCCCGCCCCGCGCCCGCTGTCCGATTGGCAGAGCCCCGCCGAGCCCTCACGCCACGCCCCGCCACGCCCCGCCACGCCCCGCCACGCCCCTCCACGCGCCGCGCCCACACAGAGGGACAGGTCCACGCGGCAGCGGCCTCCTTGCATTTCTTGGAGCGCAGAGCGCAGCTGGAGCGGCTCCAACAGCCCGAAGATCAAAGAGCGGTCCGGGGCCAGGGTAGGCAACGCCGGCGACGCTGTGCACGCCAGTGTGCCGGGCCTGCCTACCCGCCGGGCGTTCGCCGTGCTGCCGCTCCGGAGCACTCGAGACGGCCGCGCGGTGCGCTGGGGATGCTGGGGCCGCACAAGATATGCCGCCGGCCCCGGCAGCCCCGGCATCCACGGCACTCGGGTGCTCTCGAGCATACATTTCCGGGTCGCCCCTTCGCCGTCCTCTCCAGCCCCGCGCGCAGAACCAGATTCCTCGAACGCGCAGTGGAAGGCCGGGACGGGCGGACTCGAGTGCAAACACTGGGGCGCCCGATCGCATTCATCGAGCGGCTTCATTTCCGGCATTGTTATACCTCTTATCGCGTTCGAACACTCCCCCCGAACGGGGGAACCGGAGGGAACTCAGACAGAGGATCAAGTCGGCCGCATTAGGCATTCGGCGGCGGTATGCGCGCGGTTCGGCGGCGACGACGACGGCGTCCACGTTCATGGGGCGGAATAAGATGAGCGGCGCCGGCCGGGGTCGGCGTCCCGACGACGGCGTCCCGACGACGGCGTCCCGACGACGACGCGGCGCCGAACCGCGGGCCGGCCGACGACGACGCCTACGCGATGGAGGACGCGCCACGCCCCGCCACACGTCAGCTGACCGTGCGTGCAGGAGGCCAAGGTGGAGGCGAAGATGCTGTGGGAGTTGTTTATTTTCTATTTCGGTCACGCCGTGCTTTTCGCGCGAGCGGGGCAAAGCGGAGCAGAGCGGAGCGTGCCGCGTCGCTCCCGACGACGGCGAGGGGCGGGTGGCGGGCTCTCGACCACTTCCGCGCCGCCGCCCACCACCTCCGCCGCCACCAACCCAGCCACCCCGCCGCCCATCCCGCCGCTCCACCCCCGCGGTCCGCCTCACAGCCCCCCCCCCCCCCGACCACCACCTACGCCGTATGCAACGCTGGGAGCGCTCACGCGTGCGAATCAGCGAATCCACAACAGCGGCGCCGCACTGCAGCATCCCCAGCATCGCAGGCATCGCACCAGAGGCAGCAATTCCTCGGCGATAATTATTTTGCCGCCCGCGTGGCGCGTTCGCCGACGGAAGCGCCAAAACGCAGAAACTAAATCGGGGCGCTAATGGCCATCGGGCACCATCGGGTGGAAAACAATGCTATCGCTCGGCTGCCCCGCTGCTCCGCTGCCTCACGGCTTCGCAGGCTTCGCTGGTCGGCGGCGTGACCCTGGCAGTGGCCCGGCCCGGCGGCCCCCGGCGGCTCCACGTAACAGCGACCTCTATCGACGGCGACCCGCGGCGATCCCTGCGACGTAACGCGGGGGCACGGCGATACCGCGGCGCGGCGGCACGGCGGCACTACACTGGACGCGCAAACAAGTCGTAATTCCATAAAGCGGAACGGTCATTACGCCGGTCCCGTAATCCGGCAATCCAACTATCCGGCAATGGGCTGAGAAGTGTTTGCCGAAAGGATTAAACGGCCCGCCGGCTGCCGCCGCCGCTGGAGCGGAGGCGGCGTGGGTTCGAATACCGGCTCCGCGGATATTTGTTTTGTTGTTTTTGCGGTCGTCGGCGTGGCGGGGCGCGCGGCCTGGTCCAGTCCGGCGGCGCGTCGAGGAGGCGACCTTGCCGAGGTAAAGGTCGCCTGGCGTGCCGCCGCGGTGCCGCGTTGTCACCGCAGACGCCATCGACGCCTTGGCAGTGGCGGCGCCGCGTGCCGCGCACTCGCCGTCTGGGTCGCCTCTCCGCCTTGCCCGATTGCAGGCCGTCGAGTGGGTGACGGCGCGCGGCGCGCCGAAAAAACACAATCAAACAAATAACGTGTGTAATCCACGAGTGCCGTTGCGGGGGATCCTGGGACGCTTCGATGGGTTGAGGTCTAAGCGATCTAAGTCCGCGGGGCGGGGCGGAGCGGCGCGGGCCGAGGCCGGCCGGACGGGGTGGGGCGGCGCGGGGCCGAGCGTTCGATGGGGCAGCCGAGCCGGGCCGTGGCGAGCCCAGAGGGCTTCAATTAGTCCCCTGATTACGTCGGTCTCGAGCGAGGGCAGGTGCAAGAGGCTGTAGAGGGCGCGCGACTCTCCACGTCGCCGTCCACACTTTGGCCATGGTTTTGCGCGCGCCCCGCCCCCGCCACCACTCCGCGATGCAGCAGCAGCCCACCTGCCGCCCTCTCGCCCCTCTTGTCCACGGCGCGGCGGTCCGTCAGGTTATTCACCGGGGCGACAGTTTTTATCCCCCCACCTCCCCCCTCCCCCGCACACACACCGGCACCACCACGCCCATTGCAAAACATCTTATCGCGAGTGGCGTAATCCTTTTTGGTCCTCCGCGAGACTCCACTGTACCGACGGCGCGGCGCGGCGCGGCCGGGAGCACAACAACGACAGGCAGCGGCACGGCGACGTGATACGGCCTTCTGGGGAAACCGTCATGGCGCGCAGGTCATCCTGAAAATTAGCTGCAGCGTGAGTCTGCGAAGATTGCAAGGGCCGTCGAGTGGCGGCGGCGCGGCGGTCGCGCGAGGGGCGCGATACACTGACAAGAGAGAGGGAGACAGAGAGAGAGGGAGAGGGGGTGAGAGAAAGAGAGTCATCGGCGCCGCCAGATAGGCCGACGTGCGTCAAGCCGGCAGTCGGCACCCAGATAAAGGTACCGCTCACGTGCCGCGGCCCTTCACAAAACCAAACTTTGCATCCTTTTTCAATCCTTCACAAGCCATGTTTTCATTTCTGCCCCCAAATTCATTTCGAATTTTTTCACTTTTCAATTCATTTTTGAAGTTTTTCTCTCAACTTTTCCAAACTTTGTTTGCGTTTCGAGCCGCTGCCGCGGTGCCCGCGCCCCCCGCGTTGTGCGTCGGACGTGGCGCGCCGAACGTGGCGCGTCGAACGTGTGGAGCCGACGGGAGGCGAGCCGAGTGATGATAAGGACCGAGCGATCGCTCAGATAAAAGCGCAGTGGGTAGCTGATCACGACTCTCTCTCTCTCTCTCTCTCTCTCTCTCTCTCTCTCTCTCTCTCTCTCTCTCTCTCTCTCTTTATCAGATTCGCGGAATGGCGTCGGCGCACTTTCAAGGACGTGTGCCGCCAACCCGACAGTGTGACGACGTGACAACGAGCGTGACGTGTGTGACGTGTGTGACGAGGCCCGACGCCCGCCGAATTTGCATCCGACGTGTTAATCACCTCCCATCTCCGATCGACGGCGAGGTTGGACCGGGGATGAGTGATGGGAGAGGGAGAAAAGAGAGAAGCGAAAATTTAGAGCACCGCGCCGCCGGGCTATTATTTTAGACGCACCAAAAAGGGTGACTCTAAATCGAATTTGAAGCCCGGCTAACGCTGATGGCTCACGAAAAAAAATGGAGTATGAAAGTGAATTAAACCCAGCGGGCGAGGGACAATGACGAGTCTCGCCCGCAGAAGGGGCGAGAGAGAGAGAGAGAGAGAGAGAGAGAGAGAGAGAGAGAGAGAGAGAGAGAGAGAGAGAGAAAGAGAGGAAGGCGAATTGACCTCTAATAAAATCAGTCTTGCCTGATTCCAGGCCAAGTGAACGAACAGCGACCCTCACTTTGCTACCGTTGTCGGCGCCTCGCTGGGTCTGTTGGCCTGTCGGCCCGTCCGGAGGGTCCGGGGGGGGGGGGTGAGGTGGGGGCTAAGGGTTCTGCCGGCGCCAGACGTCTCAACGGGGCACAAGGAAGCCGCTACCGCCCGCCCGCCTGCCCTTCGGGCGCCAATGAGGCGTTCAACATTTTCATCCAACTTTCCTCAACCCGTCGTTACCAGCGGCGGCTTCTCTACTCCGCGCCTTTGACTTTGTACTCCGTACTTGGTTTCGCGAGGCGGAGGAACAGACGTCATCCGGGGGCCCTCGAGACGGGCAGAGCCTTGGAGAGGCAGATCGACCGCAATACCTGCCGGGACGCTGGTGGCGCGGTGGCTAGGCGAGATTAGAAGCAAATGAGGCTGGCCGTCGGTCGCCCACACCCCGAGAGAGGGAGAGAGAGATAGAGATAGAGAAAGAGAGAGAGAGGGGGGAAGGGGCAGCCACCGGCCGATCTGTCAGTAGTAAGCATCACCCCGACTCACCCACCGCCATATTGGTTCCCCCAGGTCACCTGCCCTCGTCCTTATGTCAATATGTGACCACGGTAATACCAACTACTGCCGCCCCGCCCCTGTTCCACCCTGTTCCACCCTGTTTGCGAAGGACCGACCCAGCCGCCACGCGATCGTTTGCTCGTAATTGTTTTCATGGTCAAGCGGGATCACCGTGATCCACGATCCACGACCCTCGGTCCACGGCCAAGAGCATCAACATCATGAAGGCGGCCCGCTGCCGTCACGCCGCGCAGCCGCGTGCTGTTTACAGTTGCCAGACGCCGCCCCCTTCCCCCCTTCCCCCCCCCCTTTCGAGCTGAAATTGAAGCCAATGCATAATTGGTGTGATGGATGGCGAGCAAACTTTATCATTTCCAACATCATCATCATCACTATCGTCAGCCGGGCCATCCCGGCCATGCTCGGCCATGCCGACAATGGTCTCGGCGAGCTGGCCGCGGTCTCGGCGCGCGGCGCAGTCCACTCCAATGAGACCGGGGTCGCCAACACCCGGCCGTTCTGTTTGGGTGGCGAATGAGAATATATCGGTTGTCTCGGAGCGATCACACCAAGGCGACCGAGCGCGATATTTGCACCGTCGAATTTTCTTGGCTCGCTTCGCTCGACTGCCTGCCTGTCCGCGGGCCGGGCAGCACGGCGGCGCGTCTGGCTCGCTCTGCGCCAAACAGAACTATGCACTCGGCCCGCGAGGCATGCCCGCTGAGCAGCAGTTTTCATTCAACTGCACTTGAATGGATCGCGCCATCCACCATCCGCCATCCCGGCGTCCCCTCCAAACTTCGGGTCGCGCCGCTGAAAGCAGCACAATCGGCAGAACAGCACGCGCGCCCTCGGAAAAGTCCCGCCCGCCGATGGCACAGCACGGCACGCCACGGCACGGCGCCGTCGACGAAACGGATCCTGTGCGCGGCGACCTCGTGCGTGCGACAGGGACAGAGCCATGCGGCGTCACTTCGGAATCAGTCTGCACAGAGCCATCCTTCCGGAGACGGGAGTTGGTTTGCGCGTCCGCATGCATATGCAACGGATAAAACTTGGTTTGCGGGAGCTCGTTTGTGCCAACCGCGCGCCACACGGCCCACTCACTCGCCTCCCCGAGATCCGATTTTCGAGAGGCGTCGTCGTCGTCGCCCCGAGAGAGTCGGCGCCGCCGCCTTCGTCGCCATCCCGCGAAGCGCGTCAGTCGCGACAACAAACAGCGCGGCGAAAATAAGGGAGAATAAAATAGGAAAAGCGCTCTCTCTCTCTCTCTCTCTCTCTCTCTCTCTCTCTCTCTCTCTCTCTCTCTCTCTCTCTCTCCCTCTCTCTCTCCTCTCAAACACACAGTCTGACTGGGTAACGCAAACTCACACAGGCGAGCCCTCTCGCTGGCGGTTCGAAAGGTGTGAACTGCGACACTGTACAACGGCGACCGGTACACCACCCGTCAAAAGTGTCGCGTACCCCGCGTCTCGAAGGCTGCCATGGCATTGATTAAGTCGCAGGCTAAACAAACAGCAACAGCCCGACGACAACACAACACTCGGCCTGTTGCGAGGGTTGTTGTGCCCCACCGGGGCCCCCGGGGCACAAACACGCGAGCGGGGGTGACATTCCCCGTCCGTTCCAGCCGGAGGGGTGCGGGGGGCCCCACGAGGGGTCGTCTCTCTCCGTCTCTCTCGCACCCCAGGCGCCCCGCCAGGCCCCGCGCTCCACGTCGCTGCGCACGAGGCGGGGCGAGCGCCGTGCACCGCGCGGGTAGGCACCCCGCCGCGCACCCCTGTTCGGCGGGCCGGCCTAGCCGCTGGAGAGCCGGGGGCTCCCCGCGACTCGACGCGCCCTCTTACAATGCACTGCCTTCGCCGCGCTGTCTCTCTCGCGTGTGGGGTGCGAGAGAGACGGAGCACTGCTTCTGTCTTCTTTATCACGACTCTAAACTTCGTTCCGCGGCGCCCGCCGCCGAACCCACGTGGGCGAGAGGGAGCGAGAGAGAGGGAGGGAGGGACAGAGAGCGAGAGTGTGTGCGAGGCGAGGCTATTCGCGACTCGCGCAAGTGCAAGCGCACGGTTCGGGCGAGCGGGAAGAGGGGGTGGGGGCGGGGGGAGGGGCCAGCTGGGCAATAATCGGGCAAACCGTCGAGCCTCGTAACTTGGCCTGCTTTATTGGGCATCGTCTGCGACTCTGCGACGCGAAGAGCCGCGACGCGAGGCGCAGAGAGCAACGGACGCGGTGCGGCGTGGTGAGGCGCGGCGCGGCGCGACACATGCCCAGAGACACGGGACTCGACGTGACGTGCCGCGCTGCCGCGCCAAAAAGACGGCGCCGTTCAAACACGCCCGGTTGACTGCCAGCTCAGGCTGCCTGCCTCTGCCTGCCTTTGGCTGCCTCTGGCCCGCCTGCGCTGCGCTGTGCTCCGCCACACGGCACGGTGGCGCAGTGGTCGCACTATCTCGTGCAGAACCGCCATGGGTGAGAGAGAGAGAGAGCGCGAGGTGATACCACAACACTGTGCGTGGAGCGCTCAATCGGAGGCGGGACCTAACTTGGACTGATCCGGGAACAACAAAAACAAAGACAAAGTCTGTGTTTTCCTCGTTTGCACGTTGACGCTCGCACCCACACGGCCATGGCCGGCCGGCCCTGGCCCTGGCGGTGGGTGCTGCGCAGTGCTGCCAGCATGCCGCCAGGCCGGCCAGGCAGAGCAACAAGTACCTCGGCGAGCACTCACCGCGCTGTTGCCTGCTGATGTGCTTGGTGTGCCCGGCGCGTCTGCTGCGGTCTGCTGCCGTCTCTGTTGTTGTTGTGGGCGGCGCGGCGGCAGGTTGGACGGGTCGTCTGCTACTGTGTTCGGCCGATCCGGCACCGGTCCACTGGTCACTCACGCCACGCAGTGCCACGCAGTGCTACGCAGCTCGCCTACACTCACGCGCACGCTCCGAAACACTGCCGCCCTGCCGGTCGAGTGCTTGTGCTGGCCGTGGTGGCCCGCCTCCCCAGCAGACGACGCGCTTGCTTTGCCACAGCTTTACGGACAGGATCGCCGCCCCGCCCCGCCCCGCTCCTTTGCGATCCCCTCCCGGCCCTCCCGGCGTAAAAGACTCGTACAGGCCCCCTGCTGCCCCCTGCCCCCTTTCCCCGGCCCCCACGCCGCCGAGTTGCACGCGTCACACAAGGCCATCGCCACCCCGCCCCGCCCCGCCACCCAGCAGACCGCGCGCGAGCTATCGCCCCCCTCCCCCCTCTTCCCTCTGCCAACACCTCCAAGTGAAAACGTCAAAGCTGAGCGCCGCCGCGCCGCCACCAAGACTATCGGCTGCAAGAACAAGTGTCAATATGCAGGACAAAAAGGAGGGGCGGCTGCTCGGCCGGGGCGCGGGGCGCTGGCTGGGGAAGGACCCGCCACCCCCTTCTCTCTCTCTCTCTCTCTCTCTCTCTCTCTCTCTCTCTCTCTCTCTCTCTCTCTCTCTCTCTCTCTCTCTCTCACTCCTTTCGCCCTGCCGACAGCGTGCTGGCGCTGGGCAGGCAATGTCCGGTCGACGTTCGCCTGGATGGCGGTCAAAGAATGCGCTGTGTGTGTCCACCGTGTGCACGCTGCTGCATGGAACGGTAATGGGGCCACGGGGTGGGGGTGGGGCGGGGGCGCCTCGAGGGTGGAAGCTTTGAAGCGCAGACGTCCAGCGCAGCCGCTCGAATCCGAGTGTCGCTGTCTCTCTCGCACCTACATGGCACGCCCCATGAGTGCGAGAGAGACAAACGCAGTGCGCAGTCGTCGCCGAGCAATTCTAGGGCAAGAGGGGCCCAAACGGCCCAACCCCAACCTGCACGGCACTGATATCAATAGCGCCTCTTAGGTTTTCTTTTTCGCGCTCGCGGGGGTCACTGACGTATCAGCGGGGCGACTTTGATAAAACGGAAGGGAAGACGACAAAACCGAAGGGAAGGGCTCAAGTAACTCGCGCGGTACAGTCCAAAGGGCGGACAAATCCCACCATTTATTGACCCCGGTCAACAAAAAGGAAGATCTCTCTCAACTTTTGTGTCAAAACAATACCCTATCAGACCAAATGATCGGGTTCTTGTCGAGCAAACATGGAGCGTCGGAATGAGAGCATGATTGCATGGCGCCGAACGGAACGCGCCCGCGCTTGAGAATTCTCGAGCGCAATCTGGGCTTATTGTCATTGGTAAGTGTATCAGACACGGCTGAATGCTTTTCGCTTTTCCATCAAGAAGCAGACTTTTTCTGACACTGCTTCTCTGTTCGAAAATGATAACAGGCGAAATCATCCAAGTAAGAACTTTCCTCGTTACGTCCTGTACTGGAGAAACGTGATACCAGGGCGCAGTACAACGGTATACGGTTCTCTCGGTGCACGCCGTGCAGGCCCGGTGTCGCCTGAGAGGTAGGCTTCCCAACGGGCGACCGTGCCCTCCCCTCCGCCCTCCTCCCTCCCCTCCCCCCGCGGCTGCGGCTTCAGTTTCAGTTTGAAAAAACGGTCAGTTAAGTTGAAACGGTCCAATCAGCTCGCCGGCTGTCGTGAGACCGTGTGAAGAAGTACGGAGACATTTTCATTACACCGAGTAATTTCTATCTGCGCGTGTCAGAGTGAGTGCGTGTGTTGTGATAGTGGAAGTAGTGGAACGAGTTACGGCAAGTTTACGACAGGTTACGACGGTTTGTGGCGGTCGCTGGTCCTCCTCGATCCCGCCGGAACGTTTGCAGGTTAGAACGAAGTGATGCCTTTATCATGAGAGAGTGACGCCTTTATGGAAATGGTGGCGTCTGGAACACAGCGAAATCATCAGACTAAGAACTTCCGTCGTTATGCTCTGTATACTGGAGAAACGTGATCCCATTCATTGTACAGTGCGCGGTACGTATACGGCTATCTCGCTCACTCTCGTCAAGTTGAAAGGCAAGAATCGATATTTATAGTGGGGGCACGCGCCCCCGACCGACAGCAACAGCGACGACGTCGCTCCCAAGTTTGTTAATCCAATTTGTCAACAGAGGAGGGATGCGAACGCTTCGATTTCATCTCCCCTCCCTGGCATGACCTTACCGGGGGGTGGGGAGGGGGTGGGGGCGGCCGGTCGAGGAGGTGGCCTATGGACCAGGCGTGCTGTTCCCTAGGCTAGTAGCATTAAAAAAAAAATCCATTACAATGTCAGGTTTTCTCTCATGACACTGGTCAACGAGCAGACGTTTTTATTATTATTCTCAAATCCCAAGATTGCAGTTGGTAAAAGCAACAATTGTCTTTGATATTTCTTCATTTTCGTTCAATAAACTGACTAGAGAATACACATTTTTTTAAAAAAGTGATGGTGGAAAATATGTAAAACGTTGCAAAGTTTTATCTATGGTTTGCACAATGCAAAGTACATAATAGTAAGAGCTTGGCATACTGGTCCCAAGAAACTACTCCATTCAACCAGGTGTGATGAAAGTAAAGACTAGTGAGAAAAAAAAAAAATCACAGAATAAATAAAGGTGATATAAATAGAGTGCTCTAAACTTATAGGTAGAGATCATTAAAGATGAATTGACACATTTCCCCCATGCATCGGCATTTTTCATTCGGGGAGTAAATCGTCTCCAACATCATCATCACCAAAGTCATCTTCAAGAATCTGTCGGGGACCTGCTGATGTCCGTGGTCGCTCCACTGCAGGGCCCAGCGGATCAGAATAACTTGCATCTAGAGACAGAAATTTTATCAAACATGACTGGAAAGTCAAGGAACTTTGTCAACTTTCTATTTAAATTTCTATTTACCCAAAGTTTCTCTTCCTGCTCTGGTGTGGGTAATACGGTCCTCAATGATTGGAGTTGTGCCTCTAGGGAATTCTGCTGCCACAGCGGATCCTGGGTGACTTATAGATGCTGCGGCTGCTGAGCCTGAGCCGACCCTTGATGAATGAGCACTGCCAATGCTCCTCATGGAACCTGCAGAGAATGAGAGGCACGGGCATGATGAGTTGTGTCTTGCAGTGACAGTCTCAAACGTACCAGGTTGTGCAAATTACCTGGTCTTCCACTACCAACTCGACTTCGAACCTCCTTTGCCTTTTCTGCTTTTTTCAGTTCAATGGCGTAGTCTGCTGCTTCTTTCAAACCCATATCACTACACAAGCGGACCAAAAATTTAAGACCTGCATGACATCAAAATATTAATTAATTGATGAATTTATGAAACACTTTTAATGCCAAGTACTGTTAATTATAATGGCTTTACATTCTATATTTTCTGGGGATTGTCTGTGAATCTCCTTATATGTTGACAAAGCCTGCTGATAATTTCCAGCTCGCCGGTGACATGAAGCCACAAGAAGTTTCCATTTCATTTCATCAGGTTGGATAACACTGGCTCTCTCAAAAAATGATATTGCTCTCTCTGATACTTGTAATTCAATGAAGTATGACCCCAGCCAGTCAATGACATCGAAGTTAGATGGGTAGTGACGGTAGGACTGGAGACAAAGACAAGTGCATTTTTTACAATCAATTGCAATTTATCACTAGTAACAAATTTTTAAATAATCGTATGTACACAAATGGTTTTACCTCAAAATGATAGTGATAAGCCTGCTGCTTGTCATTATCACTTTCAAATATTTCTCCTAGTTTTTGGAGAATACCAGGATCTGTTGGCACAAGTCCCAACAGTTGCAAGAACCTAAACCAAATAAAATCAAACAGGGGTGAGTGAGCAGGCATTGAGAAACAAAGTGTGCACCTATATGGCAATGACACCTGGTTTTACCTACCATTCAATAGCCTGGTCAACATCACCCACTAGTTGGTATAAGTGCCCAAGTTGGAAGAGAGCTTCAGGGTGATGGCGTACAATAGCTTGTAGTTTTAAAAAGCAGTCAAGGGCATCCTCATGGAACCCTAACAGCTTGTTTACCAACCCTAAAATTAAAAATAAAAATGAATTGTGTCATTTTATTTTAGATAAATAAAAAGCAGTGAGTTGTGTTCCTCCTCTTACCCAAATTATAAAGGGCCTCTACACAGGATGCGTCATTTTCCAAGGCACACAGGAATAGATCCTTAGCTTTCTCTAAATCGCCTTCGGCCATGCTGCAGCTCCCAAGATTGACAAATGCAGCTGCATTGTAGCCATCAACTTGTCGTGAAGATTCACTAAATTTTTTAGCTTGCTCTACATCTCCTTGCTAGTGATAAAAAAAGGAGGTACAAATACATGCTGTTAACACAAAGATGTGAAAAGAGAACTTATTTTCACCAGATAGATCAGTTTTAATTTAATTGTTCATACCAAATAATATATAAATGCCAGATTTGTAGAAGCACTACTGACAACTTTAGACTCTGTCTTTTTCTCAAAAGCTCTGAGTGTGTCAACTGCTTGATTAATTTCCTTTTGTTTCAAGAACATTACAGCCTTATTTATTTCTAATTCAGCTGCCAAAAAGGCATAGTTAGATGTCTTTAAAGTCTCTAGGCACCAGTTGTATCCTGAAAAAAAAAAAAGAAGTCAGTAAATCAACAACTTTTAAAGTAATTAGCAATTCACTGTTAGTTAATACTACTGAATACTGACCTGCTGAAAAGGTGTCATCTATGACAGGTGCAATAAGTTTTGCTGCTGTCAAAATAGATCTTTCAGCACTCTGCTTCATCTGTCGTTCCAGATGACGCAAAGAATCATTTCTAATTGCTTCCAATGCTAAATTTACTGCTGGATCTTCCTGCAAGTGACAATATTACAGTTAAAGCAAGAGGAAACATCATTGCACAAGAATCACTCAGGGGCACACATTTAACTCATACTTACTGAAGTTGCACTGTACTTGTCTTCATCATCAATTTTCAAGGGAACTTCAACCAACATTTGAAAGCCTCTTTTCATTTTTTCTTTTTCTCCCAGGGCATAGTAGCACACAATCACATCTAACCCTATAATTTTTAAAATATAAGTTACATTAATGGTATCATGTATAGCATTTTACCAGGTTAAAAAGAAATGACAAAACTTAATTTACCCGTGTGGAAGTCTGGCTTTTCTTGCATGATGTATTCAAAACTATTGCAGGCCTCAGTAAATTGACCCATTTTTACAAACAGTATACCAATGTTATGCATAATTTTAATCCTGGAGGCAGAAAAATGAAAGTGTAAAGAGGAGTAGGATTACTACAACTGTCAAGTGAAAGCACATAAAAAATATCAGCATATTATTACTTGCCTCAATTCTTTGTGGGTTGTAGGAACCTGATCAATGGCCATTCGATACATTTTAACAGCTTTATCATAATCACTCAATTTTAAATATATGTTTCCCATGTTCAACTTCAGTCTACTTGCATTATTGAAAGTTCTGTTCTTAGTTATTACTTGGTATGTGTTAAGGGCTTCAGAAAACATGTCATTAGCAGCATACTGATTAGCTAAATTAAATAACACCTGAAAAAAATATTTTGGTCAGTGGTTTGAGGCATGCATAGCATGACAAAAACGAGTAAGTATATTATTTAACTCACAGAGAATGTTAGGTCAAGATTGTGGGTTTCAGAAAGGCCAGCTTGATCCTGCATCCTTATCAAACTTCTCTCCTTGGTTGATGCTTCCTTAGCTCGCTCCAGAGCCAAGCGCATATCTCCTGAACTGTTAGCAAGGCACGACTCCTCAATTAATTGCATTATGCGCCTTTCTGCCTTTTTTATTTTTTCTTCTGGCCTATGGAAGAAGCCAAAACAACATTAGGAATGTGTGTAAAATTGTGCGCTTGTCTGTGTGGAAGATACATACGTGTCTTCTTTTTTCCCTTCCAGTGGAGGAGCTGGCCCATTGGCTGCTTGATTGAGAGGGTCGAACATTTGGCTGGAGCCTGATCCCACTCTGTTTGAAGTGTACCCAGCACCACGCACAGCTGTCATGGGACGGTTCACTCCATCAACTGAGCCTGTGAATGGTCTCATGGCTGTGCCTCCTCGGAACTTAAGAAAAATGATTTAATAAGTCAAATGAATGGACCATAAACCGACAGGCAATAAAAAAAGTACTAAATAAATTTTATTCACCCCAGTTGATGTTCCCAGGCGGGAGGCAGTTGTAGGTTTCAAAGAGATCTAAAGTAAATAAAATATGAAGGGAATTGATTTCCAGGTTAGTGTCATTCTGATCATAATTTGCAAACCAAAATAACCCATTCACTTACTGGAGGTCTTCGACCCACACTCGTTCTGAGGGCTTCTTGAATGATCTCGTCATCCTTGAAGTCTTTGGTGTTGAGGACTGAAGGATATTCATTGTAGCCCGAGTAGAGGTCGTCGTCATCCGACGGCACCAGATGAATATGTTCCATCATTTTTAGACTTGTAAACAAACTTTTGTCAGTCACTGGAAGGTTATTGTATCCCTAGCAGAGGAAAGGGCGCTGAAAGACGTCTGCAACCTGTGAAACAAATAGACGAAGAGGACTTGAACAAAAGATACCGACTACTGCTCGATCGCGGCTTTAACTTGCAAGTGTCAGTGAAGATCGTGTGACTAATTTCGTGGAGACTCGTACATTTTGACGCATTTCTTCGTCGGTTTGAAGTTGTTTGTTTACATCCATTTTGTATCAAAGGAATGTGGGCGTTCTTCTTCTTTTCTTCTTCTGACCGTGTGAGGACAGAAGAACAAGCGAAGCTCGTCTGAAATTTCGACGTTGCTCGAAAGTTTGTCGGTATGTGTAGCTGTCGAGAACAGCTAAATCTCTAAATTGGTGGGACTGAAGTCGCCTGCTTGGATTGTAGGTGTGTGACAACGGTGACAACCACAACAACAACCCAACACCCGCACGAGCTAATCCTGCCTTCCCCGCCCCCACCCCCGCCTTCGGCCGCAACCCTTCAAGTTCCGGCTTTCGACGAGAGATGGCGCTGGCAGCGCACCGCGCCGCCGTTGCCGGCCCAACGCGGAGTAGTGCTCTGCGCCCGCACCGTCCGCGGCCCAGCTTCGCTTGCTTCGCTCGCTTCGCGGAGCGGAACGGGGGGAAGTGCAGCGCGGCGTGGCGTGGCGCGGCGCGGCGCGGAAGTGACCGGCCAGCGAACTGTGACATGAGGCTACCGGTTGTTGTCTGTAGACTCTGGCCGCCTAACGAGGGAACCGCAGGGAACCGCCTTTACGCCCCAAGTCCGCCCGGAGCACTCTCTGATTCACTTTGACCAGTGCACTGGACCGCGGTGCTGGGCGGTGGTTGGGTTGGGAACCGAGAGTACCGGTCAGTGCCGCAAGGGGGCGCGGCAAGCGGTGCCAAGCGGTGCGAAGCCAAGGAGCGACAGGTGGAGGCGGGGAGGGGCCGCGCCTAAACGAGCAAACCTAAGAGTACGAACAGTACAGTCACGCAAAAAAACGTCGAAAACACGTAAAGTGGCATGCGATATGTGTTGGCGATGTAAACCGCTGCTTGTTCCGACTTTTTAAAGTGCACGCGACCTCATCTCCTCCGGTCTTGTGTTCTCCCTCGGCGGGGTGAATGACGGGCCGATCAGGAGGAAGGAGGTGGGGGGGCGGGGGGGGGGGCGGTCGCGTGGAGGAGTGTGCCGCTCAGGTGACCCGCCCCCGCGCCGCCCCCGCGCCGCCCCCGCCCACGTGTGCTGGCCGTGCTGGGCCCACAGGACCCCTTTTGTCTCAGCAGCATCCTGGAGTGTGGCGGCGAAAAGAATTTCGGCAGCAGTCTGGCCCGCCTCGTCATACTACTTTATTGTGCACTTTTTTTCCACGTTAATTTCCATTAATTGAGAGAGACGGACGGACGTCCGGCGGCCGGTGGAGTGAGGAGTGAGTATCTTTGGGATCAATTTTCCGTCGAGGCGATGCGACGATGCCCAGGCCATGCTAATTAGAAGAAAGCAGGCCGATGTCTCCCTTATGGGGAGTGGCGTCCGTTGGGAGAGCCAGCCTTGTCTTGGGGTGTCCTCGGCGTCCTCGGCGTCCTGCAGGACCCGTCCGTCCCGTCTCAGCGCGTCTTCCCAGCCAGCCAGACAGTGTGCCGGCCGGGCTGGGCGATTCGCCCAAATCAGGTCAAAGCACCGTACGAGGCGGACCCTGCCAGTCGGTCGAGTTGCTCTGTCTCTCTCGCACTCGCTCCTCTCGGGGCGTAGGGGTGCGAGAGAGACAGACAGGCCGCCAGCGACGCCAAGGACGGGAAAAATTAAAAAGAGGAGACGGCGAAGGGGGAGTCATGCACTTTTATTAATGCGTGCGTGGCACCGCGTGGCACCGCGTGGCGTGGCGGGGACTCGCATTGGCCCTGATCGGAGCCATTAGCGGCATAATGTGGGTCATCATTCAGGCATTGGAAGAAAGGGGAGCGAGGGAAACTGTTGCCGGCGGCGGGTCTCGAACCCCGGGCTCCCGGCCCGAGACGTGAAAATGGACCAGGCTGCTCAAAAATTTCGCCACAGACCAAAATGGGTCCGACCATGGCAGTCATGTGCACTGTTAATGATGTTTCCGAAAATCAGGCAAATCTACAGCTCAGTCTGGACATGTGAGACAGCTGGCTTAGTCACTCTTGTCAGTTTGCAAAAACAAAAATAATTGAAAAAAATAAATAGAGGGAGACGATGCTGCAGCAAGGCGGCCCTTACCTGAAGTATAGTTGACACCCTCCCTCTCTCTCACACACACGCACGAAAAGGCGGACTATCTATCCCCTCGCCCTACACTGTAGCGGTGCTCCTTTCCCCAACGGCCAAGACGGGGTCACGGCGAGGGTCGCGGAAACGTCGCGGCACCCATCCATCGACGCCGATACTACTCTGTAAATAATGCAACGGCTCAATTTCATTAGGACCTGCATTCTGTTGCAAACGCATCCCATTACTTAGGACGTGATTTTTAAAAGGATGAGTCATGGTTTAGAAAAGAAAAAAAAAACTGGAAATTTTTCGCGACAACTAAAGTTTGTTTGCGCAGCCGCCTGGGCGGCTGTGACTTGCCGATTTGCAGAGATTTGCCGAAGGAAGATGCCATTTTTGCAGTGTAGGTACAGTACAGTGCATGACGATGTGCATCCATCCCTTGGAGGAGCGCACCCCGGAGCACCTCCCTTCCCTCGGCCGTGCCTTTGGCGCGCCCTGGCGGGGATGGTGGAAACGTCTTCGAGGGTAGCCTTTTTTTGTCACCTTCGCGCGTGAAGTGCGTTACTACTGGTTTGTTGCCGGGCGAGGAGAAGCAGAACTAGTCTGCGCACACACACACACACACACTCACACCACGCATAATACACCCCGAGTTAAAAGAATGAGAAGAAAAAACACAGTCTAAACGACTTTGCGCGTGTATTCTCTCCGAGAACGCGTAAAAAGTGGTTCGCGACTCGATTTGGCGCGCCGTGGTGCCAGGCCCCGTTACACTATAAGCCTGGTTTCACTTTTATAGTCGGGCACGAATTCGGAACGGGTGCGGAAAATGAGCCAAGGGTGCTGTAATTGTCGACTGCGAACCACTCGGCCTCGGCCATGGAGACGACGAGCTAAGTGGGCCTTTTGTGTGTCGACGGGGCAGCCGGGGCAGCCCAGTCAGCAGGCCGCAAGGCCACGGACTTTTGCAAGGCCAGAGTGAATTTGCATTGCAGGACGACGACTCTGTGTGTAAAGCCCCTCTCTCTGCGGGCCCGTCCGTCTATCCCTGGCTTCTTCCAGTGCCCCCCCCCCCCCAACCTGACGACGACGGACTGTAAATGCAAATAACCAGGAGCTTGCTCCTTATGGGTCTGAAGGGGGCGGGGGGCATTGCATGCAATTCCAACAACCAACCCCCTTCTGCTTGTCGCGCTTCCTCAGGACATCCGCTGCCGGCGACCCCTCCCCCCCTTCCCCCCGCCAGGCCGCGGCGGCGCGGCGGCGGCGGTATTTTGTCGGTCAGCTGTGCGCGTCTGCTTGTCCTTTTAAACTTGGCTGTCATCGTCCGCGTGCCCTGCAGGGCATGCCGCTGCCGGCTCGTTCTTTTCCGAGCTTCATCACAATGATGATGATGATGATGAGGGCGCGTGCGTGGCCGGGACTTCCTCCCGCTGCTCCTCCTCCGCCCGGCGGCCGGCGGCGGTCGCGGGTTCGAGTCCCGCCCGGTGCGGGCCGCTTTTGCCTTTTCGCCAGCCGCCGTGAGCAACTGCGTGGCGGTCGAAGCCCTCACCACGTCCGTGACGTTTGGGGTGTTGTGTCTGTCTACCCCTCGCGCTGGGTCCGTCAGTAGCGACGGCGGTTTGCGCAAGGAAGGCGCGACGGCGCCCTGGAGGCCTCCGTGCAGGCCGCCGCGATTGGGCCCGTTTACACGGCAGCAGCGTCCGGGCAGGGCGGCGGCAAAGCGATTCAACCCCATCGGTCTTCATCTGTCTGGCCGTTCGTCCGGCCGACCGGGCGATTTCGCCTCCAGTCTGGCGGCTGGCTGGCGGCTGGCTCGTGCCGAAGCTGGGGTGCGCCGTTGATGCGGTTTGGCTGTTTGGCGCGGCAGCTGCGTCTTGCAGACGGCCTCCTTGGGCTGACTTCGCGCGGCCGGCCGGCGCAGCGCAGCCCTCGGTGCAGCACAGCCAGCGGCGAGCAGGGCGAGCAGGGCGAGCAACCCCCGTGGAAGGGAGGGACAGCCCGCACGGGCCACGGCGGGGCTGGCGGGGCCGGCGGGGCCAACGACTCGCGGCTCATTGAATCGGGGAAGGGGGTGTTATCAGCAGGCCGCGTTCCGTTGTGCTGCTTCTCGCGCTCCTTCGCGACGCCGCGGAGCGAGCGGAGCAAGGAGCAGCGCGGCGCGGTGCGCGACGCGGAGCAGCTGCCGCCCGGTGCCGCCGGCCGGCCGGCCTGACTTCCAGAGCTCATTACCAGTGTAACGACGCGGCGGCCGCGCCGGCGATACCCCGCGCTATGGGCGACTCTCCATGACGCCCGCCCGGCCCACGGGGGAAGTCGCTCGGGACGCGGAGTATCCGCACGGCCCCGTTTAATTTCTGTACCCCGGGGGTATCGGCGCCAGAGCCAGGGGTCCCTCCTGTCTCCCTCGCTCTCACGGGGCGTCCCGTGTGGGCGCGAGAGGGCGGTGAAGACCCAAAGACGCAGCGCGCAGTCTCCTCCTGCGTCGCTCCGCCAAGACCGTGTCCCTGTCGCGCACCCTCGGCAGCAGCCCGACGGCGGTGCCGCGAGGCCGCGGTTTGCTGCGGGGCTGCGGGACTGCAGGGGGCGATAGAGCGTATTGTTATCCGTCTTGAGGAAAAGTCGTTATGGTTATCGGCGATCGCGCTGCGCTGCGCTGGGCTGGCCGTGCTGGCCTGGGCTCGCCTGGCTGGGTCGCGGCGCGGCGGGACAGACGGGACGGGGTCGCGGCACC